CCCCCTGCCAAAGCTCGACAAGGGACCATTAAAATCCGATGCATACGCCGGCAATACATACACACGACTGTCACATTGGAGTGATGGAAAAGCGCCTTTGTCGCATTGACTGCTGTTGATAAGTTCCAAGGTTGTATCTCACCGGCTGTCTGTCCGTCCCCGGGCCACGAGCAGTGACAGCTAGAGTGCCATCGGATCGCAGTAAACAAGCATCGACTTTGGGACGGCAAAGCTACCTACGCGAGGACTCGCTCGCACCACCAGCACCAACACCGACCATGGCGGACCAACCTCATAGCATCTTCTCCCACAGCAGCAGCAGCAGCGGCAGCAACAACAGCAGCAACAGCGGCAACAGGGGCAAAAAGGCGGCGGTCTTGGGACACGCAGACCGCCGTCCCAACGCGCATGCCGAGCCTGACGGGAGGCCGACGAGCAGCAGTGAGGACCCTGCAGACGCCCTATCCCAGTCGGGGCCAGCGCGGCGGGCGGCGGCGGGCCTCGAGGCCAATCAGGCCCAAGCGCGACGGCTGCCCCGCCATGGAACCCGACCCCTCACTCTGTGCTTTTTCACCGTACTTTGGCTGCTGTTCGTCTGCCTTTTTTTCCTCCCCTGGCAGTTGAACGACCGTCCCGGCTGGAGTTTTTCTCGAAGTGTCCAACACGATCTCCACAATTACAAGGAAGTTTTGAAGACCATCGTCTCGCCTGCTTCCTCTCCTCCTCCCACTCTCGATCTCGGATCACTACCCATTCCCACGTCTCAACCCATTTCAGCCGACCCCCAACCCGAAGCCAAGATGTCTACCGAGCAGACGTGAGTCTTCCACCGCTCCGCTCCGCTTTGCTTTGCCTTGCCCTGCTTTGCTTTGCCTTGCCATCACCCAGGACCCAGGCACCCACAGACAGACAGGCTGACCGATGCCCCAGCTTCATTGCTATCAAGCCTGATGGCGTCCAGCGTGGCCTTGTTGGCCCCATCATCAGCCGCTTCGAGAACCGAGGGTGAGCAAATTGACACGACACCAACCCGTCCCCGACCACTGGTGCGCTGACACGGCCGATAGCTACAAGCTGGTTGCCCTCAAGCTCGTCTCCCCCAGCAAGGAGCACCTCGAGACTCACTGTGAGTTCCATCCAAAGCCAATTGGGCTCGATACAAGAAACGCTGGACTAACCTCTCTCCTCTCCCCAGACGCTGACCTCAAGGAGAAGCCCTTCTTCCCCGGCTTGGTTCAGTGTATGTCCCCCTCGAACCTAACGAAACCCCCGATCTGCCATTCATACTGACCACGAGCAGACATGCTGAGCGGCCCCATCTGCGCCATGGTCTGGGAGGGCCGTGATGCCGTCAAGACTGGCCGTACTCTCCTCGGTGCCACCAACCCCCTTGCTTCTGCCCCTGGCACCATCCGTGGTGACTTCGCCATCGATGTAGGTTACACACATCCCCCCTTCTCTCTCCTCTACTACCCTGGTCTTTTCTCTCCGCAAACACACACAAATCGCGCTTGAAGGAGAAATACCTGCTAATCTCTTAACCCCAGGTCGGCCGCAACGTCTGCCACGGTTCCGACAGCGTCGAGAACGCCAAGAAGGAGATCGCTCTCTGGTTCAAGGAGGGTGAGGTCCTCAGCTACCAGAGCCACAGCGCTGCCTGGATCTACGAGAAGCCGTAAATCCATGTTCAGCAACCTGCTGACATGAAATGATAAATTACGGTTGTTCGTCTTCTGAAATATAGTGAATAGACAAAACGATCACCGAAGCAATCCAGATGTCCATGATTTGTGAACTATTGACAATGCCTCTGCGAAAAGAGGGAATGATAAACAAAGGAAATTGCTCTCACTCCTGAGTATGCCATCCAAACTTGCTGGGTTTGCGGGTGGGCCGGAAAGTCGGGGATCGATAATTACCTTTTCTGACTTACTGTTCTCGGTATTTGCGAGACTTGAAATTTGTTCACTCTATACAAGTCCTGGGCCTGTAGGAAATTGTACGGTTCTCTATCCTCAACCAGTCGGGAAGGGGGTATCTTCATCGGCACGCAGCCTGATTTACACAGGACCCGGCGTCTTTCTATCGCCTAAACAGAGCCCTTCTAGCCCAAATCATAGCCCTCGCAGCCGAGGGTGTTGCCCAAAGTGAGAAAGCTATCCTCGGGATCAGCAAAACTTTTGTGATGGCGTACGCGGCCACCAGCTGAACGCCAAGCTTGTAGCCAGACTCGGTGTTCTTCAGGGTCGCCTTCTCCCGCACCATCTCTACAGCCCGGCTGGTCTTACTTCTTGCCTGCTCAACCATCTCCACAGTCTGCGCGTCCTCCTTGCTAGAGCTCCCTCGTAATCTGCCCAAGAAGGCCCAAGCACCCGCGGGATTCCCTCTGCTCCTCTCCCGTTCCCGGTCTGCCTCCCGGCCCAGCTCCTCCTCCAGCCTCCTCTCGCCCTCCTGGGTGTCTTCGTCCCCGAGTCCAAACCAGCCCTTCCTCCTGAACCACCTCAGGAACTTGAAGGCTCCCTCCTGCACGTACGGCGCCCACGGGCCGAAGACGTAGCCGGCGGGCACGACATCATAGTACCGGAAGGCGGTGACCAGGCCAAAGATGGGCAGGACAGCCGTGATCTCGTGTACTAGTAGGAAAGCGACGACATGGCTGCCCGGCGCGGCCCGGAAGTTCTGCAGCGTCGGATGGAAGCGCTTGGGCAGCCAGCGCTGCGTCCGCGTCAGGATCCGGTCGAAGCGGCTCTGCTGCTTAGGTGTCAGGTCCGGAGACGAGGACGGCGGTTTGTTCGACGAGAAGCGGGCGTTCAAGGGTCGCCGAGGGCGGAGGAGGGTGTATCGGAGGGTTTCGGCGCTCGTGGTAGGTACGCGGGCGTGTAGGAGCCGTAGGAACGGCATCTTGGCGAGTGTTGGTCTCGTGGCGATTATAGAGACGGCCCGGGAGAGGTCTTTGTCTAGAGCGGAGGAAGCTGGATTGATGACGAAGGACGGGAACTTGATTGGACGGAGCGGCACCCATACATGCTGTCAAGGGAGGGGAGAGGCGCAAGGACGATATCATGTGCAAACAACGAGGTCTCTACGATGGTTCGGGATGCATGTAGCAATGCAACTAGCTTGGGACTCGTTTACCAAAACGGCACGCCGATCACTGACGTTGGTGTCGATTGCGACCAGATACAGCCAGACGGCCGCTGGCGGGGCAGCATGGCGGCGTGGCGGCGGCGGCTAAGTTACCTAACCAGGTACCTAGGTAGCCCTGGTAGCTAAGAAAACGGGCAGCTCCCGGGCTGGCTGCTTCTACCTTTTTAGTAGCTCAGCCGAGCTGTGGTTGGGCCACCCCCCAGCAGCCTGGACACTCAGACGAGCGGCCAGAGGTGTCGCATCCTCGCACACCTGCCACTCTCCTTGATATCATTGCGCTAACCTGCTCATTGCTCATGGAGATCATTGTCGTAGAGCCGCACCCATCCCACATGAGGTCCGAAAACTGTGCGTGCGGGGCGGCGCTGACGGGAGCTGAGGTTGGTGACAACTTCAGCCCACGTCAGAAAGACATGGAGCCCTATCACATGGGTAACTGCTCTCCCAAACCCTCCACCAGCATCTGCGGTGCTTGGAACCCTTTGCCGTCCTTGAGCACGCCAGCCTTTCTCAGCGCACTGATGCAGCTCTCGATGACCTTGATGTCAACCCCAGCCGTCTCGCCGGCGAATCTCACAGTCTTGAGCCACTCCCGCGCATCTTCCTCCGAGTAGTCCAGCGCTGTACTGATGTACTCGACAGCCTCGTCCTGGTGCTGCTCAAAGTACTGGATGCCCCGGTCCAGCTTCGAGAACAAGTCCTTCAGTCTGGGGTCGTTTCCGAGCTTCGTGCTGGACGTAGATGCCACGATCTTCCAGCTGCTCCAGGGCGTGTAGATCTCGCCAATCCTGCGGATCTCCCCCGAGTCGTAGTACCGCTTGGACGTGAAATGCTCCCACATGAAGAAGTCCGCCGTCCCGTCGTTGACGGCATTGCGCAGATTCGCAAAGGTCTGTAGGACCACAAAGTCTGCATAGGGACTGCCGGACGAGAGCCAGCCTTGTTGGTCTGCCAGAACGTAGCCCATGACCTGGGAGCCCGAGCCCAGCCTTGAGATGCCAATTTTGGAGCCCTGGAGAGACGGGACGGACGAGATGTCCGGGCGTTTGGCCCCTGTGGAAATGGCCCAGCCTACAGTTGTATCAGCCGTCTGGATACGCCGAGGCATGAACGCAGCAACTTACAGAGAGGGGTCTCGACATAGGTGCCCACGATCCGGTACCCACCGTCCCCAGGTGTGTCTTCCTTGCCCAGGCCCGCGACCCATGCCTCTGTCAGGCCGATGCCAACATCAATCTCCCCGGCCCGCAAGGCGGTGATCATGTGGCCAGTCCCGGAGGGGAATGGGGTCAAGGTGGCCGAGAGGCCGAAGTGCTTCTGTGCAAAGTGGATAGGAGTGGAGAAGTGCTCCGGGACGAACCCGATACGGAGGGGCTGGGAATCTGCCATCCTGCCTTGTTCTCCAAATTGTGCACTCTCGGGATCAGCACGTAATCTGAGAGAGAGTGAAGACCGGAGAGCACACGACTTGAGCGATTTCCCAGTCGCGTTCCAGCTACGCCGTGACGGGAAATTTTCCTCCTGCCGTTTAGTTGTGCCCGCAGGAAGATGCAGGGTCCCGTCCGGTTATGAGCGGGGATGACGTGCCGTTTTACTAATGGTGGGGCCAGTGTGAGAGACCTGGACCCTCTGGCGACCAAGACGACTTGCATGTGAATATTTGACTCGCCTCGCCTCGCCTCGCCTCGCCTTCTCTGCTCGTCAGCATCGAGTTGCACACTATCCAAGACCAGAACCGCAGTCAACTGACAGGCCGGGAAGCTAGGGGAGTACGCTTCGATCAAAGCAGGTGGTTAGCTGCCCATGGATAAGGTCTGTAACGCGGTACCTGGGTAGGTAGGTATCCTTACTCGGCTAGAAGCCAATCCCAAGACCTTGGGCATCACCACCGTGCTAGCGACGGGAGTAATCGATCGCTGGGATACCTTCAGGGAGCTGTATGTATTAAAGTGTGATGACGGGCTCAGTTGAGCACAATATTCAATCGACTTCACCATCGAGCTTCCATGCAGACTGATCCACATTCTTCTCGTACCTTTCCACAGAGGGTGATTTGAACAGCTTCTTCAGTGCTGTGGCCAAGGGGTTTGACCTCCTGTCTTTTGGTTTGGACTTGTTTTCATTGGTGGTTTCACTTTTCGAATCTTGCATATGTTCTGTGGTTTGACGATGATAAGTTTTAGTAGGCATCGCAGCAGGGAGAGGTTCGTAGCGCGTCGGGTGAATCTCTAGAGTCACAATGGTTGGATGGGTCTGCTGAGATGAGCGTATGGGTGATGGTGTAGCACCCCAGTCCTAGTGAGCGTACTTGCAATTTCAACTTTCTCGCGACAAGAAAGAGGAGGTCTTTTTGGACGGAGGCCGGCCACTTTGACAATAATCCCGAACTTGTAGGCGCTGCCAGGATCGCCTTCAGGGGCGTGTCATTTATTGGGCGGCCACGGTGGCTACGTTGAAGCGGCAATAGTGCCTGCGAAATTGGTGCGTCATCCTCTGACTGGTGTTTGTGTCTCATTGGACTATATCGTTACAGCCCGGCTTGGCGCAGTGGCTGACACCCGAGCACCCACATTGCTTTACAATTATTGCATTACCCAGACGTATGTTGATCTGGGGATTTTTGGACAGACCCAACATCCAACCGATCAGATCGTAATCTCTACTCACAGCTGTATAGGGACGGCTTTCGTGTTGATATGGGAGTTTCGTAAACTGGAATATATAAATGAGTATGGCTGAATGGGGATTCTCTTAGCCTCAGTCGGGACTCTTTCCAACCTGCATCTCGAACATTTGTATGGCCCATGGCATTCTGTTGTCCTCGCACCGCTACGAAACCTTCCGTCCATTTTCTGTCGAGTACTGCCATGAGGGAAGAACTGAAGGTCTAGCAGATGACCAGGCTCTCTCGATACCAATCCACAGCCTCTCGAATAGAGCTCCCTAAGCAAATATTGCCGCGACGCCAACGGCCAGTCCAGCAATAGCCATACCGGTTTGCTTCGATACAGCGCCACTTGAGATGGAGGTCTTGGTAGGAGCTTGGGTGGAAGACGCCGTAGTTGTAGTCGAGGAGCCGTCCGAGCTATCTGTAGCTGAAATTGAACTTTTAGCGGTGCTACCTTGTGATACCATCGAAGTAGAAGGTATTAGAGAGACAATAGCCGATGACGTCAATGTCGTCTTTGCTGATGTTGAAGTCGTCGTATCTGCGGCAACGGCCGTCAGGAGAATGGTAGCAGTAACCAACGCGAGCCTCATGGCTGCTGATACTTGAAAGGTTGACTGAGGCTGCAATGTAAGCTGATGATGAAGCAGCTCGGATTTGATGTCATACGCACACAAGTAATACTAAGGAAAGATCAGCCTTCTATGTGGAATTCTGAATTCTTCGACATTATCAAAAATCAATCAAGTGCTCGCTACAAATTCTTGGTATGCAAGTTGCCTGATCTTGAAGTTTGAAGCATGGCTATATTTTCAACTGAATATTCGATTCTGAGATGAAGAATCGGTCAAGTATGACAAGAACCCGTGGATCCCACAAACCCTGTTTGTAGACAAGGAGGTTTCCAAGCAGCCGCCCCTGCTGAAATACTGTAACACCCCGGTGCGCTCGATACAAGGTACACCGCATGATGTTTGACAGCCGGAAAAAATACGCCGTGTGGACTTGGGTGTTATTGTTAGACAGACGAATGTCGGACAGGCGGCGGGCGTCACGCAAACTCGGGCGAGGCAGTGTTGCAGTCTACAGAATTAGGTTGATAGGCATCGTGAGCCCGGTGATATTCAATGTGGGAGTGCACCATTCATTGATACAGCCCACGAGCATGCGGACATCATAATGAAATTGGAATCATAGTGATTTCCCGTGATATGATCCATTGTTAGCCTCGCAGCGGAATGCCGTTGTAATAGCGCTAACAATGCCCCCTGCGCTCTTTCCTTCACTTTTCCCCCTTTCTTTTTTTATGTCTCCCTGTATTCTTCTGATGGCTTATTGTACATCAATCGAGCGGTAAATGCGGCATATATACACTTATACGACAGGCGACTTTACTTGATAACGGCATTGAGATGTAGATTTACAGTTGCTTCTCGTCATGGCCGTGAGTACCGAATCAATCCATGATAGGCAATGCTGGTACAATCAATTTAGTCACAATTAGAAGACTTGCAAGCATGATGCCTGGCTGTAGGCATGTATTTCTCTTCGAGTGAGTATGATACGTTTTGGTAGAGGTGCACACACAGATAGCGGTGCGAGCTGTCATCTATTGGTAACTGGCGGCAACTGCCATAAAGATAAGGAGATAAGCTAGTTCCGTGGTAAGATACACCTTAGTGGGAGCCACGGATACTTACATTCTCCATCTTCAATACATCACACATCGCACCCCATAATGATCGCATCATCTAGTTTTATAGATATATCAGCTTGCAGCCGAGTTTGGCTAAAATGGATAAGTTGCTAGGGTAATCCACTAGCCTTGTGCTTGATGCCGCGAGCTGAGGGCGATACCTATGCCTGAAAACAGTTGCGCGCATTCTGTAAAAGTTCCTCTCCAATCTGAGTATTTCATTGTCCAGGGAAGCTAATGGGGTATAAGTACATGCGTGCGCGAAACGCCAGAGTACATGCTTGCTTGTACTACGCGACCTGAGCCAGTTGTCTTTGTTATGCAGATCTATTGGCTACGTCTGCCTGTCATTTTTCATCACTAGCAATTGACATTCTCCCGCACGCAAAGCCCTCTGAATCAAATGTATCAGTTGGCTTGATCATCCGATGGAGGTTGGAAATCATCGTAACTTGGGACGATTGCGTTCTGATGCAGCGTCTCGGCGTTGTGGGGAATAATTGCAAACCTGGTTCTTGCGTCGATCAAACCATTCACTTCCAGGCTTGAAAACTAGAGTCTCAAAAGTGCTTGCCGAGGTCCACTTTACAAGCCGTACAGAACTCAGACAAAGCCCAAATGCTGAACACGTACATGTACTTTCCGGTTGAGCCCATGTCGTGGATCAGGACTTTGACGTCCTTGGCCAGGGATTGCCTCCAGTCTTGAGACGAACCGGGCTTCCCGCGGCGAGACAGACATCAATGCTTCTTCTGTGTATGGTTTATATCAGTCCACAGCCGATCGCGAGGCCACAGTGCATATATATAAAGCCCTGCTTAATCCCAACATGCCTTGGAATTGGCATGACATCCGTCCAGCCACAATAACAATTTGTGAACGACCCGGTGTCGCCAACGCCAAGTCTGTATTAAACTTATTGACGTTTTTCTCAGTGAGAACTTTTTTTCATCATGGCTCGCTTCATTCTAGCTGCTTTTCTATGTAGGTGTCTGAGGACCAAGGTCATCCCATGATCTCTGTGCTTTGCTAATTTGGTCCGGAACTGCAGTTGCCTTAAGTGTCACGGCGATCACCCCGAATAACGCTGGCGCAAAGAACGTTGGGTCTGGGAATGGATCACAATTCATCACAGGAGGCTGCGTCAATGACGCTGATTGCCAATCGGGTTGTTGCGCGGATGCAAGCAACGTTGGTGTATGTTCGGCTGAAGCGGCACAGTTCCAGAAGTAAGTTTCGCCGCGTTCTTATGCTTCAGATGGGCTCCAGTTCTGACTGTCGATATAGTGGAAAGAATGGATGCAACTTCGTTGACCCGAACGCTGCCGCTACAATCGCAGCTGCAAAGCAGCAGGTTAAGAAACAAGGCTTTTAAAGAATCGGCGTGCTAGGCAGAGACTTTCGTAAAATGAAAGACAAACCAATGCTGAAAGCTGAGATGTATCCCTAAGAGATATACCATTTAGAACTACATATTCCGAGTCAAAGGTTTGATGGTGTGGAGTCCAATTTCCACTCATGAAACTGATGATTTCGCGGTGCTCTTGTGATCCGACTCCATATCATTTCTTGTCCATTTATCTCTCTGTAATCATTCTAGACGACGATTCTTCAAGATAAATGCCGCTAATAGTGCAAATATGGAGCAGGCAAATGATACCCCTTTGTACGTGATTAGTCACAAGGAATGACGTAACTGACAGAGACCTACCATAGCCCCATCTTAATCCATCAACATATGCGCTTGAAATAGCGTCCGCAACGGGCCCATGGAGACTGTAAATGTAGTCAACATTTCCTGAAGCCTTGGAGATAATCTTGGTGCATTGACATTAGCCATGGCCTTCCGAATTGCTATGAGCCTGCCTAAAATATACTAACCTCCAGTCGGGCTGCCAGATTTAAGCCCAGTTTGACAAGACCATCGTCGAGTTGTTTCTGCATCACCTCAAGCATCAATGCGCTAGTGACCGCGATCCCCGTGATCATTCCGATAGGCATTGAAAGAAATAGACCCGAAGCCGCAACTGCTTTGTGAGAGGGCTCGGTAACGGCATTGAGGCTGACGAATATGGCGGTATTGCCCATGCCTGCACCTAGCCCGCTATACCAAAGTATGAGACTTTGTGTATTAACGACAGAAAGCAAAGAGTAGATGAAGACATACCCGAAGAAAATGTACATAGACTCCAACCAGTTGGTTTTTCCAAGCCAACGCAGAATTAGTAACAGGTAAGCTATTGATCCTGATACCGAGGCCGCTATTGCAACAACCTTATATCGACCAGTACTGCTCGAGGAGTTGAGTTAGAGTTAGCCATTGCAAAAAGAATGGATACGCACGCCTTGATAATCCTGCCTGCAGCTAGGCCTCCAACGGCATTGCCAAAAACAGCCGGAAATAAATGGATGCCGGCTATAGTATTTGAAACTCGTTGAGTGACTTGAAAGTATAGCGGGACAGAGAACATAAGCTAACCAGCGATCCGTTGTTAGTACAACCTGAATGTCTCCTGAGCACTATAGCACAGAAACTTACAGCGGTTTGAGCAGCAGCCAATAATCCTATTACGAGGTAACAGGCAACCAGTTCTTTGTTCTTCAACATGCGAACCGGGAACACAGGGTTCGGAGCCCACCACACTTCATTCGCCAGGAACAAGAGGAGGAGAACGGCACCGATGCTGAAAAGCACAAAGATTATCGGATGCTCCCATGATACATATACACCACCAAGCTCCAACGGCAACATCATTGCCAGAATACCAAGCCCTAGAAGTATAATCCCAATCATGTCAATTCGCACAAAGAAATTGGTCTTGATGCCGTTGTAATTCTGAGATGCAGTTGCCCGTTTTGTGTTGGGGATGGCCAAGATACAAGAGACAACGGCGATGGCAAACATGGGTGCTTGGCTGAGGAATGACCTGTGCTATAATTCAGTAAAAGCGTATGGTTAAGCTGTTGCTACTCACCAACGCCAGCCAACCTGGTCTGCAAGCCATCCACCCAAGGGTCCGCCTAGGCTTCGACCAGTAGTGTTTATTACATTCACTGAAGAAAAAGGTTAACATCATGGCTTTGAGGCTGATTCCTGTACGCATATCTCAAGGAGTGCACTGAATGAGGCAAACGACCCTTGGGGAGAAACGTACAATATCCGTGCCAAGTAGCAACCTCCCGAAGAGGTATAAGGTCTAGTGGCCGTGAGTTAGTGTCGCATGCGATCGTGTCGAAACAAGCTCTCACCAGTAATCAAAACCAAACCAATTGATGACATTCCTGAGCCGCCTGAACCCGAGATAACCCTGCCAAGTACAACCTGCCACATACTCTGGCCCATGCCGCTAGGATGACACAGTCAGTCCATTATATATGAGACTATCACAAGCCGACTGGAGTGTGCATACATGGTAATCCTGTGAGTCTTAGTAAGCCATCTTAAGTGTTGATTCAAGGGTTCTCACAAACCGACGACCATTAAGGCGTAGCAAAATACGAGGAGCCATTTTCGGCCATATATATCGCTGAGCTTCGCATAAAGTGTCTGAGTCACCACACCAGCTAGTAAGTAACTGATAAACAGCCAGCTAGACTCCTCAAGGGCGTTGAATTCCGATGCGATTCTAGGATGAGTGGCCATGACAATGGAGCCGTCTAAACTAGCCGTAAAGATGCCTGTGCATCTTCTAAGCATCCACCGTGAAGTTCTTGGTACGTGAATTTTACCTATTGACAACACTGCAACAAGCTGGATGAGTGATGCTGTATTCAAAGTCACATGTACTGACAGCTTGGTTTGGCTGTCTAACGCTGCAGGAGCGACACTCGCGACGTCTTGTTCTCCATTTGCGACCGCTGTGGCTGGCCTGACGTCGGATCCGTCGCTTCTGATCGAACGGCAATCGCCTACGCTGTTCGCTGTTGAGATGCTTGAAGTCGGCCCCAGAAGGGCACTCCTTTCATCATTTTGATCGCGCATTGCAGATGTTCAGTGCGACGTCGCGCAATCAGGAACGGTCTTCTCTGAGCTCCGTGGCGCAGTGGCAAATTCAATGGTTGTTGAATTCATGAGGTGCACACTAGGTAGTAGATTGAGAGATATGCAGTGAGGGTCGCGGATGTATTGCCCAATGAAATGCTGACCTTCCAATGACGCCATCTGGCTGCATACCATGTTTGTCTACTAGGCCTGGAGCCGTCCTGGGTGCCGAAAACGAAGGCACATGTGCCAAATGTCAGGTATTGTAAATTCACAAACACTGTAAGTTATTTTCCTTTTGAATGTAGCAAATTTAGAAGGGCGTAAATAAACACCTCTGTATAGTTAAATCGTTTTGATAGTTTATTGGAACTATAGAAGTCAGCTTCTGGTATGTATAAGGTTGCGCAGATCACCGCGAGATTCTTCCTATATAGTGCAGGACTATACGCAATGATGGATGTGGATAAAAGCAATATGCTATCGCGATTCATTACCCGTGATAATCCTGTAATAAATCTGCAAAATTAAGGTGATGAGCCGGCAGTACTATACGTCATCTCTAGTCGTCTTATGCAGAATTATGGAAGTGTATTTGTGAACGAGAAATAAATTGGTTCGGGAACAATATTGTCATAAGTTGCCATAGTTGAATATCAGTCAAGTTCCTTAATAATCGCTTTGCCGAAAATCCATAGAGCTGGATTTATACCTGAAATCATCGAAAACTGCTCATGTGCGTCTTCTCCCATCGTCCAAAACTCTCGCTCGGCCTCGGCGAGTTCGCGTGCTGGCATAATGCCTATGGATTCGCCGCAGTCCATAGGGAAGTCAGAAAAGTACTCGACACTGATCTGGCCCTCGATGTTCGTGACGGCAAGGCATATCTGCCGATATCTTCGCTATATACGAATTGGGAGAGCCAGTTCATCTGTCGTAAAGTGTCTTCACTAGGATTCCCACCGGGGATCCAAAATTAGGGAACTCGTAGCCAGTTTGAGTCCTAGTTTCGAGCTAAGGAAGGTGAATGGAGACATTGTGGCTCGCTCATAGACAACTCCCCATGGACAACCGCCCATGTGTGCGTCTCGTCGTGATCTAACCAGACGTTTAGCCGCCTAAGTTGGCCCAAACGACGCAGGTCAGGGTAAATGTGACTCCACGCCTTCAACTTTGAGAGAAATGCAGCATCGCTTGTATCCGCACTGGGAGCCCGGGAAATTTGGCAGATACCGCCGGCCGCTGTCGGCTTCAGTGCCTTGAAAAACTCCACGAAGAGTTTCAATGTCAGGGCGGACACTTCTCACAGAGGCTAAGGCACAGCGGGAACAAATATCAATCGGTAAGAATCTACTCTCAACCGACATCAAATATCATAAAGTGTCAAGGTCGCAGATCTCGACGGTGCGTGCACTTGTCGAAAATAGGCCGCACAATGTGTATATATCTGCCAACAGATGTTGAAGATATAGTTCCATAATTAGCAATCCCGAGAAGATCGGAAGTCGAGAGTCATCATTTTTGGCGTCTTTACTCTCAGGCGCGCCTTGCTTTTCGTCACAGATTACTTCTTGGCACCTCCAGTAAGGGCCCCACGAGGAAGAACGATGCCGCGGCCAAATGGCTCGGCACGGCATATGGACGCTGTCCTTCTGTCTCATTCCCGTATCGTGGACAGGAATGGGTGTGATGCATCTTGAGATGAACAGGCCACCGTTACGGAGGACGACATAGAAATTGTCCAGAGAGAGTTGTGAGTATATAGAGCAACGTATCTCTAGTGGTGCTAGAAACAGTTTACTTCCGAGCTGTGGACTGACGGGCCCGTCGGAGGGCGTGAGAATCCCTGCGTACCATTCTGTACGCTGTGCGGTCGGCATGATGAATCGGACAAGAATCATGGTATCACAGACGGATGGTTGCGAACAGGAACCAGATGCAATAATAAGAGAAAGCGGAGCACTATCTTTGGCCTCTGTCAAGCCGTCAATTCTAATTAGCGTTGAATATCCCCGTTTACGGGATCGTAGAAGATAACGGAAGTCCGGTTACAAAACGACATGCGGTGCTGCTGAGGTGATGAACAGGCGGCTAAGTACGACCGGAGCTGTAAACACGTATCAGCCAGCACGCAAATACGTGCCGCGTCAGAGTTTTTGAAGTGATTTCCCCGGCCAAAACCCCTAACGAAGTGAATCAACCAACGGAGGTTAGTTTGTAGGATGCTGAAGCTCATATTGAATACCACTGCCGAAGGATCTAATGCTAGTTGTTGAACTTCAACATTATTCGAAATGGTGCTAGTTTATGTCAACAACTGCCCGTTCATGTTTATCTACAAATTGCGGGCCCTCAGCATCTAGAATGAATCCCATCTCACACCTATCGAAGACGATATTCTGACGCTTTTCGGCATAAAACACATCAAAACGGGGAGAAAGAGCCTCCTTCAAAGTCTCCACACTCCCGGCTGGATGCAACGCCTCCCATGGGCGAGTGCAAGTTCCAGCCTTGCAGGACTTCAGAACAAAGAGTAGAGAGTCTAAGCGAGCTACAACTCTTTCAAGAGGCACTCCAAGTAATTTGGTAGACGTGGTTTCTTCCTGGTCTAGGAGGTTTCTCATTTGGCCAGGATCGGTCTGGAAAGCTTAGTATTAGCTGTGTTGCACACATTTCAGACGTTGTCTTTACCAACCTTCAAATCATACAGTTCGTGATCGTTATTGCACCAAACTTGATAATGGAGATCATACGAACTGCTTATTACCCTCAGAGCTTTGTATGTGTTATTCCAATACAGCCTTTGCCAACCCTCGAACAATGTGCCTTCATTGGAAGCGAAGCCCCAATGTTCGACAGTCACATGCTCATGCCTGCTTTTAGTGGCTTGTTCTAGGCCATAACTGGTCAGAGGTATTGCCAGCCCGTCAAAGTCATCCCTAAGAGGTGCTCCAGCAATTTTTAATAAAGTCGGAGCGAAGTCAGTGTGTGTCGTGACAATATCCGTTACTGCATTCTTTGGGACGCCAGGTCCGCGGATTATCATGGGGATATTTATATCTTCCTCAAAACTGGAAGCACACATCAGTAATGCAGCAATACGACGGAGATATGAGACCCGAATCCATACTCACCTGCATTGTTTTGCCGGCTGAAGCCTATGCTGGCCAATGTGGTACCCGTTGTCGGTTGTGTAGATGATGTAAGTATTTTCGAGTATGCCATGTCTTTCCAAGCGTTTCACCAGTCCATCGACAAGATCATCAACGCTTTGAAGGGCTCTCAAGCGTTGCCGGTAGAAATGATCATTGTATTCGACATTCTCCTGACTTTGCTTTGGCAATTTTCTGATCCAGCTTGCCCCTGATGGCTGATTCGGGTTGAAGTTCTCAGTCCGAGGCACTTTGGCGTCATTGAACAACTTCGAATGCTTTTCTTCAGGAACAGGGACGCCAAATATTACATCCCGTATGTCGGTATGGTTCCCATCCACAAAACCAGGGGCCCAAATGTTTGCATGAGGCGCAACCGGGGCCACTCCTAGGAAGAATGGATTACCACTTTCGACCGCTTCGTCAAGAAGCCCCAAAGCCTTCTCCGTCAACACCTCTACGCTATGTCTTCCTTCGTAACTGACAGGTGGGTCTCTGTTTCTTTGATATGTGCTGTTCATATACCAATACGTGAATGGATCCAGCAGGAAGTCCTAGACAGAGTCAAACACAATGAAAGGAAGTGCCGGTGTACACCTACCGAGGAAGTCCATCCGGCTGCATGAGGCGAATTATAGTTGTTAACAGAGTGAGCATTGAATAATTTACCGGTATAGTAGGTATTGTACCCTGCTTCCTGCAGCCAAATTGGCAAATAATTGTTATTAAAGCCTTGGCTCAAGAACTTGGGATACCCTCCTGAGAAATCCGTTAGCACTATTTTGAAGTTTTGTGGCGGTTACATACCATATGGCGGGTTGACGTTAGTAACGTTTGTGTTGTGCGCTGCTTTACCGGTCCATAAAGTCACTCTGGATGGGCAGCACAAAGCGGTGGTACAAAAGTGACGGCTGAAGGAGGTTCCTTGATCAATCAGATGCCTCTGGACATGGTGCATGTAGTTCAAAGACTGCATGTGCAGGTCCTGATCATCCGTAAGCACGAAAATAATGTTAGGACGAGTCGCTGCCGGATGGGAGATCTGTAGCTGCGGACCAATGGGGAGCTGGTTCACAGGTTCAAGCGGCGCAATGCTGTCGGCGAGTGATAGAGTAAACGTTGCCAGAGGCAGCAGTTTGAGCGCAACCATCATCTTCTTGGCAGCAAGGTTCAATTCCGTTCAGTATGATGAGGCTGAAGAGGGCAACAAGATCCTGACGCTGAACACGCTGCGCTGACGAGCTACTTCCTCCGCCGGGGGTCAATTACCACATCGAGTAGCGAAACCGCTATCGCTATCTGGCGACGTTGGAAGGGAATGCCCCTGTCCAATTTCAGATTTGACAATTTGACTGTGGTATTGCGTGATCAGCAGCATTCCCCCCAAGGCTGAAAAGCTTGATAAAGGCTGTCGAATGTCATATCACCTTTGGGCCATCACGGGAACAATCTTGTGATATCCTTGGACGATGGGAGGGCATAACCACCAATTATCTGCTATGCGCGTCAATGTACGTGCCGTGGTTCGTTGATACCCCGCATCTGATGTTCTGAAAAGGGCAGTTGTTGAGTAGCCGGATCATTGGACCATTCTCTTGGGACTTCAATACATGCTGCATACATTATGATTGATGACCCGGATGTAACTGCGTGGAGCCCCAGTGGCGACCATAAGAACCTCTTGTTGATAAGCCATGGCTTCCGTTTGGAAACCCCAAAAGCTTTGTGGCCTAGGCAGAGCGCCGACGCTCCAATCAGCAGCACGTAGTCTACAGTAAATTCGCAACCGTCCACGATGGCGACGTGGGTTCCCGAGCAGATCGTAACGGAGAAACTGGTTTCCCAGGACGACCCTGAATACACAGCCGAAATCCAGGAGGCCCGCGAGCAGTCTTCTTTGCCTTTGGGAAAGCCCCTAGAGGAGAAGAAGTTCTGGTTCCAGCGAACCAAAAAGACCTACGACCCTTATTCTATTGCAACACTAGTGAGTTTCCATGAGATACTGGGTTGAAACGAGAGCTGATAGATTGATTAGCCAAGTGTCTTTGATGTTCCCGATGTTGCGCCCCAATATCAACCTCGCGATGACTGGTGGGTAATATGGATTATGCGTGCAAACATTCGAGAGAGAAGCTGAGCATTCAAAGGGAAAATCTCCATCGATTTGACCCCTCGGCACGGTGGACCTGGGAGGAGGAATTCAAAGTCATCAGGAAGATGGACTTTCGCATCATGTCGTGGTGTATGATTAGTGAGTAGGCTCCAGTGCCCCGGAATAGATGCGTTTTTCGAGGGGGAGATGTTTCACGCGCCCAGGCCACAGGATATAGCCATGGACCCAATAAGGGTTCGACAACTAGACTCGCTAACTTTGTTTCCAGTGTTTATGGCAATGGAGCTTGACCGAGCGAACCTGTCTCAGGCTTTGTCAGATACCTTTCTAGAGGACATGCACTTTGATACGAACGGTTGGCGAGCTCAGTCTTTTCCTCGGAAGAAGCAAAAAGTCTGACAAACAGCAGTTTACAATCTCGGAAATACCGTATTCGCAGTCTGCTTTCTATCCGGAGAATTCCCCTCCCAACTACTGAACAAGTGGCTGGGCCCGGATCGGTGGATCCCCACTCAGATCATTCTGTTCTCGGTCGTTTGCGCGTCGCAGTTCGCGCTGAACTCTCGAGCCTCGTTCCTTACATGCCGAGCATTTCTTGGATTTCTGCAAGGGGGCTTCATACCAGAGGTAAATTAGCGGCCAATTTGACAAAGCTAAAACAGTGGGGCGCTACTGACCAGTGCAACACTATAGGTCGTCCTTTATTTGTCCTACTGGTATAAACATCATGAGCTAACTCTCAGGCTTGGCTTTTTCTGGACGGGCATGTTCATTGCGGATATCCTGGCGGCCATCATCGCGTACGGCTTGCTTCATATGAAAGGGGTCCAGGTAAAGCTTCGCGTCGTGCCAGACCTTGATTTGGTTTCAAACTCACTTTAATCTTAGGGCTATGCTGGGTGGAGATGGCTCTTTCTGATCGAGGTATTGTCCAGGGAATATCTGGTTGCTTCCATTTGCTAACGGCGTGAAGGGACTTATCACGGGTAGTATTGGTGTCCTCTCCTACGCCGTGATGGCTCCAGGGCCAACCCAAACTGCAAGCTGGTTTCGCGGCAAGAAGGGCTGGTTCACGGAGCGGTATGTCGTGTGATTGTAGAAATGGCACTTTGGTTCATGACTGACATTGAGTAGCGAGGAGATCATTATGGTGAACCGAGTTATCAGAGACGACCCAGGAAAGGGCACCATGCACAATCGGCAACCGGTAGGATTGAAATTGATCTGGATGAGTCTCAAAGACGTCGATCTTTGGTGCGTAGACTGATGCCCATTCCCTCGCGGCTAATTGACATTGTGTATAGGCCCTTATACCTTATCGGTTTGACTTTCAATATCCCCACGCTAACGCCGACTCAATATCTGACACCGTCGCTCCGTGCACTGGGGTTCGGGACTTTCGAGACGAATCTCCTCACGATTCCTTACTTGGTTTTGAAGAGTAGGTGGTTTACCCTAGAAGCGGGCTTGAGGAACGCGCTCATGAATACTATAGTTGTTTTGATGCTGGGACTAGCCACTCTAGCTGAAGTGACTGGCCAGCTTGCCGCCTGTGCATCAATCCTCCAGTTCTGGTCTTTACCCTTCCTGATATATTTGCGTGTTGTTGATACGACCAAAGTGTCAAAGTGGTTGACGTGGGGGATGACGAGCTTACTGCTCGCTGCGCCGCTTGGTATATGACACTTAATTATTTCTAATGGGAGATGAATATGGCTGACCCTTCTTCACAGGACATCCAGTACAAGTGGGCTGGGTCTCGCGAAATGCGAATGCGGTCCGAACTCGAACCGTGGGTGCGGCGCTCTATAATATGTTCCTCCACGCAGGAGTTATCACATCCTCCAACATCTACCGAGCAGACGACGCGCCTTTGTACAGACGAGGCAACAGCATCTTGATTGGAATCGCATGTATGAACATCGTTCTATATGCCCTGGCCAAGCTGTACTATGTTCAGCGCAACAAGTCTAGAGATAACAAATGGCAAGGGTTGACCCCAGAGGAGAAGCTTGTGTATCTGTCTGAGAACAAGGAAATGGGCAACAAAAAACTTGACTTCAGGTTCGCTTCATAGAGACGTACAAAATATTAATATGTTGGATCTTGTTACTGAAAAGCCTCTCAACATATGGGGTGGTGGCTGTGGCGATAATCAAAAGCTACCAGCACGGCTTTGGTGTAGGCTAGGGCCGCGAATACGACCATTGTATGCATTATCTGATGGCTCGCGCCGACGATATCGAAGCGTCGAGGATACCAAGTCTCGGGAAACTATTTCATCTTAGCCATTCCCATGCAAGAGTGACAGGACTGAGAGCCTACCTTGAACGCGTACGCAACAACCCCTAGGCCATTGCAGAGCACCGTCAGCCAAATCCAACAGAGTCCTACCCTGGCGCTTTGCTCTTCCAAACCTGCCGCCAAGATACCATGGAGGATTGGGATAAGGAATGATGCAAGACCAACAGAGCCGAAGAGAAATGCGCGAACGTGACCCAGATGTGGTCCGCCAATTGACGGGTGGAATGTCGCGAGCATACAGCCACCCGCAAGGCTGGTAATGACCGCAATGTATAAGGCCTGCAGGTACATGCGGCAAGGGAATGTATAGAGAATCAGAGGAAACGTTGACGTGTAAATCAGGAGGAGGATGCCAGCATAGTCCAACTTGATGCCAAAATCGTAGGTCGTCTTGCTGTGGTGCATGAAAGTGTGAAAACTATTGGGCATCAGTCCATGGGCCGAAGTGATCAAGGAGCAGCGCAACTTACGTCGTGGATAAGACGAAGCATGTCCCCACGCCGAAGAAGTAAATGCTGCAGACGAAGAGATCAATTTTGTCGGCGGCTTCGTAACGAGACATGGCGTCCGTGTTGAAAACCGTGTGAGGCAGCGACGCGAAGATAAGCGCCCCTGCAGCGTGAGAGAAGATATTGACTGGCGTGTGTGAACAAGGCAACCGACATTCGAAAGCCAGAAAGGACTAACCAGTTTCATTATGCACATATGTCCAGCTTGCCAGACAGGCTACCAGTGTTTCTGGGTCGGGCCTAGCGCGGGATCAATACATTACTCTAGGAAGAATGGAAGATTCTTCGAGGGCTATACCTACCTGTATCCGGACTGGAGGTGCTCGCTGCCTTGCCTGTCCAGAGGCGCACTTGTAAGATGTCACATACTATTATACGCATCTGTTTGGCTTGTTGACTTACTGGCGCCAGGATGCTAGATACATGTCAGTCTCGGCAGCTTGACCAGAACTACAGACCTACATAATGCAGACCACTCCAGCAAAACTCGTGTCGTGGACCGCGTGTCGACGGAAACCGTGGCATCTCGGGTCGACAGCGAATTCGTCTCCCCGCTGGCTCCTTTACGACCACGGGCCATCCCCAAGAGGCCAACTGCAAAAGCCTGAAAGCTCGAAGACGTTGACGCCCTCGGCGCGGTGCTCATAACCATGGTGCCTAAAAGCACTAGAAATTTCCATCAATTCGCGTTGTCTAGAAACATCCTACCCGCAGGCCATAATGCCTGACTGATCACGTAGCTTATCGCAGAGCAAGCCGAGGAAGGTTATGACCAAAGACACCACCGCTGGAAATGACGCATTTTTCTCTTGCGACGCGACATTCTGTTGCATCTCGGCCCCTCATTGCCGGGAAGGGACGTAGACGAGCGCATTGATCTGCGGCAGGCGTATGGTCCGACATCGTCAAACCTGGCCCACCCAACCACGAATTGCAAAAGTAGATCCCGGTGGATCAGATGGCACAGGGACGCAATGGTGTGAATCTCTCGGGATGGCCACTTGATGATTTAAGCCCGTGTCAAAGAGGGGAGATTACGAACAGTGTAATTGGATGCTTGCCCGTTTTCCTCTCTGCGGCCGTCTCAGCGGTGCCCCGGTGCTAAGGCAGCCATTTACCAGGGAATGGCTCAGCATGTACTGTGAACGCCACCGCCGAGGTCTGAGTGCCGGAAGCATCCATGGCGCCGGCCATGCGGGGCTAGCAGAGTGATAGGCACCCGACTCTACCTACATAGATAACCGATGACCAGCGTGGTCTGCGTAGGCTGGTGCCATGTCGGTCTATATATGGAGGAGCCCTGTCAAGTAAACGAACGGCCCTCTTCGGTGTTGAAGTACGACTTGTGGGCGATGAGGAGGCTTGTGGCTACCGTACCGTAACGTAACTCAATCAAGGCGTGCTTATGGATACTGGTCATATGGTCATACAATCAGTGTCATCGTATATTCGACTGTTCAGCCGTGTTGTGCTCGTACACAGTAAGATGATCAGCGACTGCGGCGTGGGTCCTTCTCTGGACGTGACGGGCTCGAATTTGCTGCGCAGAACCTGCCTTTGCGGCTGTCAGATCAGTTGCGCGCGGCATTGTCCACAAAATAGACCAGATAGAAGCTTGTTGATGGGTGAATGGTAGCACAGCACTAACCTAATGAACAAGGCTCCTCGATGGACTAGGTATACAAAATCTCGAATATGCCCATTGCCCATTCGTCTATCGTGCGCAGTGAGAAGGGGCACCAAAAGCTTAATTGAGGCGGACAAAAATAACCCACCCAGCCAACGATGGGGAGGGGAGCAGTTCTTACGCTGACAGCGAGACCCTGCACAACGGCGGGCTTGGCACTTCGCCATCCCCTGCTCCACCAGACGAACAGAGTGCTCCAGCCCAGCAGGCAGCACCTTACGTAGCCGAGCCAGCTGAACGACCCCCGCAAAGGCACCTCCTCGAATTGGAACCGAACCATGGATAAGTTATTAGCACCTAACTTGCAGTAGAAACCGGTACCTAGGTGCCTAGGTACGGTAGGGTTTGGGTTGGCTGGGAACGAGACAGAGGGATTGTACTGTACCCTGGTAAAAACCACGATGGTGGACCCAGATCCTGATCCTGATCCTGATCCAGTCCCAGCCCCAGCCCCAGCCCCAGCTTCTCCTTCTCTGTCGCCAGAGAAGGCCCTTGTATGTTTCTTGCCTCGATACCTGCTCGCCTGCATCCAGGCTGCGAGCGTGGCCATCCGGGCTCGAATGATGGCGACATGGACACTACGCGACGCTATTGCCAGGCGTGGCGCTCTGGAGAAGTGGTCGTGCCTCGTCCGTTCCCCGTTCTCCTCCTCCCCCGCGCAGAGCTGCGAGCAGGTGCTGGCAGCCAGACTCGTGAGAGGTCCAGCGGGCGGAGCCTAGAACACGGTGTCCCACCGCATTGGGAGACGCTGGCCCTCGTCGACACATCCACAAATGACGCCGGCGCCTGAAGCTTAATTGCTGATCCCTGCCACCCCTGCCGTGGCGGAGGCATCTGGACACGCCCGAGTGACGGAAGAAGCACAGCTCGTAGATCGCCCGCCGGCTCGTCTCTGGCACATGGGCGCATGCAGCTGCTCAGCTACGCTACTGTGCCTCGAGAGACAGACACAGACTACTGTGCCTGCTTAGGCTGGAGCGCCAGCCGCAGCCTATGCTCCGCTGCATGCCAATACCCACGCCCACGCCCACGCCCACGCCCACGATGTCGGCCGTCTGTCTAGCTTGCTGCCCTCCCACTCTTTCGTGCCAGGCACCCTCTGAACTCTCGGTGGTTGCATGAACCTTCGTGCGTCTTCACTGTCTTGATGAATTGCGAGCCGCCATGCGTCGGCCCTCTCCACCCGTCCCGTAGCCAGACAGAATCCGGACCGCAGTTGCAACGCAACCATGGACCGCCGTCATGTTCCCGTGGCGTCCACGTCGTCACATGGCGGCAAGAGCAGAGCACACCATCTCGAACATGTACGGACCTCTTCGGGGGCATCCCGCTTCGTCCGCGGCCATAAGCAGCAGCCCAGCGTCAGTGTCACGAGTACCGACGAGCCGCGCTTCAACCTCGACAACTACCGTTCCTGGGCTCGACGCCAGAGGAAAAGAGCGCGGGAGAACACCTGGGCCCGGCTTGAGAATGCCTTCAACGCGTGCTATCAAAAATGGATCATCGAGAGGTTGTTGCGCCAGTATGTCTCCTCCCTCGCCCCCTAATTGCCTCGCTCCAGGCTAGATTCGAGTGGTCCAAGCCCAAGGCACTCGGCTTCACCTCTACGCAGTTATACAGCAGATGAACATGCCTGACATCCCTACTAGATACCCGTTGCCTCCCAGCAAGGACGGCCGCCACATTCCCCTGACATATGGCCACGTCCGAGAGACGCCATTGAAAGATGACCGGACCGGCAGTACAAAACCATTCTGCTCAAATTTCATTCGTTCGAGTCGATACACGGTGTGGAGTTTCCTCCCGAAACAGTTGTATTTCCAATTCAGCAAGCTGGCCAACTTCTATTTCTTGATCATTGCTATATTGCAGGCGATCCCCGGCCTCAGCACGACTGGGACTTATACGACCATTGCGACCCTCATACCCTTCATCGCCATCAGCATGGCCAAGGAAGGCTATGATGACTACAGAAGGTATCAGCTGGACAAGCGGGAGAACCGCAGTATGGTCTCGGTCCTCGATCCTAAACACACTGCGTCCGGCAAATTGAAAGGGAAGAAACGTCGGGAGAATGCCGATGTGGAGATGTCCATGGCTGAGCTGGATGACTTCAATTCCCCTGCCAACGTCTGGTCAAAGATGCAGTGGCAGGACCTGAGGGTTGGGGACATTGTCCGGCTGTACAGGGATGAAAGTCTGCCGGCCGACATTGTCCTACTACACGCCACCGGACCAGAAGGCGTCGCGTACATCGAGACAATGGCATTGGATGGAGAAACGAACCTCAAGAGCAAGCAAGCCTGCCCCTTGCTTGCGAAACGTTGCGATTCATTGGCAAAACTGAGAGCATGTAATGCCCAGGTTGTCTCGGAGGATCCAAACATCGACCTGTACAGCTACGAGGGGCGAGTGACCGTCGACAACGAGACCATGCCCCTGACGCTCAACGAGGTGGTCTATCGGGGATCCATACTGCGCAATACTACGCACGCAACAGGTCTGGTTATCAACACAGGTGAGGAGTGCAAGATTCGCATGAATGCAAACAAGGAAATCCGCGCCAAGATGCCCGCCATGCAGCGCAAGATAAACCACATTGTACTTTTCCTGGTCGCCTTCGTTGCCTTCCTCGCTGTTGGCATGACCACTGCGAATGAAGTATGGAAATCCCGTTACCTGCACAAGGGCTGGTATCTGAAAGCAGTCTCGGTGAAGGAGATTCTCATTGGATACATCATCATGTTCAACACCCTCATCCCTTTATCTTTGATTGTCAGTCTCGAGATCATCAAACTGGGCCAGCTTTTTCTTCTCCAAGACGTGGAGATGTACGATGCCGAATCCAATACACCCATGGTTGCGAATACCACGACCATCCTGGAAAACCTCGGTCAAGTGAGCTACGTGTTTTCAGACAAGACAGGTACCTTGACAGAAAACAAGATGCGGTTCCGCAAACTGAGCGTAGCCGGAACCGCTTGGCTACATGACATGGACGTTAAACGAGACGATCTAGAACGAGAAAGACGTCTGCAGTTGATCAAGGGCAAAGGCAAGTCAAACAATGTCACTTCAACCATGTCTGTAGAGAGTGCATCTACCGAGCCGATCAAGACTCCTCTCATCAACCACGCCAAAAGCTTCGTGACGAAACAGATTAGCACAACTTGGACTTCAACTGGTCGGCCATCCCACGCTCAGCCGGAGTTGAATACCGAGAAACTGTTGCTTTACGTCTATCAGAAGCCAGACACCGCCTTCTCAAAGAAGGCGAAGCAGTTTCTTCTCTGCGTAGCGCTCTGCCACACGTGCTTGCCAGAGACCAAGGCAGACGGAACTGTGGAATTCCAAGCCGCGTCTCCCGACGAACTTGCCTTGGTAAAGGCAGCACAAGACCTAGGTTACTTGCTTGTCGATCGCGCAACGCAATCAGTTACACTTCAGGTGAAAGGTCCGGAGAGCGGTCTTGATCTGAATGAAACATACGAGGTTTTGGATGTGGTCGAGTTCAGCAGTAAGCGGAAGCGAATGTCCATCGTAATCCGCATGCCGGATGGTAGGATATGCGTCTTCTGCAAAGGGGCCGATAGCATGATCCTTCCGCGTCTGAAATTGGCACACCTGGCTATGCAGAAGGCATCAGACATCAGTCGCAAGGCCACTCTCAGGAAGAGTGTGGAGGCAACACGGGCCCTCCACCGAAGGAGCATGCAAGCGCAGCACAGTCTCGACATTGTCCGTGCTGCATCATCCAAGCAGCACGGTTTCCGGGGAGTGAATGCGCCCACTCGGTCGTCCGTTGTCAGTGACGCAGTCGACTCTTGGTTAGACCACCGTGAGCACGATGACTTGGATGAGCCTGGCCACGAGGAGGTATACCAAAGCCCAATGGTCATGTCTCCTGCATCCTTTGGCCATGACCATGAGCTTGACGGCATGATAGACGAATCGCTCGCGTCTAATGATGGTGCCATTTTCGAACGTTGCTTTCAACACATTGACGACTTCGCGTCAGAAGGCCTGCGAACTCTCCTTTTCGCTTACCGTTATATGGAAGACAAAGAGTATGCGTCCTGGAGGAAGACGTATCAAGAGGCAACGACGTGTCTCGTTGACAGGCAACAGCGCATCGAGGAGGCTGGGGAGTTGATAGAAAGAGATTTTGATCTTGCCGGCGCCACTGCAATCGAGGACAAGTTGCAGGCCGGAGTGCCAGAAACGATTGACAAATTGCGCAGAGCGAGTATCAAGGTGTGGATGCTCACAGGCGACAAACGTGAGACTGCTATCAATATTGCGCACTCTGCAAGGATATGCAAGCCGTTTTCTGAACTGTATGTTTTGGATGCACTCAAGGGAGAGCTACAAGAAAGTATGGTGTCAACATTGATCGAGATCGGTCGTGGGATGGTCGCCCATTCAGTCGTCGTGGTAGACGGCCACACGCTGAGCATCATAGAGGAGGACGAAACCTTGAAGGCCATCTTCTTCGACCTGGTTGTGCGAGCAGATTCGGTCATCTGCTGCCGGGCTTCACCTTCGCAAAAGGCCAACCTGGTCAAGTGCATTCGAGATACAGTTCCGTCGTCACTCACGCTTGCAATTGGTGACGGTGCCAATGATATCGCGATGATCCAGGCATCACATGTGGGCATCGGCATCTCCGGTCGCGAAGGCCTCCAAGCAGCCCGGATATCCGATTACTCGATAGCTCAATTCAGGTTTCTGCAACGTCTGTTATTCGTACACGGCAGATGGAACTACCTTCGGACCGGCAAATACGTCTTGGCGACATTCTGGAAAGAGATGGTCTTCTACATGGCACAAGCCCAATTCCAGCGGTGGAATGGTTGGACTGGCACATCGCTATTTGAGAGCGCCAGTCTGGCTGTGTTCAACACCCTGTTTACCTCCTTATGTGTGATCCTCCCAGGCATTTTCGAAAAGGATCTCGATGCCGCGACCCTCCTTGCTGTTCCGGAGCTATACACAGTAAGTCGAACATGGTCCACGACTAACCGCCTGATGAGGTGACGCGCTAATGTCTTTCCGCAGTATGGCCAACGGAATGAAGCTTTCAACTACAAGAAGTACATCGCCTGGAATGTGATGGCAATCATTGAAAGCATCATCATCTACACGATTGTCCACTGCCTCTACGGCGACTCGTCACATGACCTATTCGCCTTTGGACAACTCGTCTTCACCGTCGTGGTAATATTTATCAACACTAAACTGTTCGTGCTTGAAATGCACCACAAGACGACTGTTACGCTCATAGGTTGGCTACTCATGGTTGGCGGCTGGTTCGTGTGGAATCTCTTCATCTCGGGATCAGGTGTGATGAAGCATACTGCAGGGCCGTATCCCGTAAAGGACAATTTCACCCATGGCTTCGGACGCCACGCGCTGTGGTGGGTCACTGGGTTCCTTGCCCTCGCAGCTGTCGTGGTATTCGAGTTATGCGTCACGGCCCTGAGGAGGGTTTATTTCCCTAAGGATCAGGACCTATGGCAGGAGATAGAGCACCTTGGCGCAGGCAAGGTTTTGGAAGAGCATGCGGCAACCGGTGACGTAGAGAGAGGAGGCGCTGCCCAAGCTCAAGCTGGCGAGGGCGTTAAGCTGGGGAAAATCGATAGTGGAGGGACGGTAGCATCCGCCTGAGGAACTGCATATGAAAGGCGCACATATACCATCAATAGCGAATCTGATTTTGAATTATTGGACTTTGTGCCCCTCATGGGCGCGTTTACAACCCTGCTGTTGACCATCACTCTTTGGAAAGTCCTTGGCGATCTGATGACGGCGCCTTCTTTTGTGTTTCTACCTGGAGGTAATTCGACCTTTACTCAGCGAGTTCCTTAGGTAGGTACTTCTAATACAACGTCCCAGGACGCTGGTTTCTGCCCAAGTGCAGTGACTTTCGGTGTCTGAAGGTTCTCAATTACCAGCTTGTGAATTCTACCTGTGCAGGTGTGTGAACGTTCATACGCAGACCTCGAAGGTGGTGGGCTTACGCTAGGTGGAATGCTTCAAAAGGAGCAAACGGTGGGTGCCAGGCACTGATCAAATGGCCATTTGGAACAAGGGAAGAATGCGAATGAAAGCGATACCTCCTATGTGCTGCGATTTTCCATACTACTGACCCAAGCTCAACTCATCCTCTCCCCCGGCTCGCCTCACTTCTCTCCTTTCCAATTTCTCTCACAAATCACTGCCATCGATTGCCTCCCTAATCACGCGTACTTCTTATTTCCTCCACAGACCGCGTCGTAGGTCTAGTCGGCACCGAAGACGGAGCTCATGACGCGTTGAGCAACCCCGTAGGCTGGGCGAGGACCGACCCGCCCCCTGGTCCCCCGGAAACCGTCTGCCTCATCCACTTCATTCCCACCTGGGTGCCAAATCACCTAGCGTAAAAAAAATTGTCCATCGCCTGGGGCTGCGATGTGCTTTGGTGGTTCGGGACCAGGCAGGAGAGTCAGTTCACGACATGTTTCTCGAAGCTCAGCTCGCCGTCGTCGTTTCTTAGCCCTAGACTTGCATATCACAGCGTGCCGTACCGGACTCTCCTTCGCGGGGGGGACGTGGCAGCGTGCCCGGGGTTGATGAGTAGCGAGGATGGTTCCACGGAGAGATTCTTCTTTCGACGGCAGTCAAATAGGAGCGAGGCCTACCCTAGAACCGGTCAGGCGGCTTCCTCCAGTCCCCATAATTCCAACAACGGCGTTGTCTCACAGTCGTCCGCCCCGCAGAAAGGAAACTTGAGAGGTTCGTGGTCGCCAATTTGACGTGAGTGAGCTCGACGACTGGCCTTGTGGTTGGTTCGTGCCAACAGCCATTGCAACTGCCAGGGCACAACCTGAGAGGCACCATAAGGCGTCCGAAGGCGGGCAGGGCTGCCACTGATTGCCACTGTCCGAGGTAGGACCCCATGGTACGGTGGCATCGGCGGGAAGGTGGAGTCACGCCTGGGCGAACGCTCCGTGCGACTCGCGTATGTCGGTAGGACAACGGCGCGTTGAGAGTGTTCCTACCTCCTACTATCTTCGGGGATCACTGGGCTGTTGCCGATCCTCTTGGTTGTGCTTCACCATACTGCCAAGCCTTGGTCTGAGAAGGAACAAAGTCGGCAGCTCTCCGCAAGTTTAGGTCAGCCGTTGCTCTGCTTTGCATATACCATCTCTCGGGTTAAGTTGTTGGTGCAGTCAGGGCTGAGCGTGAATCCACATGTGGTCTCCGGACTCTAGTGTAAGATGGGCCTCAGTAACAGCTGTCTGATCAGTGAAGCAATCGAATCAATTGGGTGGCTACCAAGTGGTCATTTGCGTAGGACGTGAATTACTATTTCAAGAGGGCTGTGATGAGTATACTCCCCCGTTGTTGAATCTCCCCGCATCCTCTGCGATATGGAAGGATATTCATGTTCCATTCGGCCTCACGATTGGACCATTGCTCTTAGCTTCGAAAGACTTCGAGACAATGCAGCGGAATATCTGAGACCTCTCCCCTTTTATTTTATTCTACTTTTGTTATTTTGTTTCATAATAGAAGTATGAGAGGGGCTGGGGGAAGGGGGGTAACTTTCGAATCCGACACGGAAGATACCCTTTACTCTCGCTTTCGTTATGTTGGGGCCGAAACTCGCCAACATATCTACAGTCTATCCAAAAAACCACTCCCACAATTGCCTTACAAACTTTCCAATCCTGAAACTCGCTAAAAACGCGCTGTCACTCGTAATAAGATGCATATCAGTGTTCTCCTCGGGTCATTAAAAGACATATTACAGGATGTCAACCGTGGCTGCGTTTGCCTCAATAGGCCACGACGTCGTGGTCTTCAAGGTAGCAAAAGTAAACCATATAGACCATGAAAACGCTGTAAAGAGGAGTATTTAAAGATAAAATCACAATGTCCTTGATTTATAAACCCTTTACGACGACAAGGTGCGGATTACACGAGGTTGACGTGCATTCTTACTCTATAACAGCTTAACATGTGAAATATTCCGACGCATTGAACAGGGCACTGTAATGCAAAAGCAAACGGATGTAATCAGCCGAGGTGAAATCATTTTATTGCCCCTATTATAACCCTCGCCGTGAAGTCGTGATAAGGAAAACACAGCTGCCCAGGAACCTCTTCAACGACAGGATTCAGCAACGGCTGGGTGTCCATCCCGGCTAACCACAGGACTCGAAACCTGGCGCTTCCGCGGCTTTCGCCAACAAGAATTTGATTGGCCATGATTGAGTCTCGTAAGTCTGCCGCCTATCAGTTGACCACACTTCCCTGAACACTGGGAGGGCCCCTATTGCCCAACCAGAACCATCCGCATTCAGCGGAACAGTTATTCAGAGGGACCAGCTCCAGTGGTAAGACAAGCCCCCCGGCAACACCCACTAAAGATTATTAAACCAGAAAACCCAAGCCTCCTGGGCTTTCACCAGATTCATCTATTTTGTTTCGCCCTGCAGCCGGGAAAAAGCTTCGCCTTGTTTCATGATGCGAGAGAAAAACGATTGAAGTCGAGAGTTGCAAAAACAGATTCGGAGATCGCAGGAGAAAGAACGCGAATAGATCACGGTATTATCGCATAATGGTGCAAGTAGTCAAAGACCGCCTTTAGTAGGGAACTGCGAAAACAGCCCCAGACAGGGTAGAGTAACGATGGGCTAAAGCAAGTATACGGATCGCTGTGCCAGACGCAATGTCGAATGCCAGGAGGTATCGTCATGCAAAGTTCCGTGGCTGATGGAGTCGATGAAGGTGGCAAGAACAGAAACGAGTTCGCGTGCCGGAGAGCGGTTCGGAGGTATATGTTGAGTATCCGAGAGCAAGGGAAAGAAAGAGGGAGAGAGACATGGAGAAATGCCACCATAAATCCAAGTGGTATATTGTCCCAGAACGCCGATCAAGGTGAACATCAAATGGTATCGCAGCCAAAACCAAGTACGTATATACGACATGAGCAAGTCGGGGAACGCCCTCAAAGACATCCCACATCACTGTTGATGAGGCATGTTCTCGGGCGTGCTGACATGGTCCATATTATCGAACTGGACTAGTTGGTTCATGTCCAAATCGCCTTGATTCGACTCGACAAAGGCTGGAGAGTGGGGGTGCATCGGCAGGTTGATTGTGTGCTTCGAATACATCTCATTCAGGCTGTGACCATCGTCTGAGATGGCAGAGTCGCCGACAGGGTAGATGTCGGCGGAGGCACTACGCATCAACCCCATCGGGGGAGACTGCTCCACGATAGCAGGGTCGCCATGGGAGAATGGAAGTGGCGACACGGATTGGGGAATCATGCTCGCGGGCTGCATCATGGGAGACAGAAAGGTGCTGCTGTAGGGCGTGTTGTAGCTTGAAGCAGGTAGCGGCGTGTTCTCTGGGGCCTGCGAGAAGTAGTTCGAGCTGTTGGAATACTCTGAAGGGGCACTGGTCGCAGCAGACAAGGGGTATGGCCGTAGATCCATGCCGTAGCCTGCTTGGGTATCGATACGTAGACCAGGTCCGACGGGGCTAAGCTGATGAGGATGCTGAGGCACTGGAGCAAAGACATTTGGGCTGTGCGGGTGTGGCTGGGCTTCACCAGGGTGCTGGATATAAAACGACGGCATCGGGCTCTGGAACAGGGAGAAGTCGACAGGCGCGGGAACTGATCTGCTGCGCTGTCGCTTGTGCCCGGGGCCTCGCATGCCAGGGTGAACCGGGCTGATACCCCACTGTGACTCTTGATACATGCCAACATGGGGCTGCCCGAAGTTGGGCTGCGACGAAGGGCGTCCCGTCGGCGACACGGGCGCCGAGACCGATAACGCGTGATGCTGGTCCATGAAGGGGTTGGGGTTGTGACGGTTCATGAAAGACTCGAGCGAGACCAACTTGGCCAACTGACCACTAAGGACCTTGGGGTTTCCACCGAGGTGGTGCACGAAGCAATGGGTAGCCTGCTGGTCCTCGGTGAAGTCTCCGCACTGGAAAAAGCCGTTTGAGTTCGGGGACGAGTCCATGAAGAAGTTGGGAGGGCGGTTCAACTCGATGACGATGCCGCCCGGCTTGCTGGCGTCGCCCTCCGGATTGTCCAGGTATATGTTCTTAATGGCGCTGAAATGGTACTCGATCTTGTATCCCGCCTGATCGTTGTTGATATAGTAAGTCATGGTGCATTTCTCGGGCGAGTAAAAAATGATGAGGTCCATGGTGTTCTGTCCAACACGCGTCCACTTGCCGACGGTCAAGGAACGGCAGGTCAAGTGGTGAATGAGCACCTTGCCCTGTCCACCTTGCTCTCCTCCCAGCATCATTGAGGTTCCGTACGGTACGAGACCAGTCCGGCCCAGGAAGGTTCCCCCAAGCCCCTTGCCGGATTCCATGGCCTGCATGGCAAGGTATGCCCTCATGGATTCAGGGATGGAGTCAATGTCCTCGCCCGTCTCCAGGCTCTTCTTGGCCAGCAACTTAATCTTTGCACGTCTGTGGCGGGTCAGTCGGTGTGTCGAGGAAGGACGCTGGATGGCAGACTACTTACCGGTTCTGAAACCAGATCTGCACAGACCTTTCGGTCATGTTGATCTCTTCCGCAATTCTCTCCCGCACATTGGCTGTAGGGGTTGGGTTCTTGTTGAACTCCATCTCCAAGGTTGTAAGTTGGTCTTGGGTCGCGCGCTGTCGCTTCTGATTCTTCTGCTGCTGAGTGAGCGTGCTCTTCCGGGGAGGTCTCCGGGACTGGTTTGACTGAGGCTTCGAGCCGGACGAAGAGGAAGGCGAAGGTGACTGGCTATCCTTCATGGCGCTTGATCCGTCGGGTGTAGACATGATGTCTAATGGCTGCATCGAGTCTGCGGCAGTTGGGGCCGTGGAACTCGATGGCTCCATTTTGATCGCGTCCATGACTAGAAATATTGTTACTCTTGAGGAATATTTCTAGGGTGCTGTTACGCGATTCGCGACGTAGTTTCGAGGCAATGAGAGTGCCACGACCGCGTCGAAATGTGACAAATGTTGCTAGCGGCGAATTGTCGGGTTCGCAGCCGTAGTTGGCCCTATTGAGCGAAGGGAAGGTATTGAAAGTGTCGCAGATAGTTAGTTGTTCAAAGGAGAGTTGTCCAGATCCAGACCCTGTGTGTGTGGATGAGGAGGTATGTTGTACTTTGGTGCCGTGGCGTGAATGATAGCAAGTAGGTAGGTAGGGACCGTAGTAGATATTGAAGCCGAAGGAATGAAATGGACCCGGAAGGAGTGACGGTGTCCGTAGTGGCTCGAATGTCAAAAAGAGAGCGTGTGGGTGAACGAAAAGGAAAGACGGGGAGAGAGGAAAAGGGGAGAGGAATTATCGATTAACGATAACACCAACGACGAGGGAGACGATGGAGGATGGGATTGGGATGGTAGAGGGAAAAAGGGAAGAGGAGGGAGAAGAAGGGGTGCGGCACACACTAAAAAAAAACCCGAGCGGGCCACTGGCTGGGTGGAAGGGTGGTGTTCCTGGATTTGTGTGCGGAAGGTGTCTTCTGGCAGACTAGGGGGGGACCCCAACCGGCCATGCTCACGATGGAGCGCTCACTGGTGGAGAGCGAGCTGCGGTGCAGGGTGTTGATTCGGGTTGGCTGCCACACACCGTCTCTTCTGCCTTGTCATGCCATGCCATGCCATGCCTTCTGGTCCTGCTTACCACAGTGGGCTTGGGTGATGCAGCCGCCTGCAGATCGTGACTGTGCAGACATGAATAGCCCCAGGACCAGCACAGTCTGGCACCGCCCGGCGGGTTGACCAGACGCAGCGCGGTACAAGCGGTACAGGCCGGCATCACACCTCACACCTCACACTCTCATGCACACGCGCGCAAAGCCTAGAGACTGGTCGACTTGGTCCGTACATTGCAGTCAGTCTCCTGGCGCCTTTCCTGGGTGGCCAAAACGCCCTCGACCCCAAACAGAGTGTAGCACGTTGCCGTTCTGGGCGCAGCGGTTTCGCAAGTGTTCTTCGCGCGCTTCTGTGGATTGGATCGCTGGCCGCGGGTGCGACCATAGAGAGACCAGTCAGACAGGCAGACCCATCGGTCGAGCCAGTGAAACTGGCGGCAGTCGGGATCTACGACGCAGTACCTGGGTAGTACTCAGGCTTGGCAGCTCGGGGTTGACTCTCCACACGAATGGAGCGGCGGAATCTGCAGAGATCCAGACAGCAGTTTCGACTCGGGGTTAGCTGTCAGAAGTCTCTGGCATGTAATCGACTCGCGCTGGTGCGCAAGGATGTTGGTGCCGTGACCCCTGGGCCTTGCCCACCTTTGGAAGTCGAGACAGTACAAGGCGGGTCGTATTGGCACTGGGGACTCCGAGCTTGTCATGATGCGCAGCTGACTTTTTGGATGGTTGGATGGGACCACGAACTACCCACTCCAAGCCCACTCTCTTGACAGTGTCCGGCTAAGGAGCCCTGGCAGGTCGGTTTGGGATACTCCAAAACAGAATGCGGCCGAGCACCAGCAAGACCAGTTTCGAGAGCCTCAAGTTGTCTATTGACCACGGTCCACATGGATCGCCTTGCGTCGGTGCATCGCCGCTCACCAGAGCCTCAAACCCGACCTCTTGATTCAACATCCGCCATCTTGGTTGCTTCATTGGCAGATTGTGCCCCGCGGTGTGTCGACAGTCCAGGACGTGCTTGATTCCATACTGATCTCAGACACATGGGGACGCGCCTTGGATGTTTGCTGAAGACCTCTCAGACCTCTTTAGCTTGATTGGGTCTAGCTAGGGCCCTCTCGTGGCCGTTGGTCACTATGTAGTGGTTCACCACATTCAAGCCGAGACACCCACTGTCAAACACACGACCACTATCGCCCAGCAGATCTGGCGATCCGCCGCCAGGCATTGCTTGATTTGGTCATCTCACAGCTGCATCTCATGGTCACAAGCGGCCTGTGGCCCTGTGGACTCCAGAAAACCGAGAAGATGACGTGCGGATGATTCCGATTGAAGCATGAGCTGCCCTGGCTGCTACTCCGGTACTGTCGATTACGCAACAAGGGTCAGGCCTGACCAGGGTTGCTTAGTTGTTTGTGAAGCCTTGCCCAGATCCGCCCAACAGCCAGCCTGGTACCCCTCCACGGATCGCCGCGGCTGTGAGGTGAGTCTGTGAGCCTGGCTGGGGCTGTCCGGCTTCCTGCACAAACACAAGACACTGGTTAGCTGTGCTGACTCGCTTTCCGGTCCCTTGGCCAACCGTAGCTATAATCCAACCAGCGCCCATTCAGAGACTCGGCTCAGAGCTCACAAAGGGACTCGAGGCTGGCAGCGATTCCTCTGGCTGCCAGAAGAAGGTGTATTTTCATGAGAATCAACGTTGCAGCCGGCGCGATGCATCGCTAGCCACGTAGGCCACGCTGTCCGGCGGTGGGGTGAAGGTTTGGATTGGCGCGTGTTCTGGAACCAATGAGGAAAGCAGGGGCCGTTGAATGGCCCACGCCCATTCCGCGACTAAGTGACTGCATGAATCAGCAGAAGTACATAGTAGGAGAAAAGGGGGCTTTACTCCCCGCGAGCACAAGGCTAGGATCCCTCCTTCGTTCCTTGCCTCGCATGGCCATGCTGCCCCGAGGGACCGGACTTGTAGCTCTGGCTCACAGGGAGGGCAAAATTGCATTGATGTCTTCATAGTTGACGACTCTTCCGGCCACACAGGGAACTACCAAGTGCCATCGAGGCGCCAACGCACGCTTGAAAGAAAAGCGCGCTCGTGAAACCTCGTGTCGGACAGTCTCGGAGCTGTCGGGTCAGCGTGGCCTGGTCACTGAGCAGACCGATCGCGCCTGGCCGGGGCAGCACTGGCGGGCTCTGTCTGCGCTCAATGAGGTATTCACACCGCGATGGACAAATAGCCCCGCAATCGAGGAAAACGACCCATCGCGTCTTGCCCGTTTAGTGACTGATCCCTACCTCCTTTTCCACTGCAGGGGCCTCATCGAGACAGCATCCACGTCCACCTAGGCCACGAACCGGCCAATCGCTCGACGGATCAGCCAGAATCCCTGTTCAAGCCAGACGGCTTTCCGCTCACGTTACCCTCCCTCTGCCATCCTCCTGGTCCCACTCCACTTCCTGCCCTCTGCTGCGTTCTGGATTGGACGAGGTGCGCCTGATCATGTCGTCCCTGTTGGCCAGGGCCACACGGACCTGCATCAGTCTTCGTTCCTGCAGTAGCTCACAAGTTAGTTCCATTCGCGCGCGACTCCATGCTGCAAGGTCCACGCACTGTGCCCACCGAACGCGCATTCGGTCAATGCCATCGACTTAAAAGTAACTAGGTAGTATGGTAGTTATGTGTACGGAGCCCTGGGAGTAGTCAAGTACCTATTCGGGGTAGTCGTACAGAGAACATCGCCCTCCACAGACTCTCAAAGCACTACCATGGGGCCAAACAGCTGCGCTTGCATCATTGTACAACCGGAATGGGCTCTTCTAAGTCAGGGGCACCTCGCGCCTATTGAACTACTGCGTTCAATGGATTAGAGCATCAGTCAGCGGTTACTGCCTGCAGAGATGCGCTTGAAGGCGGGAGAGTACTATGGATTCGCGTGGACTGTCAAGCCAGGTTGTCGAGACCAAGGGCAACGAGGAGGACTCGAAACGTCCCACGATCTTATCTCCTGGCCCTGGGCGTCTTCGCCGATTCGTTGCCCAAAAATATGCATCTCGCATGACGAAACTATCGCTGGTTGTCACAAAGGCTGGTTGCCCCACTGCCTAGTGCAGTTTGAATCTTCAGATTTTAGGACTTGAGCACGTTTTGGGCTTCTTGGCCGCAGTCAGTTCGAACTTTGATCCATGCTGCCTGTCCAAATGTTGTTTTTGACAACTCAACCGTGAACCAGACGGTCGTCAACACATTCACATCCTCTATGAGTCTGAGCAGATGTCTACGCTTCAGATGGCTACATGCCAATCCGTTTCTTCCCCTGTGCGCATTTGCCCGCAGCCCTTGACTCCAACCGGCAGACTTGCCGAAACCACGGAGCAAGTGGTACTACGCAGGGATCCCTGACTTGGTTGGTCAACAAGATCGTGCTGAACCCTGAGATGTACGTATGTACAGTTATATCGAGATTCTCAAGACACAAAGTTGAGAGTGTGTACCTACGTATATAGTCTCAACGGACCACGCCTAGAAAGCAGCCTAACTAAGTCGGCGGCAGAGAATCGGCTCTGCCACAATACGACCAGCTTTCGTCTGATATTTTCGCCTTGATCGTTTCCGCTTCAGCCGCATAAAGGGGTCATGATGCTAGGTACCAGTATAGTCCAATCAACTAACAGTGGGAGCCTGATGCATGACTTGTACGGCTGAGCGCTGCCAAACCTAGTTACACCGTAAATACAGAGTCCTATGGTACAACGTCTAAGGCAGTCAGCTGGTGCTCACTTTCAGGTGCACTGCAGACGACCGATCATGGCAAACGGTAGGGTGAAGCCAATTTAGCTGCCCACCAATTCCTCACTGCATGAATTCTTAGAGGCTGGCTCCACGTAGCCAATGACCACCGGCTGTCCTTGGCCATCCTTGTGTACGTGCATGAACGATCGCCCCCAGGTTGGTGTGTATGCTAAGGTATTACTGGTTCAATGGTCCTCTGCCTCTAGGGCGCATTTTGAGTCTGGAATTCAGTCCAAGCAGCTATGAGCGCTGCAAAGTAGACATGTGGCACAGGAATTAATGCAAGTAATTTGGGAAACACTCAACAGATCAATACCGCGATATAATGCTTACACTACCTTCAGCCACTCCTGAATTTCAGCCGGGCAACAAAGCTGTGTCCTGGACAAGAACCAGCCTTCTAGAAGAATGTCGAGGCCCACCCCGTTAGCTGGAAAAAACTAGGGTGGATGGAAGGAAGTTTCTAGCGTCATCCGAACAGACGCTCTTCATTGGCATTCTCAAGTTATGATTCAATCTTTTGGGGCATCCAGTGCCGTGGTTCCTGAAACGTGATCATACAGTGACACTGGAGTCGGGCCATTCCCTTTCGATGAGCATCCATATCTCAAAGCCCCAACCCCAGATTTGCCTGACCCGACCTCCCCCTATACTAGCGAATGCCAGACTAGAGTTGCATCGCATAGCAGTCCGCGCACCCACTCTTGTTATCTGGAACAAAAGGATGGCGTGTCACCCGCGCTGCCACAGATCTGCACCAGCATGTTCGTCTGAAGTCTCGACTGGCGCGTTTTCCACCCCTTGCAATGGCCCGCTTCAGACTGAACAAAAAGCAGTGTGAGCAAAAGGAAAGAAAGGAACAGAAGAGTCGCGTACCCCTGTCCGCTGCTGCCGCCGTTTGGGGCTTTGCGCTGCACCCAGACAGACGATTAACCCGCGCGACCCAGAAAATCCAGCGCGGCTGTGCAATATGCAACCCCCATTTTTAGTACGCGGCCGGCCGGGCGGGATGCCACCGCTGCTTCTGCCGTCTCCTGTCGAGAGCAAATGACGAGCACAGTGCTCCTTCGCGCATGAAGGATGGGCGAAAATACTCCGAAAGATCTGACAATACGACCGTGGAGCCGAGGGCTGGGATCGATGCTAGAATCTGGCCTGTCAGACTTGGAAGACACATTAGCGAAGACTGTCGATGTTCGGCTGTGATGACCTCGTGAGGCGAGTCTGAGACGGTGCCTGGCCTGCTAACGCGAAAGTAAGTCATGTCATTTGGGTGTGATGCGGAGCGACTTGCTTTTCTACGATATTGCCTCTATTCAGATCACTATTCTGGCCTGCATGATGGCATCTTCCCATTGTGAGGGGGTACCAATGGTGTAGCTGCCTGAACCTTGCTTGTCTCTCCTCGTCCTATGTATATGTATATAATAATTTGGGGTGTGGTCAAGAACCTCGCAGAAGATGGAGATAGCAATACCCATGGACTGTTCAGCGTTATCCAGAGATAGCTCATCAGTGCTTCACTGCATTATACCTGTATTTGGGGGGCTGATAACAGCGCATCCCTTCATTTCGTTATTTCTACCAGCAGTAGTTCAAAGTGCCAGTCATAGGACATGCATACTGTGCTCATCTGGATCCTAAGCCCATGAGTTGTCATGTTACATGCAGAGGAGATTTAATCTAATTCTGAAAGTTGAATAGGCGTTGCAGCCATCCAACTTACATGTTTACTTTTTCCGTTTCAAGCCGTTCTGCTCTAAAAGGCTGACTCAACCCGAAAGAAAAAGCATATGGTGGACTGGGAACCAGGGCGTAGGCTTCAGTGAGAAGACTGCATCTTTATCAGACTCTTTCGCATCCGACCTAATGCATCTTTCATTCTCTTTTTGCTTCCCATCCTGCAGGCCACACATGATATCCGCTTCCTTGGCCGCAGCTTCGGTGCCATATCACGACCCGCAGCATATGGCATATCAATCCTCATGATTCGATACATGAATATCTCTAGCAAAGGTGGACTCGGGTCATAGATCCTTCATAACTTCATTCACAGCCTTCGCGGCCATTCGTTTCCGTTGCTCCTCTGGGAGACCTGCACTCATGTCTCTCACAGCCTGGAGCTTGCGCATCATGCCCTCGAGCTTCTGGATTTCGATGTCGTCTAACCTGGCATCCTCTTCATTGGCTTTCTCCTCAAGTGGATGTTTGCTCGCCTCGCCGTCCATGAATATTTCGTCGTCCTCCTTCCCAGAATTCCAAATGGCACGTTTCAGGCCGGCGAAGTCCTCTCTATCAAACCCAAAGTCCAGATTCTCCGGGTCGAGCACTGGGCCTTGGGCACCAAGAGCATCGTCAGGCCCAGCATCATCGTCTAGGGAGGTCTCAAAATCCCCAAAGTCGGAATCCAAATCACCGCCATCGTATGACCAATCGTTTGCCTCCAGTGCTTCACGGGCTCTTGGGATGCCCGTTTTTTCTGTGAATAGTGAGTATGCGTACCCCCAGAATTGGAAGAAAGTGACGCCAGGTCGTTCGAAACATACCACCGAATTCATTCCGCGTCTCACTTTCTTTCGCGCGAACCTGCACGAACTCGAGACCGCTTTCAGCGGCACACTCATCCCACTCTTCCACGTCATCAATCTCCCCAATGCCCAAGCAGAGCCCAACTCCATCCCAGGACCAACCACCCAGTCCCTCTTTCACGACCTTGCCGACGTTTTGTATCAGCTCTCTGGCGGTTCTGCCCTCGTCCGAGTGGGGGTCGATGGGCAAAGAAAAGACCACTATCACTCCTCCAAGCACGTTCAATACCTCCTTAGCTTCTGGTGCAAGAAAGGACGCCGCCCATTCTGTCGGACTCGACACAAGGTCTAGCCAGATAGGCACAGATGCTGAGTAATACGCGGTCTTGAGATCGAGAGAGTGCGTAGTCCCCGCCAAGGTTGTAGACACCAGCTGTGGCGCACTGCCGGTGAGATCTGTGTAGCTATTCAGTTCCTGAGGCAATGAGAGGTGCGTCCGTTCCCGTTTCGTGTCTCACGGCACTGAGCGGAGAGACCCAAAGCAAACCACAAGGTCTCACGGTCTCCCCGGACTCGAGGCCAGGAGTGCAGGCATTGCAGACACTTGAGGTGGGACCTACCTTTGACAAGCTTGCTCAGGTGCTGCTGCGAGTCTTCGAGCGAGACAGCCAGTATTCTTCGTGGGTTGGCGATGTCCATTGTCGACGTGCTTGTCTGAGGTCCAGATTTCAACATTGGGTACTGGACCCCGAAATTCCGATGGAGGGGCAATCAACACCACTAAGTTACAAGCCAGTTGGAACAAGGTTCACCCCGCCATGCGAGATGACTAAGCCACGACCGTGTTTCGCTGTCCCGACAGAGAGCTAATGGTATACCTGATCGCAGACTGGTTCACGTTTGGTTTTGGGCCAAGCAAGGTGGTGTAGCAATGTATTGGTGTTGCTGCACCGGAATGGTCATTCGCCCTAGATCCAGTGCTGTCTATCCGAGCCTCGCTGTATTTCCAGAAAACAACACCACCGCCAAAACTCCATCGCCAATGCCCGCCCCACCAGCTTCACCGACTCGAGGACGGCTAACCCCTCCCTCCGTTGTAATCAGCGCCGCCGGCTTTCCGTAACCTGGGCACAATCTCCTTTTCGCTCAGGTCGGCCTTGTCCCGGGCGTCGACCTGGATCGAGTGGTGCGCAAGCACCCTCTTGACGTTGCCGCTCTCGATGCTCACGCGCGCCTTGCGCATGACCTTTGTGTTCTCGCCGATCCAGATGACCAGCGCAAACTTGACCCTCTTGGACTCGGTATCGTTGGCATACTCGACGCGGACGTATGCGTACTGCGCCTGGCTGTCGTCGAGGTTGCTCGCGAGCTCCGACAGCCCGCCCGTGCCCGTGCCCGTCAACTTCAGCTTGTCGCCCACGGCGCCCGCGTACGAGATCAGGAGCCAGTTGGTCTCGTCCTTGTCCGAGCGCACGGCATCGTAAGCCGCGATGATCTCGGGCGCGTCGGCGCCGGACATTTTGAGCGGTGGGCAGGAGTGTTGATTTTTGGCTGCTTCGAGTGTGCTGGCGTGGCGTAAGCCAGTTGAGTTGTCTTCAGGCAAGTTGTTCGGTCGCAAGGTGAGCTCAGCCGCCTGGCATCTGAATGTCAGGAGAGTGTTTCGGCCTTCCGTGGATCGGTCTACCCGACCTGTCGCGAAAGGGACCTAGGGACCCCGTCTCCAACTTTGCTCATGCGAGTAATGGCGCAGTTGGCATCAGCTGCCCCGGGGCTTGTCTCAATAGACCAGCTGGAAAACTCAGGGGTAGGCCGGAGGCTAACCCCATACCTTATCCACGTTACAGTATCAAGTTAGTGTGGATTCAAGCTGAATTGATGTTGATGATGTTTGATGTCAGAAGCCACTGCATCCTTCTTCTTTTCTCATCTACACGAAACCCATTCCATGGTGCACTGTTGTCACTTTCGCAACGACCCCGTCGCTGAGACCTCAAGGGTCTGTCGGGAGTATCGCACGCGAAAGCCCGTGGCAAGTGGGACCACAGAAAGAAATCACCTTGACACAAGGGCATGAGTCAAACACGTTGTTGGTACATGTCTCTACTAGCCGTCTAGGCTCTTACTAACCTAGATTTGACATGACCGTGAACATGAGCGCGACGCGGGTATCCTGTAGGTCCAACGGTGAAAGCATTCCCAATCGTAGCACGTGTCGATTTTCACCATCGACAGGTGGTTTGTGGACCGGGGAGAGACTTATCGTTGCATGACGTATTCGCCTCAAAAGGCAAGACTGCTCCGGCCTGGTAGCCTATGAGCACGTCTGCCGTACTGCCGTTCCGATGTTGGGGTACCTAGGTAAGACGGTAATGCCGGCCCCTGTTGCTGACTAGCGATGACCGACGTTCACGAGCTACGGGAAGTGTGCGAAAGGGGTTGTCGGGCTGTGGGGATGGGGGCGTTGCTCCACCCTCCACGGGTAGTTATCCTGGTTCTGGGGATCTTGAAGAGCTGCAAGCTGCAAAAGCGAGCGAGGAGCTGCTTTGGAGCTTGTAGAAGCAGAGGCTTACTGCTACACAGTATAAGGCTTTGTCAATCCGTGTGTGCTGGGTATGGGACCATCCCCCTTTATCGAATCTTCACGTTGCAAATCAAACGCTTCCCGCAACAAAGATGCTGTTTCGGCGATCACGTACCGATCAATCTACCGACGCTTCCCCGGCCCCTGGTGGAGCAGGCATACGGTGATAGACCCGAATGTATCCTTGCAATCACCGTCTTGTTGTCACCGTAGCATTGCTTAATTACCTGGATCGGCTTCGCCTTGCATAAGAAAAGATCATGCCGCCTCGCCAAGTCCGGCTTGAGGGCTTCGCTGCTTTGCGAAAGCAGCTGAGCTTCAACCCTTTGGCGCAAGTTCTACTCTATCGTCTCGTGAACCGTTCTGCCCAAGATGCCTGATCGCTTGTCTTGGGGCCTTGGTGCCCTTCAGACTCTATTGGCAGTCTCAACTGTCTATGCTATCGACTGTACACCTGAGTCTTTCTCGACCATTATCGAAAGTAACCCAGACGCAACTGTCAATTACGCCTATGCAGTTCCACAAAACGGCTCATTCGGTGTCCCGTCTTTGGCGTTCCCTACCAACGCTACAAATCTGCCAGCCCTCTGTGCTGTTGGTATCAACGTGAAGTCTTCAGCGAACACGTCTTACAACTTCGGTTTGTTCCTCCCGGACACAATATGGAACGAGAGGTTTTTGGCCACGGGCAATGGCGGCTACGGTGGTGGCATCAACTGGTGATTTCATATTCCTCATTGCCCAATGTCTCTGGTATGACAGTCCCTAACTGTTGCGATCAGGCCTGATATGGGAATCTTTTCTCATTATGGCTTTGCCACCATGTCAACAGACACCGGTCATAATGCATCGGCTATCAGTGATGGATCATGGGGGCTTAACAACCCCGAAACATTGATCGACTGGGGATATCGCGCGATGCATGGCTCAGTTGCGCTGTCAAAGTCCATTGTCACCACATACTACAGCATTTCGGAGGGCATCAAGTATTCCTACTACGCCAGTTGTTCTACTGGCGGACGTCAGGGATTGAGAGATGTTCAACTGTACCCTGATGATTTTGACGGCATTTCAGTGGGAGCACCAGGTGAGTTAATCGCTCATGTTCTGTGCTGTATCGCGGCTTGAAACTGATCTTTCCACAGCGTGGTGGTCAACTCATCTTGCTTCTGCAACATTGAAGCAAGGCTTGTACAACTATCCCACAGGCACTCCAAAATACATCGATCCTTCGTTGTTCTCTACCATCAAGGCAGAGATGACCAAGCAGTGTGACGCGCAAGATGGATTAGTTGACGGGGTCGTGTCAGATCCATTTGGCTGCGACTTCAATTATCAGGAACTTCTCTGTACCTCGAGCAACTCTACAAACTGCCTGACGCCTGTTCAACTCCAAACAGTCTATCAGTCGTTTAACGATTGGGTCGATGTGAATCAAACCTTCGTGTTTCCTGGCCTCACGCTTGGCACTGACCCTGGCTTTATGTTGGGCGGCGTTTCTCCACTTGGTTATGGCTATTTCCAGAGCTGGGTGTATAACGATACGACGTGGGATTATACTCAGTTCACGTATGCCGATGTCCAGAAAGCTGATGAAATCGACCCTGGTAATGCTACCGCCGACGCCTTCGATATGACACCGTACATGGACCGGGGTGGTAAAATCCTCATGTATCATGGAACCGCCGACTCTCTCATTCCGACGGGAAGCAGCAAAGTGTTTTATAATAGGGTCACCGAGACTCTAGCACCCCATGGAGTCGAATTGGATGACTTTTACCGCTTTTTCCTCGTTCCCGGAATGCAGCACTGTTCTACCTCCGACGTGGCTCCGTGGTACGTTGCCGGGGGAAGTCAGCAGATCGAGGGCATCACACATTCCGTTCCAGGTTATGAGGATGCCGACCACGACATTATTCTGGCTTTAATGAAGTGGGTCGAGGGTAGCACGGCACCGGAGAAGCTTATCGCAACCAAGTATGTCAATGACACCTTCGAGCTGGGGCTTGAGAGTCAGCGACCTATTTGCGTTTACCCAAAGCAACCACAGTACATTGGGTCTGGAGATGTCAATGCACCCGATAACTGGGAATGTAAGAGAATTTACTAGCTACGTATAGTTACGAGGAATGAATAGTCCGAGACGTAGCATGCAGTTGTTACGTTCCTCTATGGTACCGCATGTGAGTGGCTACAGGAACTTCATACGCACAGCTTCTATTCCACTTTGAATTCTCACTCCTTCGCGAGTATTGGCCAAGCCTCCAGAAGATCGCCGCACTTGATGTACGCTTGAGTATAGTCACTGGACTCTGAGATGGTGAACCTCTTTCAAGTGACGAATACCTACTGCCGTCCCCCCAGGTATGAGCGTCATGCATGTCTCCTTCAATCCCTTCTGCTGCTGTTACTTCAAGCCGATATTCCAGAGACCAAACCTGTCGATATTGTGTGTAAAGTACCTGTCAGGAGACTGGGACAGGCCTAGTGGTTCAACCACCCTGCCCTGAGCGGGCTGACAGAGCCGGCTTTCGATGCGCGCGGACTTGAGCTCCTTAAAAGGCTAAATCACTTTCCGGGATGTGTTCCGTAACAATGATTTCATCTTGTCAGGCATGTAGACTTAACCGACCAGATTTTTATCGAACTGGACATATAGTGATTTGAAGCGCAGAATTCCTGTTTGATGTGCTCTATTCACGTCCGTTAACCCATTAGCTGGACACAGAGAAGTATAAAGTTTGCAAGACATCCAATTACCCCTACATGCCAAGTAGAACAGTGTCTAAGCTACAGATTTTCTAAACCTTGAGTATCCAGGCAGCCTTGATCCCTTCAGCTTTTCATTGGTGAGGAGAGCCTAAACGCACGTTCGTGGGTTGCGTCCTCCACATGTTAGCTATGTGGATACCAGTCCGATACAGCCAACCTCAAGCTCGAAAACGCAGGTCTCTTAAACCAAGTTTTTACAGTCTAATCAGCGGAATAGGTCGAGCGTCTATGCAACGTTGTTTGGTGGTAATACGCCAGAATGCCTTGTGATCAAGGACGGGCCCATTCAACCTTTTACCCCCAGTCATACAAACGGGTAAAAGTATTCTATTGTTTTTTCCCACATTTGATTCACCTCAGATTGTACCAGGTGGTGTATGTACTCTTAGTGTTGACTAAGAGTATTCAGATCTAGCATTAAGGATCTGCCAGCAGCAGGGAGGGCTAGTAACAACTAGGGAAAGCGGTACGTGACGGTCACGATTTATGGGTCAATTAAATGAGGTGTAAGAAGCATGAATTGCGTCCGCTCTTATCTGTCGATGCCCCTCAGATATATCTCAAAGTATTCAGACAATTCTACGGTGCAGCTACCGGTGCAACAAATGCTGGGATGTGGTCGGAGATGTTGGTACCAAAAGTCCTAAATATCGATTGCGGGGAACTCTCGACCGTGAGTCGCAACCCGTATGCGGTTGAGACTACACGCACCAATCCCATGACAGCACGTGAAACATTCCTTTGCGATAATATGTCAGCTATTGGCCAAACCACAATCCTTGTTGTTACCTGTGAAGCCTTACGGTGGGTTTGACGTCACCTTTTTATACCTTTGGCCCATTTGAACCACACGACCTTGGCGACCCGAACGGGAGGATCTCAAACCCTGGCTCCACTGAGGTCATCCACAACTGGAAAGCTTTGTTCATTCCATATTGTCGGAAGCTAATATTAAATCTGATAGGTTAGAGAGGCAGCTGTGTGTGCTCCAAAACCGCCACTTTGGCCAGAGAGTAATGCTTGTAGATACCAGCCCCAAGGCCGCGCGACATGATCGTCGTACCGCATGAGAGGGGCAGGATTTTGATCAACGACGATTGAACTCACCTGTGCGACATTGAGATGGCGTGGCTTCGCGTGATCCAAAAAGCTTGTTCTCGCACTAATTTCTGGGCATTTACGAAGCCAAGCCCTTCTTTATGACCCTCGACGTGGTATACCGCAAGCCGAATTTGTGACTTAGTATGGCCACAACGCAAGACTCAAAGGTAAAAGATACGCCAAAAGCAGAACATGAGTACATCGAAAGCGCACCACCGGGGGGTTCTCCAGTTGAGCCAAACATTGGGGAGAAGGCAGCTCACCGGCCTGGAAGCAAGCGAGAACTCAAGGAAACTGACGAATATGCTCACTTGGGTTACAGCTATCCAACCTGGAGAAAGTGGTGAGCTAGCCTCGCAAACTTTCACTACACATGATTTTGTCTGTAGTTGATATAGTACTAACGGTCGAACGAAAGTAGGCAAATACTGATTGTTATGTTCCTTATCCAAATTTCCATCAACCTGAACGCAAGTTTATATGCCAATGCGGTCGATCATGTCTCCAAGAAGTTCGAGATCAGCAAACAAGCCGCCCGGATTCCGCAGCTCACATTTCTCTGCGCTTACGCCTTCGGGTGTGAGCTATGGGCGCCGTGGAGTGAGGAGCTTGGAAGATGGCCGACCCAACAACTCAGCCTTCTTCTTGTCAATATCTGGCAGTTTCCATGCGCATATGCTCCAAATTATGCAACGTTGGTGATCTGCCGGCTCCTTGGGGGGCTTTCCACCGCAGGTGGCTCAGTCACTCTTGGGGTTTTGGCTGATATGTGGGAACCTGACGACCAGGAATATGCCATCGCCTTCTTAGTTCTGTCGTCCGTTGGGGGTTCTGTAGTGGGGGCTGTTGTTGGTGGGTTTGTCGAAACATCGAAACCCTTACCGTGGATATTCTACACGCAACTAATAGCTGGAGCTGCCGTTCAATGTATGCACTTCTTCCTCGTTCCCGAAACTCGCTCCACAATCATCCTCAATCGCATAGCAAAGAAGCGAAGAAAGGCAGGCGAAGAAGTATATGGCCCTAACGAAGTCAAAACCCAGCGAATGACATTCAAAGAGGTCATAATAATATGGAGTCGGCCCTTTTACATGTTGTTAACGGAGCCCATTATTGCGTGGTTGTCAGCTGTGAGCGGCTTTAGTGACAATCTGATATTCATTTTTCTCCAGGGTTTCCAACCGGTGTATAAGCAATGGGTGCGAATAATCCTTTCCTACGGTCCCCTCTCTGGCCTTCTCTGCTGATTGCATTTCCCTAGGGGTTTGACACTATCGGAATCAGCCTGGCATTTATTCCGTGAGTTTTTCCTCGTTATAAGATCTGGGGAACGACCAAACACTCAAAATATATTCAGACTGCTCATCGGGTACTTTCTGGCCTACTTGTCTTTCCTTCCGTCAATCCACATGTTCCGGCAGAAGAGGCGGAAACACGGCTCTGAGTCTGTTACACCCGAAGCCCGTTTATGGTGGCTGAAATATGGTCAGTCAAACCAAAACTTTCTCTCGAATTATAACTAAGCCTGCCACTGAAGTTATCCTTCTGGAGCCAATTGGTCTCATAGGCTTCGCATGGACATCGCTTGGACCACCTCGGGTACACTGGATAGCACCCATGATATTCTCTACTTTAGTTGGCATTGCCAACTACAGCATATACCAGTCCAGCATTGATTATACTGTTGCAGCTTACGGTGTATATGCTGCGAGCGCCACTGGTGGAAACGATTTCGCCCGAGATTTTCTTTCCGGTATTGCGGCTATATATTCCGGTCCCATGTACGAGAACATCGGCCGCGACTATCCGCTTGAATATGCAAGTACAATACTTGCCATCATCGCCGTTTTTGTTACAGCCCCGGTTTTTTTCTTCTATAAACATGGGCCTGAGATTCGGAGTAAGTAAATACCTAATCTCCTTGGTATTCTAGCTACTGTCGGAGTTCCACGGTCAAGAATTTTTTCAGACCGGTCCGAATCGATGCTCTTGATGGCTGACCCGGACATAAAGTGCGTAGTAAATTTGCTTCTGAAATCGCAAAGGCAAGATCGGAAGGCAGAGGTGGACGCCCGAAGAATGAGGGCGAGAAACCAGATTTACCAGGTCATGAACAGGTCTGAGGCAAGAGCCTCAAACTAAAAGAACGATGGAACCTGAATGAATATTTGTGATTAAACTCAAAACTCTTCCTTTCATATGCCACTAGATGTACCATGCAATGTCCTAAGGTGTGTGAAATCAGAGCGTGCTAAAAGCTCCACGCAGTATATGTATTGTTTCTGAAATAGACCAAGAAGTCGTCGTCTCCCACTAACCTCCATGCCTCCAATCCTGGCTGATCGGTGCCTGAATCGAGCGATCTCTGCCTGCGCACGGGATTTTCAGCATACGCCTGATTAACATCGAAGAGGTACTCCAGGGAGTCATATATTGGATGGTGAGTTTGCCCCCCGATCTCGAATCGCAGCATGTCGGATTTCATGGTAATCCTATGCCGTCTCGTCAAATTACCTTGGTCAATGCGCTTTGGGTGTGACGTTGTGTATACGGGAATAATGACGAGATTCCTCAGGTCAGCATTTCTGGTAAACTCAGACAATGAGCTGAGCATGCGAATATTAGATCCTTGGAAGCAGCCAACACTGATCAGTCTTTGATTCCAGATATGAAACGTCTTAGGGTCCGAGCCTGGGAGTGGATGATGATGGAAGACTCGGAATTTCCTTGTATAGACGTTGAAACAGACTGAGACCACAGTGACATATACTCGTGGATGCGATGTATCCCATTGACACTGGCAGTTCACGGCATTGCATAAGTCTTCATCTGGATCTCCATTCCTCGCTTCGGGGTGTTCGAGGTAGATCGAAAGTAAGTTGTATCCTCCACAAGAATCTATTTTCTCCCAGCGCAGTTGTCCACTGTATATCAGTGCCCGACTCGACAGCAAATCCTCTTCTAAGCGATGGGAGGTGGAGAATTTCCGATCTTCGAACTCGTGGACGAACAGGTTTCCGTGTTCTAATGTCACGACAAAGAAAGCGTCGGCTTTACTCGGGTGGATGATGAAGTCAATGGGCGTGTTTGTGCGCTGTAAACGAATCCCGACGCGGTGTGTTCCTAGCAAATGTGAAGAGAAATCGCCAGAGTTATTCCAGCTCACTGGCCCATATTTGTAGACTGGTGTCATGTCAACCAGCTGCAAATTCTCCCCAAATTTCCAAAGATAGACGATGGCATTCTTGGCGACCACAAGTACAACCTCGCCTTCGATGACACATCTCTCGACTCGAAGTGGTACGTCAAGAGACTGGAGTGTGTCCCGCTCGAGGTGCCATGCATGCAGTATAAAGTGCTTTCCCATTACGAAGAGTTTGTCACTCATGGCGGTCTTGAAACCTTGTTGTTGTTCTTTGTGGTCGGGAAATGAAAATATCCTTCGCCTCTTGGTACGCAGATCATCGACCACGGCAAGGTAAGGAAGAGCATACGACTCTGGCCACCAAGCTATGCGGCCGCTGTTATATAACCTGAATGTAGCAAAGTGGCCGTCGGAATCACGAGCATCGTTATTCGAATGAACACCTCCCTGCTCGGGAGGCAATTTCTTGTTGACCTTGAAATAATTATCCGATTCAAGCAGCATCCCATGATAAAGGGCACTCGAGAAGCGGCCCTTGATGCGGCGTTGATGTTTGGTCAAGGCGATGCGGAATGATTCGCCCGCGTCTTGCTCCTCGGTTGTAGTGGAGTAGATGTGCTCCGAAAGCCCGTGGAACCAGCGATCTGCCAGTCTTGGCCATATCTCATCGCTGAGCCAAATCCATCGCCACATGCGGCATACGTTGAGGGCCGCCGCTACGTCGTCGGGCCCCAGGTACCCGAGAACCAAAAGATGCAACTCAACCGGCAGGCAGCTGAGGCCATCGCGCGCGCGACCGAAGGTCGGCGAGGCGGCCATAATCCGGCGCAGCCTGGAGACAATCGATTTCATTGACATTCTGAGCGAGATGGGTGCCTGCTGTCGCATGCAGAGTCGATCCACAAGCGATGTCCGACAAAAGCGTTCATCGCTCAGGCTGACGCCGGAGACACAGCCCCTCGTGTCATATTCGCCAGAACAAGCCTAGCCCACGTGGGTCCTAACGCTTAAGCCTTTAAATGGGGCCACCATATAAACCGAGCCCTTTAAGTTCCGCGTTAAAGATATAGAAACATTCAACACGAATATTAATATCGTATTAATATAAGAGAGCTTTAAAAACGACCTTTTTGTCGGGGCATCGCAAGCGAATTGAGCCTCCGTTACAAATCCTATCACATTGCGAAATTTTAAACTGGAGAGGAGAGGAAAGAAGAGCTCCTTTTACAACTGTGGCGTTTGCCATTTTATACGCAAGGGGGACCGCCCCTCACCTCTCGTGCAGCACCATAGCAACCACTTGCATCAGCCAGTCCATACCACTTCCTATGTCGATAGTTAAAAGCGGCGTGACATCCTTACACTGGTGTTTACCACCATATTAACCACTCGAACAGAGTGATCCAATCGCAAATACTTTACTTGCTACCACCACCTTCGATGTTACCATCTGGATCTTGTATGACAGTTCCCGTGCACTACGCAAATTGTCTAAATAGTTGGAAGCAACCCAGCCCAGAATTTCTCCATTAAACGGTTCCCAAATCTCATGCCGGAGAACGCTCTCCTCTCCCCTCGGTTGGCCATCATATCATCCCGCAACAGAACAGATGCTGCAGATAACATATATTAAACTCGTACTAAACAAGCCAAAGATTGCAAGATCCATTGTTAGGGGAGTCCAAATGATCACAGACCCCACCTCTAAAGAGCTTTACCTGCGGCCGCTGAGAACAGTACCGTTATGGAGGGGCAACGGTAGAAATTCGGTTCAGTATACTCTCTTGGTCCTTTTCTGGGGAAAGAGGGCAAGATTCAATGTTTTAGACTTGACTCCATGCCAAGGATTCTATAATTGTACTTGACCTAACCCTGTGGTGGCAGGTGCTTCAAAGCCCAGTTTTACTAGAGCGCTTGCTAAATGTTCGAATCTATTTCCAAGTTGGGGCCGTTCGGCAAGCCCAAAAGTCGAACACAACAGACAGACTCTAGAGATTATTTTCTATTCTACGGTACAAATTAGCCTGGCAATCCTAAGGAAGACTACAATACAAGCGAAGAACTTGGACGATGGCACGGAAACTTCTGAAATAAGATATATAACGGCAGACAGAAAGTGCACGAAGCATCCCACTGACAAAACCCTTTTCTCGGCTTCGGTTCCAACACAAATAACTTCCCTTGCTTATTCAGGAGCGGAGTGTCTGGTTTCTTCAAGGTCTGTTGCTAGATAATCTCCTTAATGAGTATGCCATGATGTCAAGAGTGTCCAGTATTCCTGAGATGCAAAAATGTCACGAATACGAACAGGACCCGAGGATACAGAGCTAAGGAGCTTATCTTATTTTTTTTCTCTTTGGCGAGGTGGACTAGTATCTCCTTTGGGCAAAAAGCCGATGTGGTAGTAAGCGTGATGGAGCAGGAGTGGCTTGAGAGACACCTCAGACTTGAAGCATATTACCCAAAGTCTTCATAGCTGAAATGCTATCAATTACTTCTTGTTTTAAAGCCACGGTATGTCTCACTACTAGTAGCCTGTGTATGTATGCAAATCCTGAAATCAATCTAGAGGACAGCCTTTGCTGGTCTCCAGCTACGGCATGAGATTACTGGGGCTTTGCTCCAACTTAGCGAGCCAGTAGATTGAGTGATTCCATAAAATAAGGCACTTGTCCCACATGGCCAGCAAGGCTTATACATAGTTCCTTGACACGCCTCAAAAAATAATCACCTGTCTTAGCTTTCGCGGCCTTTCTGCTGGATCCCGCCATGGGCCAGTCGAGCATATCGGTCTCTTTCGCGACGCAGTCACCTTCCGCAATAATTACAGTGACGTAAGTGCTTATAAAGCCCAACTGTATTGATGGCTCGGCATTGTAGAAGTCATTTCCGATTCGGCCCCCAAAAATCAGAATTCTCACTCCTACATCTCGTCTCCGCACTCGATACCTCTCATCCAATCACGGCGCACTGGTTTAGGCATAAGTCGATCAATACCCCAGCTGTGCAAATATCAAGACTATCAGCCCTACGATATTATGCATAAGCTAGGTCAGGCAGAAGCCAGGGAAGAAAGTTTCAAGACAGGATGACAGCCAGCTGATCGGCCAGCGTCGGTCCATTGGCGACGTCAGCACGCAGCACCTACGAAGGGTCCCCTTGTGCATGGTGAATTACTGCTGTATGATGCAATTGCAATCTTCCCACTGCCATGCGGTTGTTGCCTTGGCTGTTTTAGAGCTTGCATATATTAATGCCCTCCTCTCGAACCCAAAGGTCGATTCCAGTAGTTTCAACGAGTGGCGCCGATTGTAACAGTATTAACAAGGTTTAACCTTCGCACAAACACGCGACTAACCATGGCTCCCAAACGAAAGACACGAAGCGCTGGAGGATCCAATGGACTCAAGAAGCAGAAGACAAACAAAGGTGCAAAACCAACGCAGCCCCAAATACCTGTCGACGAAGGGTTTGAGGAAGGCGGTAAGCGCAACAGCAGCCCCTCTTACCTAACAGTATGAGCTGACAGATTGCTAGGTAAAGTACATATTCACGCCGATACCAACGGAACCATATGGGATGCATCCCTCAATCTGAGCAACGTGTCTGGAAACAACAACAAGGTATTATTCTTCATTCCTCCACTGAACTTACGTGTTGACTCGACCAATGCAGTTCTACATGCTGCAGCTCCTTGTTGATGACAAGGAGGACACATATTATGCACACGCGAGATGGGGAAGGTATGTCCAATTTCCATACTTGATGGCCCTATTTCGCGTTTGAAAAGAGCACCATGCTCACGGCAATTCTTAGAGTTGGCGAGACTGGACAGATCAAGACTGTAGACTTTGATGATCTAGACGACGCTAAGGCGGAGTTTGGCAAGCGTTTCAAGAGTAAAACTGGGTTGGATTGGGAGAACCGCACTGGCGAGCCGAAAACAAACAAGTACACGTTCGTTGAACGAGCCTATGAGAACGACGGTGATAGTGACGACAATGGAGGCGGACCGCGAAACTGCGGTGCCAAGCAAGCCAAAAGTGAGCTTGACATGCCAACGCAGAGGCTCATGGAATTGATCTTCAAGTAAGGCTCTCCGATCTGTCGAGGGTGCAGCTTGGCTGACGTTGCACAGCGAGAATCACTTCAACTCCGTACTAGAGGAGATTGGCTACAACGCCGACAAACTGCCTCTTGGAAAACTCGGGAAGTCGACCCTGAAGAAGGGCTTCGAGGAACTGAAGGAACTTGCCAGCTTGATCAAGCACCCAAGCCTCGCACAGAACAAGTATAGCCGAGATCGTGATGAGGTATGGAATGCTGCTACTTTCGATCGTCTTGACAGGCCATGAGTATGCTAAATCCTGAACAGGTGATTGAAGAATGGACAAACAAGTACTATTCGACCATTCCGCATGCGTTCGGTCGGAATCGCCCACCAATGATCGACAATGACGATATCCTGCGCAAAGAAGTGGCAATGCTGGACACTCTCACCGACATGGAGGTCGCGAACACAATCATGCGGGCGAATGATAAGTCCAAGGACTCTGCATCGGTGAACCTTCTCGATTCCCATTTTAAGGGACTTGGTATGAAGGAATTCACCCCTCTGGAGCGCAAATCAGACGAGTACAAGCAGCTCTCCAAGTATCTCCTGGATTCAAGTGCAGCGAGCCACGGGCTGAAATACCGGCTGCAGGACATCTTCCGCATAGAACGTCCTGGCGAGCATGATAGGTTTGAGAAGAGCACGAAGGAGCTGAAGGACTCCAGCCGGTTGCTGTTGTGGCACGGCTCGCGGACTACGAATTTTGGTGGCATCCTTTCCCAAGGTCTGCGCATCGCACCGCCAGAAGCTCCTGCCAACGGCTATGCCTTCGGAAAGGGCGTCTACCTGGCAGACCTGTCCTCCAAGTCGGCCAACTATTGCGTGGCCTCGATGAGCGGTGGCGTTGGCTTGCTGCTCCTGGTAGAAGCAGAACTCAGCAACCCCATGTATGAAATCGACTCGGGAGACTTCAACGCAGCCGAGCTGGCGAAGAAGAAGAATTGTATCGCTACCAAAGGAGTCGGAAAACTGGGGTACAACAAGTGGAAGGACGCAGGATCAGTGCACGCAGCCTTGAAGGGTGTGAAAATGGTGAGTCCCTCAACCCCTCTGTTTCTTGAGCCAAATGGCAATGAGCCACCCTGAGAAGAGGAGGCTGACTGAACTGCACAGCCTGACGGCAAGCCGGGTAGCAACCCAAACCATAAAGGGGGATATCTCCAATACAACGAGTATATCTCCTACAACGTGGAGCACCTGAAGCTGAGATATCTGTTCAAGGTTGCAATGTAGTCGGTTAAGTAGGTAGAAAATCGATGTTCCATATTTTAGTCTTGCCTTGGAATATTCTCTCCACGATACCAGAATTCGTCGTGGCCGTGATACACCGTAGCTTGTTCAGGTCTAACCTCCCGCGTCCGTCTGGCCGCGGTAGTTCTCCCGTCCGTCGGCGTCTCGTTACTACAACCCAGAAACCATCAGCTGACAGCCTACGCGAGGACGAATAAGAGGCGGCTAGCGTTCCAGCTCCCCCGAAGTTGGGGCGTCACGTTGCCTTGGGGTTGGTCTCGCCTGCTCGGTGAAGCACGCGGTCAGAGAAACAAATGAATACGAGGAGTGGGTTTGTTCAATGACCGGATTCCCATGCCCAATTCCTCTGAGGATGTGTCGCAACTCACGTCACGAAGCAGACGGCGAGTGATCTCGGGAATGGAAATAGCCCACGTGTAGTTCAAGACTTTTCTTCTGTTAAAACGACGGCGAGAACCTCGTTCAGGTGGAAAGTCATCCCGAAAGCCCCTTGCGCTCCATGCCCGGAGCGTGGCGGCCAGATGCCCGTGGTCAGGTGGTCGGGTGGTGAGTGAGGGAGCGGTACTGTACTGTAGCTGTACCTAGATAGGCGCTTTGGCGGGCTTAGTGGACCTCGTCGGCGCAGCACCAAGCGCCGTGGCCGCCGGGCCGCCCTAGCAATCGGCGCCCCGCGCCCAAGCTCTTCGCTAACTCACATCCTTGACGGCTGGCAATTACGAGGCTGAACTGCGCTTCGTGAACCGATCCCTCTCAACGTTGAGCTGATCCTCAACTTCCCTCGTCAGCCTCGCCCATCACCACACCAACACCAGTCTCCTCCAGCATCTTCGCATCTCGATCAGCAACTCGTTCGCCATCCAAGCGTACGGTGTACGCGACGTCATCTCCGTACGAGCAAGCCGCTCCATCGACACCCCATCCTCCTCCGACCCCATGGCTTCAAGCAACGCAACGCGCGCCGCAGCGCCGCAGGACGCCCCCTCCAAGTCCAAGGAGCCTGCCTTGTTCTGGAATCCCGAGAACGTGAAGGATGTCGCCGAATCGCTGGGAATAGGCAACCTGGGTGATGAGCAGCTGCGTACCATGGCCCAGGAAGTTGAGTATCGCATCGGACAGGTTATCCTCACGGCGCTCCGACACATGCGACAGGCCAGCCGCCCAAACATGACCACGGAGGATGTCGACCGCGCGCTGCAGGAGCTCGATGTCGAGCCGCTCTACGGGTACGACAGCACTCGACCCCTCCGATACGGCGAGGCAAGCCTGGGGCCCGGTCAGCCCTTGTTCTACATGGAGGACGAGGAGATGGACTTCGAGAAGATGATCAACATTCCCCTGCCCAAGGTGCCCAGGGACTCGACCTTCACTGGTGAGTTTGCTCCTTCCCTCGGATGCGCCGCCTCTCGGCGAACCCCTCTATCCTCACACCGAACCCCAATGCTAACCACCACCCGTCCTGAAGGTCACTGGCTGGCCATAGAAGGCAGCCAACCAGCGATCCCCCAGAACCCGACCACCTCCGAGGCCCGCTCGCAAGAGCTTCTTCCAAAGGGCCCTGGTGCGAACCCTGCTCTGCCCGCACTTGCTGGCAACCAGGGCGCCAGCTTCCGGCCCGCCGTGAAGCACATTATCAGCCAAGAACTCACCATGTACTTCGGAAAAGTTCAAGCTGCTCTCCTGGACGACAACCCCGAGCCTTCGGTCCAAGATCTGCGAAACGCTGCCCTGGAGTCCATCAGGTCCGACCCGGGCATCCATCAACTCATTCCCTACTTTGTGAACTTCATCTCTCACGAAGTCACTCATCACATGGACGACATCTTTGTTCTCCGGCGCATGATGGAGTTGACCGACGCCTTGGTCGACAACCCCGAGATGTTTCTCGATCCCTACGCCAGCTCTCTCTCTGCGGCAGTCCTCACTTGCCTCTTGGGACGCAAGCTCGGCACCGAGAATGGCACAGACGCCTTGAAGGAGCAGTACCAGCTCCGGGAGTTTGCTGCTAGCCTGGTTGGCCGCATCTGCCAGAAGTACGCTGCCTCCAACAAGATGCTCCGCCCCAAGATCACGCGAACCTGTCTCAAGCATTTCCTCGACTTCAACATGCCCCCGGCGGTCTGGTACAGCTCCATCCTCGGCCTCGCAGCCTCTGGCGGCGCTGAAGCAGTCAGGATCCTCGTGCTGCCTAATCTGAAAAACTTCTCGGAGGGCATGCTCCAGAAGCTCAAGGAAGGCGGCTCGGAGGGCAATCGCATCGAGTTCGAAGCCATTATGGGAGCCATCATCAAGGCTGTCCGTACGCTGGCACCAGAACAGGATCTCCACATGACGAACGGGGTCAATGGCGTGAGCGAACGGGAGACCACCGAGCTCAAGGACTTCGTCGGAGAGATCATTGCAGAGAGGCTCGTGAGACTGAGCGACCACCGTCTTATCCAGTTATTCCTAGACGCACGAGCATTCGCATCCCACTAGAAGTCGGCCGCACGCGCCTTCGGGTTTCTCTAGGTGACTGTACGCGTTAGTTGGGCACCAAGCTTGGGGCCAACGCAGTGCGCAGGAAGGGGGAGGTTTCTTGCAGGTGAAGGGCTGTTCGCGTTGGCGTTGTTCAGGCGTTTCTTCTTTATACCCCAGGCCAACATTGCATAGGCGTAGGCGAACGGCGTTTTCGGTCGAGGAAGACGGAGGGATGGACAGGAAAATAGGTTCATGTCTCTGCATTTGGATTGCCACAGTACATGGTGGACACAGCGGTCTCAGCCATGCGGTTTGTGTTGCTAGTTCGGACAGAAAACATGCAGGTCACGGTAGCTAGAAGTAGTGACACCAAAACATATGGTCAGAATTGTGCCTCTTGAACGCGGCCAACGCGGTCTTCGTGTTGTCTCCCAGGCGACTGCATCATCGCACCTGGGCAGCTTGGAGAATGCGAGAGCCCTGAACCCCGTGACAACTAAAGAGGCATTCCAGACTTTGAACCTTTTACAGGTCGCCTGGGTGACGATTAAGGTCAGTGCATGTCGTTCCTTGGCAGAATGACTGTAGATGAAGGATTCAGCGGTGCTCATACATCTATCTCGCCAGTAGCTCTTGGGAGGTGGGCATCGTATGGGCTAGAATCTGCCTGTCCGACGGGGGCATGCACACCGTAAGACAGGCATGCTATGAGATACCGTTACGACCTGTCTCTCCACGGCTACTTGTTCTAGTCAAGACCCGCCGCGTTGGGTGGGAGCCACTTGGTTGAGCAATTCCGAAGCGCAGTCACATGTTCAGTATCTTGGGCAACGGTGTGAACGAACATGGCATTGCTTGCCAATCATACAAATCTACAATATGTACAGCCTAGCCGCCAGCCCAGCGTGACCAAACTCCTCCCCGTCCTTACTACCCACTCTCGGCAGCTCCAGGTACAGGGAATCTACCAGGAAGAGCATGCTTGGTGTATCATGTCTTGCCCTCAAGCGAACGTGCTCCCCTAGCCCCTCCCTCTCACTTCCTTGTCCTCGCGATACCATTTACCAGTAGAAAGCCAGACCCAACGCAGCTACCAAGCTGCTAGCCCAGATGGCGTTGCTCACCGTCTTGATGGTGGACTTGCTGAAGCCCTTGGCGAAGTCATAAGTGAGATGTCTGATGCCGTTGATGCTGTGGAAGGTAAAGGGCCAGGCGAGAAGGAACTTGAGACCGCCCTTGACGGCGACAGGCAGAGCGCCGAAGGCGGCGGCCAGCGAGGCCGACTCGAGGTGCCAGCCCATCAGGGGGGCGACCAGGTAGGAGGCGGCGAAGACGTACAGACCACCGGAGAAGATGGAGCCCGTGATACGCGTCCAGACGGAGGCGCCGAACCACGTCTGGCTGTAGTCGTAGATCTGCAGATGGGGCGACACGGGGCGGCTCTTGCGCTGGGTGGCCAGGAGGCTCTGGGCATCGGACTCGCTGTACTTGGTCGTGGTTACGGGCCTGCAGCAGGAGCAGTTAGCTAGGGCCTCCCGTGTTGCTTCCGCGTCGGGGCGTCCGCGAGGGCCGTCGGTCAGTTACCTAGTCTGCATGCCCAGTGCCAGGCGAGGCAGGTTCTGGGAAAAGAAGGCGGCATTGGGCTTCTTTGCGGCTGGAGTAGAAATAGACGTTAGCGCTCTGTGCATTACGTGGGTTGCTCCCGGAGAGCCCTCGCGGCGTCTGCTGGCGTCTCAGTGAAGTGTCGATGCTCTCCTGATCGCCCCATTCGCATCGCCTCCTCTGGCTGCTCGCCCAAGTCAGACGGACCGTCTTCGCATGGCGAGACTCCAAGTCGAAACCCACGTCGACCAAACCCCGTCGTCGCCAGCCGCAACCTCCCAATTGACCCAGAAAAGGAGATCAGACTCACCCTGGCGCAAGGCCGAGACACCGACGCGTGATGAGATCATGGTGAAGAGGGTTGGACCAACAGCTACCGTCTCCGCAGGGTCGTCGCTCGTCGCTGGATGTTGGAAGACGTCGCTGCGACCAAGGCACCACGGGCCCTGTCCTCTCGAAGCACCGGAATTCGGTTCCTCGGTAAATGCCTTGGCCAATGAGCGGCCGCCCAAAGTCAGCCTCAACCCGGGCGTCCCCAAGCCTCCCCGCCACATCTCTGCTGCCCGCGTGTGGCTTGGGCTTGGGCCCAAAGGCCCCACCAGCCGTCCCAGACCAGCGAAGCTCAAATACAAAATTCGTTCGGCGCCGGTTTTCCTCTCCTCTCTTTTCCCTTTCCTCTCCAGATAGCACGGGCAGCCCGGCCATGCGACGCCCGCTCGATGGGCGTCGCGCCTTGGTCGCCTACTCACGGTTGCTTGGAGAGTAAACATATCTTGGGAAAGATGGATCCTTCGTTAATCTCGGTGCCGAGTATCCCCCGTCTCGGTCTCGTTTCATTCTGCGATCTACATTTCGTTGCTCTTGATTGATATACGCGTTTGCCCATGTGTGTGTGTGTGTGTGTGTGTACGCAGCTGTGTAGTGTAGGCAGGGCAATCGTAACCTCTGGTGCATGACCTGCCCTGGCGCGCAAGCCGTTCGCTGCTGCTGGTCCAACATCTGAAACGATGTTCACCTTTCCCTTTGGCTCGCACTGCGCCAGCATGCTTGCTTGCCCAGCATTCATACAGTGTGGGCGGCCTTTCTACAGTACATCCGTTGGTTCGAGAGGAGGACCACGTCCCATGGATGAACTACTTGTGCAACGTCGTGACTTGTGGACAGAGGACCAAGACGCTTGTGATATGAGAACGACCCCGTTCCCAGGTTTCTGGTGGAAGGGGCCAGATCACATGAATCGCTTTGGAGAAATTGGTGCCCAGTTTCGGAATGCAGCTCTGATATCAGGGAGACAAGGTTGGTGGTAGACTCGGATGGCACCTAAAAACATCGTAGCAGCACACATCAGCAACCTAATGACACCCATTGGCCCCCCTTTCAAGACATTTTACAAAGCGATCGACCAAGACAAGCCCACATTCCTATCCAAATGGTTGTCAAGAATTGGAACAATCGGCAGATAAGAGAGGCAGTCGGAATATCGGATGCATTACACATTTACAAACAGGCTGCCTTACTGATATTATTGTTCTACAATGGAAAGTGCTTCTTTCCCGCCACCAAGTATTGATGCCCCGGCTCTGATAAGCACCCAACGCTGTATCATTATGCCTTACCTGTCTTGAAAGTCGAGCTGCATATTTCGCCCATACATGAAGAAGCCAACACGATAAATGCCCTGACAGAGAGCCCGCGGCACCTTAATCCGAACTATGGGACCGATGTTGAGAAACCTGGCAGACTACTTACTGGACACAAAACTTCTTCCGGTTCATCAAACATTTGCACTCTTAAGTTGGGGATTCATCAGGTTTGGTAGGTTCTATACTAGACTTGATGGAGAACAAAAGAAGAAAAATGTTTCGAAATTCAAATGACTGGATGGCTAGGTCCTGACATTGGTGACATTACACTACTGGATGAGAACCATTTTCTTGAAGAGATACTGGGCCAGCAAGGTCGCTGTACGTATTGTGCGCACTGGAGAGCGGTACCCGTCAAGGGAGATCCCAGCAGCCAAACCAATGTACTATTAGCAGACCTGATTCTCCGTGTTGAACCTACAAGGGTCCCAGGTAAATGCTAGTGAATAGAGATCTCAGTCTCGGTTACGGCCTACGCCACGTCCACCCACACCGTGATGGACACGACATGTGGTCGACTCATTTTCAAATCCACTGGGCCGGCGACATGTGTTCGCGGAGGACCACCGTATGATTCAGGCAAGTCTAGACATCTGTAGCGATTCTCTTACATCTACACCTTTTTGGTCTACATCCATGACCTAACATGAAACATCGCTGCGTCCATGGTCCCGCTCGATTGCTAACCAACTACTCATCCCCGATCCTTGATTTACCTCTCCCGGCCGTAACTAGGCGGAGGAGTAGGCTTGTTGTCCAGAATCTTCTCAATCTCCTCCAAGATCTCGGGCGTCAGCTTGTCAGAGAGCGCAAGGGCCTTGATGTTGTCCTCGATCTGCTCAACCTTGGTGGCGCCCAGGATCACGGTACTGACGTTGGGGTTGCTAATGCACCAAGCCAGCGAGAGCTGAGCGACAGTTCCCCCCAGCTTCTCGGCTAGGGTGGTCAGCTTCTTGACCTTCTCGATCTTGGCCTTGCCCTCCTCAGACTGCAGGGACTTGACAGTGTTTTCGAAGAAGTCCTTGTTGGTTGCGAAGCGCGAGTTCTCCGGAATACCATTGTTGTACTTGCCAGTCAAGAAACCAGAGGCAAGAGGCGACCAAATAGTGGTACCATACTGGAACTGCTTGTACAGAGGTGCGTACTCGACCTCAAAGCGCTCTCGGTGGAAGGCGTTGTACTGAGGCTGCTCAACGACAGGTGCGATGAGGTTGTACTTCTCAGCGATCTGGGTGGCCTCCATGATCTGGGTGGCGGACCATTCCGACGTTCCCCAGTAGTAGGCCAGGTTGAGGTTGCGGATGGTCTGGGTAAAACCCTCGACGATCTCCTTCATGGGGGTGGCGGGGTCAGGTCGGTGGGCGAAGACAATGTCCACGTAAGGCTGGTCCAGGCGCTGCAGCGAGCTCTTGAGGCCCTCGACAATGTGCTTCCAGCTCAGGCCACGGGTGTTAGGCTCCTTGCGGCCAGTGCCGAAGAAGACCTTGGTGGTGAGAACGTACTCGTCCCGGGGCCAGCCGAGCTCCTTGAGGGCCTGTCCCATCTCAACCTCGGACTCGCCATTGGCGTAGACCTCGGCGGTGTCAAAGGTGTTGATACCGTGGCTCCATGCCGTCTCTAGGCACTTCTTGACAATCTCGCCCTTCTGGGTGCCTCCGTAGGTGAGCCAACCCCCGAGGGACAGCACGCTCACCTTGAGGCCGGTAGGGCCGAGGTGGCGGAACTTCATGTCCTTGGGGTCATATGCAGATTGAACGGCAGGCATCTTGGCGGCGTGTCTGGTAAATGTAGCAAATGTGCGTGAGCTGAGAAGGCGGAAAGACATGCCAATGCGGGGGGTCAAGCGGTTTTGTTTCCAAGATCACAGTGGATTCGGGATTCTTTAAGATGAGTATTCCGCCATCTTGGGTTAACTTATCCCTCAAACGGCAGGGGGCGTAAAGTTAGTCGTGACGCAACCGCCAGAACCCCGCGCCGTTTCCATGGCGGCGGGGCTGTTTCGCAGTTGTGTATTAATAATCAACTGCGGCTATTCTGCAATTTGCAGTTGCTCGGTAGTAAGTCTGTCTGTATGTAGCGAAGGCCCTGTGATAAAGCTGCTAAGTCTCAATGCTTTGGCTCGTGGTTTTGGGAATAGAAGCTCTTCTTCTGGATCACGATAGGTACAAACATAGGTAGCTTATTGGGTAGGACCAGCATATGCATGCAGACTGTTGTGTAACCCCGCTGACTAAGCCATAAGCTCCACACCCGGATCGGACTCGGGGGACTGAGCACACCCGCCCTTGTACGGAGTATCTTCATGTTAACGATGCGTGTATTTCGAGGTTCATTCCACTTGTTACAACTGTGTTATCAACGAGGAGGAGGACGACGACGACGACGAAGACGACAAATGGTCTGTTTCCTTTGAGAATAGTTGCGCAGAACAGCTTAGTCGCCAGAATATGCATACCATCTTACCCCAAGCCAGCTTATATTCTTTCCTAGCCCATTGGAACACGAATCCGACGGGAGACCAAAGATATAATACAGACACTCATTTACTTCAAGAACCCTCCATCCAATGTCCGGATGGGTTCACCACGCAAATCCGAGCCCACAGGTCTAACACCCGGGTACTGAGTCCGCAATAAATCTGAAAGTGATCCTCCACCTTCACATCGCTTTGCATACTTATGGCTGGACTACAGGGGCTTCACGCAACACGTTGTTGGGGTTGCCGAAATGTAGACACATTGTGCATTGTTTATCTGCGCACGTGTCTGAGCATTATAAAATGTCGCGGAGAGTAATTGGTGTTTACGTCGTGCCAAAGGGTTACTATGAGGTCAGGTATAATCAGGGTCAGAGGTGTGGTTCAATTCGTAAAGAGACTGAATCTTGTCCCTCTTACATGTTAGGGGACAAGAAGAGGAATATGTACCAGATGCTGTACGGTGCCTCACTGGACCTCCTGTAAACCTAATGCATCGCCGTGACACGCTGCTTACATGCTTAACAGGTACAGGAATGTTTATACCATGGTACTGCGGGGTATGGCCTATATATCTGTATTTGGCGACCTTCAGTAGTTGCAAGCATATGAACTACTTGTGTAGCTAAATGCACTTTTCTTATCATCCTCATTCAATGCAGACAAGCTCGAATGCGATCTATCGTAAAACGATACTAGTTACTCACTCGTGGCATCTGTGCACCCTCTGCAAGACTCAACTCCGGGATGAGACTGATCCTTCCCGTTGTCTATCTGAATGGGGTGCCAGTGGCCCAGCGCTTATAAAACCTCCATCGAGCCGTCTGCTAAGACTCTTTGCTGTTGAATCCGAGTGGTAATCATCTTTCCAGTATTCTGTCATACCCAAATCATGGCTCCGGAGGTGGCCCAACGGTTGTCCCTTTAGGGGTATGAAAGCCATCCGAAACGGGAAGAGTACCCACTTTCTACTCTGGATCGCCTATCTGTCTGTACTTACAACCATCACTCTCCCTCTTCCAACTTGATTTCTAGACAAACAAGAGCACTATGCCCAGTTAAAAGAGCCAGAGTTAAAGAGAACCCCTGGGCAGTGTCGCCACGTGGCCGGCATCGTTTAGAAACGACCAAGAGGACTATCATATTGTCAAAAGGAACAGCAGAGTTCTGTTCGCCCTACAATGGCTAGGCGGCCTAGATACTAGATTCAAATCATTGATCAAGATGAATCGTCTGGATTTCACGGCGAATGCGTTTATGGATGAATCAGGTCTCGGCCTGGAAAGAATGACGTAGGGAGCGCTCTGTGATATGGACAACGGCCAATTGGTGAGGGGGTTCCAGCTGAATTCTATACCTTGTGGGATGATCCTCCTCTCTGCATCCACCACCCTCCCTCATCCGAGAAGGACGCCAATCACTTAGATTGCACCCATTTTCCATTTCCACCTGCTGAGGAGCAAAACATCAAAGCTCAAGGCGCAATCTCCACCACGTTGTCAAGATGCGTCATGGGTATCTACATATGATGCGGTGATAGCCCTGTAAAGGTGTATATCTTCGAGAACTCGCATACAGAGGTACCAAGACGGCCTTTCTTCGCCAGCCCCTTTCGCCGAAGCAGTTGATATGCGCAACCGACTCGCTCCAGCGATTCCAGGAAACGGGTTTTATACAGGATTGTCTACGAATTTTCCAAACCAGCTGACCCAAAGGGATGTCGTTTCAGAAAACTTGCCCATGACCTGCATAACGTCGTACATGGGCAAAACACACAAACTGCGATAGAGATATCGGCGATAGATTCGCTGCAAGCTGTGACAGTTATCAGAAACAAAGCAAGCCTGTTCTTCGCTCCCGCCTCTGTCTTTTATAGTGACGGACCGGCGAGATGCCCCTGTACGACAGCGATTTCGGATTCGGCCGACCCGAAGCGTAACGACACCTGATAACTGATTAATTCGCCATGCCTGACACCATGGCTATCTCCTCTCCACGTGCTAAGGAAGATGGCCCGAATGAGAGCTATCAGTTTGTCATACCCTTTGAGAAGAATGCTATTGCCACCCTGCTCAACTACCCAGATGTGCAAATACATTCTAAGTATAGAGCAGTGCACTAGCTTCAAGGCAGCTGACTGGATCGTTGATCGAGTAAGTATCCAGTCTTGCATAAGACAAGAAGTCTGAAGCGTTAATGCAGACGGCATAACTTGACATCATTAAGGTATCTATACGAGATCTTGGCAATAAGCCAACCACAGGGAAGAGATATACGTGGAGTTCGATATGGCCTCGATGATTGAGAGAACTGGGCGGTACACCTGGTAATTCATATTAGTCAACTATACGCTTCATCATGCTTTTGAACTCACGATTACGACTTGCGGGGATCCTTGCTGATATGGACCAGGATTCGCCGTACGGCAATGGGTGCACGGAGTCGTTACGCAAGCGCGGTGAGGTCTAAGGTGATCAAACAGAAGAACATATACTCAACTTAAGAAACGCATTTCTACCTAAGTGACTAATGTGCAGTAGTCACATTGATGCCCATCATGCCACGAGGCAAGTGGTTCGCGACATCAACCTGGGGGCTGTCCAACAATTTGTGCTACTACTACAGCACGGCTGTGTGACTCTTCTGATCACATGTCCTGAATGCACCCGATATTCCCTGTCTAAATCCAATTGCTAGTGAGGAGAATGATGGTAGCGCCGGTTCGGAGCCGATGAGCGAAGTACCGACATGCGCGGCGTGACCCACTTCGGACGACTCCTAAACACGCAACCCTTTTGCACCGGCCTACCAAACCCCGGTGATTCTGGGATTCGGAGCAACAACTCAGATTTACATTCTCAATTTTCGCATGTATGCGCTCTGGTAAATAGGCCATCAGCCATCAGTTTCACGCTCCTGAACCCCAGTGGCCCAAACCTCTTCCGGACCATCACGATGGATTACTCTCTTGAACACCACCAGTCCTATATCGGCAAGCCGGTGTCGGACTTGCCTACTCCCTCACTCATAATCAGCCTTCCGGCCGTAAAGAAAAATGTAGAGACCCTCCACAAAGACGTCGAGGGGCTTGGTATCCGATTTAGACCGCATGTCAAGACGCTCAAGGTAAGAATCATCTAGCTCATACAGTCGAGAAGCTGCTAACCAGCCAGGCTCTCGAGGTCACGAGGATGATGTTAGGAGAGGGGAAGCACAGAGCAGTGGTGGCATCGACGTTGGCAGAGATCCGTGGAGTTCTGCCCTTGGCGAAAGAAGGCCTGCTTGATGAAGTATGTTCAGATCTCAACCCGCTGGTCCAATCCCGTGACTAACATCTCAAAGTGTCTGTACGGCTTGCCCGTTGTATCCAGCTACCTGCCCCAGCTGGCAGAGCTGCGAAAGTCCCTGAGAATCCTCCTCATGGTGGACAATGAGCAGCAGGTTTCCCTTCTCGAAAGGTTTGGCGCAGACCAGCCATGGGACATCTTTATCAAGATCGATGTGGGCACCCATCGTGCTGGCGTGCTTGCAGGAAGCTCGGCACTGCATAGCTTGGTCAAGCGGGCTGAAGCATCGAATCATGCTCAGATCTATGGCTTCTACTGCCACGCTGGGCACTCGTACGCTAGCCGGACCTCGGAACAAGCTCAGCAGACGCTAAGCGAGGAGTTCTCGAGCGTTATAGGTGCATCAGGCCTCTTGCCTGCAGACCGCGAGCTCGTCGTGTCTATTGGCTCGACGCCCACTGCTCACGTTGTGAGTAGTTTGAAGGCGCAGCTGCCGGGGAACACCAAACTGGAGCTTCATGCAGGTAAGTCCTAGAGATAACTGGACATGCATAGAGTTTCCCACTGTTAACCATGCTGGTACACAGGAAACTTCCCTGCCAATGATCTACAACAGGTGTCAACTAGTCTGGTACAAATACAAGACCAAGCGGTTCGAATCGCCGCCGAAGTCTGTAGCGTCTACCCCGAACGGAACGAGGCCTTGATTAATGCAGGAGCTATCGCATTATCCAAAGAAGTAAGCCCGAATTATCCTGGGTTTGGTACTGTGGTGGGTAAACTCGATTGGGGCGTCATCCGCGTTTCCCAGGAACATGGTATCCTGGCTTCCTCCAAGACTGGTGCGTTGGCGGATAAGGAGTTCCATGTAGGCCAGCGGGTCTACCTGTACTGCAACCATGCATGTATCACAGCGGCGGCCTTTTACGTGTATTATGTTGTGGATGCAAATGATATCGTTGTGGCAACCTGGATTCCTTGGAAGGGCTGGTAAGGGATAGTATCAGTGGTTAGTCGCACCTAGTGAAGATTGGGAACGTACATAAGGAAAGAATCCGCTTGGTGCCTCTGAACTAGAGCCTGCCGTGGTGCCCTGAACTCGCTTGATTATTTCAGCTTTGAATGTATATGGTTATCGGTCGAAAGGATCCCCCCTGCTGTGATGTTGATATTCTTGAAAATAATAGAATGATTCCTTAGATTAACACATGCAGAACTCCTCAATCTGCTGAATTCTGTGCCGAAAATAGATTAATGACTAGAGGCAAGAGATATCCTTTGCACACAATGTTCTTTCTGTTCTGCAAAGTTGAGCTCATACCGAAAACTAAGAGGTCAGCACCGTAGAAGGTCTTGTGATACTTCCTGGTTCCGCTGACAGACTAACCAGTACAACAAGCAGTGGAATATAACAGAAATTATTTGTCAGTGACGTGCGCTCTTATCCCACCGAGGCATGACGACGCCGGCGATGAGGTACCAGTCTGCTTGGGAACCTCATTCAGTAAGACTATCTTGGAAATGTCGGGCGATATATTCTGAACTACAGCCAACCTCGCTTTATAGATCCCAAGGAAGCTTGCTGTGGTCCAGCTGGCTTCTTAAGGCTCCGGACGTTATGGAGGAAGGGGAAAAGGCTTTTGGTAGTAGAGTCCACATTGGCACCTGTACCGGTTTCAAACCTTCGGGATGGTGAAGCGTCCCTTCTTGGCATCCTTCATACTTCACGGCTATGTGGATCAGCACGAGAAGCTGGCGAGTCGATGCAAGAGCTTACAGAACGGTAACTGTGGTGATGCAGTAGCCATCCTTCGCAAGCTACAGAATACTGCAATAAGTGAGGAGATGCTCCTGGTGATTGAAATGTTTGACCCTGAAAAAAAGGCCTCAGCCTTGATGGAGTTAATCAATCCAACGCCGGGCAATATCAAGTACATTCACAGATCACAGTCCCGACCAAGGGTCAGTCCGAGACCTATGAGATCTACAGGTGAAGTTTTCGGATCGGCCATCCAAATATGTTCAGAATAGAATGAAATAGCAGGGATTAGTTGCTTAAAAATAAGAAACATATATGTACCGCGGCCATTTTGTAGGTATCCATTGGCTTTCATTATTGCGACTAGGATCAGAATCCTGACTCAGCGGTATCTGGAGAGAATGCCTCGTTTTCGTGACATATCCTCGAGATCGTAAGACTCTTGTAAGCCGTACGAAGCTCTCTTGTTGATCAAACCTGCGGCATCTTTAGAATGCAATATTCAAATGGGGCGTTTCAAATTGAAAATTGGACTTACCTTCATCCATGCTCATCCAAATGAGCATAACGCTTGCCCCAAGTGCTAGAACAGCGGTGATGATGAAAGCCCCGACCTTGTCACTAACGGTGATGCTGAAAGGTTGCTGGGTCAAAGGCTTCCTCACGCCGGCGTTGGGGTCCCCAGTACTGGTGCCGCCCGTGCTGTTGGTGACTGGAGCATTGATACCCTGATCCAGGAGAGAAAGGAGAGAGGACAGCGCTGCAACAACGTTCATCTGCTCCCCGGCTCCAGGTGGGCCGGTGAAAGTACCCGATGCCCACTGGAAGCCGCACATCCTCCCGTTCGCACCACCGGTGCACTGGTTAACGGCGGCCTGGGTAGACGACTTGAGGATTATGCGGATGCGTTTGGCCGTGAACGGGGCTAGCTGGGCCGTCGTTGCGAGCCAGCGGTGGGTGTATCCTTTAAAGCTGCGCATGTCTACTGTGCAGGTGGCGGTGGCATCACCGCACGCGGGCTCGATTAGTGTGCGTGGGGACTGTGTGTCGTTGCTGATGAAGTGCTGTTCGATACCATTGAGCAAGCCCTCGATGCGATACGCCCAAGTCTTATTGCCGTTCGTCTATGTTTCTGTCAAACCCCATGCTTCAAGAGCCCTACCGGCATACACATGAAAGTACTCACGTAGTTGTACAGAAACGCTGCCCCCTGGATGAGCGCCGCGGCATTGTATGTGAACTGAGCCTTGCCAACTTGCCCGCAGTCAAGGCGTAGACTGCCGTCCATCTCTTTGGCCCAGATGTGTACACCATCAGCGACGTCGTAGACGTTATTGTTGTTGACCATGATGCCATACTCGAACAGCCAATTCCAGGTGTCTTCACACCACGTGGCGTAGGTGTTGTTCTCCGTGTAGCGGGCAAGGCGGGCCCCGATGTTGAAGAAAGCGGCGTTTGCGATGGCTAAAGCTGTCAGAGATTGGCTCTCCTAGCTCCCCGGATTTACAGTACTCACTATTTTTGTAATCATAGCCCGGATTCTGGGGATAGATCTGCCACCTGAGGCCCATGCCGCACAAACTGCTGTTGCGACGATCTTCACTCGCTTGCTCGTTCCACACTGCTTGCGCCAGAGCCAGCCACTGCGGCAAGCCCTTGGGAGGGTCGGGGAACTTGACTTCAGCAGCTAACATCGCAGACATGCCCCAGAAGGCTTGGTCGTCGTTGCCGAGCGAGGCGGTCCAGTTCGGCTCCATATAGTCCCTGTCGGGCCCCGTCTGGAAAAGTAGAGACTGGTTCACGACATGATTGTAGGTGTCATCTCCTGTATAGTGCCAGTAGTCCAGCATCGTGCCCCAAAGGGCTCCTCCTTGCCACCTGCAAAGCCGTTAGAGGCTGGAGACCACAAAGATAAAGAGAATCATGTACCAGTAGTAATCGCCATTGGGCGGGGGTCCAGGTAGGATTCCTGGGACCTGACCTGACTGGTTGCCCTTGTAGAAGGTCATCAGATCATAGGCGACCTGCTTCGCCGCACTTCGAATCGAGTCTGAAAATATTTGTTAGCGAACCTGTCAGAGAGTTCTCTGGGTGAAACCCGTCTCAATATTGTGCCCATGAATTACCTGGTGAATCGAGATCGACCTCGAGCGCACAAAGCGCAACCGTGGCGAGCCTCAGAAAATACAGTAGCAATGAGAGATGCATGGCGACGGTCCAATATCCGCAACGGGAGGATGATTCTGTTTGTAATGTTCCTGTGCTCAAGCAAACGGCTACTCAGGATGGACCAAACTGTAGGAAGAGAAGGTGCACATCACATTTCCAGGTTGCGTACATCACTGATTGGGCTTGCGCGGGCGGCTGCGGTTTGTGTGACTGGGCAACGGTATCAGGCAGCATTGCAAGACGGAATCAATTCCTTTCTCCTTGGTATTCACTCGCTAACGACTAATCATACCGATGAAAATCTTCAAGAGAGAGTCCACGCGCCAGTGATGATAAAAATTTAGACAATATCTTGCCAAGTTCCCTAGGAGAAACTCCCATAGTCCACGGCCGTGACAATATTTCTCCGGGCGACACTTGATCATTACATCTCATCATCAACCAGGACCGAACATGCTGCCCCATCAGATGCCGGCGGTTGTTAGTATTATCCTATGGTCGACGTCGTACTTGGTGAATTATTGCAAACAATCAAGTGCTTGCGACCAAGACAGACAAGTAGGTCGCACTCACGTGGCTGGCAAGGGGTTACCAATCTACGTCGAATGTGAACAGCTATGCATGTCTGCAATGGTTGGCAGTCATAAAGCGCCACAATGGCGACTACTACGTGGCTACACGGCACATGAGACGATTATGTTGTTCGCGGCTCGGTCAGAATGTCGCACATGCAACAACGACCGAGTAAATGGTATATGAAAGACTCATGAATGACGGCCAAATGTCTTTGTATTTGTTTATAAGACGGACGGACGGTCACGATCGTGCCCAGTTTACTGCGAAAATCTATAATAATAGGGTGGAAACGTACACCTAGGACATGTGTCCTAGGCAAAATGAAAGGAATTGCCCCCATCAGCAACACAACCCCACCTCCTTTGTGCTGTTTTCCAAGTAACGACTGTTACAGGACGAAAACTACAATCCGAGAAGTGCCCGAGCCCCAGGCTCGCTGCACACGTAGATAACGTCATGAGCATCAGAGAAGCCATTGAACTTTGTGGCAGAGCACTTTGTATAAGCGCCCATGTCTTCAAAGTACAGCCAGTCACCAACATCAAGTTCGTGGTCGAAGCGGATGCTTTCGGTGATGCGGTCAATGCCGTCGCAGGTTGGGCCCCAGATGGAGTACTCGAGGCCACCGTTGACACCGGTGGGGTAAGCATCCGACATGGGCGTGTTGTACAGAGTCCGCTGACCAGTACGCAGAACCTTGGCAATGGGGTGCTGGTGGTCGAACATGATGCTGCTGAAGTTTCCGTACAGGCCGTCGTTGACGTACGCCATGTAGCTTGTCTCGCCAGTAGCAGGATCCTGGATGGTACGGCGAGCAATGATGTTGCATGCGATGGTGAAAGCCGAGGACACGTAATATCGGCCAGGCTCGGCAATGATGTTGACGGTCGGGGGAAAGTACTCGTCAAGAGCTTCACGGAGGACATGGGCCATGTCCTCAAAAATGTCGCCCGTGAAGCCTCCGCCGACATCGAGAGTCTTCATGACGAAACCATAGCTCTCAGCCTGCTTGAAAACATGAGCGGCATCCTGAACGGCCTTGAGAAAGGCGAGGGGGTCCGAGGCTCCGGAGCCCACATGGAAGCTGACACCGACGACATTGAGACCGAGATCCTTGGCAAGAGCTAGAAGCTCATCGGTGCTGTCGAGAGAGGCGCCGAACTTGAGACTGAGACGGCACAAGCTCGAGGAGTCGTCCGTCAGGATACGCAAGAACAGCTCGGCACCGGGGTAGAGCTTGGCAATCTTGCGCAGCTCGTCGGCATTGTCAAATGTCATCTGCTTGACGCCCTGGCTAGCGACGTAGCGCACGTAGGAGTTGGTCTTGCAGGGCTGGGCGTAGATGATGCGAGAGGGATCGACGCCCATGTTCAAGACTTGTTCAATCTCGGCCTTGGAAGCACAATCAAAGCCAGTGCCTAAACCCGCCAGAAGCTGGATGACCTTGGGGTCGGGGTTGCACTTGACGGCTGCGACCTTGTTAGTAGGCCACCTCGGAACAAGCCAAAAAGATCGGAGACGTACCATAGAAGGGCTTCACACGGGGAAGGTTCTTCTTCCATCGCATATGCTGGCGGTAGACCTCGCCGAGATCGCCCACAAAGAACGTATCCTCATCTCCTGGGTCACACGAGTCATGGTCAATGCCCTCGACGCGCTGGCGGAGGGCATCGCCAATCATGTGTTTGGCTACCAAGGCGCCATTCTGCTGGTTGTCAAAGAAGGAATTCTTTTTGACATGGGGCGCAAAATTGTGGTTATTCAAGAATGTAACCGGGGCAAATTGTTCGATAGCAACTGTTGCCATAACCATATCCCTCGAGTTTGACGGGGTGAGGGACCGGGTGGAGATGGAGGGAGTTTGGCTGTTCGGATATGTGGGATATCAGAGGGTGGCTCTGGTGGTATAAATAATGCAGGCTACTACCTAGGAGATGCTAGATAGTGCTGTTGAGAAGAATTGCGGAGTACCAGAAGTTACCCTCTAATGTTAAGGGGGCCGAAAACGATAGCTTCCTGATCCCGAAGCGATCTGACGAGGTCTCCTCGACTCTCCCTCGGTTAGAGGAAGAACCGCAGATGTCGTCCTATGCGGCAGCTGGTGGTCGGGGGAGAACTTGGGGTTCTGGTGGGGGGTGTCGTCGAGCAAGAGGGGGACCTGGTGGTGCTTAGGCGACTTCAGCGGCGGGAGGCGGTCGGGAGTTGATGATGTGGAATGTCTTCCGAAGGCTGAAATCTTGGTCAGAGACGAAGCTCACGGCCGCAGGAGCCGTAGTAGCGGGGGTGCCTTTGTGAGACCAAAGGCGAGCCGGCCAGGAGGGATGGGTGGGATCTGAAGATCCGAGTTAGCGATGGCGTGCGCGGAGATTGTGCTGGGCCTGTTTTCCAAGGGGGCCCGAGTAGAAGTGAGTGGTTTTGAGTTGTCGATGCCAAAGCTCGAAAGTAGCTCTCTCGAGAAGTTGAGAGGGAAGAAACTTGGACGTCGTGTTTGGTGGGCAGTAAATCCAAAATTCGCGGCGGTGGGGCAAAAAAAATCTGGGGCATGTGATGGTGTTGACTGGATGCAATTACTATGACGTACCAAAATGGATAAGCCAGATTTTAGTCGGGTGTCTTTTTCTTTTACAGCAGCGGGAGGCGCAGCAACCCTTGGGACTGTTTGCTTTGCCGTGATGGAGTTGAGGAGGCCTCAGACTACTGCTGAGTGATTTTTTGTGTTGCTCTGGGAGATGAGCAGAGGATAGCTGGGCGAGGTGGTGGTGGTGGTGGTGATCAAGTGCGGACGGCACGGGAAGCAGATGCGTGCTCCTCCGTATAGATGGGAGGAAAAAAAAGTCAATGGCGGGGGAGAGAGCTGGGCTTGCGCTGGGCCTGCGCTGGGCCAGCCGGCCCTAGGCAGTAGTTGATAGTTAGGCACATCCATGGATGGAGGTGACTGATCTGGCCGGGCACAGCACACGCGAGCCCACCCGGCCCATCAGCTTGGGGTGCTTGGATCGCATCGATCGACAAGGGGAAAATTCTGCGCCGGCCAACCGTTTTCGATGCGTAATATCTGCTGGCCGACCAGGGCCTTCCAAGGCCTCTTTTGCATTTCCTAGTGGCCGCGCCCCACCAGTTCTGTAGATGCTTCCCATCCGACTGGACGACAAGGACAGTCTAGAAGCTGCATACCATCGCCCATCGTTACAGCAGGTCGTACAAGAATAATGTACGTGCCGGTGCAAGGGGTTCTGTCCATCTGACTGGTCCCTCTCGCGCCTCTGACCGCAATTTGTCCTGACACCCGAGTTGGCGCTGCAGCAGAGCGCAGCACCGTTCAACTTGCATTAATAAGGGGGAGAGAGTGTGTCGGGCCCCCTCCTGTCGCTTGTGCCGGAAGGACTCGTCCTAGATTTGCGACAGCTCATCTCTCGTCACTTGGTTATCCGAATACTTGTAGTTGGGGACCAATGCCGCTACGGCCAGCTTGGATGTCGAGTACCTCGAGGCCTCCTCCTAGCGAATGAACATACGTATACTATACTGACCTATTGGCCCAGACCTGCATCTTGCCAGGAAAATCGCGCAAGTGTTGGAAATTAACCCACAGTTTAGCGTTGAGCCACCGGTTCTCCGCGACATGAGATCTCTCGAAAGCCAAAGCCAATTGTTATACCATCAGTCCTGTCTTTGACAAGCGGTCAACGCCAGGTTGATTGGTGACCACCTTCCGTGTTGCCCGAAAGCATTTGCCGTTCCATCTATCAAGGGCGGTAAGTCGCCCCCTTTTTAATCTTATTGTGTGTTTGATGATTCCGCGCTTCTCGCAGGTGCTGTACAATACGGTATCCGTGAATGGTGTTCCTGTGGCACTTCAGAAACACTGGGCCTTATCCGTCCATCGCAACAACCCAAGTGGATAACTCGTAACGTCTGGGCTCTGGCCCGTGTCGTACTGGCTCCACTGATGCCTGAAGCTTGAATGTGACGTAGTAATTCTGCCTGGGTTGCGAGGTCCTCGTTCTCCAAGCGTGAGTTATGTATCACAACATCATCGGAATCCTGGGAAGCCATCAAGGCGGCCTTGGTGGCGTGAGAAACGTTATTTGGAACTTGCAGGACAGGCCTAAAATGGGTCACGGTCTCTAGATGCGATAAGACTGTAACACTATGCTAGAAATCTTGAGAAGCCAAGGAGCGATAACGGTAAAGCAGTATTGACCGTGGTTCAGAAGTTGCTGTAGATGAGATGCCCGCAATCACAGTGAAGCGCCGTCGTTGTGTGTAGTCAAGTTCTACATTGGCGTTGAAGACTAACATGTCTTAGATGACCCCTGTCAAAGTTGACGGGAGTGGAAGCTCGGGCCGCTGATCACTGTCCCTGTGACTTGACTGCCTGTAGCTTAACGAAGTTGGAACCTCGAATGTTTTCAACTAACAACTGCCGACCCAAACCACAAATACATTCGCGCATTTCAAGCTTCTCATATCCGAACAGAGGACAATCGCCTCTGCTAATTACCGTAAATGTCTCTGCCTTCTGGGGTCGGAAGTTTACCTAGATACTCACTCATCAAGATCCATCTTCAGCTCTTGTCGTGTAGAATGTACTCAGCCCTATAGTCCGGACTTCCAAAGCTCACGGAACCCGAGTCTGAAAGGACGAGCCAGAAGCGAGCCATCGGGCTCAGCAAACGGTTCTGTGGTTTCCCACCGACCCAGTCCACCAGCACCGATAGCTCCTCAAGTTGGTTTGTTCTCGCGTTGCTCTTGTGACCTCGATGCTATGAGTGACAGCAGGGAGGCGTATCAGTATCCGAACGCTATTATGGGAAAAGGAAAATTTGGCTGATGAAGGTGCCACTTGGCGTGGCGGGGAGGGTGCCTGAACGCGGCGGTGCTGCTCTCAAAAGGACAGCACTGAGATTGTATGTCTCTATTTCCGGAGATGGGTATCTAGACAATATCCTACAGGACACACCGTATCTATAGAGGATGTGTCGTATGTACAAGGCCTACTGTAGCACCGCAGTATATTAGTCGAGGTCCTCGATAGCTGCACCATTGACGTTCATCTCCCGAACGTTCCAGGTACTGTCGACCCAGTCCTTCTTCTCTCCTAGGAAGGCGACTCTCTCCTGCTGCTTCGCCAAAGCATCGACGATGTATTTCTGCGCAACTTCCCGGACCTGGTCGTGAGTGACGTCCAAAAGCTGCTCCCGGCGTTTCTGTCTCATCTGCTCGGTGACTCCAGAGGTGAAGCGGGCCATACCCTCGGTGTTGACCGACTTTGGAGCATCAATGCCCTTGAAGACGGTGATCTTGGCCTCCTCAAGATCTGAGTTGGTTAAATTCTTATCAACCGCCCACCGACCTGCGCCGGTCATAATTGAGAGAGTGTTCTGGGGATTAGGGTCACGGTATGAGTAGTAACCAAACAGGCCATCCAGACCTTTCATGTAAGCCCCACCGCCGTATGCGCCTCCCTTCTCGCGGATTTCGTGGTGCAAGTGTTTATGGGTCAATAACTGGGAGAGGACTTGAAGAGGCGCGCTGTCCGCATGTGTATATGACACGGTGGGGAGAGCCAAGCCACCGTAATAGACTTGATATGGTAGAGGATAGAAGGCCTTGACGTCGCGCGAGAATGTCTGAGCTGGCGAGTTGGGGAATTTGATAGACCCCGTTGGACGCGCGTTCATGAACTGTCCAAGTGCTTGAGAGTTTGCGGATACACTGTCGGCACCGCAAGTCAATGCAGTGCGGATATTTGAGCCTGCAATAGCAAATTGCTGGATTTGCTTGAGCTTCCCAATCACGTCTTCGTATTGGTCTGTCTCTGGGCGACCGGCTAGCGAGGTTATGAACTTGACCTGGGTCAGTCCCGAAACTTGCTCGCCAAACCATGCATCCCTGGTGAGACCAGCTTCAGCAGCCTTGCGGGCGTAAGAGTGACCAGAGGAGGCAATGTCGTTCACCACACCATCAGACGCAGCCTCCAGCAGTTGCCGGATCTGTTTGGCGGCCTCGGGGCTGTCGAAGTTGGTTTCTAAAATCAGCTTCTGCAGGAGCTCAAACATCTGCGGAACGTTTCTGTCAAGCGCCATACCACTCAGATGAATACCTTCTGAGGCTTGGTGGAAGTCCAATGGGGACGAAGTGCTGTGATATCCAACCGAGATACCACCAGTCTTGAGTTTGATCAAGTCCTCGAGCTGCTCCATGGTCAAGTCCTTGGTTCCCAGCCTCATGATGGAATCGGTAAAGAGGGGGATCAGGGTTCGAAGCTCATCTGGCAGATTTTCCAGAGTGTTGATGGCACGGAAGTAGGTCAGGCCATTTGTGGGGGCTTCGTGCCATTGTATCTTGGTGCCGTGAGCAACCTCGTCCCGCAGTTGGACCGGCTCCTTCACCCTTTCAATGTCTCTGACATGGACGGTCGGGAGGCAGCTGAGGTCCTCAGTGTTGGTCTTGCCTTGTTCAGCCAGTAGGTGTAATTCACGCTCCTCGAAGAACTTGCGTGCCTCGGCGTCGCCTCCTGCCTCCTGTGTGGCTTGCTGGATCTTGGTGGCCAACCGTTTGCTTTCCTCCGCAGCGACATCCTCACCATAGCTCGCAGAGGGCGCCATGGTAAATGTGAGCGTGTTGTCGTTCAGAAGGTACTTGTCCATCAAGCCTTCGAGATAACCACCTCTCGCCATGTTTGCTTCAAAGGCATCGATGACATCGTTCCACGCGAGGGAGTCGAAGGGGTCAGTTCCCGTGAACCACTTCGGCTTCAGCCGTTGCAGGATGCCGACGCCAAAGTTTGCGGTCTTGTGCTTGAGCGAAAGCTCCAGTTGGTGTAGGTAGCCGTCAATCTTGGATCTGTCAAAGCCCTTTTGGCGCACCTCGTGCAGGATTTTCTGAATCTCCGCCTTGACCTTCTCGACATGGCCCTCCTGGACTCCGGTCAGGCCAACCGAGAAGATGCCAGTCGCTCCGTGGCTATCGTACCCAGTGTTCGGGCTGTAGTCCGTACCGAGACCCGACTCAATCAGGCCCCGATAAAGAGGGGATCCATAGCCGTCCATGAGGAGGTTTGAGAGTATCGACACGCCGAACGACTCGACAACGTCGCTGGTGTTTCCAGTGACCCAAGATACGGATGTCTTGTGTTGCTTGTCCGGGTCTGCCAGCGGGTCGACGGGTCCAGATAGGGTCATGGTCTGGGGCCCCTGGCTCAGGTCGATGGGCGTTTTGTTCTCCATGCGGGCTTCAATCTTGTCAAACAGGGCCAGCTGAGCATCAACCTCCCTCAAATGGTCAGCCAGAGGCATGTCGCCATATGTGAGGATTTTGGAGTTGCTGGGATGGTAGTGGTCGGCGTGGAACTTCTTGAGCTGCTCGTAGGTCAGGTCGGTGATCTTCTGGGGGTCGCCCCCGGAGTTGTTGATGTCCGGGCAGATGTGGTCCTGGAAGCGGATGTAGAACAGGTAGCCAGCGTCCGACATCTGCCCCTTCATCTCGTTGTAGACAACGCCCTTGAAGACCAGCTTGCTGTCCTCGGGCTTGGCCTGACCACCCTGCTCGGCGGCGCGAGGGTTCTCGGGCCCTATGCGCCATCCCTCCTGGGTGAAGTCGGTCTGTTTGAGCAAGGGGTGCAGAGTAGCATCCAGGTAGACGGACATGAGGTTCTGGAAGTCCTGGGGGTTCGTGGTGGCAAAGGGGTAGAATGTGTGGTCCGAGGCCGTGAAGGCGTTCATGAAGTTGGAGAGCGTCCTGGGCAGCATCTTGAAGAAGGGGTCGCGAATGGGGAACCTCTCGCTGCCGCAGAGGGTGGTGTGCTCGAGGATGTGCGGGACTCCGGTGTCGTCGGGCGGGTTCGTCTTGAAGCCGACCGAGAAGACATTGTTGCTGTCTTCTCTGGCGATGTGTAGGTAGTCGGCGCCCGTCTTGTCGTGCTGGAGATGCAGGGCAGTCAACTCGAGCTCGGGCACGTGCTTCGTCCGCAGGAGGGTGAAGCCATGGAGCTTCTCGCCGGGCTTGGGATACTGTGAAAGCTCCGTCACGGCCTTCTTGGCGGCGCCTTTTGCGGCGTTGGCGGCGTTGCGCAGCATTGTGAGGGATGGAGCTTTCCTAGCTTCTGGGTTGGGTGGTGTGTCGTCGCTCACGAAACTCGAGGAAGAAGGCGACAAGACGACGAGGGGGAAACGAACGAAACGGGGGAAAATAAGAATACAAGGCGTCTATAATACAACCAAGCAACGGGCAAACAGTATCACGTCATGCGTCTCAAGTCCTGCTCGTTACGAGTTGGCAAAGTCACGAACCCCAGCTATGGTCCGTTGAAAATTTCCGAGGCCCTCAGGCGCACGCGCGCTGTACCAGCACCAGCAACAGCACCAGATGGGATGACGTGCCGATAGGCTTATCGCCGACTCGGTTAAGCAGATCTACATACAGTTATAACAGTATATCTACAGTGGGTAACTAGGTAGGTACATGAATGGAAAGAACAGGCTTGGGATATGCAACTGCGCGGTGTCGCCTCCGAGTCATCTCCCGTCTCCACCAACATGCTCCTTTGCAGCTGCGGACAGTGCCATACACAGGACCTCCTATAGCCGTACCTCATGGCAACACTTGCGTCGGGTGTGGCTCAGTCTCCTGTTGCTTGGCCGTACAACCTGGCGTAGGTAGTCTGCGGCATACAGTTGGCTTTGTTCTCTGCTTATTGACGCCGGTCTACGCCCCGGTAGTTGGATAGCTCCGGTGATTACCATGTACAGCCTCAAGGCGCCAAAGGGGAGACCCCTCAGGCCGTGTGATTCGCCTCAGCCAGGGCCAAGATCCGGCCTGCCGGGTCCCAGCCCAGTCGGCGCAGTGTGCGGTCGTGGGTTACAAATTGGTAATTATCGCCGTATGCAAACGACAAGCCTACGATACGAGTACATTGGATAGTACCCAAGTCAGGTAGGTAGTAGCCAGGTAATCAGGTAGTCAGGTAGTCAGGTAGTCGGGTAGGTGGGTAGGAGGTAAGTACCTCTACCTAGGTAGTTGTTGTAGGTGGGTTGCAAAGCCTGGAGACGGTGGATGCGCACACCGGGTGCCCTGGGTGCCTCAGTACATATCTACCAAGTAGGTACCCAAGTACAGAGTTAGTCGCATTGGCCAGGCAATCTCGACGGCGGTCCACGGGGAACGAAAGGCGCTAGCAGCACTTCAACCCTTCAGGTTTGGCCTAACCCAGAGGACGTCAAAGTCTGCTGCCATCATTGATCGATTGCCGGCATCCCAGGACACGACCAGCCATCACACGCACAACAGCATCGACACCACCGCCGTATCTCATACCATATCTAACCCAACCCGCAGTGCTCGTGCTCCGTCCTCCGCCCTCCGCCCTCAGCCTTCCGTCTCCGTCCTCACCGTCTCGCCCAGCATTGCGCCACCCGCATGGCACGCATGCATGCACTCGTGCTTGTACGATCCTCGCCCCAGCCTGTCCATCTCCATCCGCGGCCAGGCGCTTACCATCCCGCCGTGTCGCAGTCCTAGGACGAGACCATCGGGCGATTCCTGACCATGGCCGCTGCCAGTCACTCGGCTCACTCGGCCACGCCCGCTCCCCTGGCCTCGCATCCCACCACCAACGGCGCCGACCACTACCACCACCAGCATGCACACCACGACCACCGTCCCGCCCCGACCCCGGCCTCTGTCGCCGCCGCCAACAAGAAGAACAAGAACAAGAAGGCCATGGACTCCTCCGAGGCTTCCAAGCTGGTCGCCGCCAGGATCTCCCAGCTCGAGGTCGACAATGCTGCCGAGAAGGAGCAGCAGGAGGAAATCGGTACGTGTTGCTCTCCGCGCCCGCCCCTGTCACGCGACTTCCCCATCGACCACGACCGGCTGTCATGCCGTCTGGCTCGTCCCACGGGATGGGGATCCCCTATTTCCTTGTTTGACGGCCCTGGTGCATCCCGACTTTGCCGGCACCATCCGGGTCTTTCGTTCGTTATTCCCTCGCCTCTGTCGCCGCGTCTCTCTTCATATCACATGCATTTAGCCATATATATATATATCTCTCTCTGTCTCATGCTTCCGCAACGTCTCGGCTAACTGGCATCCAGACCGCGAGGTCAAGAAACACAACCGGGAACTGGCCCACACGACGACCAAGATGAATGACATGGACAAAATCGACCACCTGACCAAAAAGTGTTCCGAGCTGTTTGCCAGCATGAAGCGTCTGGAGCGTGAGAGTGCCAAGAACAAGAAGCGGGCCGACCAGGTTCAGAAGGAGAAGGACGCCAGTCGCAACGAGGCGAGCAAGCAGACCGGCCTGAAGGAGAAGCTCGAGAAGCTGTGCAGGGAGCTGCAGCGTGATAACAACAAGCTCAAGAACGACCACCGCTCCCTCCAGGACGCCCACAGCAAACTGAGAAAGGATTCTGACCGGAGGTTCGAGGAGGCCTTCAAGACGCTCGAGGGCTGGCAGGAGGAGAAGGACAACCCCCGGAAGCAGGTGGTCAACGCCAAGGTCGAGGACCTGATGCGGGCGCGCTTCAAGTCCCTCATTGACCAGTACGAGCTCCGGGAGCTGCACTTCCACTCGCACATGCGCACCAAGGAGCTCGAGGTGCAGTACCACATGGCCCGCTTCGAGGAACAAAAGAAGTCGGCCGAGGCCGAGTCGAGTAAGTCGAGACAGCTTAATAACCAGATCTTGACCTTTCACAAGACGGAAACGGAGCTCCGGACGCAGCTAAATGTCTACGTAGAAAAGTTCCGCCAGGTAAGCCCCCGTGACTCCTCCCAGCTCCAAGCACTAGGGTTGACTTGTGCTTCCCTCCGAAAGGTAGAGGACACACTGAATAACAGCAACGACCTTTTTCTAACGTTTCGAAAGGAGATGGAGGATATGAGCAAGAAGACTAAGACGTTGGAGAAGGAGAATGAGAAGCTCAAGCGGAAGAAGGAGATCCTCGAATCCAACATTGCCAAGATGGCCCAGGACTGGGACAAGGACAAGAAGAGCCTGGCCGAGAAGGACTCCAAGGGCATCATGATGAGGAAGATCATCAACCAGATGCAGAAGCAGGGCCGCACCATGCCGCAGGGCATGCAGGCCGACGCCGACGCCGACGTGGGCGACGACGGCGAGCTGGAAGAGGAGAGTGCCTACGAGGATGACTACGGCGAGGGCGACGAGGGCAGCGACTTTGACGACGAGACCGAGGAGGAGGTCCACGAGAGCGCGCCCGCTCCACGTCCGATGCCGTACGGCCCCGAGCCCCCCCCTTCGCGTACCGCCCAGAAGCAGCCCATCACCAGCACCGCCCCCGTCGCCCAGGCCACGAACGGTCACATTTAGGAGGGACCTCTGCGTTCGGCTGCACGGGTGCCAAGGTCCCAGCTGTGCCGGCGCCCTCGATTAGGACTACTTGGCGGGACTTCCAGGCAACACCAACTTCTTCGCCGCGTTCTGGGAGGGCAACCTCGGCGGGCACTGTCTTCATACGACAGGTTTCCAGCAGTTGAGAGGTTCTTGGTCTTGTCGAGCCTCAACCGGATCTTCGGGCACCAGAGGGGGCCTTTGCCAGTCGCTCGACCTGCCTCGTCTCATACTCACCTCATCATGCTCTGCCCGCCATTTCTCTCCTGTACCATGGCCGCTGCGACGAGAACTCCTGCGCAGCTGCGAAATCGTGCAATTTTCGAGCAGCCGGGGCGCGACGAGCATGCGAGACAATGGCAGAGATCCGTCTGTTGCGACGAGCTCCGTGGGAAACTAGCGTCCCGTCTACGAATAGTTCTAGTGCGACATCTTTTCCCATTCTGAAAGCCGAAGGAAGACGAAGCGCACAAGCGCGCGCTGTACCATTATACCTCATGGGGGACTCCTGGGAGCATCCGACCAAGCGTTTGCTTCTTGTCATTTAGCAGAAGGGAGGCCGCCCTCATAGCGCCGTGATTTGTATACTCACTCGAACAAATACTGCTTGTATGTATGCGACGAATTGACTTCATAATCCCAAGGGGGCGCGGGCGTGCGCGCCAACGATCGTGGATCTGCGACGTGTGACAATGTTTGATTTCATTCGCATTCACATTCCCGGGTATCTTTTCATCCCCCCACGATTTATCTCTACCCTATCCGAAAGCCTACTAGTAATGGGAAGCCGTTCACTCTACCTGGCGGCGGGGGCCTTTTTGGTCCCCGCCCTGCCCTTTATCCTCGCCGGCCCCAGGTCGCGCCGTATCTCGTCCAGCTGCTCTGTGCCGTTCTTCCAGCCGCCCTTGCGCATGTGCTTCTTGCCGATCTGCTTGTAGCCGCCCAGGAAGTCGTCCAGCACGCTGTCGAAATCGCCCCGCATGGGCCCGTCGATGGTGGAGGCCGTCGAGACGGCCGACACGGAGCCCATGCCGTCGTCGTCAAAGTCGGCCTGGTACTGCTCCTCGACCTTGTCGAAGCGGGCGTCGAGGATGCCGAGCTGCTCGGTGCGGACCAGCGACGACGAGGTCATGGAGTAGGACGACGCGTCCGTCAGGGCACCCTTGCGCTTCTTCCTCCGGCCGCCGTTGGTGGTCGTGGTCATGATGGAAGACTGCAGGTCGGACTGTGATGGCGGGCCTCCCAGCTTCCGCGAGCCGGTCGCCTTCTGGTCCTTCTTGAAGGCCTTGAAGTCCTCCATCCAGTTCACTGTGTCGGCGGCCTCGGCAGCCTCGTCGGCATCTAGGTCCGGGACGGGTACCAAGTCGGGGACCACATCGCCGTCCGCAGCCGTGGCAGCTCTGTACTCGTTGCCCGGTTTTGCCGTGTCGTCCGTCTCCCAACCGTCGTCGGCGACCTCGTCGAACTCGTAGTCGTCAATCTCCTCGCCGTCCCTGGTCAGAGACTGGAAGATGTCGTCGCCTTCGTCGTTGTCCACGTACTCCTCGTCTTCCAGGGCCTCGAGGACCTCGCGTAACCGGGGGTCCATGTCGGGCTGGAAGCCACCGATGGCGTCGGGCACGTCTTGCATGTCCTGGTAGGTCTTGTGTGTGAGGTTTTTGCTGGGCAGGAAGTCCTCGTCGAAGAGGTCGCGCTTCTTGTCGGCTTCAGCCTGGATGTCGAGGTCGCGGAGGGCGGACTCGAGGCTCTTCTGCTGCTGCTTGGCCTTGGCCTTGCCGCGGTTGGTGCCTGCGGCGTCGGCCTCGATGAACATGACGTCGCCGCCGCCGGAGCGGTCGCCCAGGTCGCGCAGGTGCTGCATGTAGTCGTACTCGGTGTCGTCGTAGTAGACGCCGTAGTTGGCGGCCTCGCCCTCGTTGGCGCGGACATTGGCGGCGTCGACGCCCAGCTCCGAGGCCAGGTCATCGAGGTGCTTGGACCGGTCGGCCGGCTTGGACGAGGAGGAGGAGGAGGAGGAGGAGGCGGCGGCGGCCTGGGCCGGGTCGGTGGGGTTCAGGATCATGGACGGGGCCGACTCATCGTGGATGAGGGGGTCGTTCTGGGGCCGGTGCACCAGGGTGAAGTGCTGGGCCGTCTTCTTGTTGATCCATGACTTCTTGGGCATCTTGGCGGGCGGTTGTGGGCGTTGGGACGCCTCGGACTACAGATGTGGAGCGGACCAGCAGGCGGGTGTGTATGTGTGTGGTCTTTCTGTGTCCAGTCGGGCCCGCGGCGAGAGGTAAATGAGAGAAGGAGACTGCTGTCGGTCGGTCTGTGTGTGTGTCGTGTATCGGTTTGTCGTCGAAAAGGGCGATCGGCTTGGTGCAACACGTTGAGGCGGGTAGTGGTGGGCTGTTGGTGGGATGGATGGAAATCAGTCAATTATTTAACGGCCTTTCGTCGTCCACCAGGGTCCTCCTCCTCTTTAGGGACTGTGGGACAGGCAGTGGGTGGGTAGGCAGAGGGGGAAAGGGAAAAAAAAAAAAAGTTGAAATCGCTGGTGGGGTCGCACCGGCTTATCGCCTATCGCTAAAATGTGCCACTATGGTACCGGTACACCACGTAGGGCGGCAGTGGGCTGGTGGCCTGTCCCGCCCACGGCCAGCCTGTGACGCAGCGCTGGGCCGGCCGTTTGGGCCCTGAAGGCCTTTTTACCTGGACTACCTAGGCTTGCTAGGGTACCTGATGGGCGGATAAGAAAAGTCGAAAGTTTCGCCCCGCGAGCCCCGCCATTATTCAGCAGAGGGACAGAGAGAAAGTAGAGCAGTAGTTGGCGACAGCACAAAGATTATCAAGATCAACCCGCCTACACACTCACTCTTGACCACTTCCGTCCAAGGGTCTGATCATATTAATTCCTCTTTGGCAAAGAAGGGAAAGAAAGAAGAAAAAAACTTAACAGCAAACACTGCGGTCCCGTGGGACATCTCTGTTGATCCAAGTGTCGAGGACCACCGTCGCCCAAGATGCCGTTGGCAAAGTCCAAGCAGGCCGTCGGCCTCGGCAACTCGCTGATGAACGATCGCTTCGGGAAGGGCAAAGGATCTGATCGCAAGAAGGCTTCCGCCGTCACCCGTACCAACCATGCCACCGGAGAGCAGGTATGTCCATGTCCATGTCCATGTCCATCGTCGCACGGCACCCAGCTAACAAGGCGCGCCGCAGTACATCACCAACGATCGCAAGGAGGCGTCATGGGTCAAGATGCGCTCCGTCACCGAGCAGTCCGCCATGGACGAGTTCCTTGCCACCGCCGAGCTTGCTGGCACCGACTTCACCGCCGAGAAGATGAACAATGTCAAGATCATCCACACCGACCAGCGCAACCCCTACCTCTTGTCCGCCAACGAGGAGAGCACCGTCCGCGGCAAGCACAACAAGCACAAGGCCCGCCTGACCGTACCCAGGAGGCCCAAGTGGGACCAGAACACGACCCCCGACCAGCTCGATGTCCTCGAGCGTGAGAGCTTCCTGAACTGGAGGCGCGGCCTGGCCGAGCTGCAGGAGAACAACGATCTGCTCATGACCCCCTTCGAGCGAAACCTCGAGGTCTGGCGCCAGCTGTGGCGCGTCATTGAGCGCAGCCACCTGATCGTCCAGATCGTCGATGCCCGAAACCCCCTGATGTTCCGCTCCGAGGACCTGGAGGGCTACGTCAAGGACGTTGACAAGAGGAAGGAGAACCTGCTGCTCGTCAACAAGGCCGACATGATGACCGCAAAGCAGAGGAAGGCCTGGGCCAGGTACTTCAAGAAGGAGAAGATCGCCTACAGGTTCTTCTCGGCCCAGCTGGCCAAGGAGATGATCGAGGCCAGAGATCTGGAGGATGAGTCCGAGGAAGAGGCAACCCAGGGCCCGAGCTCGAGCTCAGCACCCAAGCCTGCCTCTCAGAACGGGTCCGAAGACGATTCTGAAGATGACAGCGAGGACGATGAGCATGAGCCGGCTGGCGTGGCATTGGAGGAAGACGACGATGACGACACGAGAATTTTAACCGTGGAGGAGCTGGAAGACATTTTCCTAGAGCATGCTGCAAAGCCCGATCCTGACAGTTAGTCTTCCCATATCTCTCTCTCTCTTTCCTTTTTTTTTTTTTTCTTTCTTCTTTGGGCAAGTTTCACTGCTAACCCTTCCGTCGTAGACCCAGATGAGAAACTGCAGATAGGACTTGTCGGCTATCCAAACGTAGGAAAGTCGTCGACTATCAACGCTCTCATCGGTGCCAAGAAGGTCTCGGTCTCGTCGACGCCAGGAAAGACGAAACACTTCCAGACTATCCACCTCAGCGACAAGGTTATCCTGTGTGACTGTCCAGGTCTAGTGTTCCCCAACTTCGCCACAACCAAGGCCGACCTCGTCTGCAACGGCGTGCTTCCCATCGACCAGCTGAGAGAGTATACGGGACCGGCAGCACTCGTTGCTCACCGTATACCACAACCCTTCCTCGAAGCCATTTACGGCATCCACATCAAGACGCGGCCCATAGAAGAAGGAGGTACCGGCAGGCCCACCGCCAGTGAGATCCTATCGGCATACGCCAAGGCACGTGGATTCCAGACGCAGGGCGTGGGACAGCCCGACGAGTCCCGCGCTGCGCGTACAGTTCTGAAGGACTACGTCAACGGCAAGTTGCTGTACTGCGAGCCTCCCCCAGAGTACCCGGATGCCGCCGAGTTCAACCGTGAACTGTACGATGCAACCCATCTTCCAGAGAAGCGCCGTGCCCAGCTACAGGCCGCCATGGATGCTCTGGAACTACCAGACGACGAGTCGACCGTGGACACGGAAATCCTGGCTCTGCCAACCGGTGCCAAGTCCCAGAGACTTGACAAGGCCTTCTTTGCCAAGAACGGCGGCAACGCAGGACACGTGACCAGACCTTTCAACTTCAAGTACTCGGAGCAGGGCCAGGCGCAGGCCGCACGCGCGAAGCATCTGACTGGACGCAAGGCCAAGGCTATGATTGCTTTGGAGACGGGACTGGATCCGAAGGACGTGCAGTTGACCAGCTCCAGCGGCAAGAAGCATTTCAAGGGGGGTGTCAGGGGTAAAAAGAAGAAGACGGAAGATGATGATTAGAGCATCACTTGATTATACCAGGCTAGCAATTGAGAGAATACTACAATGCCTCACACACATGGAACGATCAAAGCTCCAGATCCAGCCCTTAAATCCTGCAAGAACTTCCAAAAAAAATCCGGGGCAGCAGCTTTCCCATCATTCTGATCAAGCCACTCGATTCACTCATCCACACAGGTTACAAAACGATCCTTCTTTCCAGAATGCTTCTCGGCTTCGTACACGAGCTTCGTCATGCGTGCTATTATCCTCCTCCACATCCAGGCGACCATCATTCACGGTGCTCATTTCGTCATCATCGAGCCCATTAGCTGTGCGATCTATCTTCAGGACAAGTCGTTCCTTGTCCGCGGATCGTTTTCAAATTCTCTTCTATCTTTAATGTAGCGGTTCGTCTAAAGATCCGGAGTCCATGGACCAATACTCCAACAAACCTTGATGGCGTACCAAATCGTCCAGGACGCTGTGAAGAAATCCGTCTTCCCCACCTGCTGGTTGAATTCGTGCTTGCGATTCTCGTGAATTACAAGGCACGCGGCGGTAATCAACGCGAGCAACCGTGGCCGGAAGTACCACAGCGCCGTAGCGATTAAGTCGATGCGGTGCTGCTCCAGCTCGGGGTTGTGGGATATGAAGTGGAAGGCCGGTCAGGAAGAATGCCTCGAGCTTGGGATGGATCAAAATGGAAACGCAATTCTGACAAGCAGATAGGAACAGGGGAACAAACAGAGTGATGTGGAAAGTCTTGCTCAGATATTTTGGTGGTTTAAGCGCCACGGTTCACGCTCAGTCGATGGTAAACGGACCACACCCTCTAACTTGATTCCTTAGTTGCTCGCCCACTCTGATCCTCTGTGCATTTTCATTCGAATCCAACCTGTCATCGCTATATCATGACTGAAATAATACATGATGCGATGGCTCAACAGGACTATGTCTCTCCTGAAACAGCACCTTGGCAAAGCATTCTCCATGGTTACAATTCATTTCAATTCGAACCAACGAATGGGATAGGCGAGCACCAGCTTGGCTTGGTAGTCCTTCGTGGCTGTTGCCCTTATGACGGGCAACGTGCAACACAACTCGTTCCTCTGATGTCAATCCGATCTGCTTACCCTTATTGTACGAATCATCGTCCGAACAGCTCACGTTGATTGGCCTGTTCCATCCCTCGTCCAACTGGCCACGCAGTATATGCCAACACCACGTCGCCGTTGGTGGGAGGTCGGCAAGTAAGGACTGTCTGGTCTGATTGAGTTTGATTAGGAAGCTTTACCGTACACCAAAGCCGGATGATGCTACTATACGATCTCTCTAGGTGGTCCCAGCACCTTTAAACTGAAATACGTTGGTTACCTAGGTACTTGAACAGCGTTTTTAAATTGATCGAATCTGGTGCTTTAGCGGGCGTGGCTATGATTGGCCCCCTACTGCCAGTTGATCCGAAAAAGGCAAAGGTGGCAAGGTAAATTTTATGAAAACTTCCGCATTAATTGACAGAGATACTTATGCTAGACGGCACTGACACCTGCCTAAGTTAACTGAAATGGTGTATCCAAACCAAATCTCCAAGTGCGAGCGCAGAATCTAGCCAATGGACGGCTGGACCGCTGGAACTGTTGATGTGGGCGGAAGATCTTGCTGTGCAAAAGTACCGTACCTTTGTCCAGTGTCATTGGCGTACTTTTCGCAAGCCCAGGCACCTCCCTACCTTGGTGGCTGGGTGGTGCCGATAGAGCACTGGCCCCTGCCACCCCGCCCTCGCGACCTACTCAGGGCACGCATGACGGCCGTTGGCGCTGCAACGGATATGTTCTGTGTCATCCCTCACTCATGTTCAAATTGTGATAAGCAAGATGGTCTTGAAAGCCTTGTCGACAAAGTCGGGCGACGGACAGGTGCCAGACGCTGAGAATGGCGCGCCAAAGACGACTGCTCCATTTGGACTGTGGGAAAGCGAGATTAGCAAGGATGCCGTCTTCAGCAATAGCTGGTCGATGATGTCCCCGAGGGTTTGCGTAAGTCACTCGGCAAATTGCCCTCCAGGCAAGACTGACACAAGTCTAGAGGAGAACGGGGCGGGCATTCTTCTGCGAGGCGCGGTCCGATGGCAAGACCCACCTGATGGAAGTTCGAGACGGAGAGTGTATCGACGTTCTTCCAGCGGGCTTCAGTGCTCAGAGTCGTGTATACGAGTACGGTGGCAGTCCATACGCAACTTTACCAGAGGGCCAAATCCTCTTCACCAACTTCGCAGATAACTCATTGAACATTCTTCGTCTAGAATCCGGCTCCTCTGAACCCCTTGCGCAGAGTGCCACTCTGCGTTATGCTGATTTCGACGTCCACCCTGGCGATGAGCCGTGGGTGCTGGCCGTTCAAGAAGATCATGAGTTCGATATTCCTGACAAGGTCAGAAACTATGTTGTCGCAATCAACTTCAAGACCGGAGACATCAAGAGATTAGTCGAAGGAGCAGACTTCTATATGTTTCCAGGCTTCTCTTCCGACGGCAAGAAGATCTGCTGGGCCGAATGGGACTTTCCTGGCATGCCTTGGGCCGGTGTGCGTCTATTCTGGGCCGACTGGTCAGACGGAGGTATCAAGGCTGAGACCATCGAGCTCGTGGCCGGCAGCACCGAGGCGACGGTGACAGAGCCAAGATGGGGTCCTGATGGATATCTATACTTCGCGCTAGAGGCGACCAACTACTATCAACTCTACCGTCGGGGACCTGATGAGGCGGCAGCCAAATTGATCGATTTACCTGGCTTGAGAAACGTTGAATTCGGAAGTGCCAAGATGGCTTGCGGAAGGTAAACGCATCCAGACCAAACCTGCCTATGCATAAGCTAATACCATCCAGTCACACGTATGCGATACTCTCGAGCAACAGACTCGTGGCCGCCTGTACAGACGGTGGCTCAGATAGATTCATCTCGGTAGACCTCGATACCTTTGAGCTGACGGAGCTGTCATTGCCGTTCTCAACCGTACATTTCGATGGCATTGAGCGGGTCTCAGAAGATTCGTTCCTGTTGATTGCGGATAGTTCAACCCGGCCGCAAGTTGTTTGCAAGGTTCAGCTCACAGCTGATGGCGCACAGCATGTAGTTCTGCGCGACTCCACGGACCAGCAACTCCCAAGCTCCGTGTTTTCCGTTCCCGAGGCTATTCGATTTCCGGCGAAGAAGGGACTCAAGCGTGATGTTCATGGATTCTTCTGGCCTCCTCATAATCCTCGCTACCAGGGTCCTGATGGCGAGAAGCCGCCGTTGATCATCCAATCCCATGGAGGCCCTACTGGCCATACACCACCCGCCCTTATGCTCTCGTTGCAGTACTGGAATGCGCGGGGATACGCGACATTCGCAATAAACTACACTGGCTCCGACGGGTATGGGAAAGAGTATCGGGAGATGCTCAATGGCCGATGGGGTGTCATTGACGTCGACGACGTTGCCGAGTGCGTCCAGTATCTCGCCGAAACAGGTCGCGTTGATGGTTCCAGAATTGGCATCAGAGGTGGAAGCGCCGGCGGCTACAGCGTGCTACAAGCGCTCTGCTGCTACCCAGAGATCTTTGCCGGGGGGGTATGCCTCTTCGGAATCAGCGAGGTGAGGCTGCTTCTTGAAACAACACACAAGATGGAATCACGCTACGTCGACATGCTTATGTTCACGAACGATATGACTGAGGAGGATAAAAGGAAAGTAATGAAAGAACGCTCCCCTGTCTACCATGCCGGAAATATTACCGCGCCGCTTCTTATCCTGCATGGCGAAGAAGACAAGGTTGTACCTATCTCGCAGGCCTACACTATGTATGATGATATCAAGAGACGAGGAGGTCAGGTTAAGCTGGTTAAGTTCCCAGGGGAAGGCCACGGGTTTCGGAATGGCGCCAATCGGTTGCTGTCACAGGAAGAGGAAGAAGCTTGGTGGAAGAAAACGTTGGTAAAGGCAAGAGTCCACGCATAGGCGAACTAGGCCGACAGTGCATCTTCACCTACAGCCTGAATTGACACCCCGTATTGGTATTACATGGCCGCAAGCTCAAGTGTGCGGCTCATGGTGCTCGCAGAAACCAAAGTCTGGATGCAAGTATGTCTATGTTGGTGATATAGTTCTCATATATGATAGCTTTGCACTCACCCTCGACAACCAAATTCCAAAGGTCGCACAGAGACACAAGATCTTGCGCTACCGCAGACCCTAAACCCCAAAGTTCTGTTATAGTTACTGCAGTCGTAATGAGGCTGCATTCATTCGAGGCGTCCTACGTAAACTCACATATGCAAGCTACCTGCAGACGATAGGATACTGCTAATTTCATTGGTGCCTCTGAGGTAATGATGAATCGGCAAGGGTCAAAATGAATGAACTGGTCATCTCACAATGCATATTCGGCATTTCTGTGCGCCGACTGCCCTCCCAAGCTGGAAGTTTGAGATGCGCGATGCGCAGGCTTGAAGAGACGGCCAACCCCATGCCGGGACATGAGGATCACCCCGATAGTATGGAAGGCAGTGAACCTGCAGTCAACCAAGGGAATTTGCCAACGTATATATCTATATGATGCCACCGGATCTCAAGAAAAGTGTAATTCTTGAGTCATTGCCCTTAAAGCCTCGAGAGCGGCATCGCCACGGAGTACAAAGCTGCCTAGCCCAGTTCGTGTGGTGGATGAAGAACGTAATCTGCGCATCACAATCTCCTGCAGAAGCGTTAAGCACATCATGCTTTTCACATAGCTACATAGATCAACGAAGGAGATCTATGACTACGCCGGTCAGTGTAACCTTTTGTTGTGATTCATCACGGCTTACAAAGAGCACAACGGTTCATCTCGGCACTCTCGTCCACGTCGTAGTACGGCGGACGATGAGGACCAGAAAACAGAATAAGAAAAGAAGGGAAAGGAACAAGACGACAAACCAATGGATCCGTATATTGCAAGCCTCAAAAGTCACATGCGGCTATGACATGGTCCGATCCGACCATGGATTCCTCTGGATAGTTCACCTGTCAAGCTGTTCCACGCCTAAACGGTTGGGTTCGAACCTTGCCAGCCGATTTAGTCCTGGAACAAGATGCTGAGATGAGAAAGGAGCTTACCAGTATCATATCGTAGGTTCACACGCAACTGCAAGCTATTCATGTCGATGCGGGTTCCATCTCAATCACCCGCACCCATGCTTACTGCGAGTATAGTCAATATCAGCCGGTGCTCAAGTTTCTCTTTTGAATGGAAAGACTCATATCTTCCAACTGCAGGGGAATGGATTGGCCCACCAAATGAGGTTTTTGTCGAATCATACCACAACGCTGATATCGACATCATCACAAAGTGGATCAGATGCCAGAGCGAGCCGTGAAATGGACCTGGTCATCCAAGCCGAGGCTGGTGGTGAAACCACAGCAGCTATCCAGAAGTCGGGGAGCAGATCTATGAAAAGGAACTGCCGGCTGAAGGCAGTGGCACGCCCGCAGAGCGATAGCATATCGAGACGTATGAGCTTCCGCAAGCTGGACGGCAAGGTGATTTCTAACGCTGAAGCATCTGCCGTCCGCGAACAAAAGGCAAGAAGACTGAACCGAATGAGATAAGTCAACTCAGAGGGGTATGTCATAAAATTTAAAAATAAGGGAGTTCATGACGACTTTGTAGTGTACCTAGCCGTAACGTAGGCTATTATCTTTTGTTCTATTGGCCAGTAGGATGAACCTCGCTCTCTGGAAAAATACTGGAACAGCAGTGTTCCTCGGACGGGCAAAACGGTAAGCCTGCATTGGCAACGCCAAAATGACGATACAGCAGCACATGAGCTCAAGTTCTAGGCCCTGCATGCAAGCGAAAAAGAACACTCCATCAGGATACAGGTCAACATTCTACTGAAACGGACAGATGCCCACCGTTCATTGTAATGGATATCAAGTGAGTAGCCGCGTACGGAAGGCTGGGCCGTCCGTGGTTTGCCACTTATATGGTTGTCCTCCGACGGTCATTACATGTTATGTAGAACGGAAAATGCATCATGCTCATCCGTATTTCATTGGATGCGGAATGAAAAGACGCATGAGAGCCGCTTCAAGCAATGCTGCTTCCATCATTTATCGCTGTGGTCCCTAGGGTGTGCCCCTAGCTAGGGAGGATCCGGCTGCATGATGACGCAGCAAAGCCGCGCGGACAGATCGTGCCGATACAGCAGCAACCTGCAACCTGCCAAATGTGAGGGATTCCCATATGCTTAGATACTATACATCCCAGGACTCTGATAACCTGAACCCATTCGGAGTCTGAAAAGGAGATACGATCAAGCACCTACGTCGGTTCCACTGGTATTGCTGGCAGGGCCCTCATCCACCGTCACAGGGCGCTGGACCCACTAAAGATCCGCTTTGGGCCTCCCACCATGGTAACTGGAAGGGTAAGAGATCCAACTACATCGGCGCGTAGCTTAACCTTATTTGCACCCTGTCAGTCAAGGCAGGCAATAATGGCGGCGGGGAGCAAAAATTAAGTCTGCAATACGCATGGTAGGATTCCTGCTATGTCGGATGTGCCAATCTCGATCCAAAACCTCCCTCCTGGCGGCAAGGCCCCATGGTTGCCAGCTCACCCAACCAAGTTATCAGGGGCCCCCTCGGACCGCTGCCGGTATCTCGGGACCCGCTTTCTCGGGTCATTCTCCAGATGACCACGAGACAGTGCTGTGGAGGCAGATAACGGACAGCAGCCGAGTGTGCTTTGGTCTGTGCTAGATCCTCAAACTCGGGGTAGCTGTTCAACCCTAGCTCATGGTTCAGGCCTCCATGCTTGGAGCAAGCTTGTGTCTACGCAGTATGACGAATGGGTCTTGGTACTTGCCAGAGTACCTAGCTCCATCCAGCGATGTCACTTACAGGTGCAGAGTGTCTTTGTTATGAACCAAGCATCCACAGGTTCTGGAGGAATATAGCTATGCGGATGTAGAACTTGGACACCACCTGCACTCAAGGAAATAGATATACCATTCCTCAGTCCTGAACTGCTGCTACTCATCGACGATAATTAGCAATACCCTTGCACTCTCCCTGAACGTGAGATACCGATGTGCAAACAACACTTGTAGCGCTGTAGACAAAGCACTTTCCATCCAACTTAGGTAACTACCGTCTTCGCGCACGCGAGACATACAAGTCAACTCAAAAAAGCCAGCTGTCCTACGGCCGATCACGCGCGCTTCCCCCAGGCAAAGATCTCTCAGCGTGGATCTGTAGGTCTATCGCTGAGATATCGGTGAAGCAGGTGAATCTTTAGCAATATCAAGGGTGCTAAAGTTGGTCTCAGGTGACCAGCTCACCTGGGCAGGTTTCCTTGGTTGAGGTGTGGTTAGCTGCCAATTTTAGCTGCAACCCAAGACCAGAACCCCACCATGGGCTTGCATCATCCCCGAGCCTCTGCCCCTCACCACGTCTACCTGCATCATTGCGACCACCTACTGCACTACCTGTGGACGAGCATATTCCTCCTCAGCGTTCTAGGTAAGAAAGAACATCCGCCTTGCCTCGCCTTTGCATTCGGGCTGCCAACGACGGATCATCTGATTCCAGCCTCCGCTGGACAATCCACTGCTTCATCCACTAATTAACAAGCTCCGACAGCGGGGCTGCAGTACATCACCAACGGTACTCCAGCATCACTAGCAGCGACTCAGACCTCGATAACGGTTTCGCTTCTGGTAATCTGCGCATTCTGTTTGAGCAGCTTGAGGTCCCTGCGGCCTCCCTCGCAGAATCTCACGCCATTTCTCCAACCTCATCTCTGCGTTTACCCTGGTGACGCCGGCCGTAATCATCGGCGTCAAGTCACTGGAGCCTTATCGGTCGCGGCAATCTCACCCCGAGGTAAGTCATCCCACTCAGCACCAGGCCGCGGTCTCCCCAATTCAAAGGAGTTCCGCTCAAAGACGCCTTGCTGCTTATGTCAAATCTGTCCCATCCGTTCTTGCTACACGCTTTGGGTGCTCCAACCTCCTTTCTAAGCATGGAAAGAACGCTTGCTGGCAAAACGTCTGACTTCATTGCACTGGACGTTAGGCGACGGCAGCACCTGAGCAACAGACTGTTTTGTGTCCCTCGATTGCTTAGCCGTAGAACATCAGGGACACTCGGTACGCTAACCTCATTTTAGTGTTTCTCTATCAGATTTGGGATCCTAAGGATTCCCTTAGACAACGCACCACGGCTGAGAAGTCGATCATGAGAGAAAGTATCGAGTCTACGCAGTCCGACGGAGGAGGGGGAGCGGGCTTTGAAGCTCAAGCGCAGCTTCTATATGACGATTCTAGCGATGTCGCCATGTCAGGAGCCGATATCGTGTTGGCCACACCACATCAGGTGATTGATGACGGCTTTGTGGCGCCATCCGGGCCTCTACAGGCAGATGCCTCCTATCCCAATACTCGTTCGCAGGCGAGACGCCAGAGTCTCAAAAATGCCGTAGTGCGGCCCACGCCATTTCTTTCCCGGCTACAGACTGCTTCGACTGCGCCCACAGTGGCAAATTCTGGTTCGCGGCTTGAAGACGCCAGAGATATACGGTATGCGGGAGAAGATGAGGACCAGGATGAAGAGACTACGGGAAGTTCGACTGGGGGGGCTGTCGGGGGCCTGTCGTTGGTTCCGGATTCAGATTTGCGCCAGCTTGGAGCTAGACGACGGTCTCCTAAGATCAAACCCCCCAAAACGGCGCTTTCAAGCGGTATTTCGTCAAGGAAACCACGCTTCAGTCGGCCCAAGGTGCAAAGGCAGCCAGGATATCCTCCAAGACGCTCAGCCCGGCTCGCGAGGGCTTGCACCGAGTTCCCCAAGTATTCTGCCCTTCCCGATGAGTTGAAGATCCTGATCTGGCATCATGCTGTTACTCCTCGCCTGGTCTACATACGCAACAGGGTTGCGCCAGCTTGGACCCCTAGCATCCAGACCCGGCGGCCAAAATGGTTCATGGCGGACGGAATCTCTCAGGAAGCAGCCAGAGAGGCTTACCAGAAGATGTTTGCCGTCACCAGCCCCTTCGCCGGCGGCTCCAACACGCTGACGCGCCAAGACGTCAACCCCAACACTGATATCATCATACTAGAGCCATGCTGTAATGGCTGCCGAGGGCGCTACTGCGCCTCTATTCAGTTCTCCGAGGACGATCGGCGCGCTGTCCGTTTCCTAGCCGTGCAAACCGACTCTCCCAATCTGGCGCCGCAAGCTAAACCATGTTGGGAGACGATCACCTCGGCTTTCTGCAACACTGAAACCCTTTATCTGATGAAAACTGCTCTGAAGGGAGATCAACAGGGTGATAAGGCACTGATCCGGATTCGGGAGGGCGATCGTGAGGTCTCTCTTCGGAAAGGCTTTGACGAGTGGAAGAAGGGTGCCGGCAAGGACAAAGCATTGACGAAGCTCGAGTTTGTGGTCGTCACTAATAGTGATCACGAGACGGAGAAGGTGGCAGACCGTTACAAGGACGTCGAAGAGCGGAAGACGGGCCTGCCGGAAGACATCATTATCGGATAAGACGGCTTACATTCTGGAGTTTTCCGAGGTCCCGGCAAGCGATTTCATTACGATACCCCCAAACACGGAATTGATACCACTGGAACCAGGGAAATGGGGGCATGCGTCATTAGGCAGGGTTTTCACGGGCGTCCTCATTCATCTACTCAAGCATACGGCAGCCCACCGTGGAGGGGCAAGGGGCAACGGCGTATACAGCTAGATCATTCATGGCTTTTATAGGGCTGGCAAGGGTTTCTGCACTCTGTATATCTGGAGCGCCCTGTAATTTCGAGACCCGATACTGTACGTAGAGGATAAACCTCCGCTTGCTTTGTTAATAGAGAATTTCTTCCACAAGATGAAGACTTTTTAGCAGCTGTGCTATTAAACTCCGATTACTGTTTAGGCTCATCCATACCTTGCGATATTACGGGCAGTCGCACTATTAGGATTTTCAAAAGATGGGAATCTGTGAAACAAGTCACACTAGCATGCATGTTTTCTGTCAAACCTGTTGCACTCTCTTCGCGACTTAGCGCGGCCAAGCTAGCTCGAAACAGGTCTCTCCCGGCGCCCGACGTTGTAGAAAGCCTCCAAGAGGTTTTGGTGTCAGTATACACCGCCTAGATGCAGGTCAGTGTGACAGCTTGGCAGTGCGGAACGTTGGATGCCCATTTTGGAACGTACATGGATGGGTAAGGGGAGTTGGCTAGGTGGGGCCGAGGAGTGGACCGCAGTGGGGATCCCGATCAGGATCCAGTTATTCGGGGGCATTAGTGCCGGACGCTCCCGCTGTTAGTGGATCTGACCCGGCAGTAGGCTCTTTCGTCCTCACATGTTTTCCCGCTCTATGTCCCATGGACAAACATACAGTGAGCACGAGGGAATTTCTGTGGAATTTGAAGCAATCTCTACATCCTTTTAGACCTTCCCCTCCCCTTTGCCCCATCCCGCCGGAGATCTGTGGGGCAATTATAACCGTAGCGTACGAGGCGCATCCGTCTCGTCAGCCCATTGCAAAAGTGCCCCAACACGGTTCAAACCCATGCGCTAACGACTCACGACTTCAAGGATGAGCCGTAGTACATTTTTGCGAACGCACTGTTGCTTTCTTTGAGTAAGTCGGTCGGCCGTCCGAGTTCTACTAGCCGACCGCCATCGAGCACCATGACCTTGTCAAAGTCCATCAGGCTGGAAAGCCTGTGGGCGATCATGAGTATGGTGTAGTCCTTGAACTCGGACCGTATTATTCCTTGCATCTGCTCATCCGTCTGGGTATCAACACTAGATGAGAAGAGTTAGAGACTGCCCCCGCGTGTACTGTTCAGCTTGGACGATGCCCCCTTACCTGCTAGTTGGCTCGTCGAGGATCAAGACTTTGCCGGGCTTGAGCATGGCTCTCGACAGGCAAAAGAGCTGGCGCTGCCCGTGAGACAGGAATTCCGAGTCCATGAGCGTGTCGAGAACACCGCCAATATCTCTATTCTTGTCCGATACCTTATCCTGGAGGATGCTCCAGAGTCTCACCTTTTGTAGCGCTTCGACGATGGCCTCGTCTGTTGATTTTCCGAGGGGATCCGCGTTTGATCGGATGGATGCTGGGTACAGGAACGGGTCTTGCGTCAGGCAGTTCAGCCTCTCGCGGATAACTGAGCCTGTGAGTGTGGATAGGTCTTCACCGTCGAGCACAATGCTCCCGGAGACGATATCGATCATCCTCATGATAGCAAGAGTGCAAGAGCTTTTACCACTACGTTTCCAAGAATCAGTGCGGGCTCGAGGCGCGAGATTCAAAAACAGACCTTCCTGTCCTTCCAACAATGCCTACTTTCTGGCCTCCCTCAACTGAGAATGTCAAGTCCTTCAAGACAGGTGCGGCGTTCTTCCTATACGCAAGGCACAAATTAGTACGTTTCTATAGAGCTTGGGTATTCTGACATACCCGTAGCTGGCTGAAACCCCTTCAAATCTGAGGACTCCCCGACTTGGCCAACTCGAGCCGGGGCTGTCGCTCTCCTCGGGGCTCTTCTCGACAGGGGTGTTCTCTGAAAAATCTTTGATACGGGCAATTGCACCAAGGGTCGTTTCGAGCATCGTATAGTGCTGTACTAGTTGCGTCAAGGCATGGGAGAGGCTCATCATACCAAGGAGAGCCAGTCCGAGGAAACCAGCATCAAGCTTGGAACGTAATGCGACGGCCATACCTACGAGGATTATCGCGAGGCCAGCAACGACGAGATCTAAAACGAGCACCAGCCATCTCTGGACACAGAACAAGACTTTTGGAAGGCACGCACATTAGTTTGCAATCAAAATGCGACTTGCAGAGTACATTTCCTAGGGATCTTACGGTAGAAGGGTTTCTGTGACTCATCGAGAAGGCGTCTGTTCCTTGATGTATATTCTTGGGCCCACCCAAAAGCCCGAATCGTCGCCAGACCAGATGACGTCTCAATCAAATGAGAGAATAGGGGTGCGTTCGCCTCGATCCTAACATCATTTCAATATATGTTCTTCAAAATTAGGGCTTTCCGACTTACTCCAAGAGTCTAAGCTGACGAGATGTTCTGAGATAGAAGCTCTGGATACAGTAAAGTACTCCGCAGACGAAAGGGAGGACCACTGCAAAGTAACTGACGGCGATAATGTTCATGGTAACAATCACCAAACAACTTCCGATTTCTGTTCTGGAGTTTAGCAGTGGGATAATTCACAGGCTTACGGCCATGCCAGACTTACGGAATGACACATTTATGAGAGAACCTGGGAGGGCAATATCTGCAAGCCGAATATCTTGACTGAATCTGCCCAGAGATTAGTATAGCTGCCATGTATGACCATAATACAGAATACTAAGGATATACCTATTCACTAGAATGCCAGTCTCGGTATTTGCAAAGAATGACATTGGAGCTCTTCGGTCGGTGTTAATAACATATTGCATCCTTCTTATCAGCGCATGTTCGGCAGTGGACTGACCTCATTGCAGCGTCAAGCATAGACTTGTGCAGATTGTTCCCCGACCTTGGACAAATATATACCCAAAGCCACCTAGGGACATTAGTTTTCTACGCCAGTAGTCTCGCCAAATTCGCTGCTACTTACGCTATCGCAGAGACCATACCTCCCCCTTTAAGAAAGCAAAACAGCGCATAAAGGCCAAGCCAATATCCCAGGCCATGGTTGCTATTGGTCTCGTTGCTCGATGCCCACCATTTAATCCAAGTATCTGGGTTTTGGTCAGCAAATTTCCGCTAACAAGAGAACATCCGGGAAATCCTACTGTTCACAGCAATAAATACCTCATTCACGGTGATGAATCCTACGAAGAGTGCGAGGGGCCAACGACCCAGAGCACGAGTGTAATACTTCCATGTTGACCAGTCCCCTGTTTTACGAGCCATGTCATCAGTCACTGTAGCGGATGGGCCGCTCTTTGAAGCCTTCTCGAGCTCTTCGATCTTAGCTCCTTGTTCCTCGGTGTGACATTGCTCCTCGAGTTTGACCTGAAGGCTCTGTATGTAATTGCCCGCTATACTGAGCTTCTGGAAAGTTCCTTGCTCAACGACTCTACCTTCATGGTCAAGTGCAAGAATCAGATCGGCATGCGGCAGTCGTTTTACTAGATCAGGTTAGTAATATCATCCTGAGCCTCGTCCGACGTACTTTACCAGAATGTGTAGCAAGGATGACGGTCGTATTTGTTTTGCGGAAAAGGCCTGTGCTACCAAATACTCGTTGGAAAACGATATCCTCTGTGACCGAGTCCAACCCGCTAAGTACATCGTCTAGTATAGCTAAGGGTTTTCGTGAATAAACAGCGCGCGCGATGGACTATCACAAAATCAGCCTTAGAACTTCGATAAATACTGTGCGGACTCACGAGGCGTTGCTTTTGGCCGCCGCTGAGCTTGACGCCCTGACTGCCGACAATGGTCTGATCGCCATTGGGCATTCTGCACAAGTCAATGTCCAAGGCACATGCCTTGAGTACCGATTGATACCAGGTACTCTCAAACTCTGATTCGCCGACGATATTGTGACGAATGGTGCCGTTTATCACCCAGGGGGTTTGATCACAGTACGCAATATGTGCCGACGACACATACAGGCTGCCACGCGATTCCGGTGTTTCTCCAAGAAGGCCTTTGAGCAGAGTGGACTTGCCGCAGCCAACCGGCCCGACTACGATGGTGAGGTCTGTTTTGGGTTGTATGGTTGCTGTCACCTCCTTAACGATGCTTGGCGACGACTCAGACCAACCAAAACTTGATCCTTCAATGCGAACCGAATCGTCGTGGCCCATACCTCTTACCGCTCCCAGCTCAAGCGCTTCACTGCCATCGGGGAACTCACTAGTAGAGGAATCCATAGAGCCGTTGACAGACCGTTGGTCTATGTGCGAGTCCTGGAGGAGAAAATCTTGAATTCTAGCGAAGCACCCCAAGGACGCCCAGCCTGTAGGGATTGCTAGAAGTAGGTTCGCAAGAGGCATGCTAAGAAGCTGGAGCGCAGTGAGACCAGTGATGGCCTGCGAAACTGAGAAAGCGCCCGTTCCATTGACCTTCGCTGCAATTGCGTATGCGGCGAAGATGATGAACTCATTGAAGATCGACGGGATATTCACTAGCTAGAGGATCAATTGTCGGTCTTGGTGCAGAACCCATTTGAGAGATCTTACCAAGTGATACGTTCATGCTTTGGACTTTCCGGAAGTGAGACGATATCTTCATTTCACCTTCCCGCATTGACTGGATGTTCTTGCCCATCTGCTCCGATAAACCAAGCATCTTGACATTTCTCATCGACCCCAGAATTTCTGATGTATAGTTGACTCTTCGCTGTATGGCTTCATACCAACGCTTCTGCCTCGATGTGACATGACCAGCGAGACGGCTTGAGAGCATGGTGGAAACTTGTGCTGTAGTCAGCAGGGCGCTGAAGCCATAACGGGGAGAGGGGGGGAATAACCCACTGATGCTCACTATCACCGGGGCTATGCAGACAGCCCCTAACTGCAGGTATAGTAGATATATTGCTACTCCCAATTGTACGATACTCGGAATCAGGTCAACCAGGAGGAGATGAAAAGAGGCAGCTATGCTCTGAACATCAGTACCCATCAATGTCATAGCGGCTGATTCGTTCGCGCCTGTGATCGGCAAAGTCAATGCCTTCGTATAGATGATCGAGACCAACTGCCCCCGCATCATTGACATCAGCCGGTAGGTGAGATGCGACGACCAGCCCATCGTCACCTTGAAGGATTTTAGCTGATGACACAAATTGCGTTGCGGGATACTACTCACGGCAGAAGAAATGTAGACAAGACCGAACGCAGCAACTAAGCCATAGCCATCGTTCCAGTCGTCTGCAGCAGCCTCTTGTACGTATCTGATGGCGGCCTGGATAAGGTAATTTTGTGAGAGAGTCAACGCGATGAAGCAGAATTTTGGCACAAAGATCGCCAACACCTCCCATCGGAGGCTCGAGGTGCACGCATTAGCAAGGGCATGCTTGCGCTTCTGGTTGCCTAGATCAATTCAGCGCCGACCTCAACAAACTTGTCATGGCGCTCACATTTGTCCCACGATTTCTGCAGCTGCTGTGCAAGATGTTCTGAGCTGAGTTTCTCGTGGATTTCCGGCAGGTTGTCCATCGTCAACACGTTCTTGAAGCCAGACAGGAGGAGAGAGTTTAGCCACCAGAATGAACTACGACTGATCATGCCGCTTGTGCTTTCACGCGACAAGTGTCGATCAAGACCCAGGAGCAGCGACCTCTTCTCACCAGCCTCTAGGACCAGCACAATGCCCTTGACAAAGAGTGAGGCTGTGAGTGCACCCGCAACTCCATCGTTCACGCCTGCAAGCCATTGCGTCCGAACCCGCGTGGCATCAAATATAACCGTCAATAGAAGGTAAAAGTTGATGAGGAATGAGGGCCGTATGGACTTTGAGTGTTCCAAATGAGATAACAAGGCAAGGCTCAGTCCTGAAAGGAAAGTCAGTGCGGCGGAGGCTATTGATATATGGGTCCTTTGCAACAATCAGAGGTCAGCAGTTTTGTTTGCTGACAACGAATCTCTCTTGCGCAAAGATAGGAACTGAGCCAGGGAGGAGAAGTGGGACTCTAGGAGTTGCATACCGGACTCGTGGGTTAGTCGACAACACGAGCAGAGCCAGTTGAAGGCCTATATATGCGCCAATGGCGGCCTTACAAGTTAGCCTCCTCAGTTGAGAAGCACAGTATTTACCGTCTTACCAGTTTACAAACATAAAGTGCATTGCGTCTGACCCTGATGCGACGTCGGAGCAGCCGCAGAGCTCGGAACGGCGTGAGGAGGAGGAAACAGGCTGCTGGGAGGATTGCCAAGATACTCTCCTCAAAGAGTACTATTCTGTCTTAATTATGATCCCATGCACACACAGAAGCCTGAGAGTCAACATACTTGTGAAGTCGAATCCGCCACGGCAGTCCGGTGACTGGACGCTGGGCCCGAAGGAATCGTCCCCACAAACAAAGGCACGAGCTGAATCCATCGAGTATGTCAAAACATTAGCATTGTGAAAAAACCGAGCCGGAGAGGGAAAAGATATTTTAACATGTTGTAACTGATAAGCCTGCCGTCGTGCCGCACTCGTACATCCGGGGCAGTACTGGTCGCTGATAGGTTCAAACGCGTAGTGGGGCTCACTCCAACCAATGGAGATGGATACTGTCTTTTCGGCGCTGTTGCCGAACGCGGCTACCAGGAGACTGGATACGCCATCTCGTGTCGCAACTGTCTAGGCACCCGTTTCAGGGATAGCTTACGGCGTTGCCACCGACCCAACGTCCCAGCCAAGATGTCCGCAAAGAGAGCTTCTTCGAGGTCGTGAATGGGCAGGATTATGCGCAGGTACATAGTTGGCCGGATGAGTCAACCCGCATCATAGAAACAATTGACCTACTAAGAAAGACTGCAAGCATTGCACAGCCTGATTATCAATGCCTACAATATATTATGATACAATACTCCGGAAAAAGGTTCGTGGTTTGGCTGATCCCGGGACGACATATTTTCAATGATCATACCTTTTACCAGCATGTCACTGCGCACTGCGCCTGATGCTCGCCTTAACTCCTACAACCACCATGCCCTGACACCATAGCTGGGCCAGACGGGCTATCTGACGCCGTTGTTCCTCCATTACCGCCAGAATGAGGTGGACAAGTTCAACCTTGGACGCATCATGTCGCCTGGCGTCACCAAGCATATGCGGCGGTAGCCAGTTGCTGTGCTGCAGCTCAGTAAGGCCCAGAGAGAGCGGTTACTTGCGATTGCCGCCAAATCCAAAAATGGGTCCCAGCTTGAGGGTGTCAGGCCGGCTCTGCAGGCGCTCAGTGACGAGCTTCCACAACCCGCCGAAGTCACTGAATCGGGGTTCTTTGTCCGCATGAGCCATTGTTCGCCCAAGGACGCAGATAACGGAGACCTAAAGCCTGTCAACAACATCCGCGAGGCGCTCATCAAGATTATTTCATCAAAGCGGACAGTTCAGAGCCTGCTCAGCCTATGTACTGCAGTGGCTTGCGACGTCGATAGCAAGATCTTCTTGTTCACTTACGCCAAGATCGACAAGCTCTCCGAGTGGCGCTGCTTCATACATAATGACCGGGTTGTGGCCATCAGCCAGACACGGTTTCATTGCCACAACTACGACCTCTCCGACGAGAGTCTACGGCGTTTAGTCGAGCAGGCCAGGCTGTCATGGAGGGATATCAGTCCGACGCTGGGTTTTACATCCTGTGCGCTCGATGTCTATGCCAAAGCTCGGAACTCGGAGTTCGACCTTAGACTCATTGAGATCAACCCCGGTGGTCCGCACCTGGGATCGGGCAGCCTGCTCTTTCACTGGCTGGACGACAGAGCCACTCTCCAGCCCGGGGTCTTTGAACATACAGTAGTACGGGTCGTTCCGCCACATAGCCCCCAGAGTCCGGGTGAGCCACAGCTAGTCCGGAATGAGGGCTACCAGATTGGTTGGGCAGGCATTATTCAGGATGAGCTGAAGTGTATAAGAGACCGTGGCTTGGAATCGATATTAGACGTGACTAATCATGATAGGTTCATGAATATCCGGGTCCCTGGTGCTGACCTAGAGTGGCACTTGACAACAAGAAAGGCGGCGCTGAGCTCCTTTGAAGTCAACTTTGGAGGCTCTGCAACCAGGGACGTCACGGAAAGAACAGGTGGAAACCATCCGAGGTTTGTCAAGCTGCAGAAAGCCTGGTCCGAGTCGATCAAGGGGTAGGCGTGATACTAGGTATAGCATTGTAGATCAGTATCCAATCGCGCAGCTGGAGACAAACCCTGTATATAAAGGACATAACGCCAAGTGAGTATATAACAGAGTTGCGTCATGCAGTATGCTCGATTCCATGAGCGCGTGTCTTTGGATAGCCGCCATGACCAAGGAGGTTCTATACACGGATTGTCAGCCTCGAAGTGCGCATGGTTCACACCAACAAAGCAGCATGTGGTGGCGCACGGTTTGACAGCAGGCAGGCACCTTCAGCACGGGAAGCCGTATTCGCATTCGTCATCTGCCGTCTCCCAGCGCGGAGCAGCAATTCCGGGACCCTCTTCTAGAACAGATTGGTATTTCCTTGCCCCCAATTTTGCCCTGAACGCCGTAATCGTCAAAACCAAAGACAAGACCAGCAACGCGACGCCATCATCTTATTTTCCCTGTCCTTGTCCATCTCGTGCGGCATTTATCTCGGGCCACCGCGTCCACTGGCGCGCGCCCTGCTGACCGTGGCCCTTCCTCTGGCCAGACCGACACCGCGGCCTCTGGCGTTGCGACTCCGGAACATGGGGGCGTTCTTCAGCATGTCGGGGACGATGAAGAAGCGCACGTGGCTGCCGCGGATGTAGACCTGGTCGAGATGGCTGACACGGCCGTCACGAGCCGTCACTGTGATGTCCTTGAGCTGGACGTTCATGTTGTCCTCGGCTGGCTCCTGTCAGTGCTCTGTCCTTGCGCGTAGGGGAAGGTCTCGGGAGAGGGGAGAGTGGGAGGGCAAGAAAGATACACACCTTCCAGAAGCTTGCCGCGGTACGTCTGGCCCGAGGTGATCTCAAGAGTCACAATGTGGCCCTGAGCCTCGTTCAGAAGCTTGATGGGGATACCGATGGTCGAAGTCATGGTGGCGGTTGCAGGCGAGCCAGAAGGGCAGAGGGGAGAGGGGAGAGGGGAGAGCGGGTAAGAAAGGCGGTCGGCGTTGAGTGCGAGTGCGCGACGCGTGTGCGATCTGTGTCGTCGTGTCGTCGGCGATTTTCTGGCAGCGACCCCAATTCGGATGGATACAGGCGTGCAGCTTGACTGGTGGGAGGCTGAATCAAGTCCAGCACCGTGGACCTCGACCTGGGTTTGGGCACTGGAGCTTGAGGTTCTGCGGCTGGGCTTGGGGGGGGGGATTAAGTGATTTTCCGGCTGGCTTGCAACCCCGGGGGCTTTCGCTCACCTGGGGGTCCCAGTTCCAGGCTGCTCGGGGTACCTGAGTTAGGCCGGGCTCTAACTGACGGGCGCTGAGGCCCAGCCCTGGGGGCCTGGCGGGGTGGATGGGAACCCTTGGCGTATGATCCAATGGATCGATCCCCTGGGCATTGGGGCGCTGCCAGCCGCCCGTAACCCCACCATCCCACTGTGACGGAGGCTGCCCCTCCATCGCCGAAAAGTTGCTGTGCCTTCGATTTAGTTGACTCACAGTGGATGACCCGGCCTATACTCGAGTCCAGTATCGTGCAGACGGGACGTTGGGCAGCTCCTGACTTTCGAAACGACCACCTACCTGTTCGTCAGCAATCCACCGCCTCTCCAGCTGCCTTTGCGCGCCCTTGCGCCGTCCCAGCCCGCGTCACCAACCATGGCCACCGAGCCCGAAGCTCCCACCCAGGCGCCCCCCGCCGCGGCCACCGACGCGACAGCGCCTGCTCCCGCCAGCAAGCAGCTCGTCGACCCCTGGAACGTGGCCGGCGAGATTGGCGAGGATGGCAAGGCCAAGGCCATCGACTACAATAAGCTTGTCGACGAGTTCGGCACCAAGCTGATCGACCAGAACCTGCTCGCCCGCTTCGAGAAGGTCACCGGCCACAAGCCCCACCGCTTCTTGCGACGCAAGATCTTCTTCAGCGAGCGAGACCTCAACCTGATCCTGGACCGCCATGAGAAGGTGTGAAATGCGGCATCTGTGGTCCAAGATGGCTTATGTGCTGAGTTATGTTCTAGGGTGAACCGTTCTTCCTGTACACGGGCAGAGGGCCCAGCAGTGACAGCATGCACGTTGGCCACACTCAGATCTTCGACTTTGTCAAGTAAGTGCTGAAGGCCTTTGGCAGAAAATAGACATGAGAAAATGTCCGCAGTGCTCCTGAAACTGATACCCAATGTCTAGGTGGTTACAGGATGTCTTTGATGTCCCGTTGATCATCATGCTTACGGATGGTAAATCGCCTTAAGACATATACATATCGGACCGACCCTCAGCTTACACATGTGCAGACGAAAAATTCCTGTTCTCGGAAAAGAGAACTGTCGAAGAGGTCATGGGCTACACTAGGGACAACACCAAGGACATCATTGCCATCGGATTCAACCCCGAGAAGACCTTCATCTTCTCGGATTACGACTTCATGGGTGGTGCTTTCTACAGAAACATCACCCGGTTTTCCAAGATGGTCACTTACAACCAAGCCAAGGCCGTTTTTGGTTTCAACGACAGGTAAGTCCTTCTTATGTCTTTATAGTCACGCGGCTCCTCGCTCGAGTTTGCCTGCTAACCTCCATCAGCTCCAACATCGGCAAGATCCACTTCGGAAGTATCCAGGGTGCCACCTCGTTTGCCTCATCATTCCCGCACATCTTTGGCACCGACGAACCTAGGACCAACAAGATTCCATGTCTCATCCCCTGCGCCATCGATCAGGACCCTTACTTCCGCGTCACGAGAGATGTGGCTTCCCGCCTAAAGTTTGCTAAGCCATCGCTCATCCATGCTCGATTTCTGGACGCCCTCCAAGGGCCCGGATCCAAGATGTCGGCCAGCATTGACACGTCGGCCATCTTCCTGAAGGACACCCCGAACCAGATCAAGAACAAGATCAACAAGTATGCCTTCTCGGGTGGTCAAGAGACCGTCGAGGAGCACCGAAAGCTGGGTGGCAACCCGGATGTTGATGTCTCTTACCAGTGGTTGAACTTCTTTATGGAAGATGACGATGTGAGCCTCGCCGCATCCAGGGAACCTGACTTGCACTAACAACTTGACAGGCGCTCAAGAAGCTCGGCGAGGACTACAGAAAAGGAGAGCTTCTCACAGGCGAGGTGGGTGCATTCATGCCTAATATCGACAAGCATCTGCTAACTTTTTTTTTTCCCCCAGTTGAAAGCGGTGTGTATCAAGCATCTCCAAGAATACGTGGCGGGCTTCCAGGAGCGTAGATCAAAGGTCACAGAGGAGGTTGTTGACGACTTCATGGCTCGCAAACCATTGAACTGGAAAGGAAACCCCAAGACAGAGAGAGTCGTGCCCGTGTCCGGCGACGCACCCGCAAAGCTGGAAGCTGGCGAGGGCGAAGGGAAGTTGACGAAGAATCAGCTCAAAAAGCTAGAGAAGGAGAGACAGGTCGCTGCGAAGAAGGCCGCCAAGGCCGCAGAGAAGGAGGCTGCAAAGGCGAACGCTTCGTAGAATGAGGAAACTGCAGGGAAAGAGACCAACGAATATACTGCATGTCCCAGCCCAGCATCTCCCTAATACGTCTTTGTGTGCAATTGGCCCGTGGTACCGGCAGTTGACGTAATCCGAATAACCCTAGGATGCGCGAAAACCTTAAATTCACCTGTGTATATAGTCGCTATATCGAAATGACTCTGTAATACTGAAAATGGGTTGATGTCCAGTGTGTCCAGTGCAATCAATCCATTTGGTCCAGGGCAAAACTTATCATTCTCTTTTGTGTAGGTGGAGTGAACAACAAGCCCAACAGCACCTTTGATTTGCGGTTTCCCTATATGCCTGAAACTTTGCCAAAAGTCGTGCAGTCATCCAACACCCGCGAAAGTTACCGCATTGTATCAAGAATTCGTGTGCGAAGCAAGTCACTGTCCCAAATGCTAGCAGGCTGTCCACCTCTTCCATTGCCAAACTCCGCACTCCAGCCCATGTCCAACAATCAGAGCAGTAGCCATAACTTGGATCCCGATGATATATCTACTGGCGACGACTGGGCTATACGCTTCATGAGGATTGGGGGTTGGTTGGCGGTGGCATACGGAGCAATAGTAGGAATAAACAGGAACGTTATCATTCAAGTCTCCTTTCCAACATAGCTGTCTGACTCCAACGCAAGTCAAGAACCCAAACCACCTCTGCTCACCAGCTTGAAATCTGCAGCGAACCAGACGTATATCTTACCCACGGTAGGCAACAAAAGTCACACGAAGACATGATCCCTTTTTTATGATTGCCGAGTCACTAGACATGTGTATCAAGCTGTACAAAGACGCAGTTCGGTGGTGTAGTACGAGGGAGGAGAACTCCAGCCTGGAAGTCCGCTGGGGACTAACTGCTCTGCCTGACTCTGAAATTACTGGACAAGAAGGCCCACTAAGTCAATTGGTCTCAAAATTGGCAGGCGGGGAAGCCGGTTTGCGCCTAGTATCCGTCTATCTCCACTTTTACCAAACTCAGCCACCAGGCAATCTGGGCTATCACGCCCACCAACATATCGAGACCACAGATTCATATTACAATAATCTCACGATATTTCAACGAATCAGGCCTTGTGGCGCAATGGTAGCGCGTCAGATTCCAGCTCAATGGAGTATCCTGAAGGTTATCCGTTCAAATCGGGTCAGGGTCATTCATTTTTTCCCGTCGAAGTTGAAGGTCTGCCTTTGCTATACCACGCACAAGACCAGCTCTTCCAGCGCCTGGGAACACTTTTTTTTGGCAAACGAGGTGCATCACGCCCGAGTCATTTGACGATGGAAGAGTCTCAGACAATCCTCATTTGCTTGTTGAAGATTGGCTGGGTATCCCAGGTTATCTTGCGGAGTTTGTGGAGTCAAAAGCGCTCTTCGGCAAACTTTTGCCAAGGAACCGGTTCATATTACGTAATTATACGTTCACCCGGGGTTACTCCAACACGATAAGAGCCTTACTTTCAAAGGACGAGGTGAAATAAGGTGGGATATCGGAATTATTCAACGCCGAGCCATCTTGTGCTGCCTGTGTATACTATTAGAATAGCGGGTGAGAACCCCGATAGCGACTGTTTATGACACTTGATTACAGAGTGTGATAAGATGGGATGAACCGAGATAGCTATGCTATTCCGTGCCATGCTACCCAGCTACCTGCTCGGAGATAACGGAACCATCACCAGGCATCATAGGATACTATCTATACTATCAGAATAACGCGTACGTACAGCAACAATGTGTGATTATTACACTTACATACAGCATGTGATGAAGAGGCACGAAACGTAATAGCTATGTTATTCCATAACTAGGAGATTGGAGGACTTTCACTAAGTATCATGGGACACTCTAGATACTATTGCACATACACTACAACGACACGTATTATTACACTTGCATATAACATGTGATAATAAAGCACGATATAAATAGAAGAGCTATTCCATGCTATTCCATATTATGCCATAATTGTTCTATGTCGTGCTATTAAAATATTCGGGGCTTTCACTAATGTCTCATTATGATAACATGAGATCTAACACTTCAAATAGCCTGTTAGCATAGCAACTCCCAATCTTGCAACTTCGTCAACTCATCACCATTCTGCCCAATCCTCCATCCATCATCATTTCATCAATTCGTCACCTTCGTCGCCTTCGTCACCTTCGAGAAAATCATCAAACCCACCATTTCCTGAAATTCTATCGATTGGGTGACACTTATAGAGTTGGTCCAAAGCTTCCCTCTCATTAGGAACACGGCAATTTGCGACGCTTAACACAAGTCAGCCGCTACACTGTTCACTTCACTTCTACCAGAACTGAATCCAATCCTCACTCCCGAGTCTGGCATCATGCCTAGAAATCAAAGTCACGCAGTTGGTAGCAACCCCAATATGGACACAGCCTCGGCTATGCAAAGATCGCAACTGGACCCTTCACATATTATATTCAACTTGGGCAGGAAAAACAACAAAACACTACTTTCCAATACAATAGAGATGATCCAACGTGAGTTTCAACCCGGCGAGAAAATTCATCAGCAACCTTGGTGCTTGAGATTTGCGCAGTGATCCAAGTGACCCTCGCGACGATCTGGCCGTTCAGGCCACATTTGCAACGAAGATTGAACTCGGAAAATTCGAGTCCTGGGCCCGAGGGGTAGGGGCAAGGGTGGCAGATCACTCTGGATCGCGCCGTGTTCCGTCCACTATAGACGGAGGTCATCAGGGCACATCTGCTCACAAGAAAAACTGGCCGGAGTTGTTACCATGGACCGACGGAATGATCCTGATGGTGAAATACCGATAAATATCAAACGTGAGAGAGAGGATACGGTCGACAGTGACCAGAATGTGTCGAGAACCTCAAACGCGGGTACCCAGTCCAGCTCGGAGAATGCCAGACACGGGCAGACACACAGGCGTTCCCAAGTCTCGCGCTCGTAAAACCCAAGTATCTACCAGTTCGGCCCCTGCGGCAAAGCGCAGAAAGCCTGCCCGAGCTGCTAAGGAGGATGACGATGCTAGTGAGACTTCGGACGAGGAAACGGCGGTCCTCCAGCAAGCGGTAATAGCGTGGTGGAAGAAGGAGGAGAAGAAGGAGGAGGAGAAGGGCAAAAAGTACCCAGGTCATCATTAAAGCGGATATGACGGTGATCGACCTACAAAACCTTTAACAGGCGACTTTCACTCTTTTTTTCACTCTTGTCGTCATTCTTCCCTCTAGAAATCCAGCTCAGTTAGAGGAGAAGAAGAAAAAAGAGTAAAAGCAAAATAAGATACTATAATCTTAGGATTGTCCCTGCACCATCCGTTTCTATTCTCTACAGCTGCTATCGCGCAGACATAGACGAATATCTGCCTACACGTGTTGACCCCTTCTACTAGACACGGATAGGCGTTGTGTTTTCAGCATTCATAGACTTTTGTATCGGATCGGTTCTAGCAAGTAGGACCGGGGACTCACACTTGCGGGAGGAAGCCTCTTTCGCGAATGCACTTCTATCGGACATTTTCATCATGGATGAACTCGCGTGGTCGTTTTTCATGATCATAGACTTTGAGCAGATGGTTCTGACATGCTGGACAGAGGGACCCTCACTTGCGAGAGGAAACCCTCTACGTGAAGAAACAGCGATGCGTTGGACAAAAGACAGTATTTTCACAGGTATTTGCCTGTACACTTTGTAGGAATAGGGGTGAGCAAGGTGACAATCATCATTGGAAGGGATGTGCCTTCTTGCTAGTTCATAGCGGACGTAGTCAGAACATTTCCAACACTAATGCCTTCTTCGCCCCAACCGACTAGTTCACTCAGTGCGAACATTAGGTGACTGTCACAAACGAATGTCAGGGTTGCATTCAATCCAGAAAATGGAGTTTGGTGCGGAGTGCTCCGAGTCGCTTAGAATAACGAGTGAAAGACGTCAAAAGAGAGAGATGGATGTGGGGTAGGCCTGCTCACGTGCAAACGATGGCGTAAGAATGAGTTACTTGGTCCTGTGTGGAATTTCGGTCGATTCTGAGATTCTAGCACAATATCTATGACGGATGGAACGCAGAGGCACTTTTGGTACGACCTACCAGCCAGCTCTAGGACCGTTCGCGGAAGCAACTCTACACGGAGATTCGGTCAGATAAAGAGCAGCTGCATTTCGGGGCACAGTTGTCTGAGGGTGGGGGTTGCGTCCGATGACGGGCAGCGGCGGGTTGGGTTCAACGTATGGCAGCTTCAGTGCAGCACCTGAGTTGAGGTACCTCAGTCACACTGGCCACTCGGCAGCTGGAACGGCATGTACACTCGATTATACTATTGACTACCGTCCATGATGTGCAACTCGCGCTCGTGTGGCCGCGGAACTCTATGTGGTTGATCATTCATGGCCGGAAGGGTGTCTGAATCATGATTTCCGATGGGATCTCTACCGTGGTCTCAATCCTCGCTTTTGCTAGTTAGAAGGAAGTAGGTATGAGATCATGTGCTGATGGTTGTCGACCGGCGGAAAGTTTCAGTTGTTCGTCAGGTATCTTTCGAGATGCCCGAAAATTAGCAGCGCCATCGTAGGGGTTCGACGGGCTCGGGCGGATTCTCGAATCAAGTGAGCAAGCCAACTCTTCCTCTCTAGCTCGGGTAATAAAAGGCATGAATCGTGCTTGTGATGGCCAGTTCTCGTGACGTTGCTTGCAGAGAGAGCTCATGCCTGGCAAGTACAAGTCTCGCCGGGACAAGGACTAGCAGATGTCGTCGTCCTTGCGGGGCTGGCCGAACGGGGAGGCAGCAGAAAGCTCATGTACTTTGTACACTCCACCACCCTACCATGTAACTAGAAGTTACTGAAAATAGCTCCACAAGCGCCCAGCCAACCTCCCACACCCAGAGGGTTGCGTTTCTTCTTGGGCTGTGAAGGTGTCTGGTGCAGGTGAAGGTGATTCGTTAGGAACCCTACCCAAAGGGTCCTTTTCCGAGTAAGATCGCTCCAGGATCTGACCTGCGGCAGAACCACGAGGACTTTTGTACCGTAGGAACGGGCACAAATGCGCCAATGCGTGAGCTGCGAGATGTTTCAAGCGGATGCAGACAGCCCAGCTTCCCATTGGCCGCGGGCACCCCGCCCATCAAAAGCATCCAGAAATTCTCGAAGACAGGGGAACAGGGGGGGTCCCCTGGGGCCGACTGAGACCCCTGTCGTCCCACGTTTGCACTAACTTTTCCAGAGCCTCCAGCGAAGGGACGGATCCCTGTCCATACCCCTGCTAGCGACGGGGCCACCCAAGATGTGGGGAGACCGGATTCAACCTCACCTTGACGACCCTTTTGGCTGGAACCGAGGCTGGGGGTGGGATGTCGTGTGTGGTTCGTGCGCTTTTCAACGCCCACTTCATCACATCTCGTCCGTGTTGGGGGCCGTGTTGCATTGCCGTGTTGCAAAAGCAAGTATCTCGGAGCAAGGAAGGAGTACGGAGGAGGCAGTCTTCTAGGGAGGAAGAATCAGCTGACCTCCAGCGCCTTTTCCATCAGCCATCTCAAATCATCGACGGGGCTTGCGAGTATGTGAGTTATGAGATTGCTTATTTTATTTTTTTGGAGGCTTTCTTTCCGTGGTGGGCAGTCGAACCATGTTCAGACCCCAAGCCACAGAGACTATTTACACTTTTCGCTGCTTGTATTACACGGTAATACAACAGTCAAGACTTTTATGCGAGAACGCTTTCGCATCTCTGACAACTTCTCGGGACCCGTGATTGGGGAGCTGTTGGACAGAGTCTTTGCACTTGACCGGGGCTCATCCATAGTTATATCCAGTTTTGCTGGGCGTTCGTAGTCTGCTGTGCAGTTGATTCCTTCTCCTGCTCTTTCTCCTCTCCCTGGTCCTCTCCCTGGTCCTCTCCCTCCGCATCATCGTCGTCTTCTGCTTCTTCGTCGTCCTTGGGTGGCGCCCAAGCCTCCTCCAATTTGAGGCCTGCTCCCTTCCTATACGTACTGCCCAGTAGATGCGAGGTGGTTGTTCTGTAGTGATCAAGTTCGGGATCCAGCTCCGATTTGTCAGGCGTATCATAAAGTCCCATCCCCACCAGGATCTCCCCTTCCTCTTCTGACTCGTCAAGAGCTTGATACGGGATAGATTCTTCTGATGGGACATTCGCCTGTGGTGGGGAGGCCAGCTGGTAATTATCTGGCGTAGGGGGCGCAGTACACGAGTTGAAGCCATTGTTGGCAAAAGTTTCCCAGCTAAGTTCTGGTTGCCCGGTGTAGGACGGGAACGGTTCAGTGGTACCAGGACTGCGGCTCGTTGGGTATGGTGCTGAGTCTATGTATGCAGGTGCATTCCAGGTATCCATGGGTATACACTGAGGTAGTGGCGGTTGTTGTGGAGAAGTTGCCATTGGCAGAGACAATGGTGAAAATGACGAAATGGGAGACGTATGGCTCGAGTAAACTGCCGGTGTTGGTGGCAGCTGATTATATCTAGCATAGATGTCTGCCTCAGAATATGGCGTGGTGGTGGGCATCATGTACTGCGACATATCGAACTGTGGTAGTTGCTGTAGCTGCATTTGTGGGTGCTGGATGTGCGAGCTCGGATGCCAGCTCACCGGCCGGCTGGTAGTCTTCATGGGCTCCGAGTATCCATCGAAAGGAGATGCCACGCCAGGCACTTGCTGGTTCAAGATGGCCTGGTCCAGAGCGTACTGCCGCCGTCTTGCCAGGTTACCGTCGTTCATCAGCGTTCTGCGTCTTTGCATCGACGTTTGCGGGCTGTTGCTGGTGCTGTTTGGCTTGACCACACGCATGGCACTTGTCGGCCTATATGCGTTTGATGAGCCTCTTGATACCCGTCTTGTTGTTTCGCTTAGTGGCTGCTGTCTGGAGAATTCGTCGAGGATAGGAGCTGTTGGGAAGGCTTGCAGGACGTGACCAGGCATGCCCAGTCCTCCCATGAGGGAAGGCATCATCTTTGCGAGAAGATAGACGATGGCCGGTGTGAACGGATCAACAGACGATGACGATGATGATGAATGGCCAGACTCGCGGGTTTGGAGTGAATCTTGCCAACTAAAGGGTATGGATGAGTGCTGGGAGTGTGGGTGATTAAGTATGAGATATGATGTGGTCCACCTTAGACCGGCTAACAGGCTGTGGAATGCGCGATAGATATTAGAAAGAATCAAACCTACTCATCCCAGAAGGATAAATCGAACCTAACGTGGTCAGACTTGCTGGCATAGCGATTATATTAGGCCTTAGAGCCGAGAAACAGCACTGGGGAGACATTGTTCTGGTTTGGCATGTGTATGCAAGTAAAAGTGTGTGCGCCCGCGCATGTCTAGCTCCATCCATGGGTAGTTGCTTGTAACTCTGCGTCATATGGTTCCGACAGGGATTCCAGGAGCCCCCGAAAAGGGATTCTTCATTGTCCATGCTTGGACCGGGGGATGGGGCGGGCGGCGATAGTAGCGTTGTGGGTGTACGGACTAACAAGTCGTGGGTAATGGTATGGTATGGACTAGACCAGGTTGTGGGCTACAGCAGAGCCTTTGGCCTCTCATTGTCTGGCAAGGTGCGTTCTAATTAGGTGGGCGGTCAAAGAAACGGTTTCGAAAGGGTGCAAGGGGTCATCGGCACTAGGCGCATACGTGGGCACCCTTGGGCCCTGGTGGTCTTGCTTGTTCCGCGTCGGTGGGCGGCAAGTCGCCAGCGCAGGGTACGACGTGAGCAATCTCGCGGCATGGGTTAAAGTCACAATGATGAGGATGGGGTGTAGGTCTAGGCATGAAGCCGGATCCAGTTGGGCAGAGGGCCGGCCTTTTGATCCACCTTTGCCATGACAAAGGGGGTGTAGGATCAGGGAGGCTGGGCGTAAGTTTCGCGGGACTATTGATCGCATTCGAGGGGCTAAGCACCTGCCGCGAGGGTAGCACTGTCGGCAAAGCATGCAAAGGTATCGAGGTACCTTGCAAACCACAGATTCGTGGATGACTGGGGCTGGTAGAAAGAGACTGGTCTCCACTTTGCTCGGGCCCAAGACATGGTTCAACACCTGAAGGGCGGTACCATCGGCAAGATAGCGCACATATAATCCGAGACTCAGCTCTGGTGGATTGCCCTATTCGGGTCTGATAGTCTGCAGCTGACGCGAGGAAGTGGCTTCTAGCGACAGGGCCGACAGAAAGCCTAGCTTCGCTACGGCCACCCAGGGGTTGTCTCCCCAGGCCCGGATCTGATTTGCTAGGAGACTGCTGCGTATTGGATCCAGGGGGTCAAGGCAGTAAGGTCAGCCTGCATGGTGATAACCCCGGACAATGTGCGGACGATCAGTGACTGTTCGTCTGCATGGCGCTGTCGAAGCGAATGCCCACTACACAACGCGCGCAGGGAGGGGTGTCGAAGTTGAAGCACGCCACCAACTGTGGCATCAGAAGAAGCCTGAGCTTGAGGAATTGCGCGACCCATCCGTCCGCCCAAGGATACATGGGCGGCCTTCATTGGTCAGAGTACTGCTCAGTACTCAGGTTTTGCTCGTGTGCACTACCAAGAGGCTGGACTCGTCCATGTCCTGCCAGACACCCGATTCAGGAAGATACGTACAGTACCATGTGGAACATCGTCTGCCGCTTGGGCATGGCAGTTTTCTTGGATGATAAACAGGGCCTCGTGACAGGCTTGCGAAGTTGAAGCACATGGGATGGTGATTATGCCGCCACTGGCGATTTGAGCAGCTCAACGGGGCACCTTGCACACATGGACCGCGCTGTGGCTTCGGATTCGGCGATCGAGTGTGCAACTGAGGACAGTGTCATCCTAGAGAGCATCTTAGGGTCCTGCCCCAGGACGGGCTGTACTATGTAACTTGAGGCGCCTGCGTCCGGAGGTCTCAAAGCCAAAATCGCGGACGCCTGAGGATCCTATGTAGCTGTAGGAAGTGTTGATTTCCAGCAATGGATGTCCGAGGAACAGCCACATAACTCCCCCAACCGCAGCCGACAGGTACCCAGGTATCAAGCGACAGGTATCAATGTGAGACCGACCCAGTCCTCCGTTGTTGTGATCCTGGGCCGGCAAATTGCGTCGACAGGATCGGCTTCAAAGAATGGAGGAGCACCTCCATAGTAAAACGTCGGAGGATTGGTCAAGCCTGGAATCAGGTACGTACATCCGGTTTTCACTTTGCTTCTCAGGTCGCGGCACAAGCCAACAGTCATCGTCCCACATGCGCTAAATCAGGCCAGAGGCCAAAGCATCGTAAGGGCGAGCCCATTGAAGGGGAGAGGGGCCAGCGTGTTGCCCGTACACAGTAGGCGCAGGCAATCCTGCCGCCTGCCCGCCCTAAGTTTACAGGCCATCCATCCACCAAGGGTCTGCTGCACCACCGACCAAGATCCTAGCAGGCGGCCAGGCGCTGGAGCAAGGACCTTAGGTCGCAACCTACGACGCTGCGTTGCTAATCTTATTGCAACGGCCCTCGCAGCCACTCAGAATGGCACTCATTATACGCAGTAGCTCGCTACCCGGTGGTTTTCGAAGCTCCTGGGCAGCGCCGAGATGGAGCGTCTGGGCGAATCAGGCAACTTGCCTGAAATCTGTACGTACATACATGCCTACTTACCCATAGTGTGTGCTGTCTGCGTCCTAGGGTGCCAGTCGGCTCAAAAGCCAATCTCACCGCAGTGGATGACAGCATCATTCGTTCCCCCCAACACCAGCGCCTAGATCTCCGTTGCAGGCCTGTCCGAGGATGAAGGATGATCGTCGTCGGTTTGAGGCAATGACCGCGCTTTGCTCCCAAGGTGTACGAGGTGGCTTAGTCGACTCAGGGCGGCACCCATTCCTTGGCCACCCCCCTCTGTATTTATCCATTAGCGGTGCATCAAGATTACGGCGCTGATCAACCTCAGACGCCGCCTCCGTAGTTTGTTGTAACCCATCATCAAACTTGTCCCCAGCGGGAGGGCGACCTGTACCAGCAGGCATGGAGACTGGTAAGACCCATCCAATTGCAAGTCGCTCCAGGGGGGTTGCAGAGTGAGCGCACACCAACCAGGCCAACTGGCAACCCCCAGTACCGCCGCAACAAGCAGTCGCCCGCAGAGATTGCCACTTTCGTGTCCACGACTCCGCTCCACCCAGAAACACCTGAAGCACACTGCAAAGTACGAGTTACGGAGCACGATGGCCTTCTTGAAGGCATGTGCAGCATCTTGGGTCTTGCGAAACTCACCACGCCTTATGCAACGACCTCGACTTTCCGTTGGAAGACATAACCTCCGCTGAGGCCTTGACACCAGACGTACACGAGCGATCTGCCGGGCAAGCCCCACTGAAGTACTGCAATATTCTCTCGGGCTGCCCTGCATAGGATTGCATGACCTTGCGATTTTTGGCCTTCCGCAAACAGACTTTCACGATCCCATGCTGCCGCGGGGCCGTGGTGGAGTAGCTCTGGAGGGTACGCCGGTACGGTCTGGAATCGAGGGCTCGTCAAAGCAATTTGCCGCCAGCCTCGTAAGCTGCAAAGTCTTTCCCGCTAGCTGCAAGGCAATGTGCATATAGGAACTCCTGGGCCTTTTCTTTCTTGTGCCCATTCAAACCAAGCCGGGCCCCCCCCCCCCCCTCCAAACTAGCCCCAAACTGCCGCCCAGCGCTGATCTGGGCCAGGATATTCGGGTGTATTTCTTGAATCGTCTGAAAACCCTGATCCCGACAAGAGCATAAGCTTTAGAAAAAGAGACATTACGAAATATCCACGGCTTCTTCCAGGTGCCTGCACGACCATGGAGGATCGGCCATGGCAGAATATTCAATCTTAGCGGCATTGCCTTAAACCTTTCGGTGTTGCAATCTCAGGCGCACATGTGCATGGAGGACACCTGTCCGTCATTACTCCCATCACACCGGGCATCAATGTCGGCTCCAACACATCCAGCTGTCGGATAGTGACAATTTACCTGGCCTCCTGTACGGGTTGACGGGCTCACGGTGCTGCTGTACTCCTCCTGCGCTGGGTGCCTATCTGTGAAAGAGGGACTGCCGAATGTGAAGAATGTCATCAAAAGTGACTAGCAATAATCGTCCCGGCCAGGATAGGTCCTGGTTCGTCCTGATCATTTTGGGCAGATACTGACATCTCGACTCCACCACACCGCACCCGTGCAGCCATCCGTTTCAAACTTGTTCACTGCCCTGCAGTGCCTTGAGGTTTGTTACAGGGCCATGAGCCTTGTCACATCGTTTGCATGGACGGGCAGAGCCTCGGTGAAACCAAAGATTTTTGCAATACATGGGCGGAGCGGCTCTGGATGAAATGGCGACGATCCCATAAACATCCGCCATATCCTCTTTCGGGCGTATCATGGGACTTGAATGTACCATGCGCGTCAAATAAGCCTCGTCCTTCTTCCCTACGGATCTTCATTCACTGGGTCTACCGTGGTAGGTAGGTCAGATGCAGATTTGGTCATGTCGTGCAACCAAATACCACGGCGGTGACGGACTTGCCTGGCTACGCTCAAGTGAGCCCCATCTACTATGATTATTGCCAGGCAGGGTTGGGTGGATGCGGGAATAGTCTTTTCGAGTGGAGACTACAGCGGAACCGAACGACGACTTCGAGGTAACTATTTCCAATGGAACCCAGACCTCACGACCTGCATCAGGGTTCACTAGTGGTTTAGAGGATGTGCCACGCAGCCCGCGCCATGGCCTTCGTCTTGGAAATTCAACACAGCGGACGGGATTGGCTCGGAGATGATCTGCCTTTTGCAAAGCTGATGATATGCCCCATGCCACCGTGCCCACGGGGAGGGTCCGTTGTCATGCTCAACCGGCGCCATGGGTTGACCACCACGCAAGGCCTTACCCTGGTTATCCGCAGCCGTTCAGGTGGCGTTTGAACAAGGATCTAAACATGGTCTCGGAGCATTCGTTTTCTTATTTTCGGAACTGCCCTATGGAGCCAATCAGCAGTCCCCGTATAGAGCAGATGTCATCTTGGCCATGGTCATTGTAATCACCGTCTTGCTCAACCTACTTTCAGGGAACTGCCAATTTCACCGAAATCTCACTTTGCTGGATACCCCGCCATTCGCTTGGCTAGCGATAACTTCCTCGAAGACTAAGACTATCGACCAACCCGCTAGTCTGGTCAAAGATCTCGCAGTAACTCTGCATGAAGGCTGGAGGTTCGAAGAACGGTTTCAAGCCACGCTTGCCATACCTCGCAATCTGCTGACTCGTAAGACCTCGTGGATTGATGTACTCGATGGGAATTTCGTCATCCCTGCAGGACAAGGCTGAGTACCTAGGTATGCGGCCCTAGGGCTTCCCCAAGAGTTCGCCAAAGCAAGTGATCCGTGCAGGTGCTTATATCCCTGTCGTCGAGCTCTACTATGTAGGGATCTATTAAGGGTAGCCGAAGTACTACGTATGCACAAGTTACTTTAGCGACGGTGGTGTATCCATCTAGCTCCGGCTGTCCCGGTGCACCCAATAATTTTTTTTTTGGTGTGCAGCGGACGGTTGATAATAACCTGACGTTGTTATCCGCAACTTGAACTTCTTTTCTGTGCCGAGATGAGGGACGGCAGCAAAGTCATGTATGACTGGGTTCTTCTGGACATGGAAAGTGAGGGTACATTTACTCTCAATCTGCGAGGTGATACTCCGTCCCTCAGCATGTCATGTGAACGGTGCACATCCAGGCCGGCAGTTTGACCCGCACTGAGTATAGTCATGGATCAGTGTAGAACACCCTTGTCCAATAAGCATACTCGGTGGTCATCTAGTTCTCCAGTGTCACAGGTCGCCAAAAGAAACAGCTCATCCACCTGCTAATGAAGTAATCACAGGCTGACCAAGTTTGGCACCCTTATTCCGGAAGATAAGATCGGACCAGCAAGCACCCGCTCGCCCTTGTGTGCCGAACCATCATGGGAAGAGACAGTCCAAGTCGGTTGCATCCGCCGCCGAGGACAAGGTACTGTACGTAGCCCGGGAGAATGCTGTACCCATTCCTGCGTCGAACATTCTAAACCTGGCGGTTTCGGCATAAATCTCAAGTGTCAATCATGCCGCTAAGATACGTTACTATATTATGATACGACACTACTATGGGCAGGGATCCAAGATCTCTCCAGCACGTTGGGAAGATGGAATACTCAGTGGGCAGAATCCACTTGAAACCAATCTGGTCAATGGATCGGATCGGCTGGGAACCTACTATGTACTATTACGACTTCGGACAACGCAAGCCCACTCCTCCTATTCCTGCTCTGTATGCATGTACTGTACGAGGGTACGGAGCACTGCACTAGTAAGTGCACTGTGGTACATGGGTCCAAGGCCGACTCAAACTCGTCGGGTGCCTGAGCACCGCACACACGGTTTCGCAACCTATTTGGACGGGCAGCCAAGCATCTGCGGACGCCTGTTACCTGTCTGTAGCGTAGGACGAAAATATGCAGGTGTCTCGCCGGTACGGCCACCTTGTCAATGCTAGAGCCAGGTTATGTTGCACCCTGACAGGCGCCAAAGTCAAACGCAGAGCGACGAATCGCTTTCGGCCATAGGACCAGGACAAGGAAGATAGCAACACAGCCGGATCTACTGGATACCACAGGATCGTCACAAGTGGCACGCTGCGCGCCATTCCCAGAATTAATTGAGAGCAACCCACATGTGCCGCCGCGCGCCGTGCAAGGTGATCTTGAGTAATTGGAGTCGGAAGCCACCACCCTATTCGGGTCGCATTTCGTTGCCCCGTGTCTGGCCCCGACCTGCGACTGGTGCTAGCGAGAGCGAAGGGGTGAAGGAAAGGCTCTTCTTTGTTGGGCTGCTTGGCTTGTGCGGATCATTGATGCCGCCTTGATTCGGTGCAACAACTTTGCGTCTCCGGAACCCTGATATGACAAGGGCAGGATGTCTAGCCATCTACGACTCAGCCAGACCTCAGACGATATTACACTTTGGCAGTTTGCCTAAACGAAACCATGGCCCCCCGTAGGACCAATCACGGACAACTGGTCTGCCTGTGCTTCGTCGCAGGGAGCACACTGGCAACGCTTCGGCAGGGCTGCCAGAGCCTTCAATATGGGTGCATAACGAGTTTGCGTCATTCCAGAGCTAAGGATCCCCGGGGGGCTGAGAGGATTGTCAGCCGAATGGCAAATACGGGTGTCTTGACGCAGTTTCCGGGCGGCTTCATCGACGTCCAAACACCCGCCTGCACTTTCGCGTCGCGTTGCGGGCGCCTGTTGCCAAGGAAGCAAAAGGAACAGGCAATGCTGATCCAGGTCGCCCCTCCGCCCCTCCTCAAGGGGATTTTAAACAGATGCGCAATCATGAGCCGTCGCTGGTGAGGGACGCCCCTGACAACGCTCACCATTCACTAACCGTTCCTATCCGGCCCACCCCCCAGTAGCAGTGATACACCAGACGGCTGTCGCACCGGGGCTAGCTCGGCGGATCGCATTACCTGCCTAAGAGCTGCATTGCATGGGCGATGACTGGAACATCCGCGTTTCGATGTCCAACCTGTTCACACGCGCTCATACCACGCCCATCCACGCAAGCCGCTCACGGCGGCGGGGGAAAGGCAGCTCAGATACCCGCCTTAGCTTACCCTACTATCGCTTGCAGTATCGCTTTGTAGTCAATCAGCTCCACCAAACACTCACCGCTCCTTATTCAGCGCTCCCCCATCCTCGAGATCACCTTTAGTTGGCAAGGTACAGACAACGGCGCCTACTGCGGGGACCCAATGCCAAACTCAGCGTGATCTCAGACGGTCTGCGCCATCGCTGTCGAATAGGACCGTGAGTGACTCGCGTACGAGTACAGAACACGGCTTTCGTCTAGCACCCGCGTTTCTCTTAAATATACATGACTACATACACAGTACATGCAGCTTTCTGTTCTAGGCCGCCACATCTTGCATCCGTACCCTGCAGCTATCCCAGGCCAATCCATCACGTCTGGTGGGAATGGGAGTCCACTTTGTCACACGACCCAAACATGACTGCGACCACGTCCACGTTGTTATTATTTTTTCGTCTCATACCAAAGCCTGCGTGCCGTCTTCGGATGAAAGGCCCTCGTTTACATGGGCGCCGACGCCACAAAACCCCTCCATCTGAACCTTGGATGTCGCGAGCTGTACGGCAAACCTGACCTTGTCTCTGATGCGCCAGTCCTCGTGGTGGTGCAGGAGGGCGAACAACATCCCAGCAATAAAGGTATCACCTGCTCCTACAGCGCTATTATAGGTCATGGCGTGGTCAGTCACTTCATTTGTTTCCGAGGCTTTTTTAAGACAATCCCTAGCTGGCTCGGTCCATTGGGGCTTGCTTGACTTACTCGACGACGTGTATCCCCTTTCCCGGCGGTAACGCGGGACAAGACAGGCTCTGATGGCTTGGTAAGGGCAAGCATGAGGCACCGTCTGCTCCCCATGTACAGAGGAGTAATTTACTGCACGCACCTTGGTCAGCCAGACTTGCCAGCGAGCATCGTGTTGATGAGCACGTTCACTAACGCTTTGCGGGTTAAGCGGCTCTGTGCCTCTAGGCATTCCTCAGCAGAAGCGTAGCCCTGGTCCTGCCGTCTTTCGTTCAGCCTCAGGTGCTTCATGGACGGATGAAGGCATCACACGTACCTGGGCCCAACTCTTGGAGTAAAAAACGACATCTGCCTCAGCCGCCAGTTCCTCTAACCCCTGACGCTGACGGCCTGGTTTCTCGACTTCCACGCTTATACTGGCATCTGGTCTCGACTCGCGTAGGTATTGGATGCATTGCAAAGTGGTTTCCGGGATACGACCCTCTCGGTGTTCAGTTTGCCGTCCACTCTCAGGTCACTCCTATACGTCGACTTACCTCAAAATGCCACCAAGTCCTACCGGCAATGTCGCTCGTCGCATTGGCGAACTCGTCTAGTGTCATCTCAGGAAGATCATTGAAGTTGACCAACGTTCTTGAACCCGTGGCTTCGCTTCGGATGATGTAGCTGCTTGCAGCCTCCGTGTGACCCTCTCGATAAACACACCTGTCCAAGTCAACAATCCCCTGGGTCCCGAAGGACTCTATGATTTTCTTAGCAGCAGGGGAATCTCTACTTGGCAGAACTGAAATCAAGCATGGTTTAACAGTGTGCTCTGCTTGCCGGGCTAGCAGCTGTTGTAGGACCTCCAGTGAGTTGGGACAATTACCGCCTCTTCGGACCCTGAGACTGTCTGCTCGTAACTTGGAATCCTCCTCTGGAAAGTAAGGGACACTATGCAATGTCAGCAACTTGGTGGCAGGCATGCGTGCGAACGTAACTTGCTTGAGTATCGTGTCGAGATAACAAGCTCCGACGCATATCAGCGTCGTCATGGTAAGCGATGGATTTGTGTAGGCCTCCCCTCGATCGGATGGCGCGCTTTACAAGGGACACTCTTTGGTTAACGCCGGACGGTGTCCCGGTTGTTGTGATACCTCCGTATCACGATTTGCAACTTCAGATTACGGTTGTGGAATGCATCGGGTTATCGTTAGGCCGTGCGACCTGGAAGCGACAATGACATAACATCACTGACCCAACACCAGAAGATGTACCTACATTGTTGCGTGGTAGTCTGCCTATTCACTTCCTGACACCCAACACATGTCGCCATGAGACCCATTCTGACAGAAGTCTTTGATCTTCGCAACAAGTACACCGATCTGACTATAATCAGAGCAACGTCATAGCATCCACTAAACGAAGTCACGGATCAAAACAGAGTGAATGTATGGAAAATGTTTGGCCTTCCTGCGATTTTTGCGGCCATATTTAGCGTACACAAGTGTGTCTAGTGATTGCCCCATCATGGACTTGATAGCAAACTGCGGATAGCACCTCACTACCGCGCCTTGCAACAATTCTACTGGTGGGAAGTACGAGTCTCAATGTATCAACCTGCCGTTGCCTCCTACGCTGCTTCGTTGATGGCATATAGGCCAATGAAGTGCTTCGGAGAGACAAGATCTCAGTCTGCTCAATCACTCCGATCTGAAACCTTCGGGACCATCCACCAAAATACTGCACCGGCGACTATCAGCGCCAGCACTATGGGCTGTAGTACAGCCACACCGGCGGATGTTGCTATCAAGCCCGTAATCGATGGAAATATAGCCCCGCCAGCCTGAGCAAGCACGAAGATGAAGCCGAGACTGGCGGCTTGTGACTCCTTCGGCAGAATCTTGGAGGCAACTGACATCCCCGTGGCAAAGAACGGTCCAAATAGGAAGCCCATCAGACTAAGCGCAGTGGCACTGGCAATGATGTTCGGTTGTAACCAGAATTCCAACTGCAGCGCCGCGGTGAGAGCACTGTAGACCAACAGCATCCTCTGCTCCCCGAACCTGAAGGTTGGCTCGGCCAAGAGGAGCCTGCCCAGAAACAGTCCTCCGGAGAAGCCGGCGGGAACATATCCAACCTTTGACAGATCGCCGCCCCTGACCGTGGTGAGGAATTCGACGACCCAACCTCCTGCCGTCGTACACCACCCCAGCTCGAAGAAATAGAAGAGGCTGATTAGCCATATGACCTTGAGTTTTAGGAGCGCCCCCATCTCCTGCCACGCAAGCCTGTTCCTTCGGCTACCAGGTTGAGACTGTTTATCCTTTACCCTGCCCCAGAACGTATCTCTGAATGCTACGGCTACACCAGCTAGGTTCGCCACCCCGATGCCAATGAGGATGAAGTATACCAATCTCCAGGCCTCGATTGGGCCAGAGCTCTGGGTGTTGGCGATCCCGGTCGCGATGAGCGGCCCCACGAATGTACCCAGGGCGTAGCATGCGTGGATGAAGCCAAGCCAGCGGTGCGGTACGTTCTTCAGGCCGCTGACGAAGGTGTTGGAGTGGCTGTCTTGGTAAGCCATGCCGAGGGCCTGAAGGAAGAAAGTGATGCAGAATAGTGGGAACGGACCCCAAGGCCGAAGACACTGGGACAGAAGCTGGAGGGCAGCCCCTATTCCTAGGAGTTGTCCGAGGGTGAGATGGGCTGTCAAGATGGGGTTTGTCACAGCGGCGAGGAGCCAGCCGCAGAATGTTGTGCCATATCTATTTGGACGACGGCTCGATTAGCTACATATCTCGGCGGGATTGAACGCCACTCCAAACGGGGTCTTTACATGATGGCTATCTCCCCTGTGCCTATGTGAAAGGTCGAGAGGATATACGGTATAAGTGGGCCAAGGGTGCCGTCGTTGACTCCGGCACAGAAGAAGGAGAAGCCAGCGACAATCAACTTCCACGTGGGCGTAGCCGATTCCCGCTCTATGGCATCCGCCGGAGGGACGGTCGCTGCCATCGAGGCGTCCGCATCCCTCGATACGGGTTGGAGCTCAAGTTCCGTCATAGGCACTTGCCGAGGTTCGGCCAAGACGGTCTGGGAAGCCGACATCTCTCAGCGTGATCAAGGTAGCTTGCGTTGATATTTGAGATCCCCATCTCCCTCAGCAGTGCTGGGGGCACGGCGTGCGAGCACTACTTTATACGTCTGGACGACCTACGGAGCATCTGTTACCTTCTACATCGTTCGGCAGAAGGTCGGTTGAAGATGCTGGTAGGTCGCTGGCCAGCGGCCCGAGATCCCCGATGGTTGGAGCTGGCCTGCGTTCGGCTCGGTGGACGGTGGAGGATAGAAACTCCCAATGCCAATTTACAAGTATAGAATTCGTCGCCAAACGCCACCGTTCGCAAGTCGTGTTGCTTCTCAGACGTCTGCCAGGTGCTCTCCGTGGACCTGTGGAACGAGACGGCCTTATGTTACACTCTCCAGCCAAGGTCTGCTAGCCGCTAGGCCAGCCTACATTGGATGAGCAGGTCACTCTCTCGTCCTGTGCATGAACGTAGCAGCTAGGTACATTCGCAGCATACCCTCACCTCACAGACACTGCGCAAAGGGCAGTCTACAGTCTATCCTTCGAGGCCAGTGAGCTTGATTCTTCTGCTAAGGTATAGGTTGCCAGCATCAACGAGTCGTAGGTGTCACGGAATATCTGCGGGACTGGCGCCCCACTGAGACTTCCAGGTTACGGGTGGGCTAACTTAAGGGGGGCCCTGCAGATCGGGTCCAGTCGGGGCTAGCGTACGGGCTGCATGGGCGACGACAGGCTGTCTAATCGGCTGCAGTGGACGCCGGTACCGATGTGTCTACGCTGTGAATGGCAACACGCTTGGGAGCGACGGCATGGGCATTCTTGGGACGGCCACGATCACCTGCGCCTGATAGGTACTGTTCGACAGGAACTGACTGCCGCATCGCCACTGAATTATCCCCCATAATCCCCCCGACGCGCGATCTGGCTTCTCCCCGGCCAAGCTGACATCAGTGCCGCTCGAACACCGCCCGCCACTACGCCGCCGTGTACCGACCTGCTCATTCCGCTGGCTGCGCTCGATCTGCGGGCCATCGATTCGCTTGTTGCCGACGGCATAGCAGGGACGGACTGTCCCTCTGCCCTGGGCACCTCTGGTCTTGATCCAGCCGTCTTGCGACACGACCATCTCGGCCGAGACATGCCACCGCCGCGATGGGGGCCAGCGATTCGAAACTAGTGTTCAAGAAGGGCATCTTCCGTCTTTCAGAGGAGCGTCACATACCCGCCGACGATCCATACTGGACCTCGGTACGTCGCCATGTCCACGTGCACTACAGCATCATCATGACCCTCATCCTAACCAACTGCCACAGTTCTGGGAGCTGCCCGAGTCGTCCGAAGACATCTTCAGCCTCTTCGCCGCCGCCGACGTGCGCCGGACCCGAGACAATGCCATCGAGAACCTAGAGACCCTCATACTAGCCGTGACCTCGCGCCTGTTCATACTACGACACCATCCCTCCTTTCCCGACCCCGAAATCGCGCCAGAGAGAGACGCGCTCAACTGCATACGAGTCCTGAACCGCATACTGCCCTTTTTGTACGAGGCCGACCACCTCCAAAGCTGGGAGGAGAAGTTCTTCTGGGGCGCGAGGAGGAAACGCACCAGGCGCTCGGCCATCGCTAATGAAGTGCTCTTCGATGAGGCCCAGCCAGAAGAGGTCGAGGCGAAGGCGCCGCTGGACGAGTTCGAGGAGACGAAGCCTCTCGCGGAAGAACTCATCGATACGCTGATCGACCTGCTTTTCTTCTCCGACTTGACTGTCCCCCGTCAACCGCATGGAAGCCCCAAGGTGACCTACGCTATCTGGCAGAGCGGTGTGGGCTGCAATACAGCCGTTCCGACAACCAAGGAGCATGAAAGCAACCGTTGTGAGATATTGCGCCTGCTCCTCACTTTAACAAGTCAGAGCATGTACATGTCACCGAATCTACTTCCTACGAAGGGGACACGATCCTTGACATACATCTGTACATGTCCCGATAAGCAGGTGGTGCTCTCGGTGCTCTGCTCTCTGCTTAATACTGTATGTCTCTTCTTTCTCGTACTAAACACTTGCAGTTGCAGTTGCAGTCGGAACTAACGGGTCCAGACGCTCAAATACAACCCGGCGAGCTGGAGAGTGCCATATAACACGCTGGTGTTCAAGGATCCCAAGGAGATTCTTGTGACCTACACTTTGCAGTTCCTGCTGGTCGTCTTGCTCTACCCCATTCCTGAGCAGATCGCGGGCTCTACTCCGAAGAACTATTATCGCCACTTCCTCGGCAGATTGCATAGACCGCAGGACTTCCAGTTCATTGTCGATGGCATGACCAGGATCCTCAATCAGCCCTTCCAGACGAACACGTCTTACATACCCGGTACTCAAGCGACCACCAAATTCTCGCCCGAGATCATCATGCTCTTCTGGGAGACCACTCAGTGCAACAAGAGATTCAGGGCCTACATGATCGATACAGAGAGAGCACACGATTTTGTCATACTCATTCTGTTCTACGCCACCGAGTACAAGGCTGATGCCTCAAAGCAAGGAGTTGTGCGGATGTGTGCTTTCCTGCTGCAGACACTGAGTGTGGAGCAAAAGTTTGGCATCAACCTGAACAAGGCTTTTGATGGTCAAGATCTCCTACCTGCGGTCATCAAGATACCTGGCTTCAGAGGCAGCTATGCCGACTTTCTCATACAAGTAAGCGCCAGAACAAAAGCGATTCTGAGGTGATATACTAAGTTGCCAATAGTCGATTTATAACCTCATCACCACAAGCCAAGGGAAGCTTTCAGCTATATATCCAGCATTGCTTGCCGTGATCAACAACATTGCGGCATCCTTACAAGGCATCAACACAATCACCTGCACCAAACTGATGCAACTTTTCTCTTCAATGTCATCTCCATCTTTCCTTCTGGCCAATGATAGCAACCACGATCTATTGAGATCACTTCTAGAGTCTATGAACGCCATCATCGAACACCAGTACAAAGGTCAGTGTTGTTAGCACCAGCAGCCGTCGTCTAATATCTAACAAGCATTAGCCAATCCATATTTTGTGTACTCCGTTCTGAAGAACAAGAAACGCTTCGAGGCCCTGCGCTCATTCACCCTGGAGAGTGGGCAAGAGGAGATCGAGAGGCGCAATCGTCGCCGGAAGGAGGATGGCCAGTCCACCGATCCCTTCGACATGAGCAGGACTTCGGTGGATAGTGTGCGGAGTCCTACAACCGCGCAACCCCGGACTGCAACCCTCAGTAACGTGCCTGAGGAGGACAGCACCTTTGCAATCGGAGACGATGAGGACGACAGCGACGACGAAGAGAGACCCACTCCAGCACAGTCCAGCCCTAGCGAGAATCCTTCGCGTGCGTCATCGGTGGTGGATGTTGACGATGCCGTACCTACACAACTCAGAGGCATGTCAGAGAAGGCGAGAGGCAAGATGCCTGCAGGTATTCCGAGCTTCTCGCGCCAGAATAGCACAACAAGTCTCGGCAGCTATTCGGTGGCTGGTCAGTCCACCTCGGGTGGGTTTGAGCCATCCGCACACTGGATCGAGAGTTGGTTGCCGGAATTACCGCTGCACACAGCCCTTACCGTAATTCAACAGTTGACCGCACTCATCACTCGCCAGGGCTTGAGTGCTGAGAGCCCGTCCAATGCAACCCTCAAGGCTATCAGGGATGCTGACCTGGTTGGCATCGAGGCATCCCCGGTCAGAGTCCACTCATTCGAGTGGTCGCCGTTGGCTCTCGGGTGGTACGAGTCGCTCGTCTGGAGCTTCGTCTTTGCTAGCGAAATGCAGCTCGTGAAAGGCACGGTGGGCATCTGGAACGGCACGGCGATAAAGTTGTTCAGGGTACAGGAGACGGCACCCGAGGGACCCACCTTGACGTCGCCTCGCGGCGCCGTGGATGCCGTAGGCAGTAATATTGTGTCGAGGATCGGGTCGATCAACCTGAGGGGGGCACCCGGTGCTCTTGGTGGTGCGAGTAATCCTCAACCGGCACAGACCGGTCAGAGTAACGCTTAGTAGCAATTGGTCTTGGGCCTTTTGCGTAGCTACGCCCTTGTAGAAGATCATTGTAGTACTGTGCCAGGCCCCTTGCGGACTCCGCGGCCTGAGGTAGCGCCTTAGAGAATAATAGCCGAGTTGTGCTCCATTGCCCACGCGACATGCCTTCTTGGTGATTATGTGCGGGGCGTTACGTTGTAAGAAAGCATTGCCAGGTTTAGGAGTACACATATTCCGCTATGAGATGAATGGAACCTCAATCAAAGATGTGGCGGGCTCCTTACATTACCCATGCCAAGACATCATTACTAAGATGAAGCTATTGTACAGCAAATCCAGGGGTTTTCCTTCACTAGCTGCACAGGCAGCGACCGGGCCCTCGATATATGTATATCAACCCATGGAATGAATACTTCTCCAGGCCATATTCATTTGGCATTGGAGCACTGTTGTGCGCGAGCCTTGATGTTGTAGACAACGGTTGAGCTCCCAAGAAGAGGCTATGCGACACAAAGGGTAAACAAAGCAGTCTGAGGTGTGTCATGATGGTGTAAGGCTTCCATCCCTGGCCGCGGGCCGAACGTTGGCGTCCGTCGGTATGGATTCCACGTGGCGAAGCAATCTGATGTTGGTCAACGGCTTGGCAAAGCTTGACTTTCGGTTCTTCAGGATGATGTTTTCTAGATAGAATTCATTTCTGATCTGCTTCAGAGCAGATATTTCCAAGCCAACCGCGGCATGGGCTAGAAACGCAGCTGGTCCTCGCTCGAGCAAGCTAACGCCGTCTAATTTTGTAGCGACCCAAACAGACAAGCGAGGCAGAATATTACCTTCAATGGCACCACAGTACACGATGGATCAACTATGGAACGCTTGCGAGGCTGACAACGCACAACACGTCAGGGAGCTTTTCGAAGTACAAGCACCGACGACACTCAAGCCAGAGGATATATAATCGTTGATGTGGGTCGGGCTTTGCTCGACGTTGGTGCATCTGGGCAATGCGTCTCGCCCCTTTGTTTAGCATACTGCCGATTGCTCGACATCTTTAAGCTGTTGACAAAAAACGGTCTTGATCTCCAAGATGGGGAGGCACATAATTCTTGAGTAAGTCAGCCTGGTCAGGTCCTGTGAAGTTCCAGGCTGCTGAATCAAACTAGTGACTGTAGGGATGTACAACACCGGGAAATCGTTGACTTTCTGCTCGACCATGGCGTCGACATCAATCGTGACGATGTAATGCGCAGCACTGGCAGGCATAGTGTACCACTCTCAAGTGACTATAGCACTTTCGATAAGACTCTGGGCGTTCTAAATGCAGCTGCCGCGAGAGGTGATATCAAAATGTTTGATCATCGGGTCCTCTCGGGGTGCGGACTACATACCGCCGCAGCTTACTGTTCTGACCCCGTCAAGGTAAAGGCCATGATTGCACATCTTGTAGCTACGTACAGCTTCGATCCCAAAGCCAAGGATAATGTGATCGGCCTACGCAGCCTGGGTATTGATCCTAGTGACACTGGCGTACCTTTGGACTTCACTACCCGCCAGGAACACCGCGCCGCGCTGCGCAGGCCCAACTTGAGCACGGCGCAGACCCAAATCTCGGAAGAGCTCGAAGGACCAGTGCGGTACCTGCCTTGTGGAGAAGTCCACCTCCGCAGGCCATTTGAGTGGGATCAAGACTGATGTCTGGGAATCTGGCTTCGTATACAGCCACACAAGTCTCGCATTCGAGGTCAGAGCAGAACGCGGAGCCGTGGGTTGCAAAAGGCCAGTTCGCCTCATCTACGGCCACGTATTGGGTGGCAATCGGTTCCAAGAATGAAAGAAAAAAAAAAAAAAAAAAAAGACACGCCCGTAGTGGAACGAGGTTATTGAATATCAGAGACTGACCCTCGGTACTGCGAAACCGCGAAACCCGCTAGTTGGTGGACTATAGAAACTCTAGGTGGTCTTGTCGTTGTCTAACGGCCGCGAAGGTGGGACAATTGAAGCTTAGTGGCTGGCGAATTTTCACTTTAATAGCTTCCTCCATCGCACCTTGACTTGAGCAGCACCTCGAAAACTCAAACCCTCCACGGCTTCGGCACACTCCAGTATCAAGGTCACGTAAACAATTTATCAGGTCAGCGATTTGAGTCAAGAGAAGAGTCACAGATGGTCCAGTATATCCACACACCGTGGCGCGACCGCGCAGAGCTAGTCAAGGTCCGCCGACAGTTCTACCCTTCAACACCGGCAGACGACGCGAATACGTCGCCCTTCCTCGCCGCGGCTTCCGCGACGGGCCGGGACTCGCAAGTTATTGCAGAGCAGCGACATGCAGTGTCGCGAGTCTCCATGTGGATGCAGCGCGGCAGCTGCCCCCACATGGTAGAGTCCACAGGCCTCCTGATGGCCGCCATACTCGACGATCTCCAAGAGACCACGGCGCGCACAAACTCTTCCACAGCTGCGATCCGATTGGCCTACTCTGCCGCGTTCAGTCGGTAAGTTCTTTTTTCCAGTTTTACTTCTTTCTGTTCTTTTCTTTCGCGGGGTGGGCAAAGCTGGTTCCTTTTTCCGAAACTCGGGGTTTGCTGAAGGACAGCGCCTCCCTCGTCTGATGATCCTCCAAGATGCTTCTTCGACTGTGAAACACGCACCAGGCTCTGGCATGGGGTTACTTGCTACACACCATGGGTACTTGCCCTTTCGCACCGCAGCAGACGAAAAAGTGACACTGAGTCACGTGGCGTCTTACACGCATCGCACCACCATCAACAACGTTCAGGGGGAAGAGGCTTCCTCGCGTCGTGCTTCGTTGACTCTCCTCCGGTACCTCAAGTGATCATGTTTGATAGAAAACTAATACATGCACAGCTTCGTCACCGGCCTATTGGATAGCCATCAGGACAAGCAACAAAAGCAGAGCATGTATTCGATAGCCAAAACGATCGGGCTGCCGGCTACCTTTGTAGAGCTCAGGCATCAATGTGCACATGAGCAGCTTCCCTCGCTACTGAAGCTAAGATCGGCGGCGCAGAAGTCTCTGGCTTGGATATGGCATTACTATTGGAAGCATCTGACCGAAGACGAAGATGGTGACAATGCGAGCGGGACGTCAGGGAACGCCTGCGGCGATCTGCTGACATCCTATCTCCTTAATGAAGACGCCGAAAAAAAGAAGGGCCTGGAGAGGAGCTTGAGACGGTGGGACGAAGCAACTCTGCTGCAGGCATTAACAGAGATCGGGGAAACTGCTGGTGACCCGAAAGTGATGTTACGATCTTTGCAGCTTTCCCAGCAGATCCTCGATGGCGAGATACGTCTGACGAATTCATCTTCCAAGTCAGATGATTTACAAGCACCCGACACGAATGATTATACGGGCATTCGAGCGGATATCCATCAGGCAAATCAAGAGCTGGACAGCCATGACTCTGCCGGCCCTACACACGTCCAGCAAAAGCCTAGCGAAGCCGCGACGCAACCTCAAGGGTGGTCTAGATACCAAGGGTCGTGGAAGCCAAAGCCCATAGGTGTCGTGTAGTAAATTTAGATTTGAGATCAGTCTCCTCGAGAACGATAGAAATGACATTGGATGTCTCTACAAAGCGCTGCAATACCCTGATTGTTGCTTGGTTTGTTGACAGGAGAGAATACCTCTACGTGTCAGCTGCCCACAGCTGGGATATCATTACGGCGGTTGTCGATAAAGCCGCTAAATCCGTTACCCCAACCAACGTCATATCGAACCAGCGCACGATTATTGATTGGTAAAGGGCAACAACCTCGTGAGACCTCGTCCAACCAGCACACTAAGTCTGATGAATCGTCTTCTGAGAACGAGGCCGTCAGCTCCTACCAATCTTGTCAAGTACACAGCTGCTGTAGGTACTTCGACACAAATGGGCCATCAGGGTGCACCGTGGGACCGCTAACACTAATTACCCAGCTTGCATTCACTCGCGCCATGCATATCCAATCGATTCCTATGTGTAAGATATTGAACCGGCTCCCAAATCGAGCATGTCGTGGACATCTAACCCTGGGAAACAGGGGTGGGAAGTAGTAACAACTACGCCTACCTGGTCATCGACGATAAGTCAAAGGATGCCGTGATCATCGACCCCGCCAATCCTCCTGAGTAGGATCACCTTCGTTTGGTTGGTTGAACTTGGGCTTACGATATCCCCAGGGTTGCTCCTGTACTAAAGAAGGCCATTCAGGATGGCAAGATCAACTTGACAGCCATCGTCAACACACATCAGTGAGTTTACTATCTAAAAGCGAACAAACGATGGCACTAACGACATGCTTCTCCAGTCACTGGGATCATGCGGGAGGCAACAAGCAGATGGTAAGCAGAAATGATGCAATGAGTAATCGCTATGGGGTGTCATATCTAATGCTCCCTTGATAGCTGGAGGAACTTGGCAACTCTCAACTTCCCATCATCGGTGGAAAGGAGTGCGATGCTGTGACACAGACACCTCCCAACGGAGAGGGTTTCAAGCTGGGCAGCATCACCGTAAAGGGTCTTTACACGCCCTGCCATACTCAGGACAGTATTTGCTGGTATTTGCAAGACGGTGACCAGAAAGCCGTTTTCACGGGCGATACCCTATTCCACGGCGGTAAGCTGGATCACTGCGCAGGGTTGGCTGGCGTCCTCGCTCTGCTGAAAGCTGATCATGTTTCCCATAGGCTGCGGCAAGTTCTTCGAGGGAACGGCGGCTGAAATGCACAAGGCCCTCAACAAGACCCTGGCTGCGTTGCCTAACGACACAAAGGTCTATGTATGTCTTTTATGTTTACCGGCAAGCCCAGCACTTCGTGTCACTGACAATATTTAAGCCTGGACATGAGTACACCAAGTCCAATGTCAAGTTCGGCATCTCGGTTCTGCAGAACGAGGCGATTAAGAAGTTGGAGTCCTTCGCCGAGAACAACAAGGAGACGCAGGGAAAATTTACTATTGGCGACGAGAAGGTACGTTCCCACCGCATAACGCCACTCAAAAGGTAATTTCTAATATAGTTGAAATCAGGAGCACAATGTATTCATGCGTGTCGAGGTGGGCATCCCCTAATATCACCTTGCGGGGCAAAGGCTGACTTATAGACGCAGGATCCGGTGATTCAAAAGGCAACAGGTGAGACAGATCCGGTTGCAGTCATGGGCAAGCTCCGTGAGATGAAAAACAACTTCAAGTGAGTAAGTGTGCAACAAATAGGGCAGGGTTTGACAGGTCGGTGATCCTGATGCGTCGCAGGCCACCTAGTGAGAGCAAGATCTAGGACATATCAAACTGTGGGTGCACAATAGCTCTGGCCGTCATGCTGGGAAGCAGACGTCTTTCGCACTGTCAGCCATAAAATGCACTGTGAATAGACGTATTATCCTCGGATGACTTGCTGATTGAGAAATTGGGGGTGACACTGGTGAATGGAGTCGTGTTCGTTATTACTCGAGACAAATCTGCTATTTTCCACTTCCAACATATTGGACCATTCTTATAGGACTACGGACATGGCCTCTGTGCAAGACGTTGGATTTTCATACCACGGTAGTCCTCTGGGCCACCCTAGCTCGAAAGTTGCGTGCCTTGCTGCCAAATATTAACCATGAAAGGCAAGTGGGACAGTCCTTTAGGTCCTGGCAAAGGATCAGATGTTCAAACAATCCTGGGTTTTCCTGGCCTGCGCTCCGAGTGAATTTTGCGATACGTTGAAATGAACCAAGTGAATTCAAGGTAGAATCCTAGATATAAAACTTGCACTCTCTCTTCCCTTACCTGCTTACATTCTCATAATCACCCTCTACCCCCCCAAACCACTACTTGAGAAATCAAACAGCCAAAACCCTTGAAAGATTTCCATCATGATGCTTTTCACGCCGACGAGCGTTGCGGTTCTCGCAACCCTCCTGCCCATTCTTGCCAAGGGATCACCCCTAGCCCACATCCCCCGAGGCGACAAATACGTGTCCGCGACCTGGCTTCCCCTTGCTGGCAACAGTAGCAGCCTCTGCGACGACTCGGGCTGGGTCCGCGGCCTTGCTGGTCCCGAGGCGCCCAAGGCCGCCGACTGCAAGGCCATCGGCGACTGGGCGAGCAAGCACACTGGCCATTGGCTCCTCCGCAGCCAGGCCACCAACGACGACGTCGAGAACGAGGGCGACTGGATGTTCCTACACTCCGAGGGCTCCTGCGGACTCCTTGCCCGGCCCCGGCCCAAGGCCTGCAATAGCTGGGTCGGTGCGCCCGATGTGGTGCGCATAGCGGCGGCGTCGTTCCAGGACGGCTCTGACCAGGCAATGCAGGGCGTGTTCAAGACATGTAGCGGCAGCGACTGTGATGCCAATGTTGATTGGGCTTTCACAACGGATTTCTGATTGTTGGTGTTAGGGGATTTGGCGATGAATTCTGGGAGACTCGGTTACGTGGTCTGCTGTCAGCTTCTACCAAACAGCAGGACAAAGGCTCTATAGGAGATGAACTACCCCAAATCAACTGAGATTTTCTAAAAGTTTCACATCGCCATCAATCTGTCAAGGGCGTTCAAATGAGGTATCAACAGCCTCAAAGTTGCCGTGACCTGCTTGTGATTGAAGCGCTTACACTCGAGCCCGTTTATGGTTCACGATGCAGCCAGCATTTGTAGTTACCATTTCCATTACTCATGATGAAGTGAAAAGGCCCAGTCCCTTACGTTGGGTAGATTTCTTGGTCTCACAGTTGCCACAAACTATGTCATTTGACCAGTTGCGCCCATGTATGGGGTTCAGATGACTCTGCCCGCCAACACCCCAACTTCGCATCAGGTTACTCTGCGGAGATGCTTCCAGGGGGGCGGTCACACACACTTATGGAGTCTGCAAGGAGCACGCTCATTATAGAAAGAGGTGTTTGTCTGTTTGGAAATTATGGACTCACGGAGAGCCTCGACATAGATTATTTAGAAGTAAACCCATTATTATCATTTTTTTTTTTCATGTCACAGCAGAGGCCTGGCAAACTTGGGGACGACAACATGGTCTCTATGCAAGCAAATATGATATCCTTCGTCGCCCTCTGGCCCTTGATCACCGCGGTTGCGAGCCCTCCGTCGCTTGCTGCCTTCTATTCCAGCGCCCCGTTCAAGAACGCAGACGACAACACCACCAGCTGCCAAAATAGCTCACTGCTGAACAACCAGCTGAGTTCCAAGTCTCCCAGGGCCGAAGACTGCCAGGCGATCGGCAGCTATGCCGCGGAACACCACGGGGAATGGGAAATACCTGGATCAGCAGGCACGCCGTGGCTGCTGCTGCACTTTGAAGGCACATGTGCACTCGTTGCACGCCCAGGACCGGGTAACAGGCTGGACACGCTGGTTGGAAGCGCAGATGTGGCTGAGATCGCAGGTCTAGCGTATGACGGGAGCAGCGGGACACGGAATGAGGCTCAAGGAACGTGGGAACGTTGCGGGTGTGATGCTTGTAGTGCTGCCGTTCAATGGTGGTTCACGGGCGACTTCTAGCGATACAGTACCTAGGTAGACTGTATCATAGAGCCAGGGAAGCATATCGCACAGGCCTGGATAAGGGTTTTATCCAGCACGCCCTGATATCCGACACATTAGGTCTCGGAAGTCTTGAAGCAACTGCACAGGTATATGACAACCGTGCCCGAGAGTGCTATGCAGAACTTCCATCTCTCGAACACTTGCAGATACACACGGTGGAAACGTTGTCAATTAGGGGTATACCTGCTAAACCAAAATATCACTCATATTCATATCGTAACTCAGCCGTCAGTCGCCACTTATTTTGGCATGCCTGAAATATTTCATGCCAACCCACGCCGTGACAACCCACACCCAAGCCATGATGCAAGTCAAAATCAGCAAGCTCGGGTAATAACCCACAATGGGCAAAGTTGGATCGTCCTCAAACTCGGGGGGTGCATACGGCGTCGTGCCAACGTCCCACGCCCAGCTCCATACTCCCAGGCAGCTCCCCATGCCGGTCACGAAGACAACCCACGTGACGATCAGTATCACCCAGCCCCACCATTCCGTTTCGCTGTAGTCATACTCTTCCACGGGTACCGGTAGTGGGGATGGGCTGAGCCCCTGTAGAGAAAGCGGTGATTTCGCATGCTTGATGGATCTCCGCCGCTGTAGCGACAGCGACGGGGCGCGGGCCGGCTTGAAGTACGATTCGGAGCCGGACGAGAGAGACGCCAGACCTGGCCGTAGAGGCGACGGGTTGTGTTGTTTTATAGACAGGATATCTTCCTCGTCTGTAGTCGATGTGTATGATATCGAAGGACTCGTCATCTGAGGCTCGACTGAGGGCACTGGAGGGGGCGGGTGTGTGGGCATCTCTGCCCGGCGGGCGTAGCCGTCCATGGAGGGGCGCGGCGTGACGTCCGATATGCCCAGGCCGAGGCCGGGCGAGTCCATGGGAGCCGGGCTCAGGACAAGCTCGCTCGCCGTCGTCACGATGCCGCCCTTGGCGGGGGGCGGGGCCTGGGTCGGCTGCGACGTCGCGGCGGTGTCAATGTCCAGCGGCCTCGGCTCTCTCCTGTCCCTCTGGGCGCCGCGACCAAGCAGGGCGACCTTGCGCAACGAGCCCTTCCGCCTCCGCGTCTGCTGCTGCTGCTGCTGTTGCTGTTGCTCCTTCAAAGGCTGCTGATGGTCGGGGGAGGAAGCGTCGGGGCGGGGAGGTCGGTTCAAGGCGTCTTGGGCAATGTCGATGTGGCGCGCGTCCCTGAGGTTGGACTTGCTTTCGGCGGTGCGCATGAAGGGAAACTTTGATAGGATGCCGCCGCCCGAGCCGCTGCGTTTGCGGTTCTGGGTGTGCGCGGCCGCGGGCGCAGGCGCAGGCGCGGTAACGGGGATGATCTGACCGTTGGCTGCGCCGGCCGAGATGGGTCTTGGTGGTGGTGTGTTCTCCATCGTGCTCATCTGCCGTCGCTCAACTGCTGCTCTCGTATTGGACTTTGGGGCTAAGGGCAACTCTGGCGCCCATCATGGTCCGTCGTGGTGGGTCTGGCTCGTGGATCGCTCGGTGAGGCCTTGTTGAGCATGTTCCGGCGCCGAGGGTCTGTGGGAGGCTGCTTTGCACATACACGGGGTCGCTCCAAACTCTCAATCGTGAGCCTCAGGAAGCTGCTGTTGCTGCGACCATGGCGACGAAGCGCTTTCGAGTTGGCCATGCCATGGCAAGAGAGACGCGCGGTGGAGCCAGCGACGCCAAAGCACCAGAGCACCCCCTACCCCCTGTATTGGAACTAAAACTTAGCACGCTTATCACTGTACGGACCAAGTGCAGTACTATTACACAGCAGGTGGAAGCTGTCGTCGTCCTATTCGCCCTAAATCGCGGCATCGCCCCACATCGCCGGCCCCTGCCGCGTAGACTCTCTGCCGCGGATCTGGCCGGAGCACTCCCGGCACCGCGACAAATCAGAGACCGGGATTTAAATGGTCTCGAGACGTGAGCTCTCAGGAGGGACGGTCAGGGGTAAGGGCATTGGGTAGTCAACAAGTCCGAGGCCGTTCTACACTGCTAGCTTCGATTGCCATGACTACGGTAGAGCCCTCCTCTGCGGCTCGGGAATATGTGGAGATCAGTTCGTCTGGATATCGCCATAGACAACTAACTATTTGGAAAAGCCGGAGACGATCGGCCTGGCCAAAGGGTCTCGTGCCTTACGGACGCCACCGTTCTACGAGGCCCCGAGGCTGGAGGACGAGGTCTTCCTCCAAGGCACTCGTCTTGTTTCCAATACGGCTTGTTTCCCCCACAGCTTCGAAAGAGGAATGTTTCCAATACCCGTCTAAGATGCGGAACTTGCTCCGTCTTGTTGGTTCTCTTTGGTCACCGCGATCGCGACTTCCATAAGGGAAGACCAATTAGCATAGGACAGGAACAAGCTATCACCCACGCGTACTCTCAAGCGAAAGAAGAATGGATCCTCTCAGACCATGGAGTCGATAATGAAAGACCCACAGACCCGCAGACATCTTACCAAATTCTCCCATGGCCAAGTTCATATCCCTAGATATGTGATGAACGATAAGTATATCAGCTGAGGGCCATGCACTTCATCGTGGGATGCATGTCTCACCGTGTCTAGACTGTCGAGCTGTTCCATTTGATGCTCCAAGATACACACAACCCACCGGTGAGAGTTTTGAATACATGTCCATGTTGACCTCGACAGGGCCTCGGTTGCCTCGCTACCTCGGCTTTGAGATCACATTCTACCAACCCAGTACCGCTACGAAAGAGGCAGTGTGTCAAGCCGGGGTCAGCCCACAGTATAAAAAGAAACCATCACATGTTTGTGCTGCTACCGCCAAGTAGGTGGAAGAGACCTCGAATCATAGGCTCATGGTGGAACTCGTGTCCACGAAGCAAACAAGATCTTTTCCCTGAGCGTCTGCATATGCTACGCAGTGTAAGCGCTGATTGTGTCGCCGCATATACCCATACCCCTCATCTACCCCTGACTTGGTTGAAAGTTCGGGCGAGGATGGCCCTCGGCTCCTGCCAAACAACTGAATGTGGGGTAGTTGGTGGTGCGTATACTCCAAAATGGCGGACTGCAACGTCTTGGCGTCCAGCCGTCCACCTGAACACGGAGAACAGGGTTTAGCAAGTTGTCACCAGCGGTGTCCATTCGGCCGAGACATCTACTGGAACAGTGGGAGCTTGGAGAACCAGTTCAGGTCTCTCTGCACATAGGCGACCATATCCTGGTGAAGGATCTATCAGGGCAGCATCATCGGAATATAACAAGTATCCCCGGGGCGTGGTGCTTAAAAAGTAGTAAAAGGATCCCCAAGTCGACATCCTTCTGTAAGGCGAGACCTTGAAGGACGGTAAATGAGGTTTGCCTCGTGAATCTGTAATGGGACGGGACTAGACACTTGTAATGGCAAAGGCTGCCCTGGGTTCCATAACTGCCTATGAATTTATATGGGTCTGTAGTACCACTCTACTTCAATGCGGAACTCAGGTTTCACTCTGGGTCGAGGAAATACGGTCTGGTGCTCTATCTAACACCCATATCATTACATACCCTATTGAATAGTACGCATATTGGGCCGACCTTCGGCCTGCACCTATGAAGCCAATACGTTTCTTCCCAGACCATACAACATCTCTTAAACTCTTGCTAGGCGTAATGCACAAGTGTTGGCTCTTGTTATGCAGCATGTCCAGATTGGTGTTTCTATGCTCGAATAACACGTGTTTGACTCCACTTGAGTATGGGTAACTCCAAGCCATGTTGCTTTGAATCAAAACTCTTACGTACGATCTTGCGTTGGACATTTCCGTTTCCAAATGCAGAGATGGTGCGGCAACTACGTGAGGTCGTACAGAGTTTCTACTATCCGAACGTACGACCGCCGAGTATAGGGCGGATGAGGCTGGTTCGAAGTGCTCGTCACTTTTGGTGCATCGATGTGACGCTGCCTCAGGACAACCGGTTATTGTCTCCACTCGCCACCTATATAAGAATTGTGGTAAACTTGAGTGCCTGGAATGGGTGCCAACTCGCGATAGCCTTCTGTCATATGTTGATGCAGCTCGACACGGTTGCTGTGAGCAGGCGTGACCAGCGCAAGTGAAGCAACAAGCTTTGTTCGACTTGATCTGCGGCTGGCAAAGGGCAGCGGTGCCAATGATCATCAGGGGTATCATTTAGGGGAAAGAGGGTGGGTGCGGAGCGTGCGGAGCGTGCGGAATGCTACCTCGCCAAATTGATCTGCGGTTACCTTCTTCCTCTGACTGCTACGTCACCCGAAGTCAGATTCAAAATGTAGGTCGAATCGAACAAGGGTCTGGAGTGAATCGCATACGAGACATTGGAAGGTCAGAGGTGGAATTATATGTCAGAATAAATCATTGTGTGAATGTGTAGATCATTCCGCGCCATCTTCCTGTTAAGGTATTCAACAAGTATTCGACGTCGATGGATTTGGGTTCTAGAAACGACGGACACCTTACAGATTGTTTGCATCTTGGGATCAGGAGAGAGATAGACGGACTATTAGTGTTTAACTTGATTCGAAACAAACCTAGAGGACGAAAAGCAAGACTTATACCTCGGGACGAACGATAAGGTTGACTTTTCTCCCTTTTCTTTCAGGTATTCATGCCGTCCGCAGCGAATCACGTATTAGATAGGACAAGAGCTTTGAAATTTTTACTAAATTCATCTCTCACGTAAAACTGGAGGGATACAGTCAACACATCTCTATAGCTACGCACTCTGTCTTGAGCAGAACGCTGTCGATGAAGAAGCCTCGCTCTAATTTCCCTGTTTGGCTACCACATCGCCTGCATAGTTGATGCAACAACCAGATCAGAGTCTTGAGTCAACATATCATCGGAGCACAACATATCTCCGGGAACCCGACAACTCGGCTTCAGATGCTCATATACCCTCCGCTGCGGGGAATCGTGTCTAGGTTCTTGGTTGTTTGACACAGAATCGTTGGTTCGATCTTCGTTGATGTCATCCACTCAAGATGGACTGATTTGAGTCCGAGGGTGTGCATGTGCAAAGGATCAATAGTGAGCCCACCAAAGTACCATAGACTCTGTGGGGTCTTGATTGAAGCATAAAAGGAATCCAATCTGCTGCATGGAAAACTTGAAAACTCGTCCTCCAGTATCCAAGTCTCATTGCGAGTGACCTTCATCATGAAGACTTCTTCATTGACCTTTAACTGCCTGTTCTCCTTCTGTTTGGGTGTGCTGGCTGACGAGACGATCAAGCGTGTTGGCAGTCCCACGGTAGTGATTCCATCCCCGGATGCAACTATCATTGGAGTTCCTGTTGGCATTGTTGAGTCATTTCAAGGACTACCTTTTGCACAGCCACCAGTTGGGCCTTTGCGATACAATGTTCCACAGCCTTTGAAGCAAGACCAGTCTTTGGGTACGATCAACGCCTTGGCTGTTGGACCAACCTGTCCTCAGACTCTGCTTGATACAAGCTTTACAGATGGCTTGCCAGCGGAGGCCCTCGCAGTGCTCAAGAACACGACGCTCTTCCAATCCACCGGAAACGTCAGCGAAGATTGCCTGTATCTCAACGTGTTTCGACCAGCAGGTATTGACTCTTCAGCAAAACTCCCTGTCCTCTTCTGGATGCATGGAGGAGGGTTCGAGATGGGCTTCACCATGACGTCTGAGGGTGTTCCTTTCGTAACAGATTCCATTGGACAGGGCAAGCCTATCATCTTCGTCGCTGCAACATATCGGGTCGGAGGTTTTGGCTTCCTGGCTGGCAAAGAGGTTCTGGAGGCCGGCGTTGCCAACCTCGGTCTGCTAGACCAGCGACAAGCGATGAAATGGGTGGCTGATAATATTGAAGCATTCGGCGGCGACCCCGACAAGGTCACTATTTGGGGTGAATCAGCCGGGTCCATCTCAGTATTCGACCATCTCATCCTTTACGATGGAGACAACTCTTACAACGGCAAGCCTCTATTCCGTGCAGGGATTATGAACTCGGGGAGCGTCGTTCCTGCGGATTCTGTCGATTGCCCCAAGGCCCAATCGGTATATGATCAAATCGTGGAGAAGGTGAAATGTTCGAGTGCATCGGATACCCTCCAGTGCCTTCGCGACGCGGACTTTCAAACACTGCTTGATGCCATCGCAGAAATACCAACTTTCACTTCGTACCAATCCATTGCACTGCACTTCTTGCCCAGACCGGACGGGAAAGCCCTGACCAAGTCCCCAGACCAATTACTGCAGGAGGGCAAATTTGCCAAGGTCCCGATCATCATTGGAGACGAAGAGGATGAAGGGACGCTCTGGTCGCTTGCGCAACCTAACATTACCACAACGGCTGAAGTTGCAGACTATTTGAATGAATACTTCTTCCACCACGCTTCCCAGCAGGAAATGGACGATTTCGTGGCGACATACCAAACCATCACTGAAGATGGGTCACCTTTCCGCACTGGTCTCTTGAACAACTGGTATCCTCAATATAAACGATTGGCTGCTATCCTGGGGGATCTGGCTTTCACCCTCAGTCGACGTTATTTCCTTAACATTCGACATGCTGTCGCTTCTGATTTGCCGGCTTGGTCATATATGTCGTCGTACAATTACGGTCTACCAATTCTGGGAACGGTGCACGGAAGCGACATTCTTCACATCGTCTGGGGCATTCCATACGATTATGCAACCCGTACCATGCACTCCTATTATTTGTCTTTCATACACGATCTCGATCCCAACTCGAATAACGACGCCCCGGAATGGCCCCAGTGGTACGAATCAAACAAGCTATTGAACCTTTACTCAGGCTACCAGCAGTTCATTACGGACGATTTTCGATCTGACTCATATGAATGGATCAGCAAGCACGTGCCACAGCTTACGATGTGATGGTCTTCCCCTGGGAGTAGAGATTACTATTGGTATAAGCGTTAGTAAAACTAGGGAGTTTGTTTCAAGGAGATTTCATGTTCTGCCGAAAGATTTGAGGAAAACTGGTGATTTCCAATGTAGTTTGTGCGTCACGGTAAAGACGTCTGTGAAGACCTGCAGCAATATACGAGTACTAAATTTATAATATGATAGCTCACCTATAGTATAGCAAGTCACGTGATCGATGGGTGTATAAGACAAAGCTTGCAGAAGCCCTTGTTCAGTCAGACGTTTTGTATCACTTATACTGCTGCCAAACAACACTTTTTTCGTTATATCTGATGCTTGGTTCATCAACTATACTGAAAGTCGCTCCACCAACCCGCCCGCCGCTCCAATGAAGACCCTATCTCTGGGATATAAAACAACAATGAGATTTGAGGCCACGCTAATTGCAAGATTCTCGCCCAGATCTCCGTCTCGTGTTCCTTTGTTCTCATCAAAGCTCCAACAGATTCTTGTCGTTTCTTCGTCTCCTTGCTCCCTGTATCTACACACATCGACTTGCCTTGTCTTCGTACTGTTTTTCTTCTTCACTCAATTGTTCGGTATGTCAAGTCCTTTCCTTCTCCATCCTTGTGGCGTTCAACTGGAGTATAAGATTGTGCGGTCTTCTCTTTCTAGCAGAGTTCCGAGCCCTTATGGTCCAGCAACCGCCAGAGTCGATTGAGACACTTGGTTTCCTATTCTGGCGGGACTCAATCCTAACATTTCTTCTCTGGCCACTCGGGTGCTCTTTGTATTCTATTATCCTCACAAACCTACCGTGTTCTTTTCATTGATCCGCCTTATTCCTGTCGAGCTGCAACGTCTAGCTTTGAAAAGCGTAGATCAAGAATTCATCGAATACCTTCTGGACTTCATCATCGCTTACAAAATGTAGTTTTCTCATTTGCGTGTGTGTGATGACAATCATCTGTATCCACCTGTGATAACTTGAAGAGCCTTTGCCTGGATGATGGTGGTGGACAGGTGGCAGATGGGTGTGGGAAGATGTTCATTTTGATTCTAGCGAGTATTGTGAAAACCATGAGAGTTTGGCGTTGAAATCACGCTGATTGATTATGCTCCATGCCGAATGGCTTTCAGGCGATTATGCACTAGCAGGGTGGCATGATTGTGGCCGATTCCGGAGGCGACGCCTTAAGAATAAACTCAGGTCAGGTAGAGCTGGGGAATGGACAGCATGTGAATGGGATATCAGATTCTCCATCTCTTCCTCGTCCTGCCTCTGTATACGAAACGGAAGTTTCTGTGCCACGCACCTAGAAGATGCCTTGTTTTCGACGGGAAACTTGAGCTATGAGAAGAGTTTGCACAGTGATTGACGATGGTTTATCGTTGTCTCAGGGCTTCTTAAGATAACTTGGGCGTAAAGTAGACTGTAGCAGTCTCTGCACCCGATGAAGATATATATTGTGAATTGTTGAGAATGGCAGGTCTGGACTGTCACTATTATATAACACCTTGGTCCGGCGCGTTGATGAGAGCTGCATCGCTTCCTTACGTCTGCCAGGGCTAGGGCATAGGCACTGACAGGCACCAGCGTACTAGTAGTCGAGAACGTCTGTAGCTCCCATCACTTCCACGCAATACTTCAGAATTATGGCGGAAACCCTGGGCAGAGGAAATCGTGACAGCTGTGAGGGTGGGTGATGCAGGACTTGGGCTGTAACTCAACGTGAGCAGGAGGATGGTCTGACCAGCATTGTCCGACTTCTCTGTGTTGCTTTGCAGGGAGCGTAGAACCAACGCATTCTGTGTCTCGAGCCAGCTTATCGGTATACTCACTCGACCCATATCTTTCTGTAGCGGCAGGGCTGTCGTTGCGCTTGGTTTCATTTGGTTTGATGGAAGTTGAATATTTCCGAAGAAGTACATGTTGATCATCTGCTAGAAGAGGTCTGTGAACTGTGGGCACAGTAGGTATAGCATGCTTGGTGGGAAATGGTTAGTGTTGATTGGCCCACAGAACGGTGCATCGGAGGATCCATGTTACCAGTAGGCCGTGTCACGTATTACCCGCGGGAACCTCGCGGACCAAGCCACGACAGCAAGTTTCAGGAATGGTGAATCGATATACCCTTTTATCGCTGCAGTGCTCGTACTCAAAAGGAAGGGAGAGCACCTTAGAAGGCTGTCAATAGAACCTCGATGACTTTTTCGTCACGGATGGCAGGGACAACTGGCACCAAAGCCCACAATATCCCGCACCTTGTAAGCGAACAGAGCGGTAAAAATTAACCGTGGCAGATGGATTCACAGTGACAACAACAGCTTACACGCAAAGTTGGTTGTCTACTCGTCATGCATTGAGCCAATCTCGAAGGAAAGGGCCAGGCAGCTGAACAGGACGTGTCAGACATCCCTTGGCGCTGCGCAGCTGGAGCAGCCGGCAAAGCGTCGCCTGATCCATCAATCCGACCGAAAATCAGCGAACGTCATTGCCACTTCAGCGAGAGGGTGTGCAGCGTATCTCTTTCCAGTCGTATACGGATCGCGACTGGAAGAGAGACTGGGGAAAAGTAGGCGCAGGCCAGCGGTTGGTCATTGTCGAGCGAGACTACCCGTAACGAAGTACCTAACTTAAGCAACTTAGGCGCCTGAGTTTGGTTGTCAAGCTACTTAAGTAGTTAGTTAGCACGTCAGTTAAGTCAGGCTCTTGGTTACTTATGGAAAGCAAGCACTCTGGACGTCCATGCGCGGTCACAGGCGGAGGTCTCACTCAATCCAGCCTCTCGTCGCATTTCCGTCCTCTTGACTCTCCCGAGACAGCGGATCAAAGATTGCACTGCCAAAGCAAAGCTCAAAGCTCAAAACAAACAGTCAATGCCGCCTTCTGCTTTCGTCTTCAGCGCATTTCCCATTTCCGACCTGGCCATCCACCATCTCAATCGGGCCAAGCGTCAGGGACAGATCGCTAGCCGCCTGTAATCTAACCCGCTCTTGGCCACTGGCTGGACCGCCTGCCCACTTGGATCCCCCGTGGTATTGATCTCTCGTCGCCCATGAGCATTGGATGCGACTCATCGATGGCTCCTGGCAGCCGACCCCCTCCGATCACCATCCTCCCCGACATCTTACCCAGCGTAGAGCTGCCCTCGTCTCCCGACCAGACCAGCAGCCCGGCCGCAGCACCCGGAGCCGGCCACAGGAGTAACAACAGCGCGCCGCTTCTGCGCTTCCCCGACGATCACCTGGGGCATGACTCTTGCGAACGCCTAGACGAGCCCTTCTATGACCCGAACCGTCTCTCGCCTGTAGCGCCGACCTTTGCCCTTCCTCACAGTCCCGGCCTGCTGTCACCGACACTCTCGCCTGCAATGGCCGCGCATTCCTCAACCGCCGCCAATGGCGGTTTCAACAAGGAGAACACGCCGCCGATCGAGATACCAGGCGCGAACCACAACCCCTTCAATTTCCAGACCCAAGTCATATCTACGTCTCCAGTCAAGCCAAACGTAGGCCAGCGCCGCGGCCACAGATACAAGCACAGTTCCATATCGGCACAGCATCAGATCTTTCAAGAGCCGCCGCCCAGGCCGCCATTGGCTCTACCCCGCGACCTCCCTATACCCACCTTGAAGGAGGCGTGGAAGTCCATGTCCACTGACCAGCGCCGGCGCCTGTACTGGTGCTGCTGTCATCTTCTCGTGGCATGCACCGTCTTCCTGTCAGCCCACGGCTCGCTTGCCATGACTGCCCTCTCGCACTTGGTCTTCTTCGATGTCGGGAGCGCATTGATATGTGTGGCCGTGGATGTCTTGGGCAACTTCGAGGTCTGGAAGCGGAGCAGTATTCGCCACCCTTTTGGTCTTGAGCGCGCCGAGGTCTTGGCTGGCTTTGCCACCAGTGTCTTCCTGATATTCGGCGGCTTCGACCTGGTGAGCCACAACCTCAAGCATGTGCTCGAGGGATTGGGCGGGCATGAGTCGCATCATCCCGAACCACACAGTCATGGGCCGCGCGTTCAGTCGGGCCATTTGGATATCACGAGCTTGACTGCCATCATCGCTACGCTTGTGAGTGCCTACGGCCTGCGAAACCATGGGCGAATTAGCAAAATCATGCGTGTCAGTTATCTGGCCAGCCTGCCGAGCATCCTGTCGAACCCGTTCCATTTTCTGACCTTGTCGACATCGTTCCTGATGTTGCTACTGCCGCTCCTCTCGATTCCGATCCCAGTGTGGCTGGACAGCTCCGTATGTGGTCTAGTTGCCGTCTCCATGTTTGGCCTGGGCTCGCGGCTTGCTATTGCCCAAGGGCTGATGCTGCTGATGTCGTATGGCGGGCGATCTGGCTCCTCGGGCAAGAACAAGGATGTCGGAGTGGCGGACGTGGTGAGCGAGATTGAAGCCGAGCCGAGCGTCGAGCGCGTAGAGGAGGCGCAATTCTGGCAGGTTCACTATGGACTATGCATGGCAAACCTGAAATTGTGCGTGTCGAAGGGTTGTGATGATAGCGCTTTGAGTAAGCTACGAACACGCATCTCTACACTGGTACAAAATCGTTTAGGGGAGGGTTACGGCAAAGGGAACAGTCTGCGGTGGGAAGTCAGTCTGCAAACAAGGACAGACTCCAAGTAGACCGGTTACGTGTGTGTTTTGGAGGATAATTATATACTCGGCATTGGAGGGTGTTTCGACAAACATCCTCGTACGCTGGATATTATGACGAGACCAACCATCGCGATTCTTGTATATAATTACACTGGAAATACTCATCTATACATCTTGCATGTGAATGTGAAGACACTCCATGAATTCCCTCATCTTATCGATCCTGAGAGACCTTGATGGCATGTGATGTTCTGATAACACAACTTGTACCAATTCTCCTGTACTTTGCTTGAGTGCTGTGCCACACGTGGCTGGGGTGCTGGCATATGTATGGTGGCTGGTGCTGGCGGTCCACTTTTCCGATTTATTTCAAACATCGTATCAAATTTTCATTTGCGGACCCTTCCTTTTGTTCTCTCACAACTACTTCAGCACACAGGAACGCATGTTCGATGGAACGAAACAAGGTCCGCAGACCAGTGACTACTGCTTGGCGTCGACTTACAAATCCCGTACTGTTCTTTCGGAACTGAACTTGGTAAGAATCATGCGTCACCGGATGATATCCTGGCGAGCTCGCGCTCGGCCGCGCTCTCTTAGATTTGGCTTCCATGCTGCAAATGCGTTCAGCTTTTTTTCTTCCTCTGCCCCCTCCAGCCTTACAACTACCTCGAGGCGTTAGACTAGAGCCCACGCGTTGTATTTGTATCATTTTGCACCTCTTTGAACCGCTTCTAAAAATGCTAGAGCTTGCCGCCTCGATCTGTCCCAACAGCGAGCAAGTGTGGACAGTGAAGCAAGATGGAAACAACGCCCTGGTCGAATACTTATTCTTCCGGGGTTCCCGCGGGTGCTGTGGTCGCCTCTCCTCGTTTCAGATGAGGGAGGCGCTTCGTGCTTGAGGGAGACATACCGATGCCGTGTAGTGATATGTTGTATGTGTGCGTCTGTGAGACGTAGTCTGTATGTTTAGGCCTGATGATGATGATTCGCTTCTTTACCACTGCTATTGACCTCCTTTAATGATCTCTTCGCGATCACATGCTGCTCGATTTGTGTTCATCTAGCATATGTTGTCGGTAATGTATGCACACTGGAAGACACGAGCGGTACCGCCCAAGGTAGCCGTTAGGGGTATCAACCGTCCTAAACTGCTAAGTTTACATGATTTATCCAGACTTGTTGTAATGCTTCATAGGCCAACTAGTCTTACTGTGATTTCATCAGCGATTCTCATGACCTGTACTTAAAATGACCACATATAGAAACTCGCCACGCTACCACGAAGGCATCGGTTCCACTTACACCCGAGCCGGCGGTTGCGTTGCCCAGTACCTTGGGTTCAAGAAGCTGTCCAATGCATAGGGGTTTTTGACTTGCAATCTGGCCAACATTGTATCCATGGGAGGCCATTGTTATGCAGATGGCCAGGAAAAAAGGGGAAAGAAAGAACCCCCCCTCCCCCCCTTTGGCCGACGAATCTAGAATCCATTGGCGCTGTAATTCCAAGCATGCCGTCGGTACACTTCTCACGAGTTTAATTCGATATGGTATTGTAACCACTAAAAGTGCCATAAGCAGCAAGCAGCTTCTAAGTTTGGCTGAAAAATGTGAATGAATCACTTTGGCAGTCGTACAATGCTCGCCGCCGACTGATTGGGTAAACAGATAGACGGATACCTACAACTACGATAGATAATGCAAGGATCCTGGGTGGCGCCCACTTACACATTGGCTCTGAACAAAAAAACGTGCAGGACAGGCCAATACAATTGGTAGCAGTGAGGCGTGCAAAACTGTCAAGAGGCGCTGCTATCGGTTGCAAGAAGAAACAAGGGCTGATCATAGAGTTTGCAGGTGACATGGCTGCTTCCTAGCTCTTTCAAAGCGTCAGGTTCTGGCCAAGAGTAATGGGACGAGAAGAGATGAGAGGTGGCTTGTTCTGCTGGGCTCGATCTCTTTTCTACGAAGCATATGATATACTGTCTTCCTATATTGTGCTTTAAGCTTCAGCTGAGTCGGTTAATAGTGCAATGAGTTCTCTAATACCGCTGCTGGTCATTGTCATCAACATCGCTGCCTGTGTCCTTCCTCATACCTTCGTGTCTTCGAGCCCCTTGAAGGAGACTTTGAGATGCAATGAGTTGTGAGGAAACTGCGTGAGAACTAGGATCGTTCCCCGAATGGCTATTCGTCAACCTGTTGGACTCTTCAATTAATTACACACAGTTGCACTGCGCTAAGAGAAAAAACAACCCTCGTCGGCCAATTCAAGACGCATGACTTTAGACTCATGATTACTGGTACGCGACTGAGGAACCCGAGGGAAGGATTCGCTAGATTATGCTACGATATTCTGCTATGTGCCAGACGGCTCTGCAATGCTCTGGGCCACGCCATTATCGTTTCAGGCACTCCACAGATGAGCTTTAGCCATGTCCATATGAACTGATTTCTTCTTGGTCTTGCTTTGGAAAGGTAATCATTCCTAATCTTGGAGGAGGACAAGAAACTACTGGTCGGTAACGAGCATATCAAGTGGGCTTCCAAGTAAGACCAGTGCCTCAAGAAGTCAATGCTTTCCCGCGACCGCCTTACTGGTCCGTCTTGGCCATGTGAAGCTTATCTAACATGGGCAGAGACGTGCATGGCCGTCCACTTACAAGCCCCCTGGTCGTCTACCGGGGTCCCATATAGGTAGCATCGTGATCTTATGGGACTCTGCGAGGTGGAGATCAGAGCTCGGTTTGAATCAAGCTCTTGACATCTGGCCAAAGCACAATTCCCCCGTCGGTACACGTCGCAAAGCGCGTCGGGGCGCAAGTCAGCATACGAGCACACGAGAAGAAACTCACGTGGCGATGTGACCTTGGGGTCGGCCCCCCCCCCTCTGACATCGAGACATACAGCGTTTCATCCCACGGGGGAAAACATTCCTACTATTTCCAACACCCCGGGATATGGCTTTGGGATGGCAGAACAAGGCAGAATTATCTGACGCAACATTTGGCGTCAATGTTCCTTTAGAAGAACGACGATATGGGTGCCGGCGAGGCGGCCAGTCAAACTTGCCTAGAAATTCAGCCTCGGCGTCATATTACCTCGAACAGTTAAACCACACTAAAGCTCGTACTATGTAACCCCCATGTCCCCCCATGCCGAGTGCACAGACACCACCACAACCCGGTTGGCCCTTGCTTAACCCAGCCGGCCGCGCCGTGATGAGGGCCCGGCCTACGGGGCTGGCACAAACCCTTAATGCACGACATCGATTCTAGCAGGGCCGCCACCGTCAGTGGGCGTTCCAACGAATCGTGGACGTCTCAGATGGCTTGACTGCGTGATCCCGAAGCCAAGCAGAGTTCAGTGAGGTCCAAGCCACTGGGATCAACCGACCTGACGCTTGACGCAATGCCTCGTCGCAGACCGCCAATTGAGAGGCTGGCGCTAGTTGCAATAGGCTGATCTTCCGTGGTAAGCGCCGCCGGAGCGGCAACGATGGGGTTCGGAACCAATCGTTCCAAGTGTCGGTTCCCATATCTCACCTTCGGCGCCCTTCCACCGATCCGAGTAAGTACATGGACCGAACTGGGCCTGCAAAGGAGGTTGTATTAATAGACGAGCGGCAAACCAGCCATTTGGGGGACGCAGGATGAGCAAGTGAGAACCAACGAGGACTCGTTTGCGATGGGTACTGGTGAGCCGCAGAAACATGGAGGATTGCACGCTGTATCAGGGGCTCAGCCGCGCGATTGTCGGTTGGCCTGGTCGGCTGGTATAAGGCTTGCTAACAAATAGTGTGCGGCTGGGACGATCAAGGACGGTGTTTTACTACAACCGCGAGACTTTCTGGCATGCACTCTGCAGGGCAATACTCTGGACCTTTCCAGCACCAGTCCAATGGCGCAATACCATATGGAGTTCCTCGAGAGTACTATTCGCTCGAACCATTGCTGCAACGAGTTTTCTGCAGGTATATGATTGGTTAACCAAAGAGACCTGGAAGAACCTTACGAGTTGAAATAAGAGGGGAAAAGGGAGTCAAGCTGTCGAGGCTCTGTGTCCTGACTAGCGCTTGCAGGTGTGCAACAACGGTCTTGATGCGGTGTCGGTCCGGCACCCAGCCTGCTGCTGATCGCGGGAGTAGTAATTGGCGACGGGACTGGATGCAGATTAGCGTATGTTGTTGCATCTCACAATGCAACCCAAGAGCGCTGAGACCTCTGGAGAATAGTCCCCGTCAAGTAGCTCGCTCGGTCCAGGCTCCGGTGCATCTGCCGCGTGATTCGGGTGGCAATAGGTCGAACAGTAACCCGGGTTATGAACACACGGAGCACCACTCAGGGCCATAGTACGGGCAAGCGTGATGCATGCTGCGTGTGGGTGTGTGAGGGGGAAGTATTGTGTGGCATCAATGTAGGGATGGATCATTGGAGGTGGGAAGTACACAATGTGAATACCGCGCACGTACACACCGAGCTGGGTGTGCCCATACTGATCTGGGCGAGGCGGGGAATCTGGATTGTGATAGGAGGACGAAGTTAACCCCACGATGCCGTCTTAGTAATTCAGGAGGTATCGGAATGGGTCGGCGGCGAGGGTACGCTAGAAGGTCCCGAGGGACTGAATCAGTTATGACAAGTTACAGTGGATGGTCTATCGACAGCAAAAAGCAGCGAGCCGGTCTCATCGCAACGGCAAGAGTGGGTGTGTTCAGCGGGACACGATCCACAATGCCAAGGTGTGAGAACAGACTCGGCGTGACTACTGTGTATTGCTTGGCTTGGAGAACCTCAGTTGCTCAGAACCCACAGACGTGTGCCAGATCGGTGGTTGGCAAGGTTGGCATTGGCATTGGCGACGATTGGGTCGTGAACCTCGCAAGCCCACAGACAATTGGAGTGGAGAGAGTGCAACGCAGGGCTAGGCACTCGGTAATAACAAAGCACGCAAGCAGAAGATCGGAGGACAGGCGAGGTTGGTTGCGAACCGGAGGATCCTCCCAACCTACGGGCCTACGCCCATAATCATTCACCTGACGCTGATGAGAGAGCCGGCGGGAAGATCTCCTTGCAACGTTGATCCAATCGAGGCCCTAATCGACTTTTGGGGTCTTGCCTTAGCTTGCATGTCCCTTTTCGCCTCCTCATTCTGGAAATCTCATTGACTAATGACGGCCTCGAGAAGCTCAGGAGGACCAGGAGGGTCCACTCTCGGGTGTTTGGCAGACTAAAATTCAGGGTCCTCGTTGGTCCAGTATGCAGGAGGTCATCAGGGTCATGAGGAAGCGGAGTCCTTTCGTCCTCTTTCATTGATTCATTGATTTATCCATCCATCCATTCAGGCATTCAGCGAATACGTTGAAGCAAAGCAGTTTTCCAGCATGCTGTATGTAGTTACAGCACTCAAGGTTTCAAGCAGCATGGGAGCCTGGGTGATTTCAACGTTTGCACACGTCAAAAACAACGCCTCCCGCCATTAACTCAAGGTTGGTCTCTCGGTAAGAACGCCGTAACCAACTTAGTTCTTGCGTCTCAGATGGAGTGTAGAATGATCAGCATCGGGGCTCGTTACCTGGCAAGCCTGGGCAGGGACCCTCCTATGAACAATGATCGACGGGCATCTTGTGCGGTTGAGTCCCAGGCCTAGCCAGCTGGGTAAATTCCGTGACGAGACAGCGAGCGACAGCTGAAGCTATCCGTTTCCGGCACCTCCAGTTTCCAAGCTGCCTAAGTTACTCTGTAGTGTGTACATAGGTACACGACAGCGCTTGGCTCAGTTGGCTGGACCACGAGAATAGGGAGGTCTCCGAAAGGCAGACATTGCTTAACGAGGTATCGTGGCGGATGGTTTACAATATGGCCATTTCTAGGGCCCAATATTCGAAGCGCCAGTATCACATCTGTTGTTATGATAGATTATAAGAATACCTACCCAAAGATAGCAATGCGTTTCTCTACTGGGTACCACGGGTAGCAGCTTTTAGCAGCTACTAAGTAAGTTATGGTACGCCACAATCACCAGCAGAAGGCGGCCCGGGAGGCCCGATGCTTTGTCAGGCCGGGGCTGACGAATTCGCTCGCCCAGGTAGCACTGCTCTGAAGCTTTGGCATTTTGGACCTGGAATAGGAAGGACGAGGACGGCAAACAGAAAAGAGAATTTCTGAGAGCAAAGCTTTTCGTCAAACGTCATGGCAACTCCAAGCTCAAAGGATTTTCCCCCCCTTCGTCCCCTTGTCGGGTGGATTCCGTGTGTGAGTGGCCATGTCTGTCTCCAGTCTCCAGCCTCCGTGCCACTGGCGGTTTCGTTCACGCCGAAAATGCAGTGAACTGCATGCAGATTGGGGTCGGGGTCTCTGGTGTGGCAGGGGGGCGAACAACCGACTGCAGGCTTTCAGCGTCGAGCTCGCGCAAAGCTCGAACATGCAGCTGGGAAAAGCATGAGGGGGGGATTTCAGGTGTGTTGGCATTGGAGGACGACGATGGTGCTGATGAATTCAAAGAAAGATGGTGCCGTAACCCGCGAAGACAAAGAGGCGGTCAACCGCCTATGTAAACAGACTGTCGGACGAGATCGAGGACCTTGGTGCCGTAATTTGCGGGATTGCGTATGTTGTTATTGGGCCCGAGTGCAGTGCAATCTCTCACATGGGCGTGTCTAGTGCCGATGCCGCCACCCTCCACCCGTGGTTCATGGCAAACTGGACTCTGGAGACGGGCGAGCAGGCGAGACGGGGCAGGGTGGCAGGGTGGCCACGCTGCCACGAGGCGTGTTAGGGCGCCTTGGGCACCCAGTGCGCGCAGCACGGCAGAGCAGTACCTAGGTAGGGCGCCAGAACTACAGAGCGCCAGGGCGCCAGGGCGCTAGAACGCTGGAAGCCCCCAGGAGCTCGAGTTGGGAGGCGCCGCAGCCTGTAGGTACCTTGGTAGGTACGAGTTGCTGTAGCCCGTGTTGGCTCTGTTAGGCCGTAGCGTAGCGGCGCATGCACTGGGCCGGGACCCTGGTCAGGCCTGTCATGTCATGTCTGGCTGGCTGGCTGGCTGGCTCTCTCTTCTCGCTCTCTCCCGTCTCTCTCTCTCTCCCCCCTACCAGCCGACGACTTTAAGGTTCTTTTCCAACCGTCGGGGTCTGCAGCCAGTTTCGCTCATCCAAGTCTCATCTTCCACCGTTCCGTGCTCGCCTCCTCCACCTCACGACTTCAACCACCACAGCCCTAACCCCCTTCGCCCATCATCACCGTCCCTTCCCTCCATTCATCTGGATGGAGTTGAGTGCTGCCGTCTAGAGAACTGCGTGGAGAAGGAGATTTTTCGGGTTTCTCTCGTCTCTTCCCGGATTTCTCGAGTCGTGTTCCACCTGTAAAAAAAAGGACTTGAAACCTGGTGCTGCACCTTCTGAGGCATTTGGTCACTGTTCCTTCGATTCGCCCGTCCCGAGTCCACGAGCCGATTTAAAAATCGATGCAGACAAGTCCGACCGCTGGTTGAAGCCATTACGACCTGATACGAAGAAACGGTTTTTTTTTTTCTTTCCATATCGTCAGCGCAAGCGGTGCAGGGCCAGCCACCGGCGCAGGCGTGAACATTGTTTTCTTTGCCTTGGGCACCCGGCCCCATCGACCGCCCCCTTCTCGACCAGACAGGCGGCCGATTCATCAACATCAACAATCAGTTCCCAGTTGCATGGGCAAGAATCGGGATTGCCCATCCATCAACTGCTCTTCAAGAACCACACGGGTGCGACCGAGGTGTTTGAGGCCCGTTTCCCCCCCGTCGTCTGCGGCATTGCCCAATTTCGCACTATTCCCACCAGCGGAGTGCTTGCCTGTGTGCATTAACGACTCCGCATTGATCCTCAAACGCGTTCATCTCAATCAAGCAACTCCCGCTCCAGAAAGGGGTCTGTGGACTTCTCTGTTCCCTTTATATACTATAGCGGGATCGAATCCTCTGTGCACCGCTTCGGCTTCCGCTTCACCTGGCCGCCGCCACACTGCAGTGAGGTAGACGAGGGCATACGCCTGATTCCCGCGGGTAAGGCCTTTGCTGACCTGACCTGACCCGGCTTCGGCTCCCATCTGGGAAACACCAAGCCTCGCCCACCTGGGGCTTCGAGCATCTCACACAAGCGTCACTTGCACAAAATCCGACAACATGAGGGAAGTCAACTTCAGCATCCCCAACGTCAACAAGGCGTCGGTTGGCATCACCACCGCCCTCTACGACCGACGGGCCCTCGACTGCACATCAACTCTCCCCCTGATCAACTCGCTCAACCATCTCGCATACCTCACCACATCATCGGCTCGCATTCGCGACATCCTGACGGTCGATGGGGGCATCGAGAGGCTGGTCTGCATCCTGAAGCAGGGCCGGAGCAAGGACATGATGGACATGTGGAAGTGGAACCTCGCCTTCCAGTGCGTCGTCAATATCGGTGTTCGTGGCACCGAAGGCGTCCGCACTCGGGTCGTCGAGGCTGACATGGTCCCTGTCATCGCTACCATTCTGGACAACTACATCAAGGTTGTCGAGAAGTGCCGGGAGAAGGCCGAGGAGGCTAAGCAGAAGCACTACAACGACCACCACCATCGCCACCGCAGCCACTCCCACCGGGACCCCTCCTCCAAGTCCTCCTCGTTCACGAACCGCTCAGGCCGCGCAGACATCGACCAGCGATCCTTCCGCCGCCAGGCCCCGCCTCCCTCGATCGACGTGTCCGCCGCCACCTTTGCCGGCCCCTCGACAGCGGCCGCGAGTGAGCACGGAAACAACGACGCCACGAGCACCCCGTCCATCACCCCGCTCCCTACCACCTCGCCCCCGGAACGGGCTACATTCTCGGGCCACCGACACCACCATCACCACCACCACCATCACAGGCACGAGACTCGCCAGAATGTTGCTTCGCCGTCCCGTCCGGCCATTCAGCCACTAGCATCTGCCGTGCCCAACTTGAACATCGATGGTACTCCGGAGGGATTCATCCGGCCCGTCCGTGACATTGATCGGCTGCCGTCCATGGTTCCTGTCTTCCCTCACCCGAACCTCAACATCTCGCAGCCGGCGTCCCCCACGACTCCGCTGCCTCCGCCCCAGGTGCGCTCGCCCGCCGTGCGTCCCGCTTCGGCCCTCGGCCCCAACGGACGATCGCGAAGACGCCCTTCGATCAGACACCAGAACTCGACAGCCGATACGATGGCCGACACCGATGATCTGAACACGGAGAGCGTGCAGTCGGACGAGTCCCAAGATGCGGAGATGTCAGGGACCAACGAGATTCAGCCTGCCGTAGGCATTCAGGATATCGCCATGGAGGAGGGCGACAGCACGCTGGCTGGCGCTGCCCTAGAGCTGACCACGCCGACTGTGTCCGAGGTCCCGGAAGCCGGCACCTTCAACATCACGCACCGTGGTCCTGTGGATGGGAGCATCCCCAACAATGCCCCCACGCCGGTCCCGACTATTGGCCTCTCCCCCAACAGACCCGTCATAGCTGCTCCTCAGCCCGGCTTGCCCAACCACTCGAGCGTTCCTCGATACCTCTTGGACCGACCTCTTCCCCCCAACCCGCAGATGCTGGCCGCGATGCCCAGAGAAGAAGACGTTCTGATGTCCTTGCAACTGCTCGCATACGTTTCGAAATACTGTAACCTGCGGTCGTACTTCCAGAAGAGCCACTTGGTTCCTCGCCTTAAGATTGGAAAGGAGCTGCAGCTCCTGGACGGCGACAACGTTACACCTGAGTCCTTGGAGGAGGAGGACTACGAGGAGGAGTACCTTCTGCCCAACGACTTCAACATCTTCCCGCTTGTGGAGAAGTTCACCGTGCGATACCACAGCACCGACATGCAGTACTGGGCTGGAGTGGTGATGCGAAACCTCTGCCGCAAGGATGATACTCGCGGCGGCATCCGACAGTGCGCCTACTATCAATGTGGTAAATGGGAGGAGTTCACTCGGCAGTTTGCTAAGTGCCGTCGGTGCCGCCGAACGAAGTACTGCAGCAAGGAGTGCCAGAAGAGTGCCTGGGCATTCCACCGTCACTGGTGTGTCCAAGCCTCGCAATGACCTTGACGATCACATGATGATTTGGATTCTCTTCGAACCCATCATTCAGCCCTGGCGTTATTCAGCATAATGTCTATTCCACGTGCCCGATGCTCTCCTATCGGGTGAAACTGCATGGCGAAGCAAGCATTTCACGAAACACGGCGTCTGCGCTCTGATACCACTGCTATTCCTTCTTGCATCATGGATTTCCTTTGTCACCATCGCTCTCTGGGTTCGACACGCTTTTCTTTTTTTTTTTTTTTTCTGGAGTTGGGGCATTTTCATCAGCCCTTCATGTAGCCGACCAAACAAAACGATTTGATCAGGCGGGCCATTTGTTTCTTGTTTTGTTTTTTTGGGGGGGGGGGGAAGAGGACGAAAGTCGTCCAGCGTTCCTGGGGACTGCCGTCTCTACGTATCGTCCAGAGGCCTATCACGAGCGTCGACCACGACTTCTGGAGGATCCGAGCCGCTGATGGGCCAGAGAAGTGGATGGGCCCTGCCGGGTTTAGCAAGGGAGAGAATTAGAGGTTACTCTCTCTGCCATTGTGTATGGGAAATGGGTCAAGACAGTAATCAGATGGCTGGCATGTCATCAACACAGTGAGAAAGAGGTCACGTTCTCCTTGACGCAGTATGAGCGAAAACGGGATCAATACCCAGCGGGATGCTCAGACTAGAGAGGCACTTGGAGATAGGAACTCAGGGGGGCATCCGAAGCCCACAGCAGATAATGGCTTCTCAGAACTCGACCTCGTGACAGTCCACCTCTGTATCTTTTATATTGCAAAATGAAGAAAGATCAAGTACACCATTGTGTTGACCCTGTGTTCCGTGCCAAGCGAGCGGCCGTTGGCTGTCATTGCGTTTAATATGTCATACTGGGGCCAAATGCCCAACTTCAAACTTGAGCAACTACCAACAGTGTCTCGTTGCTCGCACTTCATTGCTGCAGGACAGGGAAGAGGGAAAAAACAAAGAGCCCGCGCCTGATGCGTCAAATACAGTAAACGCTGACTGTCTGTGTAACCTTAGACTCAGGTAACGATAAACCTTCCTGTCCGTACCTAGGTACCTGCACCGTGGACGGTGTCTTCGGTTCGGGTGCCTTTCCTGATCCCGTAGATGATAACATACCTAGTCAAGAGCTTAAGTTCAGGTGACCGCCACCGAACACCCCCCCAATCGGTGTCGGCACCTCCCTTACTCCCGCGCTACTTGGTGAGTGGACACGGGAGAAAAATGTTAAATATAAGCATGTTTTGCCTGAACCCCCTCCTGGTAAGGTTTCTCTTCCGGCTGTGTTGTGTCCGTGGGTTTGGGGCAGCTTGGCTTTCCAGCGTACGTGGACTAAGTGGAGTGTAGAGTTTGGGCTCTGGGCGGTTGACGCGTTCTGGGCTTATTCTACTTGGAGAGGGTAGGAGAGAATGGTCATTCTCGGGCCTTGTTGGTTGGATCGAATGATAGATTTGAGAGTCAAGGTACTAAAGGTCGAAAATTTGAGATGAACAGGCTGGTGCATACATAGCCAGGGGGGTACAATTATATCGATGGTTTGGTACAGCAATGAAAGCATATAATTCAAAATTCAACAGAAGGACGTGGGCGTGTGGCTTCAAGAGCAGATTCGTTCGATGAAGAGAGCTAACAACCGAGAAGAATACTTGGGAGAAATGCACAGGATATGCATATACTGTTTCTCGGCAACCGGATTCCACAGTACATCTTAACACCAATTAGGGCAAAACCTTCTAAATTATACTAATGGATCGCTGCTAGGAGTGCCCTATAGACCTCCTGCTTTTTGTCCGCTGTGTCATCCTGCTGATGGCAACTTCCTTCTCGTCTACACCAATCAGTCTCTTCGAGGGCCATATCCCCAATACTTCTTCCTATCAGAGAGCAATGCTGCGTTGCCAGCTCCCAAGTAATTGAAGGTTCAGCGAACTCGGGCCGTTCAATCTTGATGTCCCCTCTTCTTTGGGCTGCCCTCAACGAACGGAAATGCTTGTCCACTGCCGCGTCTAAACTGGCTTGCCCGTCCAGGTTGAGCGGCCGAATGACAAAAAGATGAGACTCTCGTACACTGGAGTAGAAGTCGTGCGATGATTCAACGTCGACCTTTCTGTACAGGTTGCTCAAATGGACGACGGCGTCCCCAGCCCTGGTCTGCGCAGGCACCATCATGATGACCCCGTTCTCCAGCCGTGCCAGTCGGCACCCGTTGTGATTCAGCGGCTGACGGCTTTTTGAGTCAACTCCGCTGAAGAACTCACACATTAGGTGATGCCGCGACTTCAGAGAGAAGGGCGAGTGTGGGTTTGCCGCGGCAAAGTCGGAATACGGCGCCTCTGCAAAATCATTCACTCCGCTGTAAGTCTTGTTGATACGAAATGAGCCTCCACTGCCCACATCGTGCTCCATCTCGGCCTGGTCTTTGGAGGCTAGAGGCTCTATGAATGCTGCCCACAGATCTATGATATGCTCAGAGTTGAGGTACTTTGCATTCGAAGTGGTTTCCCTGACTTTGTTGCTGTATTGCTTCGGGTACTCGAACGCTGGCGGCAGGCAGTCAGTCACGTAGGCTATGGTGTGACTGTCAGACCGCCCCAACACCAAGACGTCTCTCAGTAGCTCCCGACCAGACCGGCCTGATGGCGGAGAAGATGCAAGTGGAGGTAGCTGGTGCCATGGGGAGTCTATACCCCAGTCAGGCACCCACGACGGGAGATGGCTCCTTAGCGGTGAGCTCGATATTCGGTCTGTTATAGAGGAAACGTGGCAAAACTTGTCCAATGCATAGCGACCGGCTGCGACGAAGACGTCTGATATACTCGCGGTGTAGTCGATCTTGAGGTATCTATTTACGTCCTTCTGGTCTGCAATCAAGCCCATGTGCGCGAACAGCATATCCCTAGGATCTGTGGCTTGGCTGCCCTGTCGATCCTTCAGAATCCGGACCAGCTGTCGTGGCCGAAAATGGCGGGAATCTGAGAGAGGCTCATGAAAACTCGCCCGGATGGACTCCATGGATCTGAAGTTCGTGTGCGGCTTTCCCTTGGGCGGCCTGAAGTACTTGTCGTTGCCAGTTCTATCGAAGCCGAGCCTGAAGAGGCGGCACAGATCAGCCCACCGAATCCGTTTCCGACTGCACTGGATCCACGGTGAATTGGACAATGCGAGCTCCTGCAGCGTCCAGACGCGTCTGAACCAGGGCCTGGTCAGCAGGTCCTCGGTGCCGGCTTGGATAAGCAACCCCTCGGATTTGCTGGGGAATGCCCTAGTTCTGGAAGTACTACTAGAGGTTGCTGCCACGGCTGACGCAAATTCCGGGGTCGAGGAAGGTCGGGAAACGTTTTCGATATAATGCTCGTGGCTGCTGTCCAAGGGTATTGTCCCAGCGTTGGTTCCGGCCGGTGGATCTTCCGAGTCTTTGGACCGTTGGAGTACCGTTCTCGACATGACGGCGCGGAACACGGCATCTACTTCAGCTGTGAGAGGACCTAGGTATATGATCGTATGCATCGCGCTGGAGTAGATATCACCCATCATGGCAACCTGCGTATTGCGCTCTGAGATGTTCCTTTGATCGATACAGAGTGCGTCCGCCCAGATATGGTAAGTCCCTACATCGTCACGAATGTTCCGTAGGGCCTCGGCCAAGTTTGCGGTGATTTGAAACTCCTTGTCATCGAGCAGCATGATCTCAGTCTTCTCGGCATCGCCCCAGACGTATGACAAGGCCGTATATCCTCCTCGGATATCGCCATAGTGATCATTCAAGTTGTAATGACATAAAGAGCCCCGGAGGACGGCGTGATGGGTCCCTGAGGGATGAAGGAGCAAAAGTCTGATCGACTCGTTCTGATTGAGTGGCGTGTGTTGGAACACGCTCATGCTCCTAGTATGACCAAGTATTCGGCCGAAGTGCTGTAGGTATCGGGGCAATACTCTGAAAGGGGCGCGTTTAAGCCCGCTCGGAAGCATAGTATAGACATAACAGTGCCCGAATCGCTTGAGAGATTAGAGATTAGAGATCAGCGATTAGAGTTGAGTGGTGGAGTGGGGGATGGCCAAAGTCAAGTGGGGATATCAGACGCGGCACAGCTAAGTAAGTGGGCTGTATTAAGCCGGGGCAAGTATGCAAGGCAATTCGAGGGCTTTCTTCTATATACTGACATTCTGGCGAGCTTTCTGTCTCGCATTGGCGCGTTTTGCTTGCGTAGGCTGCTATGCATCGTGCAGGCGAAATTACGGTGATTGGTTTCTGTGCTCAAGCGAGGCTTGTACGCTGTGATTACCGGTGGCATCTCTCATCCTAGTATGTCTGCCTTGAGAAATTTTCGTGGAGAATGTTTGGATTCCGATTCCCAATACCAAGGAAAGAAGTTGCACTACTAGAAAGTCTAGGCAGGGATGTCTCTTGAGCCTCCCAGCAACGGTGCCGGCCAGGAAATGTGTAGTCTGTTTATATGCCACTCTCTTAACCTGATGAAGGCTCCTCATAGAGCGATAGTCATAGCGTGAGCCAGGTTGTATACACGTTGGCAGTCTCACAGCCGTCAGCAATCCGCCAAATAATGATGGTCTGCCAATGAAAGTATTAACATTTCAACGCGCTACTGGATGCCATTGGCTTAACTGAGTACGATAATATGATTACCAGGTACCACCCGGCGCATTAAATAACGTGTGGATTGTGCTCGCAAGAATTTTTAGGAAAGGCTGGCAACAGGCTACTATTCCCATGCCGATTGCATTGCGAGTTCAGAGACTGTAAGACAACCCCTGGAGTAAACACGGTATAGCCTGCCTCAACTCAGCAAGCTAGCTATTTCTGACGCCTTGAAGAGTTATCCCGCACTGGAATTACAGGTTAGATTGTGCTCAGTACCTACCTGGGTAACGCCAGGCCAGTGAGAACTACCTTGGGCTGGATATAGACTTAAAGAGTGAATGTGGGGTCGGAAAGCTTAGATCGTCCGAACTCAAACAGTCCTGAATCCCTATCCGTTTGCAGTGAATCGCTGATTGCTGGTACCATTCCATTCCACAGCCAGGTCTGGCACACGCGCGCGGACGCTGACCTCGCAGTGGTCGAGTGGGTACCTGAGTACTGTCCACTGCACAGCAAGTCCATCAGAGGTCCCAGGCAGGCAACCAGGGCCAACCGCCCAAGCGGCTGTACGGGAGATAACGTTGGGACTCGCAGGTTCACCCAAGACATGCGCCATGCAGCGGTCCCTAGCCGGCGCCAGCCCGCTGAATACTGGCCAACGGACCAACGAGCCGTTGCTGTCTTGCGGCGCCTGGCAGGGCCTGGGTGCCGGGGATCAGCGGCCATCCTTGTTCTGGGGGCCGGTTTTAGTCGTCCATGTGGCCCCCCGTGCCCCCTCCAAGACCCGTACACAGTAGACCCTAGGTAGTGGATGGGTCTGCCCGTCAGAGCTAAGACTTAGCCCCTGACAGGGACCCGGGGGCCGAAAGTAGCCCACCACAGGCGACGAGTACCGTGAAGTTGTTTCAGCTCCTCAATCGTGAGTTCATTCGGCATCGCATGCTGAAACGTATGACACCCGTACAACGCGGCCGCGAAGGGAAGTGACTTGTATCTTCCTGCGTCTTTGACCTCTGGGCGCGCTCTCTTCTTTCTTCACCCTCTCCCCGTCTCCCCGTCTCCCCGTCTCACCGCTCCGCCGACCCCTCCTGCCACGCCCCCTGGAGAAGCCCCCACCACGCACCAAAGGGTCTTTGTTCCGCACCTGCAAGACTGCATCACCCACGACGTCCTAGTCGAAGAAGCCCGTGACGTACCCTCGTGCAGCTTCCCGGGACGAGCCGCCGTTCGACCTGATCCTCGGCCCTCGTTCTCTATAAAGGACCGGCAGCTCTCTATCGGTCCGACGAGATATACCAGCTTCGTCGCCTCTTGCTACCAGGCCAGTTGCGTCCAACAGTCCAGGGGTTGCCTAGACACACAGGAGACAGACACCCAAGATGGCGGCACCAGGCAGACCCAGGTTGGGCATGTTCACCAGTGGACTGTCCTCGCTGTCCCAGAGCAGCGACCCCAACTCCCCCAATGTCAGCTCGCCCGCCGAGCAGCGTGCTGGCGCAAAGGCAAACATGTTCCAAGCCATGCGCCTGCCCACGCAGCACGTCTGGGTGCTATACTTTGACAAGTAAGCAGCGATTTGCCCCAATCCCCCCCTCCCGCAGCCCGAGGCCACGGCCTTGTTTCGTTGTTTTTAGAATAAAGCCAGTGCTAACCCCAGAACCCGGCGACAGGCAGGCCAAAGACCAGAAGAAGACGGACGACGGCAGCTATCAAGTGCATTTCGAACAGCTCGGCGAGGACATCAAATCGGTTGCCGAGTTCTGGCGCTATGAGAACCACATCAACGTGGAGCAGATGGCCATGCGCGATTCCATCTACCTGTTCAAGAAGGGCATCATGCCCGTGTGGGAGGATCGACGCAACGTGTTGGGAGGCAGCTGGACCTTCCGGGTCCCCAAGGGCTTGTCCCAAGAATTCTGGAGGCACATCCAGGTCATGGCCATCGGCGAGACGTTGGAGGGCGTGCTGGCAAAGGGTAAGTTTTGGAGGTCGTGATGCTGCTTCTGCGGCCGGATCACTAATTCGGTTCAACAGGAGACCAGCTCTGCGGCGTAGGCCTTTCCGTGCGCTTCAACTCGCACCTGATCTCCATCTGGCACCGACACTCGTCGGAACAGGCATCCATCGATGCCCTGCTGGATGTTGTCCTGCAGTCGCTGCCCGAGAACCTGCAGCCCAAAGCCGACAACTACTTCTACAAGAAGCACTCTGACCACGCAGGTTTCAAGGCACCGCCGGAGCTGCAAGCCGTCATCGACTCACAAAAGAGAGCCCAAGAGGCTGCTGCAGCCAGTGCGAAGGCGGCAGCCTCTGCGCCGGCAGAAACAGAAAAACCGGCGGCGGCTGAGTAGAGAGGCCTTGATCTCTTGCCGGTAGGCCCTTTTCCAAAAGAAAACTTGTGCCAAAACCTTGGTGCACAAAGCCCGCTCCACCTCAAAGGTGGTTTCTAGAGAAGAGGCCGCGGCAGCCAAACTCATTGGCATTTTCGGCGTTTTGGGAGGGATCTGAATTGGTCAATGACAAAAAGAATATACGGCCCGAGTGCTGGAAGATCTCAATAACATAAACGGACAAGCTATGTCTTTTCTCTCATATCGGGATTTAGCCCGTAGATAGACTCGGTGTTGCCATTGTTTGGCATGACCAAACATGTGTTGGAATATGCGCAATGCCTACATATTCCCATGGCCCCAAGCTACATCTTCTTTCGCTCGCCAGCTTCCTGTTTCATGACGGTATGTTTGTCATCGCCGCAGTGGTGTTCTGATCGTTCCGCGACGCCGCGGCTCTTGCCGCCTCTGAGACCACCACACCAAGGAAATCCCCAACTGGGCGTGACATGGAGTAGACGGCCAGGTCTCGCTGCGTCGAGTAGGGCTGAGATTGGCATCCCAACCGCCCACTGTTTATGGTTCGTAAAGACCCCAACTTCGAGGCACTGCCATCGTGCCTTCACTTCCAAGCGCCAGCCCGCCGCATAACCTGCTCAAAGTCCTGCCGTCCGACCCCTTTCCCCACGCCGGCGCCGCCGTTGGCCTCCAGGATCATGTCCTTCAGCAGCGCCTCGTCCACGTCCTGCTTCAGCGTCAAGGCTACGCGTTTGAGGTGCGCCAACGTCAGCGTTGTGTCGGTCCCCTCGGCGCCGCCCGTGAACAGCCGGAACGCCTCGTCCACCTCGGCCGCGTGCGCCTCGTCCGTCGCGTCGTCGTCGCGCTGGTGCAGCTTCAGGGCGCAGATGGCCAGGAACGGCTCGTACGTCGCGTAGCCCTCGTCGTCCGGGTCGAGGATGGACACGAAGTCCTTGAGCTCGGGTTTCGTGGGACCCAGGTTCAAGGCGCTAGCATGCGAGGGGCATGTGTCAGTCGTACGACGTCGCTCAGAGTGGTAGATGCTGGGCCATAGGAGATACATACACCATGGCGCGCCGTACATCATTAATGGGGATAACGCCTTCCTTCTCGCCGTCCATGGGTTCGGAGAACAGCGCGAAGGCTTCCTTGATCTCGGCCTCCTCGCGCGCTGAGATGTTGTGCTCCTTGGCGAGCTTGGACTGCCGCTCCTTGGGGGCCGCGGAGGCGGATGGTTTCCGTTTCGGGGGCTGACAAGGTGTTAGCCACTAGGCAGTTGGATCAAGATGCGCTTTGTACAACTCGCCATATCTAATGAGCATGTATCACAAGACTGATGCGGTCTGAAGCCAAGCGAGGTATACTCGATACCAAGTGATGAATGACGTGAGGTAGACCCCACTAACGCGCTAGAGACCTCGGGTGTCAATGGGCCTTGACGCCCTGTCACGTGGGGGCACTATAACGTGCTTGGGGAACCTACACCTGGAGACACTCCAGTCTGGAAACCACAATCCGCTGGGCGAGCGGGCAATTCGTTGGAGCCACTTAAGACTGTTGTTTTAAGAGAAAAGACACCAGATAGACTCAAGGCCCCTAGTCGCCATTTGATCAGATTCCCTCTACTTTGTCGGTTATGTCATTACGTAGATTCCATTCAGCCTGCGAGGGCTTCGATCCACGCTTTCAAGACAAATGGAAAACTTCATATTCACAAGAAGGCCTATAAAAATAGTAAGGGGGGGGATCCAAGTCTATCTCCGTAGAGCTGAGTACTTTCCGCAAGTATGTGATATCTCGATAATCAGTGATTGCTCAAAAAAACAACCAGTCTCATCCAGTTGCAAAACCCCTGAACTCCGTAACCCATCATGACATATGTTTGTTCATCAAGGCCCTGTGCGCTGGCTATGCACTCCGCACTCAGAATATACCCCAGCCACCCTTCTGCTTCTCGCTGGCCTTCGGCTTTTTGTTTTGCTTGGCTCGTTCTCTCTCCAGCCCTTCTAGTTGTCTAAGACTTTGCATCTTCTCCAGCACAAGCTCGAGCAGCTCTTTCCGCCGAATGACCTCGAGGTGCTTCTTGATCTTGGGGTCCTCTCGAGCAAACGTCTCGATTTGCTCGGGGGAGAGGTGTCGGCCAAGACGAGTGTCCAGCTCGCGCGGGAAGTTGTAGTAGAACTCAGACAGCAACTCGACGTTCAGGAAGAGCACTGCGGTGGAGGCTAGCTTGGAGGCCACGGCGTCCAGGAAAACCTCGGGGCAGTGATACTTGTTCTTCATGTTGGCACACTGCTTCGACTTGACGGCGAGCATACGCATCTTGATGATGTCGGCACGATCACGGAGGAAAACCGCTTCCCGACCTGGAATCTGTTAGTGCTGGCCAAGCCGTGAGACTGGGGGGGGGGCCAGAAAATTATTCACCTTTAGCGAGTAGAGCAGCGCTGAAGCCTCCGGCTCCGCTCGAGCTCTCACCCTCGATAATGACATCGCCCTTGCGTGCCTTGTCCACGAATGTCATGACCTCCTTGAGCTTCCTTCTGCCGCCAACAGTTGTCTCGAGGCCCTTCATGGCGCCCTCGCATGCGTCCAGCTCCTTCTTGAGCACACCTTGGACGTGTTCGCGTCCATGGGCCCATTCGCGGTCCTCCATATCAATGTCGAACTTGAAGGGCTTGATGCAGTTCTCGACCTGGTCGCTGGTGCTGTAGAACCTGTCATTCAGGATGCTCGAGGCTGCTTCCGTGATGGCCTGTTGCGCAAAGGGGTGGTTGACAAAGGTCGACTGGTTGATGAGCCGGTCAATGTGTGACTGGATTGATGTTGCGACCACGTTTGTAGCGAGTCTTCCGACACCGAGTTTGGTGAGAGACGAGGTTGAGGCATCAAGTCTGCGATGCCAGAACGGAGAATCGGGGTCCGCCTTTGGCAGATCCGCCAGGTTGTCCGGCTCTGGGATAGGAATTGAAAGGTCATGCACCGGCTTGTTCCAGTACCGCGCTGCCAGTAGATCAAGAACCCGTTGGTCGAGCTCATTCTTGAGCAGTTCGTGCATCTGCGGGCGTCCGAAGTCGCCGGCGAATTGCTTGAAAGAGTGCTTGAAGGCATCGAGGCTCTCGGCAAGATATGACTCTGCAGAGAGGGGTCTATCATTGTACTGAACCTTGAACTCGTATGTCGCTTCTTCAAGCTCCTGCTGGATGGCGTCGCTTGTGCTTTGCAAACTTGCTGACATTGTCTGCTCGAGCACGTGCATGAGTTTCTTGCGCAGGGTTGTAGTCCCCACGCTGACATCCGCGCCCGGCCCAAACTCGAGGGGGTGAGCGGAGAAGTAGGAGTTCTCATTCTTGGCGATCGCAGACGTCAGGTTGGCGTTGCCCTTCTTGAACAAGCCGGCGGTGGTAGGGATCCGAGACACAACCCCGACGTATCCAAGACGAAGGGGGTATTGCTTGTCGTTCAGGATCGACGAGCCTCGCACTGGATCGACGAGATCCATCTTGGTCACAACGCCAATGGTGCGCTCGCCTCTGGGGTCGACTCGGCGACTCGCCCTGAGGGCTGTTGAGTTTGCCAGATCGACGTCAGCTGCGGAGATGGCCAGTATGACGTTGGGCGCCTGGATATACTTGTCGCAAAGCTCAGAGATCTTCTGCTTTAGGGCCAGAGGTTGGCCCTGGCCAACAACCTGGATATATCCAGGCAGATCGATCAACGACAGATCGGGTACGTTGGGAGACGAGATGGACAGACGGATGGGCTCGTCCGACACACACTCGGAGTCGGGCACAGCCAGGTTGAGTTCGGTCAGAGTTCGCTGGATGGAGGAGAAGTCCGAGACCTTGCCGAGTCCCAGGTCAGGGAACTCTCCGTACTCGGCGTCTATTCCAGGCGTGTTGATGAGGGTGAGCTCGATGGGTCTCCGCGTGACCATGTTTGAACCTTTGGGCAGAAACTCATGCCCCACGATCGACTCCAACACGGAGCTCTTTCCTGAGGACTGCGACCCGATGACGACGATGGATGGCAACGTCAGGGTACTCGACTGCCCAACCTTGGAGAGAATGTTGCGGATCTCGATCATCTTCTTGGTCAGGACCATCATCTGGTCGTCCTTGGCCATCTCGTCCTCGCTCCGAGGGTCATCCTCGGTCGACTGCTCGTAGCCGTACGCAGCAGCGCTGGCGCCGGCAGCCACCGCAGCACCGGTCCTGCTCTGCTTCGGGGGTTCCTCGCCTCCCGGACCACCGCCGCCCTGCTTTCCAGTCCCGACCTCCTCTTGCAACCGGAGCACCTTCTGCATCCATTCTGGCAGCTCGACCTGCTCTTTCGTGTTCTGCCATCCCCTCATGGTCTGGTCGGCGATGCCCTTGGCGCCGTCGAACAGGGTCGCCGCGGTACCGGACACGCCATCTTTCGCCGTGGTGAGGACGTCCCAGGCGTAGTTGCCGGCCTGCGTCGCCTGATATTGCACCCAGGCCAGCCCAGCGATGGTGACGCCGCCGGCCATGGCAGGTACCCTGATGAGCTTGGCTGCCAGCTTGGGCAGGAAGCGGGCGAAGGAGGCATTCCGGACGATAACTGCATTGTGGAAGGCGTTGCCGCCGAACCACATGCGTCGGCGGGTCGCTCGTACGGCGGCGTCTGCGCGGAGCAGACCGCCAGACGGCAGGTGGTGGTACTGGCGAGCAGCTTGGACGGCGGCCGAACGCGTCGACGGGAGACGCCCGGCCGCAGCTATAAGCCGTCCGCTCATGCCGGTGATGAACAGCGGAGGCGACTTCTGGGGATCGAAGGGTAGACCATCAAACGGTCGCGGTCGCAGTCGCAGGTCGCCAGGCAGTGTTGACAGGATATGAACATGAAAACAACAACTAGGTATGAGCCTCGGATTATCGCGGGCCTGGTTCGACTCCCGACACGACGGGGTGGCGTGTGGAGCTCGTGAAATTGGTTGCATGAACTTCCGTCATGCGTGTGGCGCCGCAGAGATGATGTGGCGGTGCATCGCATCTACTGACTGCCTACTTTGACTGCCATCCAATGGCACTGCCAACCTGAACCTCTAATACAGAATTTATTTACGTAGCTAGGTGCCTAACTTAAGGTGTCTACGTACCTATGTAGTAAGTTAGGTGCCTCACTAGTCAAGTGCTGTCGGGTAACAGCCATCAGCGAATCAGACACTGTGACCAACGGTCTACACCAAGCATTTTCCATTTCGCTTCCTAATGCAATAAATGCCGGATTGCATCCCACGCATCCCATCAGGCGTCTCTGCATCGGAATTCTTACGCCTATCCGATGTGGTCCGTGAGTCTTGAGTCAATGTTGCCATGGCTTAGCTACGTAACTTAGGCACAGGGCTAGAAAGGTAACTAGCTACCTAGGTGACTATGCAGCGCCTAAGTGTCTTAGTAGTAAAGTAGTCCTGTGCCCCTCCCTCCATATACATTCACCTACTCCAACACCTTCCGAGAGCCACCCACTCCCAGCCTCGGCGAGATGGCCTCATTCTCGACACTCTTCCAAATAGCCGAACCTGATTTTCACGCAAAATTTCGTTGTGTCTGCAGGCTCAGTTCTAGACTCAGCCGTTATGCATTCTAGCTCCACTCTGTCAAGCAAGTTTCGTGTTCTGCAGCTAGGCGAGAGTAACTCACCCAGCCCATTCTCTTCAACTTTGACCAGATCCCACCGCTTTTCCAGCCGGCACTTTGACTCTACGGTGATACCCCACGGAGGGGTACTGTCGTGATCGAGTTCGCAGAAAGCTATGCTCATCGTGCCATGAGACATCGTTGCATTGAGTTCATTTAGATCTGTACCTGAGATGGCCATGTCACCCTTATCTGATCTAGACCTGCGTTCCTGCTTTCAACCGATGCATTGGCAGCTAATAAGGCTTATGCAGGCCGCATAGAGGATCCTTGAAGTGGCTCTCTACGGCCCGCTCAGCAACTATATGCTGGCTACTATATTCCACGGTCAGAGATTCGGGGACGCCTGGGCATTTCCCTTTTCAGCCTAATTCAATCATGGAGAAATGGAAGCTCGAGAGAAACATATGACCCACGAGCTGCCAGCGCCAACCCCCACTGAGCTTCGCCTTGTCTGCATCATGCAACTATTTCATCACCCAACCGTCTCTCCTCGGTCGGCTGAAAATCCCCGAACCCCTGCTCAAGATATTGCCTGTTCCTTATAGCTGCTGTTATAACTACTCCGCGGCAGTTACTTGGGCACAGCTATACTACATCTTTACAAACAGATCATGCTATTTGGGAAGGCCCCAGGTTCTTCATGCCAGAAAGATGCTGCCAAGAGATGAGCATTCTTCCATATTGATCATGGAAGTCCTCGCCGGCCATTGCCAAGATCCAAGCCGCCCCTGGCCATCATGAGCGAGAGACGGAAGCAGGTACTTAAACCTGCCCCGGTTTCGTCGATGACGGCGGTTCTTGGCTGGTGGAGATTGTGGCGGTCTCCTTGACATGTCTTTGATGTCCAGTTCTCGCTTGTCTTATTGCCAGTCATGCCGCGGTTTGGCATCTTTGCTGCAATCCTGGCCGCCATCGCCAGCGCAGGCGCGCAGCTACAGGTTTCGACAGACGGCAGCTGCGGAAACGGGATAACTTGCACCGGCTCGGGATACGGGGACTGCTGCTCGGAGCACGGTTGGTGTGGCAATTCGCAAGACTACTGTGATGAGCTCTGCCAGCCTCAGTTCGGTATCTGCAACGACCCATCCAAGGGAAACAGTATCACCTACTGGACCCACACCCTCACGCAGACGGATACAACCGTCCACACCTCACGGGTCCAGCAGACCTCGGTCGTCTACAACACGAGCTATGTCACCCAGGTAGCCACTATCCGCTCAACCCTCGTCCAAACCTTGACCTGGAACTTTACGAGAACCTACTGGGTTGTCTCGACAGCAGTAGCCACAGCCCATGTGACGCATACAGCATCAGTTACGGATCATATCACAGACGTCGTTACAAATACGGCCACGGCGGTCGTGACGAACACGGCAACTGCTTTGGTCACTAGCACAGCCACTGTCACGGAGAATATTACATCCCTCTATACAGCAACGTCTACGTCTACAGTTACGAATACAAATGTCCAAACTATTACTCAGACGCATGTCGATACCCTTGTCGTCACCTCGACATCCACACAGACCGACCGGCTGAACCTTACCGTCACAAATACTGAATTGCAAACATTTACCAAAACGATCCCTGTCACGGAGACTGACAGGTTCAATTACACGATAACGAACACGGCGCATCAGACAGTGACAAATACTGCAGTCACCACACGAACGGACCGCTTTAACTTGACCATCACCGAGACAGCTCACCAGACTCTGACCAATACTGCAGTTACAACCTTGACAGACCGGTTCAACTTCACGATAACCAACACAGATCACAGAACAACAACAGACACTGCAGTTACTACCCGAACGGAGCGGCTCAACCTAACTATTACCGAGACAGCCCATCAAACCTTGACAAACACTGCTGTTACAACGCTAACAGATCGACTCAACCTTACGATCACCAGCACCGAGCATCAAACTCGGACAGGGACGGCGTATCTTACTCAGACTGACCGCTTCAACCTGACTATTACCAACACGGATCACAGCACCGTCACAAATACAGCTGTGATCACGCAGACCGACAGACTCAACGTTACAATAACAGCCACCGAGCACCAGACAATCACGAACACGGCCCTCACCACCTCTGTCGCCACGGTCAGCACTACGCTCACAAACAGAACAACCTTGACGCTCACCGACACGGCCAACGTCACGCGGACCCAGACCGCAGTCGTGACCAACACGGCGCTGACAACTCAGGTCGCCACGGTCGTTGTTTCCAACACGCAGCCGGCGTCTACGTTGACGATGACCCAAACGGCGGTATCAACTCTCTACGTAACGACGACGCAATCGATGATGATTACAATCACGGAGACCCCAGCAGCCCCGACGGGCACGATAGCTAGGTATGGCCAGTGTGGCGGGCAGGCGTTCTCGGCTGGTGGGGCTTGCATTGCGCCTTATACGTGCTCCGAGGTGAACAGTTATTACTCTCAATGTGTATGAGATGGCGAAGCGGCGAATATCTATTTGGTATCATTTATCCAACGTCGTCGCCTACGGTTTGTCCATAAAAAATAGTCAAAAAAGCGCTCCGTTGAATGTGATTGAACTTGTCTTTGGTACGCAACTTCTTCGGCTCGGCAAGCTTGCTGAGTCTGACTCTCCCATTTCGACGTCCCCTCCGGGGTATGAGCGGACTCAGTAGATAATTATGGAAACCGTATCAACAACATTGAACAAGATATTCTAGCCCGATCGAGGAGTCGATTAATCAGTCACCGGTAGAACCTCGAGGAATAGCTTATACAATATCTAGCTTCCGTGCCATCTCACCTTGGACTAGTAGGCGGCCGTCCGAAGTCGATTGCTAAACATTATCAATACAGTATATATCCTTACGATACAGTGTCTATAGATCCAGACTCCTAGTCTAACCTCCTGTCGCCCTCGCCCCTCTCGAGGAGCGCCTCCCTCTCGCCGCTCTTGGCGGGTGCGCCATCGTTGCCCCGGTACAGGACGTAGTGCTGGGTCATGAAGCAGAGGTCGTACAGCATGCTGACGTTGCCCAGGGCGAACTTGACGGGGTTCCCCGTGATGCCGCTCCAGTCGCCCTGCAGGTACGAGTCGATGCCCTGCTGGGCGATGCTCAGGATGCCGCCGGCAAAGTCGAGCAGGATCTGCCAGATGCTCCAGCCCTTGGTGCTCTGGTTGCGGGCGTTGTAGTACAGCTGGGGCGCGTACTTGATGAGCGTCACGAACAGCTTGACGTACGAGACGGTGTAGACGACGTCGAGCCAGGCCCAGCTGGTGCGCGCGTCGGCCGCCGGGTCCGTCCCCGCCACCACGAAGATGATGACGGCCACGGCCAGCGTCGACCCCGTGGCCACGCCCAAGATCAGCCGCGACGGCCGCGTGCCGGGCGCCCGCTCGAAGCCCCACGCGCCCGGCACCAGGTACTGTGACGTGGTGATGGCGCAGACCACGACGGCGTGCAGCGCAAAGACGATGTCGTTGAAGGCGACGGTGGGCTCGTGGCCCGCGCCGTGGCGGAGCGCGTACTGCGAGCGGATGAGGGGCGACCAGTAAAACGCGGCGTTGGAGACAAGGTACGCGCAAAACCCTATCGGACGAAATTGGCACCGGTTAGTGTACGACCTCTCGAGGGCGAAGCATTGGGGAGAGAGCACGGAGGGACGGGGCCCGGGGGTGCGCACCGAATGTGTTGATCAGCGGGAAGTCGACGGTGGTTCCCGAGGTGGACTTCCTGCGGTAGCTGAGCAAGGGCTGGCTATAGAACGAGGCGGACCAGCAAATGGTGTAGACCCAGCCGAACAGGGCCGAGAGGACCTGGAGGAAATACATGCTGCCGTCTCTTGGCTGTTTCGGTGGTCGCTGGCTGCGACTCGGTGCGAGGAAGGGAGATCTCGGCCGGCGACGTGCCAGACGAACAAATTTCGGCGGAAGGGTGGCCGGGTCCGGGGGTGCCAAGACGCTGTCCGGGTAGCAGGTGGAGAGACAATCGTACAACGGACGAAATGTCTTCATAAGTGGCCGTGCTGTAGCGATGACGATTGACCGATGGGATGACGATCAATCACCGACCTTGGCTCTGTATTGTTGTGCAGAGGAAGGAAGCTATGTCACACATGGGTTATAGTCTCGACATTGGGTCATTTGGGTTTTCCCAATTGCGCTTACGGACCCTTCTATCGCGTGATGCTCCTTAGGTTCTGTAGGTACCATACCTAGGTACCCCGCGACCCAGCAGATTGACTTATACTTCCGGCTAACTCGGGAGGGCCTACCCGCAGTGAGACCTGCAAAGATAGAGGCCGGACTTCCATTTACAGATGGATTGTTGGAGGAAGGGTGGTTTTCGCGCCTCCGTCACACTGAAATAGTGTCATTCCGGTACACGGAAAGTCATGCGGGCAAGTCTTCCAGGCGCCGGGTTAGGTAAGTGGCCTTTGCTGGATTGACAGAGACATTGAACTGGGCCGCTGGTAGCGCCAAGCAGGTCCTCTGAAGACTGAAGACTGAAGACCAACGTTCAAACAGCACGGAGGGGGCCGCGGTGAGGCTGTAGCTGAAGACATGGATTATTCTCGGCAAGCAATGTTTCGTCTTGTCTGCATCGAGGTCACCGCTATTTCCATGTTATCCCCAAACGTTGGTTGGTCTTGATAGCAATGACTCGCCGAGAACTCGGGCCCCAATGAGCTGACCATGCTGCCTGCCATGCAGATCAGATACTGTGCTCTTCAGAAAATCGACAACGTTGGACTGCCTCGCGTATTGGGTAAGGTAGCTTGGTCTAGAACCATCGGCCTTTCTGGGCCCAGGTGTTCTGAGGCCGAAGTAGCGACAGGTCAGAAAACCAACCAAAGCCTCGTTTTTCGCTGTTTGGCAGTTTGGTTCCGAATGGTGCATTGACAACTCAGGGGGAGCCCTTCCTTATCTACTCCATTTATTATCATCCTATGCATCACACCACCGCGCACGCTCACGCCAGACCCATTAGACCACCACAACGCGACTTTTCCCGAGCCTCCGTAAATTATCGTAACAGGAAGAAATAAATATAAACAATCGCAGCGAGAGTCGGTCGCTCGTTTTACTCAGTACTTAGAGACCATAGGAAAAAGACATTCACAATGGCCTGCGCATTAACAATGACAATGACACCCGCCCTGGCACTCGGCCAGACGGGGGACTACGACCTCGGCCTTCAACAACAACGACAACAACAATTACCCCAAGATACAAACACAAGCACCAACGTTACCACAAATATATACACAGAACAGATGTACAACCCGCCGACATTACTTGGCCTGCCCCTGGAACTGCGCATGGAAATCTACACCTACCTGCTGACGTTCCAAGAGCCGGCCAAGCCCTCGTCCCCCGGCAGTGGATCTCGCACCCCGGAGCGCCGGCCGGCGCCGCTGCACCCGCAGATCCTGCGGGTCTGCGCCCAGACGTACGCCGAGGCGCACGCGCTGCTGTACCGGCTCAACACGTTCCAGGCGCACCCGTCGCTGCTGGCCTCGTTCCCGCGGCTGCGGGCGTGGCACGACCCCGTGGCCGCGGCCGCCATGGTGCCCCTGATCCGGCGGTTCAGGGTGCGGGTGCGGCTCGACATCGACGCCCCCTTCACCCGCGAGGAGGCGACGCGCGCCTTCAGCGGCATGGAGCTGGTCGAGATCGAGGTGTGGCAGGCCGTGTACCGCGGGGCCGGCCGGGAGGTCCTGTCGCGGTTCGAGGACGTCCGCGGCGTGCGGACGGCCAAGGTCACCGGCAGCCTCTCCGGGTTCGAGGAGTACGCCGGCTGGCTCGAGCAGGAGATGATGAAGGGGACGGGCGAGGACAAGGGCGAGAGATATCACGGCGTTGACGAGCACGCGCATGTGGCAACGGCACTGGATGTTGTCAGCTGGGGGATTGACCAGGAGGTGTAATAACGATGGTGCTTGCTTATGAGAATATGATGGATAAACTTGCTTGGGACATTTGGGCGTTGGAAGCGTGGGTGCCTCAACTGGATACCATTGGCAGAAAGAGCCGGCCTAGAAAGAATTGGCCCGGTACAACGGGACGGGACGGCGTTGGCAGAACAGATAGATAAACAGGATGGCGTGTTTTCACACGGACACGGAGCTCAAGGTGCGTTGGTAGAGATCAAATAGATGCAGTGCCTTTGTCACAACACTATGATTTTCCGCTTTTTTGTGGGCGCATAAGGAGCTGAACCCCAAGACAGTTCTGCGTGCAGGTCGTTGTCAAACTTCATTTTGCCTTGGGCTGCACGCTGGCCATATTCCTTTTCACCGGACGCCTTGCCTTTCCCTAAATCTAAAAATCAACAGTCTAATTCCAACGCCCCAATGACTCTTCTGTATCGAAAGAGCGCGACCTCTGCTTCAAGTCGCAGTTGAGATCCCATTCCGGCACCAAGTTAGCTGCAAAAATGCCGGTTCAGAACCTTGGAGCCCCGGCGTCCATCCTATAGTGCCAGTCCCAAAATGCGTGCTGCCTTATCGTTGTTGCCGTACTCGGTTGCCCTCATCGGGGGGCTGTCAGGCGCCTGGGGCTGCTGGCCGTCGGCGTTGAGGTATTCGGTAGGGTGGGCCCACTCGCCGGCCACGAGCGAGCGGCGCTTCTTCTTGATATTGCCCTGGCTGGGCTGCTTGTGACCTATCTCGGGACGGGGCGATTGCGCAGTCGTTACTGTGCGCATGTCCGAGCCGCCGTTAGTAGTTTGCGCGTTAGAAAGCGGCGACTTGGTGCGTACCACCACAGGAATTGGTGTGCTACCAGAGTCGTGGGTTCTGGTGCGGCCTTGCGTGGGAATGAGAGGACCCAGCGTCCGTTTCTGCAGCTCGGCATCAGTGCTTGGTGTGGCGAGGTCACTGTTGATCACAGCCGGTGCGGCTTTCTCGTTGGTTGTGAGACCCTTCGTGGTCGCAAAGGCCGACGATCGCTTGTGGTAAGGATCCCTCTCCGAGAAGCCGTCTTGGATGGGGTGGACCATCACTGACTGGTGGTGAATGGTCAAGATCGAATTCGTGGGTACGTTGACCCAGTTCTCTGGAGTAACCTCTGTCAGCGGACTGTGCAGCCAGTCGTCGTTCCCTGACGGTTCTTACCTCGCTCGAATGTCAGGGGTTCGCTGGCGACGAGCACAATGTCGGCACCCTTATCACGCCGCTCCATCTGGTAGTCGCCGTCGGCCGGGGCAGGTCTGGTTTCCCATTGCGTGCCAGAAGAGTAGTACAAGCTGGCAGCCTCGTCGGTCTTGCTGCTCACGTATCTGGTGCAGATGATGCTGTGGCCATCCGTGACAGCAAAGTTCAGCAGACTTCGCGTGTCCACGTTCTCGCCCTGCACAATGCTCTCCGGGATGCTCATGGTGAGCTCGTTGATGACCTCTATCGTCTGCAGGAGGGCCTTGCGCAGGATCGAAGGCCCGAATCCTTCAGCAGGCTCGGCGCTCGGGTCGACACCCAGCCGCTCCAGTCTGTCGAGAAACAGAGCAAAGGCCCACTCGCTGTCGGTGCCGCCCTGGACAAAGAGGTACCACTTATCTGTCAGCTTCTCGCCCAGCCGACGCTTGATGTAGCTCCAGCCGCCCAGGCCGCCATTGTGCATCCACATGAGGCTGCGGTGGAAGAAGGGGTGGCAATTGTCCTCGCTCAGGGATCCCTCGGTCGTGGCCCGAACGTGTGCGAAGACGAGGCGCGATGCCGTCTTGGAGGCGATGCGCTGCAGGTTGGTGCAGTTCCAGGCGGGAATGGTGGAGGTGAAGAGGCATGGGGCGGCTCCCAGCTTGGGGTCGGTATACCAGCCGATGCCAAATCCATCGGCATTGTTCTGACCTCGTCTGGTATCCTAGATGACAGGCGACACATCAGCCAGCTGTCACGGGATCGTCCCATGGTGGCATATGACGAGGTGGGCCCGTCCGTCCGTCTGCCCGTCCGTCTGGCTGCAGTCTGGGAAGAAGGGAAAGAATGGAGCTTACCAGTCGCAACCGCGAGTCAAACGACTGTTTGAGAATTGAATGGGTGGGATCGAGGATCAGCTTGGAGAGCAAGATCTCGTCGCTGCCCCGGTAGACCTGGTGGGCAAGCAAGAAACACAGGGTCAGCGGGTGGTCTGGCACAGCTCGCGTGACTCAAGGCCGAGAGAGGAGCTCACCAGAAATCGACACATTGCGGCTGTGCGATCACTCGGGGTTTATTGGGGTGCGGATGAGGAGTTGGGTCGCATCATAGGGTCAAGAGGTCGTCGTCCCAAGACGCAAGAGCCATTAGGTGAGGAAGAAGAGGGCTTTTGGGTTCTCTTGTGCTGCTCTGGTCGTCTTTCTTTTTCTCCCCCCCGTTCCGTTGGGGTGCTGTCTCGCGTTGATCCAAGACAATCTTAGGTCATTGGGATCAATCGGCCACCTTTCGGCGTCGCGACCCTTTGGCCTGGGGCTGGCTGACGAAATGGGCAATCGCAATGACGCGAGATTGGCTGAAATTGCTGCAAAGACCCTGGCGAGCCACTGCAGCACCGCTCCGATAAGCTGCCAGGGGGCTTTTTTAGTGGGATCCATGTTTGCAATGGGTGACGGGGGCCCCTGGGGTGGCAGGGTGGCGGTCAGGCGTCCCGGCTGAAAATAGACTCCACTGTGGAGTTGCAGGGCTGTCCAGGCCTTCCTGTCCCGGGCCTGTATGTGTATACACAGTAAGTTACCTAGGTAGGGGGATGGGTGGCCGCTTTCTTCAGCTGCAGCTGTCGTATCCAGGTCCTTGTTTGGCAACTCGTGAGGTTAACACCAGTTTGTCAACTCCGGCTCCGAAGACCCCTCTGGCAAAGCCATGTCGAATGTTCGTTCTGCTCTCAGCATGCGAGTCCAAGGCCATCACCACCTAGCGAATGCCACAACAAGAGATCGCACCCCTCCCATCCGTCACAGCTCTCACCTGCATGCTCACGTGGGATCGGGAAGTGTAGCCCCAAATCTGGTGCCACGTTGGACCACGTTGGACAAGTCCCATATGAAACAATACGATGGGCGCCGAGTGAACGCACACAACGCATGCAGCCTCGCGCTTGGTGGGTGAGGGGGAAAAAAACGTGGGCGCCAGCAGGCTGCCTTTGCATGATGCATGAGCACGCTGTTTGCTTTGTCTCCGTGGCCCTAAAGCTCACGCGGCAGGCTCGTGGGATCTGCTGTGATTGAAGACATGGGCCCAAGAACTCAAGTATGCCCGAGACTCGGGATTGTAGCGGCTCGCTGTCATACCTGTAATTGATCAATCACTTGGTCAAGTAGTTAAGAATATGTATTCATATCGGGTAGCTTTATCGGAACAACATACCGAACGTGCGAACTGCCCGGTTGGTTGCTACTGGACCACCAGCTCCTCGACCTACCTAGGTTGGTAGGTAGTTGGGTGGCAGTTTCGGTAGGATAGCCACGACCCCATGTCTCAAAGGCTTTATTCGATGATGGTTCTCGAAGGATGCACCGCAGCCAATCCAGGGTTTCTTTTCCCACGTGTACGACGCATGGCCGCACATTGACCTCGAATCATTCTTGAGCAAGTACTTGTTGCATGCATGCCGCTCGCTTCCATGGTTGCTTTTGGAGCACTAATGGCGTGACCTGTCAGAACCAGACAATACCAGGTCATTGTCGACTTACATCATGATTCACCGGTGATTAAGCTGCGTCTATCAGTTAGTTGCCTACGTGGATGGCAAACCAAAAGACTAGGATGAAACACAAGGCGTCAACATTTGCAGGGAAGCCGTGGACCTTCATCAGGCTATACCAGGAACACGATCCCAGGTCGTGTGAAGCTTTGGTTCTGTTATATATAGTGTTATCTGGCGACGAATAGCATGCGCTCTGGTGGAAGGGGGAGGGTAAAGCACTGGGCAGAAATCACATTGCGCCAAACCACTGCAAGACCTGAGGCCTTGGGAGAACCTGACAAGAGAGGGGAAGAGTTCCCTCTGGAGAATGGAGAAAGTATCTGCTGTGCAATTATTGATTGTGTTGGAGGACATCGCCGGCGCACGTTTCAGCCGGCTGTAAAGTAACTTGGAGCAACATACATCGCCGTCCAGACTCCAGTTGCTCGAGTCTTCGTAATACTATCCGGCACACGTACCGCCCTGAATCATGGTTTCTGGCTGATCGGCTGGCAGAAGTGCTCGATGGAGAAGGGTTCCCTGATAGGAAAAGTGAGGCTGCGCACCGGATGCGGCTACTACGAGGATATCAGCTGCGGAGATTGCTTATATTCACCGCGGCTGATTTGGATGCATGGCTTGTTTGTATATCTCATCCACATATACTTATGAGAGAGTAAAATGCGATAGAGGTTTCCAAGAAAAGGGTCCGATATACTCCCGGGCCCTAAGTACCTCTGGCGCTCGCCGGAGCGCTGAGGCTTATACGAAAGAAGAGAATCTTGTTGATTCGCGAATTGTAAACGGCTGAACAGCGGTAGAGATTGCAGACCGACTCACCACAGAGCAACCTGGCCTGCAACCTGGGCACAGAGCCGTCATGTGGCCGGCCTGGCGATGAGTCCATCCTGCTTCTCACGAAAACTTCATCTTCGAATGAAAAATTTGGAAGTAGTCATCTCGAGTCTGAGTAGTTCTGCATCATGGGCCAAGGGAGTTGATGTATGACGCGAAGTCCTGGGAGATCTCCATGTGTTAATACCAACCCTCTCGTTGATCAACTTCGCTGGTTACTTATTAACACAATCAAGTCGGTTACTGGGCAAACCAATTCGCCCCAACCGGCTGTGAAAGCAGCCACATCGCTGTGTACGTCGCTCACGCTTGGCATACACTTGCAAGTGGCGGCTATGCGAAGTAGGAGCCAAAGACGCAAGCAGTCCACCAACAAGTTACGACTTGGAGCGCACTTGTGTAGATTGTGGAGGTCAAAGGAAACGACAGGCTGAGTGCGTTAAAGCTAGTCCACAGATCACACAGCAAGGAAAAGCAGCTCAGTGACGCAAATGTGATCAGACTCCATTTTCGGTCTACGGTCTAGAGGGGTATTCCATAGGCCAGGCTACCCTTTTTGTCTAAAATGTAGCACTCTAAACCTGACCAAGTCTTCTTCCCTTCTCACATACGAAGAAAGATACCAAAACGGGCGCCAGATCCGCCTATGCTCGCGGTCATCCAGAACTGAGCTCAAACCTGATCTGTATCGTAGGAGACAAGGAGGGAAATCGTTATCTAATTACACACAAGAGTCCCGTCGAAAACTTTTTTGTTTCTCGAAGACACCCCCGCAGAATTCGCAATGAATAAAGAAGAAAATAAAATAAATAAAGTCATAAAACCTGTCCTGTCCAGTGTGAACGCCAGCTTTCCATGCAGATGTGAACCATTCGTAGATCTGGCGCGCGCGCGCGGGGGGATACCAGATGTGATGTGCCATCGGCAGCGGGCCGAGATCTATCACCCAAAGCCTGAAAACTCTTTCTAGACCTCTAGAGCAAATCTAAAGCCAAGAAAATTCGTGAACGAAGCGGCCAAACTCCAGTCCTCATGCCTTGGCACCACCGCCCAAGATGGACGGCATCGATTTCCATGCCTTGTGGTCAGGAAGCTTGACGCGGCCAAAGTTCTCGTCCAGATCAAGGATGATTTTGAGAGCATTGCGGCTGCGGGCATGCGGCGAAGCGACGTCCTTCTCCCTGATGGACGAGACGACTTCGGCAACACCAGTGTGAACCTGCTCGGCCTGCTTGCTTCCGGGGAAAGGCAGCAGACTCTGGAGAACCTCGTACGAGGCAAGTGTGAAACCGAACTGGGGAGAAGATCGGAGGATACGGGCCGGGCCGCCCTTGAAGAAAGCCCGGAAGCCCTCCTCCTTCCAGATGGTCTGGGCGGCGTGGCGGAGACCGGTGTAGTTGGTGTCGCCCTTGCGGGCCTCGACCTGTAGGCGGGTCTTGATGACATCGCAAGGTGTCGTCAGGTAGGCGGCAGGCATACCAGCGATGGCACCAGCGGTGAGAAGCTGTAGGATGCCGAGCTTCTTGGTTTGTGACTCGCCAAAGACCTCTCTCTTCAAGTGGCTGTAGGTCGGGAAGTAGATTGCCGAGAAGGGGACATCGCGGAGCAGACAGGCACTGGCGCCCTTGTAGAGTCCTGTCAGTCCGAGGTTCTTAACAATCCACATAGCCGAGCGCCTTTCCGCGCCAGCGGCCTTGGCAACCTCTCCCTGGACCTGCAGTCGGATCTTGACGATTTCCAGAGGGTTGGTGAAGACCTGCAACAGATGTTAGAGTGCTTTCGTGGACGGCATAGATCATATCAGGGGACAAAACGTACAACTTGGCAGGCACCGGCCGAACCACCAGCCAGAATCTCATGGCCCACCCAAATGTTGCCCGTCTTCTTATCGGTGAAGGCAGTGCGGACAAGGTCGTTGACTGTGAGCTTGATGGCCTTCTCCGGGGCAACACCAACCAGCTGCGGCACAACTCCCGAGTACAGACCCTTGAAGCCCTCGTTGGCGATGACCTTTCTAAAGCAGTCGATGGAGTTGTTGTAGAGGCGCTGGCCCGGGTTGGCGCCTCGCTGGTTCTGCATCCGGGTCTTGACGAGATCGATGGGGTAGACCATGAAGGCACCAAAGGCACCGGCGACGCTGCCCAGGAGGAAGTGATACGCCGACTCGGCGACTTGGTGCAGGGCCACCTGGGTCTTGCTCTTGGCTCCCGACGTCGCCAGGGCCTCGTCCGAATAGCCTCGGTACCTCCAGGTCGGGTCCAGGACCTTTGCAAAGTCCAACAAGCTCAGCCTGCCCGAGGGCTCATCCAGGCTGGCGAAGTGGAACAGGATATCGGCCTCCATGGGCGTGAAGAGAGAGAAGCGGGTGATCTTGGCAGCCTCGTTAAGGAACTCAGCCTTGGTGATCTTGCCGTCGACGCTCTTCTGGCAGGCCTTGCGGATGATGAGCTCTACCAGGTCCATCTCCTTGATCATGTTCTGGAAGGCTCTGACGTTGGCATACGAAACCCTGCTGCTGAGAGAGATGTTGCAGAGAGTCGACAGGTTGTCCAGCAGGTGGTCCGACAGCTTGTGCCTGGAGGTCTCGCGAATGATGCGCTCGAAGTCCTCGGGCTCGATATAGCCGTCGCCGTTCTTGTCGAACTTGAGGAATGCCTGGCGGATCCTCTCGCCCTGCAGGCCGCGCAGCATCTGCGAGAACTCATGGTAGGTCAGGTCGTGGCGTCGAGTCTTGTCGCCGATGTAGAGCTTTGCCCATTGGCACTCCCAGTCAAAGGGGATGCTGTCGGCGCCCTTGTTGAGCTCGTAGAGACGGCGGAAGTTGTCGTACTTGACGCTGCCGGTGCGGTCGACGTCGAAGAGGCGGAAGGCGATCTCGTACTCGGCGTCGGCCTTGAAGAGGAGGTTGTGGAAAGCGCCCCAGTCGGCGAGACTCACCCGGCCGGAGTCCTTGCGGTCGGCAACGCGAAAGAGGAGGCCGTACTGCTCGCGCTTGATCTTGCCCTGCGGGGAGAGGAGACGGGGTGTTAGTTGAGTTGAGTTGAGTTGAAGTGTTCAGGCATGCAACCAGGATGGACGCGCGCGGCTTACATAGTCCTCATCAGGCGGTGCAATGGCGTCGATGAACTGCTCTTCCGTCATGTACAATTCGCCGGTGGCAGGGTCCTTGGTCGCGCCGCTGACGAAGGCGGCCTTGTTCTTGGCCGTGAGCTCCGAGGGCTCGTCGATGCCAAGGAGGGACTCCTTGACGGCCTCCTTGACGGTCGTCGGCGCCGACATGTTGACGGTGGGCTCTGGGGGGTTGCTGGACGGCTTTGTTTACAGGGAAGCGGGCCGGGCCACGCGGAGTGTCTGAGGTGGTGGTCAGTCGTGGTGCGGGAGCGACTCTAGTAGTATAGTGTCGTGCGAGAGCACACAGGAGATCAGCGGTGCCGGGGAGCTCTCAATGGCGAGGAGGGAAGGGGAAAAAAAGTGCCAAGGTGGGCGGGAATGACTCGGAGGCAGGACAGACGACGAGATCGGTGACGGCCGGGATGTGCGAGCACGCGGCAGGACAGGACAGAAAACTAAGCTTAGTGGCGGGGAAGTGGGAACGGAAGACGTGGTCTAGCTAGCGTCTGGACAATTGGCCCATGGGAGAGTTGGGTTGGAGAGGTTCTCGTCTTGACCACCGCTGCGACGGGATGGGAATGGGTCGGTGAGGCTGGCTTTGCTGGCTTGCTGGCTGTTCTGTCAGGTGAGCGTGAGCGTGAGCGTGAGCATGAGCGGGAAGCTTGTCGCAACGCGCCTCCATAAAAATTTTGTGCACAACCCGACCGGATGGAAGGCTTGCTGCAAGTGGACAGACAACCACTCACCTCATTCGTGCGCTTCCCACTGCCAGGAACGGCTCGCGCCTTGGGGGGGGGGAGCAGCGGCATCGGTTCCCTGTTGATGGGCCTGTGGGGGGTCCAGCCCGGGGGGTTTACTGTGTAGCTTGGCTGCTACAGTGCGACGGTACCTAAAGATAGGTAGGTAGTACCCGACCTACTTACCTAGTAGGCAGCGAGACCTGCCCAGGTCCACGGGTGCTATGGTATCGTCGGTCATATGTTCTTCCGGCGCATCTCGCTCGCAGGCCGTGGACCCTAGGTGACTACGGTGGACTCCAGGGCTCGCTGCAAAAGACAGACACAAACCATCCATCCCGCCGACGCTATACTGTTACAAGTAAGCTAATACACAGGCTGCCCCGCACTAGCCCCAGTCGGGCAACCCCGTCAAAGCCGTTGGAGGTTACTGCGTAGAAATGTCAACTCAATTTCTTCAGTCTGTCCGTTGTCTGTCTCTCTGTTCCTGGATGTTCTAAACTCTAAAATGCGGCAAGTCAAGATGTGCTGGTGGTAGCCCCTGTCGCCCTTGTGTGAATGTTAAGTTAGCGGTTGGTGTAGAGTGAAATCATTGAAGACAACAAAAGCGACATCTCTCAATGCACCCCATACCACATGCTCCATACGATGGACAACAGGGCAACTGGAGGTGACTTGCACTGTGTATTTCAGATGATTAATAGGTCAGGAGATATGTATTCACACGGCTTGACGTTTTGAAGTTGTCAACAGAGTATCAGTCGCTCTGAGCGTAGTTGCTGCACCACCGAAAGATTAGTAACCCGGCAGAGAAAGACTGCACTTGCCTCCCGACCCGTCCCCCAGTGCTTATCTTGCGCATGGTCTCGAGTATCGAGCCTATAAGTAATAAAATGCCTCATGATGCCAGCTCATTATAGCTGCCGGCGTGCTCTGCATATGTATGTAGACCTACGATGCATCACCTTCCTAGGGGAGGAGATCCGCTTGTCCGAACAATGGGCCGAGCGACCCTGTCCTCCCCGGATGTCCACAGCATACCACAGGGCTCCATGGTCTTTTTCTCACAAACGCCGGGACAAAGCTGTTGTTCGTTCGCACAGTTGAGTTGAAAAAAAAAACCACTTTGCTGCACTAGAACACGGGTCTTCGGACCTCATTTTTATAGTCTTTGTTCTTAGACTGCCCCGTTGCTCCTTTCGTTCAGCACGGAAGTCACCCCTGCGCCATCGTGTGTATTGCAGTGCAAAGCAACCTTCCTTGCTGCAGCTTCATAAACAGCGTACTTTCTACCTTCACGTTATGGCGAGGCAGTCGGTGTGACCGCAATTTGCAGCCAACAACAGGGTGGAAGAGGGTTCACATGCTATCACGAGTTGCCAACGTGGAAAACGGTGCTTAGGTCATAGTCTTCCTCTATCGAACTATGTATGAACGCCCCGGCTCCTTACGCATGCAATCATCATCTCAAATGGCCCCTGAGAAAGAACGAAGAAATGATGCTCATGCTGCCCTTCCTTTCCTGATCTCGAAAATCGATTTCATACTCTAACACAAACTGTAAGAAAGAAGAGCCGACCAGCTCAAATGCGTCAAACCCTCTACAGAGTGCGCAAGGCAGGCCGGCTATATGATTATGGCTCGTGGCCCTTGCTTGGTTGCAGGCTGCCAGTGGGTTTCGTATTCTCCCTCATCTCTTGAGATGCCAATAGGCGATACGAAAAACGTGCCAGAGAGGCGAAGCGCCTTGCGCAGCAAATTGCAGTGGGGAGGGAGGTACCAGAAGGATTGCTCCTCCCTACTTCCTAGTCCACCAGACACTCGAGCCTTGGGGTTGTGTCGTGCTTGTGGACGTCTGCCTGCCATTGCCTCAAATCTATTATTCTTCAGAGTCGACCTGCCAGTAACGCCGGGGGAAACACAGTGCCGCGGGAAAAGAAAAGCCAGTTCGTTGGGTATAGACATGTCTCGTAGCTTCGTGTGAGTGTCGTAAGTGATGGCCAATGAAATGGCCAGATTAGTGTGGGGGTTATAGAGGCAGAAAAGCTCATGCTGCTCTAGCGCCAGATGCCGTACCAGTTTGCGCCGACGTCAAACGCCTTGGCTGCTCCGGAAACGAACGCGAAAAGGAGTGGTGCCAAAGGGAGCGTAAATCGAGAGGCACTGAGCCTCTACGCCAATGCGATGCATTACGAGTATGTACAAGAAGCAAGCCTAGTTTGGGGCGGTCCTGCCTTGGACGTCGCGATCCTGCACAACCAGGATCTGCGACCGTGGCGCGATGCTCAACCCTGCATAGGGATTGGCATCCTGAGCAGGTGACTCGGGGCCGATGACTCCATGTTGGCCGAGGACCACGAGTACGGGAAGTCATCATAGCGCACATCCCGAGCTGGGGCAGGTGCTTGCGCAGGCTCCAGGCGGAATCCTCCCTTGATTTGGCCCCTGACGAAGAGGGCACACTTCTTGAAGCGTTTGTCGGCGTACTTCTCCAGGACGGCCTGGTGGTGCTTCTCAGCGATCGTGCAGCACTCGAGGATCATGGCGACCAAGGGCTGCAGCTGGGCGTACGTGTAACCAGAGTAGTGGACATGCTCGGGAGTCTGTCGATGTCAAGGTTAGCGCCGATGTGGCTGATTGTGTATGAGGCTTCAGGGAGAGGAACTTACCCAGTGACCCTTTTCCAGGATCAGACGCGAGAGACAGTGAGCACCCGCAGAGACAAAGCTTGGCGGGGAGGCAACGAAGCGTTCGTCCATGATGGTCACTTCGAGGAAATACTTGGCAAGAGTCCGGGTCTCCAGGTCGTAGTCATCGGCTTTGCTAATGCGTCTCAAGAAGCTCATGGGGCCAGGCCAGCCAAGGTTGAAGTCGAGCATGCTCAACATGTACCGTTCGGCTTTGAGGATCTCCTCGACGGAATAGCCAGAGTCCACCATGTAGACGATCTCCTGTACCGAGGGACAGTTAATCTCTTCGTACTTGGCCGCTAAGAAGATGGCAGTGGCGCCGACGAGCTGCAGCTTGCCCAGCGAGACGACCTTGACTGACAGGAACCGGTCAATGTAGTTGACTGCGAGAAACAGGGTCTCGGGAAGGAGATTGAAACGGCCATGGACTTGGATCACCCAGTCCATGAGGACACTACGCATCGACCATTGGATCTCTGTCTGGATGTCCATGTAGTGAGCACTGGGGAGGAGCGTGATCTAGACCGCAAACGCGTTAGCAGGCATTACGACGTGGTGAAGGTTAGGTCAGCGGCATCTTCTCACCTCCATCTCCTTCATATACTCGAAGATCTCATCCCCGTACTCAGCAACCATGCTGATATCCCACGCCTCCTCCTCGATCTCTTCGTCGGTACGGTTCTTCTCAACGATGTGACGGGCCTGTTGGATCTCGTCCAGGATCTGCTTCGAGAACTTGGGGCCCTCCATGATGGTGACGGTCAAACTCGTCTCGGGCTCCGCCTCAGCCTCGACGGCTTCACGGTCGTGCGCGATCGGTATGTCTACGCAATCCCGGTACGAATGAGCAGTGGTGTATCCTTGCTCGTCGTACAGATCCTCGTCCTCGTGATCAGAGGGCTCCAGAGGCACCAGAGGTCCCAAAGGCTCCAGGTGCTCCAGGCCTGCCGAAGCCGGAGCCGGTGCCGGTGCCGATGGGTGCTCCGCTTCTTGCTCGACGTCCCGGGTAGCAGTCTTAGTTATGGGGTTGGTGAGACGTTCGTGCGGGGGCACGTATTCTGGTTGGGCCGGCTCGAAGTCAAGGAAACGCTCGGGGGATAGCTCCTCGACGGCATCCAGGTATGGTGCCTCAGGTGCGTCGTCCTCGCAAACGCTGGAGTCGCTCTTGATGACAGGCAGGACCTCCCAAGGCACCACGCGGTTAACGTCGGTGTCCAGCAGAGATGCGGGCTGCTGTTGTGAAGACTTGAGAACCGGTTGGCTTTGGTGATGACGAGGCTTGCGTGAGAGAGGCGCGACAGCAGCCGTGGAAGACTCCTGGTACCTAGAGTCATGGCCGGCCACGGCTTCGATGTGCTCGCTGATGATCGCGCCTGAACCCGACCCAGAGGTCGAAGGACGGCTGCTGTTGTCACTGGTGTTGTCATTGTATACGATGGTGCTTGCCCGCTTGTTGGGCTTGCTCATCACGGCGGGAGGAAGGCGCGAATCGGCGTGGGCACTGACGAGGGACTTGGAGTGGCCATGATTGGCCTTGGCGGCGTGGGCGAGCTGCGATGACCCTTTGAACGACGGCCGCTGGGCGGGGCGCAAGAACGCGTCCTTGGGCGCGACGTACACGGACGAAGCATTCTCCTTCGCGTTGGCGACCTGGGGTTTAGCAGCCGCCATCTTCCCGTTGTCAAAGGCCATGGTCGTCTTGGAAGTGTTGCTTCTATCGGCGAAGGCGCTTCGCTTCGCTGCAACCTGCAGGCCGCCAACCGACGGTACAGGCCGCAGGGTACCCGTTGACTTGTGTCGCTGCAGAAGGGTCTGTTTTGAGGGCGGGAAATTCTCGTTGGTCGTCGCGTGCAACGGACGCGCGGGACGAGAAGGCTGCGGCGAGAAGATTAGCAAGTCTTCGTCACACTGCGCGCGCAACAACGGAGGAGATGGCCCCTCTGCCCTTGATGTGTATCTGACTGGGCAGCGTGTAATCATGGGCGGTGGCGCTTGGAAAAGCTGCTTGTGTGGCTGCATGGCGTAGTACGGGAAGTGTGCAGTGTGATGTTGTGAGGAAAGTTGTTTGGTCACGGTTGAGTGAAGCTGGGGCAGCTTCCTTAGGATGAAGGTATCCAAGCTTCGGGAGAAGGCCTCTCCAGGCAGTAGGAAAAGATTCACTTACTCTGGCATCCATGATTGTGGTGGTTTTTGTCGACGGCCCAAATCAATGGTCACTATCGCAAAAGCTGCCCAATGGACATGCGTCGAATCGCCGAAGCCGATTTCTCGAAAGCTTCAGGCCGGACGCCAAGATCTCTCTTGTTATCCGCCGGCGGCAGCAGCCCGACACGACGAGTCTCGGGAATCAAGTATTCTGGCGAAATCTGTTGGTGCTGACGATGTTTTTCGCGTGGTGGCGCGTTGGTGTTCAAGATCGATGTCTGTCTGTATCTACGTAGATCCGGCTGTGGTCGCGTCCAAAAAAAAAAGAAGTGTAGGATGGCTTGATCACTGCGGGTGTGGCTCGTATAGCAGGTAATCAAACATTTGATGAGAGAATACAGGCTAGAGTGAGGACACCTGGGCTGGACGGTACGGAAACCCCCTGCACGGTAAGTAGACCGACGGCGAAGAAGATGAGCCCCGAGGCAGCAGGGGCACGGTGGGAAAAGGAGAGGGAGGATAGATCAGCGAGGGCGGCGATGCGGATGCGGATGCAGATGCAGACGCAGACGCAAGACGCGATGCTGAGGGAAGGACCAGATCCGGCGTTTTGGTTTTGGACGTGAGGAGGTTCGCCTTCCACCACGCGATTTCGATGTCCAGGCGAGCTCGCAGCTGTTTTCTGTTATTATTTGTTGTGTTTATCCACCAGAGCTCGCATCAAAACAACCTGGGCAGCATGGACGGAGGAATGCATGGGTCAGCCCCCCGCGGCAACCAATCAGACGCCGCGCTGCGGGTAGCTATGCGATGGCAGGTCAACAGCACCACCCAGCCAGCAGCTCACACGCAGGACGGTGAAACTCGACGCCCTCTCGGGTAGGTATTCTATTTGCTTTCTCACTTCCGTCTCTCATGGTTGTCGTGGTGTCTGGCGGTGGAGAGAGAACTAGCAGAAATGCCAATCTACAAACACCTGGTCTCTAGTTCCCAATTCTCCTCCCCCTCTGGTGCGAGTTCACCGCCTGGGCGCGCCGGTCGAGGTCGCGACTCGGTCGCAATCTAATTCAAGGGCATGATTGTCTTTCATTTGGCGTCGGAAATCCCGAGCTTGATTGGGCCCCTGATCCATCTTGCGACCGACAGGGGAGCCAGACTCGCCGGCACCCCGTCTCCACACTCTGCTTACCTAAGGCTTTCTGGAAGAAACAATCTTCCGCCATGACGTCGTCCCACTTCACAGCTCTCAAACGCGTATTCCAAGACACGGTCAGAAGCTTTCATTTGAACATCTGCCGCCCAGCTCCGCCGGTCAGGACTATATTACCTACTAGAAATGGTTTTAAGACGCTTTAAATTCTTACACGATATGTATACAGGGCCCTTGGCCCTCGATTCTGCGACAATCATTAAGTACTGATTTCCGGCTGGATATGGAGCTCCTCGATGCGTGCTGCACGCGCGGTCATGTGACCTGGAGGGGTTGAGTTGGCCCATCTCAGCTTCGATCTTCCCCATGAACCACGCCGACGGGAAAATCAGCACATAGGCGCTTTGTGTGGTCAGAAAAGCCTTGGTAACCGTTGCTAGAGACGACGCGACCGCCATGGACAGGTGCGCGACACACGCGACCGATGCGCCGATATGCGCGCCCAAGCAATGGCCGGTCGGGCGGGCCATCAGGTCGCGATTCCTGGCCGCCGTAGGAGAACCAGTCATAGCTGCTTCGGCACCGGTGCTTGATGCATCGGTTCATCGCACAGGACGAACCATAGGTTTACAGGATGCTGTCGTGTGGCTCGCCCGCGGCCGCCATTGACGTTGATGCAAATATGCGAAACGCCTTGCCCAAGGAGAGACCAGTACGCCACGGCGCCAGGGGACCAGCATTGTTTCTGCATGCACACTGATGCGTGCGACTGCGCAAGTCGAAGCTACAGTACCTTTCCAAGTTTGAAGCTCGGTAGTGGCACTGTGAGAACCCAAACCAACTTACCCGACCGTTTTCGTCGGATCCCATGGCGCTCGGCGCTGTGCTGCTTCGTAGACCTGCCAATCCTGCTTGATGTTGGGATTGAGACAGACCATGCTTATCTGCCGACGATGCCTCGTGGCACCAGGTGCAGCGACACATTCTGTCGCGATGGCGCAAGGTCAGGCATCAAAACGTGGAGTGACACCTCCGAATCACAAACCTATCGGCGCAGCCAGATCGGCGCGCCGTGCATACCTACCCACGACAGTTGTCGATGGACCCAGACGGATCGTGGATCAGGCTTAGTGAGCCGTCCAAGGACATGCAAGTCAAAAGTCAGAGCTATCGTGTGTGGCAGCAAGGTAGTTGCGGAGGTTGGTCGGCCTAGTCGCACTCCTTGTTCAAAGTTGTAAACCCAGACGCCGATCCCACGTATTTGGCGCTCTGGCGCAACTCTTTCCGGCAGGAATACCCCCCTCCCTCCCCCAGCTGCCCAGGCCTACTATGTGTGTGTTTTGAGTGGCAGGGAAAAAACGCCCCTCCAGGTTGCGGTGAACAGCCACGAGAGAATCGTGGATACTGCACAAAAGAGACTGCGATGGGCACGTTCCTATTGGACACAAGGCCCTGCACTGGGGCGGCCTAGATAATGGGCGACCTTGTACTATGTATGAGTTGTGCAAACACTGAAGAACTTTGTGAGGTCGCCCCAACCATGACCTGCAGCTGAAGCTTTGCGACTTGAAACCGCAATCAATGACAAGCCGGCCGGACGGACTGTGGACCGCCTTCGCCTCGAATCTAGACTGACGAGGTCGCCCAGCTAGCTAGCCATGCTGGGTAAGATGTCCCTCGCCCATCGGTTCGTCACAGATACATACATGCATGATGTTAGTAGTAGTAGCAGCAGTAGTAGACGATGCGCGAGGGGCGACAGACCAGTTAGCTGCTGTGGCTGTATGCGCTGAGCTGGGCCGGGGTCGTCATCAGGTGGTGTGGGCTTGGCTTGCGACAGCCGGCGCATTGCTGTAGACATGCCAATCGTCTACAGTAGAAGTTATCAACTGACTATCCAGTGTCTCTCTCTATGTCCCCCCAGTCCCAAGTTTTACCGCACGGGATCGAGACAAACTCTCTCGTCCGATGGCGCAAAGGACCGGCACCTCGACACTGTCCCACTGGCCCTGTGTCACTCGCTTCGAAGCCCAGGCACGCTTCCTGTCATGGAATTCAAGATTCGTAGGCCGAAACGGTGAAACACCAAACGAGCATGGGCGCGCGGCTGGTTTGGTGTGGGTGCCGAGAGACAGAGAGGGGGATTAGCATCTGCTTGAACGTTCCCCCAAGGCCCTCAAAGCGCGCGCTCTAAATGGATGGCTGCGAGGTGGTTTTCCAATGGAAAGCATGCTGCTTGCTATCTACGAGTCGGCATCCTTGTCCCAGGCACTGGTGGTGCATGCGCCGAAACTTGCTATTGGCTGCCCTCGCCTCCTACACAAGGGCGAATGGCACCTGACATTTCGGTGTCGGACGTGGACTGAGGCTCTCTGGTGCAGGCCTGCGTCAACCAGGTCGAGGAACCGCTGGCCTCGACCTTCGCGTGGAGAGATTGCACGGTTAGATGCGCCGACGCAGCGGGCGGGTAAGTCCTGGGCGTCGAGGTCCCTGAAGGTTTCTGGCACAGATGTCGAGCACAGTCGTCTGCTCGCCGAGATCTGCTGGAGATCTCTCGTCCGGCACTGGCCATGGGTACACCCAACGCACGCATGCACGCACTCCCACAAGCCAGACCGCTGATGTGCAGGGGAGTGGGCATCTCCACATGGTATTGCCGGCGCATGAGCGATCTAGCGGCCTGTTAGTCAAGATCGGCTTCACGGCCACTCAACACTGTCGCAAGCAGCGCAAAGCTGGCGGGACCAAGATAAGAAACCACTTGCTTCCCTCGCGGCTGCGACTGCTTGCGATGGACTACTTGTAGGCCTGGATATTGCTACGGATATGTGCGCGGGGGGTTCTTGGCATATCTTGTCGAGTTTCTAGCATGCTGTTACTTGCCCAACTCGCAGTTGGAGATGGGGTCGAGCTGTGGCCGGCTAATCCCGCCAGCAGATGCTCCAGATGCTCCTCTCCCTTTCTCTCTCCCCCACGGGTTTTGAGAAACGTTTTGCGCAGAAAGTGACATAAATACGGGCTGGTCACATTCTGTCGTTATGCGATTTATGACATGGTCCCAAGCGCCCCCGTGTGCGGGAATGGGAGCAGCGCACAGCCAGCAGCAGGATAGCAACAACAATAACAGCAGCACCACCAGCAGTAGTAGTAGTGGTAGTAGTAGTAGTAGTAGCAGCAGCACCAGCAGCACCAGCAACAACAGAGACAAGAGACAGGACAGTGCCCTTTGGCTGCAGGCGCATTCTTGCCCGGACTTCTGCATTGTCAATAAGAGCAGAGACATCAAGGTCGTGCTGTCGACCTGTGGCCAATAGTCCTGGGCTGCTAGTGAGACGCTGCTCCTCCTGCGCGGGCTTAGCTGGGCGCCTAGCCCGAACAGCGACTCTCCAAAGCGGAGGTGACGGCAAGAATCTACTGTAGCACTGTACTGTCTGCCTCGCATTTGCAATAAGCCAGAAACTGAGAGTATGCGCCCGGCCGGACCGCCCTGCAGCACACACCCAGTGTCTCTCTCTCGCACTCTCTCCTCTCTCCTCTCAGAGCATCTCTCCTCGTCGCAATAGAAGCGCAAGCCATCAGTCACCAATATTGCTGGAATTTCAGGGTGCAAGAAAGAGAAAGACGAAGAAGGCAGAAAAGGGCTGCTGTCCGCTGCACGTTTGTGTGGGTTGTATGTCGACGCTCGTGTCCATACAGAGGAGCTGCATGCGCCTTCCACACAGTCGAACCCACTTCTACTTGTGTCCTGCGTAAAAGTCGCACACCCTCACACCTCGCTATCCGGTTCACAAAAAGCCGATTCTGCAACTCTCCTCCTCCCAGCGCCATCCAAACAGTCCCGTTCCCGCTGGTAAGGCATCCAAATCCATCTCCGTCCTCGTTGCGAGTCCTTCTGCCCACGCCTGTCCGAGTACCAGTCCGTCCATCTGCCCGCCCCGATCCCTTCCTCTCGCTGGCCCAGCTTGTTGACTTGCCGGCCGGCCACCGCAGGCCCGACCAGGACGCTCAATGCATCGCTAGACCACCTCCCACCTCCCGTTCTGTCTCCTGGTAAGTCGATTCGCCTCTCAGACGCATTGCGATCCAGTCTTCGCTGCCTTTTAATCATCACCCTGCCCTTCCGTCCCATCCTGCCGCTCCCTGCAGGCTGGCTGTCTCGAGGACTGCGTTCCTTGTGTATGTGTGTGTGTGGTGTGCGAGTGTGCAGATGTGCCAGACTCGGCGCTTCACAGCCACCCTCCTCGCATCCCACAGCATCCGGGCCTCTATCACAAACCCTCTGGCGACACCGGCTAACCCGTGACAAGATTGTATAGCTCAATCCGAGGCTCCTTGACCTCCGTATCCTTACTCTGCCCACCGACCGTCTTGCGACCGATTCACACACGTCACAACCTGACCGCTCCACACCTCCGCTGCCGACAGCACCCCTTCGGACAGAAGAGGAACTCCCCTCCTTCGAAACCAACCACATTCACTGGGCTCGGGACGCCGTTGGGATGGAATTGTCGAATCTCATGGCGTCCGGCTCTCCCATTGAGGCGCCTCTCCCCTACTCCGCCCGCTCCAGTATGGGCAGCGAGTCGCCCGTCCGGCCCACCGTCCCCAAGCACGTCGCATTTGAACTCCTCTTCCCCGAATCCCCCCAGTACAAGGCGCGCCTCCCTTTGCGGGTGCAAATATATCCCCATGACAGCACAGAGTCCATCGTGACGACTGTCAAGAACTTCTACGGCCTCTACTCCGGTCCGACCGGCAGCAAAGGCGTCAGTTTCGAGGATGACCGGGGCAACACCCTGATCGCACGATACGAGAACTTCAGCCACAACATGGTTGTCTACGTCAGGGTCATTGAAGACTCCCCCCAGCCTGCTGCTCCTTTTGTCGCTGGTGCGTTTCCTCCCGCCTCGCTTGGGGCCCAGCAGCCGTACGGCAATGGCGACTTCCCAGCCCATGTCGCACCCCACGTAGAGCCTCACATTTCTCGCCCGGCTTCGAGGACTTCTCGCAAGCGCAGCCTCTCCCCCAACGACGGCCGGGGACGGCGTAGCACCTCCCTCGGTGCAAATCCTGCCGCCGGCAAGAAGGGTCGGTCTCGCTCTTCCAAGAACCGCGGCCCCAACTATGAAAACCACAGCGATAGCTTGAACGGCTACAGCAGCGGTGACAACGGGCCCGGCTCGGTCTCCAGCAAGGCCCCAGAGCCCATTGGCAACACAGATATCAGCCTGGAAAACATCGTCGAGGGCGGGCGCCGGAAGCGTGCCAAGTTTGAAAGCTCCGTAAGTCCACCCCCATCTCACTAACCCGAGCTCCACTCCCACGAAAGCAAACTCTAACCAGACGATCTCGTCTATAGGAACTTCCGTTATTTGCGCCGCCTCAGATGCCGGCCGCTACTTCTAACCCATCTGTCTCCCCGGCTCGCCGCATCGAGCAGCACCGCCCTCCCATTCCCTTTGCGCATCCCGGCCAAAACCCCTTTACCAACCCTCGACCCCTCCAGTCTCCCCAGAACTATGGCAGCGGCTACAGCCACTACACCATGTTTGCGACACCCGCCACCGACTCGAGACGTCACCGCAATAGCATGAGCTATGTGCCGGGCGGCATCCTCCCTACCCCCGACCCTACTATCGGGAGCAACATGTCCGAGGAAGATAAAGACGTCGCCCTGCAGCTCATGAGACTCGGTGACATGTCCAACATCTCCCACGGCAGAACGTCTGCCTCTACGTTGGACGACACCTTCAGCGGCAAGGCTGATATCGCTTCTTCGACTGGTGCTACCAGCGATGGCGACAGTGCCAGCGAGGATGAGCTGCCCCCTCCTCGTCGCCCGAAGCTTGAAACAACAATCAATGAAGGCAGGCCGTACCAAACGACTGACAGCCACTTCATCGCCCCTCGGGAACACGCCGAAGCTAGTGGTGACGACGCCGACTACGAGGACGGTGGTGAGGATGGTCCTAGATTGGACGGACAGAAGCCCAAGTCACAGAAGCCGCGCCTGCCCAGCCTGAAGACTGGCAACAGCAAGCCCAAGTCCAAGGTCCCCAAAGCTCCTGGCGCCAAGATGAAGAAGCCCAACAGTGTTCCCGCGGGGCCGATGTCGCCTGCGTCGATTCCCGCGCAGTCGCGCAAGCCATCCATCGTCGGTGGTGTGGCCGCGCCTGGCCAAGAGGGCGAGGACGGTCAGCCTGATCTGTCGACCAAGCCCCGCTGCCAGCGCTGCCGCAAGAGCAAGAAGGGTTGTGATAGGCAACGGCCATGCGGTCGCTGCCGGGATGCTGGCCTCAGTGCAGACCAATGCATCAGCGAGGACGAGGGCAACGGCCGCAAGGGACGCTATGGTCGACACATGGGTGTCCCTATCAAGACTACCGAGACTCCGATCCAACCTACTCTTCTCCCGGCAGCTCCCATTGCCACCCCTATGCTCCCCCCTGCTACCGACAAGAACAAGAAACGAAAGCGGTAGACGGCGGGTCCTTGACCAACGCGATATCGCGATACAGATTGCGGCGCGCACTGTATGCGACGCACCAGCCAACGACTTTAACCCCCCACTTTGTATATCACCACATCAGAAGCCTGTCGGCGGAACTGTGATATCAACGGCAACTTGTGCAGAATTATTGGACCAGTGAGGATCTCTTTCTGTCTTACCATACTGGCTTTCTCCCAGAAGGAGGAATGGCGATCGGCGCAGAGGCATCTGGGATTAATGGCCAGCTGGCTCGCTGGCCTTTCCATTCCTTCACATCGGACTTTCTTTTCTGTGCGGCGTTGGGTTTGCTTGATTATCTCCTCGGTTTATACTACGCCTGCTTTGCTACATACTTGACCAACTGATCACCCATCGAGATGTTGGAAACCAGACATGTTGAAAAATAAAGAGCAGAAGAGGAGCAAGCAAGGTTGTCGGACCAAGAAAAACTGGAGTTGGTAGAGAATATGGCTGGGAAAGAGTCTCGACCACTGCGTAGCGGGAGGGATGAATAAGGATCTCCATTGACAGAAACCGACTGTATGGGCGGTCATCGCCCAGCGAGGAAAAGTCCTCTCCTTTTCTTCCTGTATGTTTGGAACGGCGAATAGTTTTGATTTCAGGTTGGTTGGCCTTGACTGTCTTTTTTCTATTATTTTCCCTTTCCTAGCCCTTGTTTCCGCTTTCCTCTCTATTGCTCTCGATCTTGTATCGACGGAATCGCCAGGGAGATTTCGGAGGAAAATGAGATAGTCGACCTTGTCAGGTACTGCGCAAACTACTAGTGCAAATATACAAAACCTCCTACATGACATGACAGTGTCTTCGCAGCCGGTCCAATTACGGGTCCGTTGTGGTGGCCGAAGAGGGAGGACCAACTACCTACCCCACGTGCAAATATCAGCTCAAGTAGAACACCCTGATGGTCGCAGTGGTCGGATGAAGCCGGCCACTACGTCAATGATGGCACCCGGGTCCATCCAAAACGGTTTTAGGGGGGGATACTAGGTGTTTGTGAAGTTGCGACAAGCCAAAATGGCAGAATCAGCACTCTGGCTCGCCCATGTGAGGTATACATGCGCCAGGCGCTTAGCAAGTCCTTGGTGACTTGGTGACCCCCAATGCGACGCTAATTCTGGCATGTCTGGTATCAAAATCCTGGTTGTGTCCCTAAAGCGGCACTCATCGCGCAATACGAAACCCAATCGCCAATCATTCGCCGACAGCGATCGCAGCTTTACCGCCACCGGCATTTTCTGGCGACGACCCCGGAAAAACCGGGCCCTGGCGAAAACCCCCTCCAACCCAGACGCTGGCCGCACCAGGTGTCGCAAACCGCTTCCAAGGTCATTTCGAAATACAAAAGTATCTCCCGGGCCATAATGGACGGTTTCCGCATCTTCCACGCCGCTCAGGGCTGTTTGCGACAGGAAAGCTTTCCCAGATGCCGCTGGGCGTGACGTTGAACTAAGGTTCCTGGCTCGAGCCCCCTTAGGCTTAGCGCGGATCTGGCGACGATTCTCCTCCCGCGTTCGCCCAACGGCTTGGCAGTTGCCGAAAACAGGTACCCGTGCACGGGCCAGCGTGCTGAAGGCGAGCTATACTCGGGCTCTCCCACTGCAGCCAATCAGACACTGCGCTCGGCTGCAGGTACTCCGGATTTGTACCGAAAGCGTGCCAACTGCGCATCAGGCTTAGCGCCAACTGGGAGAGTATACGAAATACCTGCGAAAAACAACGACGAGATGCCATCAAGCCAATCTTCGCGGCATGCATCTTCGACACCAGACAATGCGATGTTATGGGATATCTTGACAACGCATTTTTACGTACAGGCTGCCTGAATTCGGTCATCCTGACCGCCACAATTGCACTTCCCCCAAACCCTAATCTCGCGATGATTTTTTATTTTTTTTGCGAACCTCCCCCACATACGCTATCCCCTCTTGAGCCTCACTCGCCATCAAATTACCGTCGCGGCCCCCCCTCCCGTAGTCGCTGGCCGGCTCACCGTTGCTGCTCATGTCACGATGGTGGCAGCACGACTAATCTGGTTCCCCTTTTGCCGAATCTGGTCATGGTAACCGGGCGTGCACGCGCACCTGACCAGCCGTGCCAGTGGCGTGCTCGCGGCTTGAGATTCCGAGCTGTCAGAAAATTCGGTGATACTCCCGAGAACAGTTCACGATGTTGCTCCAGCTTCTCGCTCTAGCTCATGTCCGCACAGCCCAGTCGGCGACGTTTCGCTGGGCGGTGACGGCCACGCGATGCGCTGTCCCAGGCCACCTCGTGATGCCCAGGCAGAGCATCGTCGTGTTCACGATGGGGCCTCTCCATCAAAGTCCCAGGAAAACCTCGATGCGACGGATGGCAAGCGCCCGCAGATTCCTGACTCGTCGGCATATCCGGGGATGCAACAGGTGTGTTCGAGGCTTGGGAGGCGCGCCCCCGGATCCACGTTGGCCAAGTTCAGGGTCCAGAACGTGGACGCACGGGGTTCCATCTCCACATGGCTCACCCAGCTTCTAGCTCCTGACTCCATAACATCCGTTAACGGATGCGGGCCATGGCGATAGATGGCCAGTGCCAGGTTGCCGATCCAATATTATGACAATTTTTTGTTTTGGGCACTGTTAGGGTTGGGCGAGCCATTGCACGATGGAGAAGGACGACGCTGGGTATATGAGGGTGGACGGGAAGCTTCACGATGCTGGTCTCTGGGAGAGTGGCAGCATCATCGACTTCCGTGGTTTCCAGCGCAGACTTCTCTATCTGTAGCATCTTGTGACTTGAAAGTCCGAGGAGAACCTGAAGTTTCATTATAATGGACCTCGCCGAGAAGTATGACAAGAAAAACCCCATCGTCACCGTCACAGAGCTATCCCATAGTTCCCTTTCCCTCGACCCGGAAGACTTGAGCGGATTCTCAACTCCAAAGCCGGAAGTTATCAATGATGATAACAGCAACACGGACTACCCAGACGGCGGCAGTGCTGCCTGGCTGCAGGTCCTGGCTGGGCACTTCACCAACGCCATCGCATGCGGCTATGGTGCGACCTTTGGAGTCTTCCAGCTATACTATACCACAACGCTAGGCCTGCCTGCGTCGCAGGTCTCCTGGATCGGTTCGTTCCAGGTTTTCATCCTCAACCTCACCTGCATCGTGAGCGGGCGCCTCGCTGATGCCGGGTACGGGCGCGCGGTGACGCTGGCCGGCTCAATACTCATGCTGCTCGGCACCTTCGCCACCAGCCTGGCGGCAACGTACTGGCAGATCTTCCTCGCGCAGGGCGTTTGCACGGGGCTCGGGTTGGGCCTCCTGTGGATGCCCAGCATGACCGTCGTCAACTCGTACTTCAAGCGCCGCCGCTCCCTCGCCCTCAACCTGGCCTCGGCAGGCACCGGCACCGGCAGCCTCGTCTTCCCGGCCACCGTCCAGTACCTCATCCCTCGTATCGGCTTCGCCTGGGCGGTGCGGTGCTCCGGGGCCGTGGCGCTGGTCTTTGTCGTGCTCATCAACGCACTGCTGAGACCGAGGCCTCTGCCCAAGACGACCAGAAAGGCACCCCTTGTTGAAGTAGGCGCGCTGAGGGAGCGCCCGTATGCTCTTTTCACAGCCGGCACGTTCCTGGTCTACCTGGCACTTTATGTCGGCTCGTTTTATGTAAGTCATTGAACAGCAGAGTTGCATGGCGCTTCCTTCCCCTCTTCTTTTGTACTATGGAGTTTCGTAACTAGATCCTGGTGGAGAATAAGGCAGTGACTGACTGTTTCCACGTTTCACAGATCAACTCGTTCGCCCTGACGCTACCTGGTGGCGCGTTTACATCGACGTCGACCGTGAACTTGCTGTTGCTCACCAACGCTGTTTCAACACCGGCCCGCGTCCTGATCGGGTACGCGGGGGACGCCTTGGTCGGGCCCCTGAATGCATACCTCTTCTCCGTGCTCTCCCTTGCCCTTGTGCTTTTCTCTTGGGCTGCCGTCCAATCTGCTGTCGCCATGTATGTGTGGGCTGCTGCGTTTGGCGTTGCTAATGGCGCTGTCCAAGGCGCCTTCTTGGGGGCGCTGGCGAGTCTGGTATTCGATCCTAGGTGAGTTATCTATAATGCAGACACGACAGTCGAATCCGGTTGATTTTTCGGTTGTATGCCATGACGTTCTGTTCGCTGACTTTGGTGGCTCCATACAGGCAGATGGGATCTAGGTTCGGCTTGGTATGCGGATTCCTGGCTTTTGCGACGCTGGCCGGCCCACCGATCGCTGGTGCTATCTTGGACTCGAGTGCTGGAAATTACTTGGGCGCCCAGATCTGGAGCGGTGCCGTTGAGATCTTGGCGGTTGTTGTGTTGTTGGTGTGTAAGTTCTCTGTGGGCAGTGGACTTTGGGCTCTTGTTTAAGCGTGGAGTTATTTGGAGCGGATCCGGCGTACGAAAAGACTGTCTTAAGCGTGATTGACGTATGCTTCAAAACTATAGGAGTTCGGTGGTTATTTACTGGAATATTTGCTTAGGAATAATATAATGTTAATAATGCATTTGATCCGGCGTTTCTCAGTCGTCAGTAAAGCGCCCAACTGGCATTGACAAAAAACCATATCCATTTACTTTATTGTTTCCTCCGCTTATGCACTCAGTATTGAATCTTTGGTGTCTGGAGGTATGCAATGCTTGCTGGATGAGCTTGGGATAGATATGACTATAGACCAATTTCACGTTCTTGTGTCAGAGTATCGAGCCTCAGAGTTTCTTGCTACCTGCCATCATGCCCTTGTTGAACTTATGATGGTTATTGTAACAACTTTGGGTTGCCTGAATTTTAGCCACTCCGAAGGCCATGACACGATTTGCTTCAGCCTGCGGGCCTCCAAATTGGTCGCTTGTCAATATCAACAGGCTTCTTCGACTTTCTTCCAGTGCTCCCACTTGGGATTCTTGCGGTCAAGCAGCTTTCTGTTCTCGTTTCAAGATCAACATGCAGCAGATTCGGGAGAAATCCACCCACTTGGGCTAGCTGTTGGATCTCTTCCAGGTCCAGCGACTTCACCGATTCCCGATACTCGGTTGCAGTATTTGGTGTGCCAGTCCCTAGCTCGTTTAGCGATGCGCTCCATTGCTCTGTAAACCTAGCCATGTTCTCCAAAAGTCAGCGGCTCGGTTTCTGGCCAGAGAGACTCATTGAATCCATCACATACCTCGTCGAGATTCTCGGTTGCCTCTTGCATAACTGTGGAGTTGATTCTGACCAATTTACCCACGGAGTTCAGTACTTTTGGGTGCCACATCAAGGTTCTGAACTGGCTTTGTGGCATCCGAAGGCTGTCCTTGTACTCCCGCTTTTCCTCAGTGGAAGTCCCGTCTTCACTCCGGGATGACCTCAACAGCTCGAGAAATATGAAGTCGGCTACTTCCCACGGATCAGATGTCGAAGGGCTGAGAGATGCTACCTCCGGACTCTTCTTCGGTCTGGAGTCTGGCTTTATTGCTTTTTCGAGGACAGTAAACCAAATGGCGCGATAAAACGAGTTCACGGTATGCGAGGGTACTTTGTCGTCCTCTGGATACTTGGAGAACTGAGACGCTAGCTGTTTGGAGTATTTTACGGACAACTTGTTGAGCCAGGGTAAAGCACTCATATCGACAGTGAGACAACTCAGATCGACACACTGACAAGTGGGCTTATGTCTGAACAAGAAGTAGGGTCCGTAAATGTCCTCGTCCAGGTCACTGTCTGATACGACGCATGCTTCGAGGTTGATGACTATGGCTGCATCACAATTTCTCTGTAGGATGTAATAAGGCCAAAAAAGCCATGGGCCGTCGTAACTTCGACGCGAAGCATCCTGGGCGATGTCATTGATCGCTTCTAAAGAGAGCCCCATAGATTCCACAGATATTTTGCACCCAAATTGATTGTATCTCGTCTGGTGAGCGCCAAAATTTCTGCCAGCGCCATCAATGTCACAATAGAAAGTATCAGAGATAACATATCTGCGGCCTTCGCCGTGAACCGATGCGCTCAACAGCCATGGTACATAGCCAGTTTAGCCCTTGGTTGACAGTCTTTTGTTGCTTCTTTGAGCTGAATTCCACCCCCAAGTCTTTGACATTATACAATCGTCGACTCCGAATGCGTCAACTGTTGTTCCTTCACGAATCGACATGGTGCAGATATGTATACACTGTCATTAAATCAGACCGAGGTTCTACATACAGAGCCATATTTCATAGACTCAGCTGTCCAGACTTGGCGTGTAATCTCTTGGCCTGATCGTACAGAAACTGGTGAAAGCTCAACCGAGTTTGGCCACCTACGTGTGGTCGATGCTAAGTACTAATTTCAGGAGGACCATCTGAACCCAGAGGTTCGCCGAGGAAGAAATTAACCCTCCATCTGACGAAAGGTTCATTCACGTCGATTTGAACCACCTTGACCTGGCATTAGGCCGGTAGTGCATGGAGCGACGTAATTAAATTAGCTATGTTCTTAGGTGGCCACACTCTATATTTATTTTAAGGAGCCTCCCACCCGGCAAGAGGGGAAAAAAAAAAAAAAAAAAAAAAAAGGCATGGCAGATATGCGCTTTGGAGGGACTCACAGTATACTGGAAGTTACGGTATTGCTTCTAGGGCTGACGCATTACGGGCATTTGGCATTGCTCGATGGAAGAAAGATGATGCCCACTGCCGTATTGGGACACTGCAGTCAGCGCTTAGTGTCACACGTTTCTGCCAATCTCGTGCATCATTCCACAGCCTTGGATCCCGACTCGATGCCAACCTCGACCCTCGCATAGCGCCATCTAGCTGAAGGCGGGGGAGTGCCTCGCCACGTTGTAGCTTCCAGACCCTCGGGACGCCCACATGGGACCCCATGATTGACATGTAAAGCATCTTCCCATACTAATATCCCATCTCCCGATTCGACGGCTCCAACAGCCTTCACCCGCACGAAACAACGCTTCGGTCCTGCGCCGCGTTGGATGCACAAAGTGGTCTCTCCCCGGCCGCCGTGTCTTCGACTATGATGAGTTGTCAAAAAGAGGCGCACCACAGGCCGGGTAATCGGCGGCGCATCCCCACTACCGAGACAACCTATAAGACATGATACTGTTGTGCCTCTTGCTTACGCAATGATTTGAGATGCCACAGCAGTTGATCACACGCTGAGCCCTAGAGGCGAGAGCGTAGTGTTTGTGGGTTCGGAGTCCAGCCAAGCTTGTGGCCGCTACACTCCTCCACACTCCTCCGAGCTACCTAAACAGACTTGTAGGCTTGGTGGGCTTCCCCGCAAAGCCAAGGGATCAGCCCCCCGGGTCGTGGGGTAGAGTACGGTTATAAGTGGACCAATAGGTGTTGTCCGGTCATGGGGGCCTTGCCAATGAAGGCCCTTTGTCCCTAATTGACAGTTTTACCGGCTCGGCAAGAGCCAGGATAGAGGCTGTCCCACGAATCAGAGAGCCCGGGTGCTAATGAAAGTATCTGCCGACCTGGAGACCCGTAATATGGGTCCCAGTCTAGGCTCAACCTGAAGGAAGCAGGTTCTTCAGTTGTGCAGGATGAATCATGTACATGGCTGTTGGTAGGGATGGGTGGTAGGAAGCATGGTTGGGACCCTCCGTGCTGCCCCCTGCTCTTGCGGACCTTTAAGTAGCAGCGAATTCCATCGATTTGCAGTCTTGCGGCCCTGTCGTCTTTGCATTTCAGTGCCTGCAGCAACGGTAGTCCTGCTCCATACGCGACGGCAACATGTCGGATGAGAAATCCACCCCCATCGAGGTCGAGGCGCCCGAGGCCAGTAGCTCTGAAGAGCTGCCGCTATGGACCGAAGCCGAGGAGACGGCCGTCAGGCACAAGCTTGATTGGCAGATTGTGCCCACCGTCACGGTTCTATACTTGCTGTGCTTTCTCGACCGGTGAGGACCGCACCCATTCACTTGCTCATCGCAAGAGCTTGGGCACCCTAGACTAATACAGGACCACAGTGCCAACATCGGAAACGCGCGAATCCAAGGCATGGACAAAGAGCTGGACCTCAGTGGCTATCGCTTCAACTGGGCTCTCTCCATCTTCTATATCGTCTATCTGTGCTTTGAGGTTCCCAGCAACATCGTTCTGAAAAGAGTCGGGCCGCGTTACTTCATTCCTGGGCTCGTGGTTGGCTTTGGATTTGTGTCATTGTGTACCGCCTTCGTCAAGACATTCGAGCAGTTATGCGGACTGCGTGCTTTGCTTGGCGTCTTTGAGGGCGGTGCCATGCCCGGTATCGCCTTCTTCCTAAGTTCTTTTTACAAGCGAAAGGAGTTGTACTTCAGAGTCGGCATATACGTCTCAGCCGCGTCGATGGCAGGAGCATTCGGAGGTAAGTCCCCAGGTCATGGTACTAATACCGTGTGAGTATACTTATCGCCTATAGGACTCCTGGCAACCGTCCTGACCCGGATTCCCGCGTGGGGCACGGCCGCGGCACCCATCGCCGGCTGGCGCAACATCTTTTTCTTCGAAGGCCTTATCACCATGATCATCGGCGTGCTGGCACCTATCATCCTGCCCCAGAGTCCCTCTACGTCGAAGCGCCTTAACGACCGCGAGAAGTGGATCGCGGAGGAGCGGCTCCGGCTCGAGCACAAGTCCGACTCCAACGAGAACGTCAAGCCGAAGCACATCAAGAGAGCCGTGTTCAACATCATGAACTACATATGCGCCGGCGGATTCTTCATGATCAACATCACCGTCCAGGGCATGTCCGTCTTCATGCCCACCGTACTAGCGGATCTGGGCTGGACCGCGACAAAGGCGCAACTGTACAGCGTACCTCCCTACGTCCTTGCGTCGCTGGTTGCTATTGCCATCGCGTTCGTGAGCGACAAAACCAAAATGCGTGGAATATACCTGGCTGCATTCACATTCCTAGGCATTACAGGATTTTCAATCCTCAGATGGAGTGACAGCGCCAATCTCAAGTACATGGGGATTTACTTTGTCGCTATTGGCGCGTTCCCAGGAGGCCCCGGTTTCCTATCTTGGGGTCTCAACAACTCGGCCGGGCCGGCTGTGCGCGCCGTATCGGGTGGTTACATCGTCTCACTCGGAACTGCAGGCGGTATCGTGGCAACTTGGGCGTACCTGGCCAAAGACGGACCTACCTACCCTATCGGACATTCCATCAACCTGGGCGCTCAGTTCGCTGTCCTATTCCTGTCACTGCTTGGCATAGTATACTGCATGTGGGAGAATCGGCTGAGGGCCAGAGGCGGCCGCGACTACAGGCTAGAGGGTTTAACCGAAGAGCAGAAGGCAGATTTGGGATACAGACACCCCGAGTTTAGGTATATTGCGTGAGATTGCTACGGTCACGCGTCTTGGTGGACTACAGCTCTGGGTATAACCGGTCCTCTTATGGCTGCCTCACTAGTTTGCCAGGTTCGCTCAATTATGCAGTACAATATAGAAACTGTTACCTAATGCCCATTCATAATCCCAAAGTCCCGCTGGAATTGTGATTTCCTTACAGAACCGCGGTTCTGAGTGATCGGTCAGTTCTCTGCGTATGGACTCAACGAGTTCCAGGATACCACATTGCCTTTCCGCGGGTTTGTATTAATAGCCGTCTGCCGAGGTAGTTGGCCGGTAGTTGGCCGGATCATGTCTTGGCCAAACTACAGATGCGGAAGCTGTGTGATGTCAAGTAATCACTGACTTCCATCGTTACATTCAAAGGGAATCGGCCCGTCGTAGCTATCCTTGACAGAGGCAATTGATTATGCAGTTTTATATTGAGAGACCAGGATTGTTCTGACAATGTATAATGCCAACACTTTAAGCGTTGCAACAGGCATGCAAGCCAGGTTCACTGTGACTTGGCACATACTCGTATTCTGGACTCCGCTTTCGAAATACCAGACTACGTGAATGAAAAATGCACTTCCATGTCCGAGGAGGGCGACAAAACTAATGAATACTAAGGTTTTGGGATAGACTACATGGTGTGTATCATGCTGAGGAGTCCAAATACTCAGAGTATGGGAGTATCGTCGGCTGCTACGTGAAGGAAGTCGGCAGCGCTCTTGAGAAAGTGCTGGATAGCGAACCGGCTATACCGAGGCGATTGCTACCGTGAGTGGTGTGGCTAGAGCGACCAAACATGGGAGGGAAGTACTGGCAAAATGCATCAACCTACGAAATCTCGATGTCGACGACCCATTCCAAACGTGCTATCTCAACACGTAAGACATTTAACTGGTCCATTCTTTACCTGACGCATTCTGCATAATCGATGCGTAAATCTCGCCCGCCGTGCTTCATCAATGCTTACGAACCACGCAGGCTGACATTAGCTGCGCTGCAAGTCTCGACTAGGCAGAGATGCGTATGCACCGTCTGCTGTGCTTGCTACTTATTCACTTCATTATGGGCTGCATTTTTATCGACTAGTGATGCAGTGCTCATCACTTAAGGCGAACCGCGGATATATAGATTTCTCGCTGCCAGAAGAGTCGAGGCTGCCAAATGCGCGACCAACAGGCAAATACTACCATTCGGGTGCGTCTCCGTTGATATACACGATTGAATAGATGGCATTGGGGCGCCCAAGGTGGCAAAGGTCCACTTAATACTAATTCAAGGTTTTGTTCTTGGTCGTGGGATTATCCAGCAATGTCGCCTGAGCAACAATGGCAGAATATCTAATCCTCTTCCCTTGCCTCCCGTTCGAGTGAGAATGTCATGCTCGAGGAAGAAGTCATCGGAGTCTGGAAACTCCTATTGGCAGTCAAGGTTGAAGATTCACATCATGTCAAGCGTCCTCCATATCGAGAGGTAGATGGGGATGTGAGCTTTTGTAATGGATTAAGGAGACCTGTTATCCGTTATCATGACAAGGCTGGCTGGCTGGGGCTTTTGGAAGGACTGCTAGCATGCATAACGAGGGCAGAACAATGTCCAAATGTATGACAGCAGAATCGGACGTGTGGTACTAATCATCAGCATCCGGTTCGAGTCTATTGCTCCTTGAATCCAGGAGTTCCCAATAACGCAACGTTTCAATGGCTCCCTGGATAGAACAGTAGTTATGGAAGGTGCTCGCCCTGCCATACTATGGAAGAGGGTAGCGATTCTACCAGAGGACATGATAAAGCCCTATGATGTTTCCCGCAGCTTGTGTTTCTATCCCATCTGTCCGCATCGCCGAAAGGTACAGCGGCGAGCGGCATACGTAAGTTCTATTTAGTGACTACATGGCTGCTGAATCTTCTTGGAAAGAGCAGATTTAACACTGATCTGCACTAAAGAAGTAGCGACTATGGGATAGCACTCATCCATTCTTCCCGACATTCATGATGTCAAGAGTTTTGACCTTGTCATAAAATCATCTTCTTGTTGGATGGAAGCGACGCCACGTGCCTCGATAGTTGGCTCCTCAACATGTCCCTATTTGCCCATGAACCTAAATGAATAGGCTGTAGAGTTTCTCGGAGCATGACAGGTATTATTAGAATACTAATTGATGTGAATAGAGATGGCTAACGGAGAGAAGATGGGTTGCGGCAGCATCTAGAGTTCCAAGGTTCGAGATTACACAAACGGCTGATTAGGAGAACACTGGACGTAGAGACGCAGGAGAAAGTCCATTATCGGCTTAATTTTCTTCTTCCCTCTTCTTTAGGTCCTCATTTTTAGTGTGATGCTGGTCCTCTTGAAAGCTACGATTCATCAGCACACCTCCCCAAATTACTTGGGAGATGGTGAACCAACTTATCTACTGAGAACCATCTTGTATAGAGAGAATATCCTTGAAGATACCCGAGCCAGACTGTCCTCGCTCTTCTTTCAATGCGGATCGTTGACAGGTGCCTGGTAATGTTTGGCCCTCTTCTATGGGACACGAATCAACTATCACGCGTTTACCTGACTTTTTTCTTTCTTTCTTTGACAACCCGTGCCATGCTGAAAAGGGTGTTTAGAGATTTTAAAATACGAATCGTACAAGCCGTGCATGTAAGCCTGTAAAAGGCAGGACATTGCTCTTAGTTTATGGCCCTTTCTTTATTCAGTTGGTTTACGTCGATTCCCAGTTCGCATCTTGATAGTGATTTTGAAAGAAGGTAATATCCACGTTTGGTAGAAGACAGTTACCGTTCGCTCCCCTTCAGAAGCGTCGCGGTCTATTCATTGCCAGCTAGATAACTACCGGGCGGGAAACTCCTCACAGGGATGTTCTGGGCGAATATCTTGACGCAGACCTATCCAATTAAGTCTTGACGTATTAGGAGACCTAGTAGTAACCCATGTTCTGACTCAACACAACATCGTCAAAGATACCATGCCAAATGGTGGGAAACAGACAATTGCGTTATTATTGTAAGTTCCGTCCTGTTTTCGCACATCTGGGTCTTCATGGCAACAGTCAGATTACCACAATGGATATTTTTACCACAAGTATTTGCATTCCTTTCAGCAAAAATGTGGAAGCTACAGCGGTGTACAATGCACCAGAACCAAGCTGTGATGAGTCTTACATGTGCTGTACTATTGCGGCGATCGGTCAGGCTAATCGTTGCCCACCGAGACGACAGTCCCATCAATAGTCGCAACAGAAGCGACTAACCAGCTTCCAGATTCACTGTCTGGTCCCCACACCTTTTTTTTATACTATGCCTTCACCACTTTGGCCGTTTCGCAGATATTGATGTCTAAAGCCGCCACTGCCGCCCCTGTCTGTTGTTGGCCTCATCATTGTCGAAGATCTGGCTCGATTGCCTTGTTATACTCAGCCCAGAGCTGCGGAAGCCTTAGTCTGATGTAAGCTTCTGCTTGAAACCCAGCAAAAGACTTGAACTTCCGCATCTATTCCTGCCTACCTCTTCAAGTGGTTCAGAGTTTTGCGTATTACCTGGGCGAATGGCCTGCCATCCTCCCACATTCCATCATGCGTCCCGCTCAGGTCCGTCAACGCTAGCGTGTTGACATTATCCTTTTCTAGGACCTTCTGCATCCCCTCAATCTCAGGTCGATCAATCAGTTCGTCTTCGGGAGACCAGCCAAGGACCACAAGGTGTTCCTCGCTCCAGGCCGACCTGAAACTCTTTGTGAACTTCATCGGAGAGACGTCGCTCCAATTCGACGAGTCGCCAAAGGCCCCAACGAACAGGGCAGCATACTCGGGCCCTAGCCGGTCCACAAGGCCTTGCAGGTCATAAATACCCTCGAGACCAACAATTGCAGCTGGTAACGCAACATCGGCTGGTGGGGCGGACCCCTTCAATGCCGTTGAACCCATAAGTAACTGCAGAGCCAGCGTCGCGCCGGCCGAGTGACCCAAGAGAACGTAGTTGCTGCCGAACGCGTATCTTTCCTGGAGAGACCGCAAAGCAGACCAGACATCCTTGATATGGTCTGGGTGGAATGCATTGCGGTAATCCCGCGGTGTGGTGCCTTCCGGATCCTGTGGGAATCCAGGATGAGGGCTCAGTCGGTAGTCTACTGACGCAAACCCAGAAATGGAGGACTTGCATTCATCCTGCGATGAGATGACTGCATCGATGGTTGGGATGAAGCTCTTGTGATCTATGCGAGGGTCTCTCCAGGCACCTCCATGAATATAGCTATCGGATAGTTAGATATCACGCCACGAAACAAATTTGACAAAACGGCCAGTACATGATCCAGTATTTAGACTTCTCCGACGCCACCGTATCCACCTCCCACACTCCCACTCTCTGCAATTCGCTGTCGCTGCCGTAGTGAAAGGCTGCGTAAGACAAAGACGATGCCATGATGGTTCTTTGCGGGGAGTATCTCGTCGTGATTCGATTATGAGGTGACTTGATGGGTGCGCGGCCAAGTTGGCGTAAATCGCGCAGAGCTGACAGCGTGGAAGAAGCTTCGGACTGCAATTGGCACTCAACTCAGAATCGAGCGGAATATTATTGCCCGGCTACAATCCAGGGTCAAAGGGAGAAAAAAGAATAAAAAAGAAACTCCCGCTGTCAAAAATCTTAAATGTACAGTGGAACGAAGACGTTAGATTGTGCGTGTCCATGTGCGAGATGTTGAAAATCCTATTATTGTGACGGAGTTGAGCGGGGCAGGGCCGGCCGGAGCGGATTGCTCACGGAAGCGGACTTTCGGAAGCGGAAGTTAGTTGTGGGTTTGAGTCCCCGAATATAAGACCAACTACCACCTGTAACGCAGACATAGTACTCGCTGGGTCTATACAGTGCAATGTAGTTATTTCCTTCCAATCATGACTCTCCTACAACTTCCGCAATACACAGAGAGGTTCAGAGGCCATTGACTATGCATTACAGCATTGGCGCTGTAGTACACACCAGGGTCGCTTCGCTCAATTTCCAGCGCATAGAGCAGAGGGAACTCATGGGGGAAATCGATGATCATTTGAGTTTACTGAGATTTGCAGCCGACTTTCTTGATCGACTGCGACTGATTATGGAGCAACAACGCGAATTCCGTTTCTACAATGTCATCTGACAAAACGGCTGGAAAGCGGTTAGATTTTCTCGGCTCGTTTTGATTCTATCTCGGACACCTGGGAACCATCGATACTAACTGTTGATACAAACTGGCAAACGCAATGCGAGATTGGGTCCACGTAGAAATCAAGATCACTCATACATGAGAGAGCGCCAGCACTTCCGACGGACGCCGCATGGTGAGCTCTTCATGCTCACCCGATGGACGAGTCTGATGCGTACACTTCAGGCCCGTGGTAATGCACCTTTCTGAAGAGGCCGCCATGTTCAAGACCCCTGGTAGTTTGTTGGCAGACGTTCATAGCGCGACCAGCGCTCGCAAGTAATTCCGCCAACAGGTAGCTCTTACAGTCGCTAATGTCCATAACACCGAGTGCTTCACATACCTTTGTGGAAAGGAGCGCGAGCTAGGGTCAAGTGTGCTACAAGCCATACCCCGTTCGCTATATCTAGGGCCGCCTCATCACTTTGCAGCCCGACTCCAATGCAAATTAATGCGTGTACCTTGCGACGTGGTTGGTATGGTCTGCTAGTGAGACACTTGAAACGGTTCGTCTGGTGGCGCGCGCCATCATTGGACGAAGCTGAATTCTTCTGTGCCGTAGAGCACCAGCATGGAGAAGGCACAAGGACGGGCTGCTCAGAACCTCGTCCATTCGCCTTTAATTATTCCGAATTATTACTGGGACCCGCTAATTGTATGAGAATTTGGGCGCATCTGCTTCGACGGCTACGGTAGATCATAGCTCGTGGACACTTGCAGCCTGTGCCTTGTCTCGATTCCAGGCTACTCAAGCTAGTGACAAATGAGATTATCCCGTCCAAACCCATCTGAGAACTCGTCTCCTAGTCCCGCTCAAAGCTAGTAAGATATTGATTGTAGTTGCGGAGTTTACATTAGTTGGTTACCAAGTTGCCAAGGTAGATATCTAGAAAGCGTGGGGAAGGAGATGCTGGTTGAGACGGTTGGGCTAAAATGGTACAGGGGCATTCCGAGTTTGCCGACGTGTCTTGATAGCCAGCTTAAATAAGATGCATAATCTTATAGGAACAGCACTTGGTACAGTCTTTACTTGCTGCTTGGCCATTCGGTACTCAATAATCGACCGTAGTCAAGCAGCCGTGCGGGAATCAACCCATAAAGGTTTCCAACGCGTTTGAAGAAACCATTGCCATGGTCAGATGAGTTAAGGGGGTTGTTGTACCATGGTTGCCGTCTCCCAGACTGCTGGGTCCGCCGAGATGCTTGGAAAGCAGCATGGACACGGTGTGCTGTCTGTGACGAGCAGTTCTAGGGACTCCCTAGTTGCTAGCGTCTGGTCTATCATCTGCGGCTGATCAGGAGGATGAAACAGGACGGGGGTTGGATGAACCCAAGCCTGGCAAGCTGCAGGGAAGGGGCCTCGAGTGCAGCCGAATCGACCGAATGGGCGTCGCTGGCGCTGTTTTCCTGACTGTGGTAAGTTGCGAATGTGAGTTGTCGCGTTGGTCCTCAAAATGGCACATCACCTTGGCGAGCATTGCTATGTGCTAATGCTCCAGGTCCTAACCAGTACTAGTAGATGGGTTGTCAGCAGGAAGCTTCAGGTGGTACTGATTTCTGTTTTCTTTCCCTGAGCGATGCGTGGTTTCGCATGAATCGACATGGATTGCCAGCACGGTAAGCCACTTGGGATGGACCATGGCGACAAAGACACCCGTCCCATGTTGAGCCGGGTTGTTGATATGTTGGCGCTAGTAGCACGCATCGCGAAAGCAGCTCTGCACACTGGTGGTGCACTGCAGCAAGAGTGCGGCGCGACCAGGAGGCAACGCATGATTTTCCCAACCCGACCCGGCCAGCCGATGCGGCAGCAAGAACTGACTATTGTGGTGGCATTCTAGAACGTGTGTCCCTGCATCGGCCTGGCGTGCTAGTTGCCTTCCCGATTTCCCGAGACCCAGTCGCGTATCATAGTTGCAGTCGGCTACAGACACGGGCAATGACTGGCTCGACCCGAAATTGCTTGCCCGCCATTGCATCGAACATTGGATGCTGACTTGCGATGCTTCGGGGGATGCTTCAAATGACATGACGGCCCAAAGTGCCTTTATGCCCTGGTTCCTGGTTGGCTTGTAACCTTCTTTGATGGCGCGGCATCGTGGGCCGTTTGCGATGGCAGCCAACGACTCGGGCGTGGTGCTTGCTTCACAGTCATACACGGACCGGGAAAGCCCACCAATTCGGTGCCAATTGCGTTCGATGAAGGTTCGTAGGTATGTAGTTTATGCGGCCGCAGAGTTGCATCTGGTCCTGCGCCGTGGCAGAGCATGGCGCGAGGTGCCGCGTGGCTGTCAAGGGCCATCCTGTCGACACGTGCCGAGGCCCTGGGATATGACTCAACTTGCTCTGGACGAGCACATAGAGTTTTCTTTAATCTTCACGGTAAGATGGTATCGGTTGAAGTTGCTAGCTCTACTGGGTTCACTTAGCCATCTCTAGTCGCGCGGAGATTCTGATAAAGTGGCAGCTAATGGCAACCTTGGAAGTAAGTGGGTGGCGGAGCAGAACAAAGATAGCAGGCCCCAGAAAATAGACTGCTCGTGCTCGTGCTCGCAAGCCGCTCAGGCTTGCCGCCGTTCAGCGGGCTGGCAGGGGACCCGAACGCGCGCCTAACACTGGACGGCTTGGCCTCGGCCCAGGACCACATCCCATCAGCGGCGCTGGTTAGCTTCGCGGACCTTCCTCATACATAGTACGCCCAAATTGTGGCTTCATGTTTGGCGTCAAGTCTACACCCTCACCGGCAGGATGAAAGTGTACCTTTCCGTATTGAGTGATGATGCTTTGCACCCATTGCTCTCGTGTGTCGTAGTAGTGGTGGTCTTGAAGTATGTGGCGCAAAGTCAGATGGCCTAGACGACGGTGACACGTGCTAGTCATGGCTTGACTGTACGGGTGCAGTATTCGGCAAGTAGGTAAGTTTACTCACTCTTTTGTTTCTCGACTTCTCACGACCAGCACAAGATCAGGCCTGTGACCAGTGACCACAATTAGACACAAACAGCCTCCTGTTATACCAAACGTGTATGCATTCCCACGATGCCAGCCTTCCGCAACACGCCATCTACGGGATGGGAACCTGCAATAGGCAATTTTGTCGAGCCATGCCTCTCCGGGCTTCTATACCCCAGTCTCCGTGATACTTTCCGGGCCCGCATGGTCGCATCCCACCAGCTTCCGCCAACCCTGGTGAGCGGTCCCGCTGCAAGGGCGCCAGGGACGCCGCATGGAACAGGGGCTTGCGGCGTGATCTTTGCATGGGAATCTCTGGGCTGCTGCCATTCTGATTCTTCGGGTAGCTCCCGAGTGTGTTCCATTGTGGGCCAGCGGCTGAAGTGAACTAACTACCCACACAGCTCAAGGTCTAAGTAGACCCGCGAGTATTTCCCGGGCCATGATACTTTCCGACTTGGTACCTGGACGACTGGCTCTGCAGCCATCTCCCTGCACGTTTTAGGCAAAATACATGCGCCATTGGCTCTTCTGCCTTTGTACAGGCATAGTTGTACTTGGTCTCCTGTCGACAAGGGACTCTTGGCCTGGAAACCCAGGGCTGGCCTGACTTGCACTCGGATACCGGTGGACGCCCAGCCCAGACCCATTTACGCTTCAGAGTGTGAACTCTCAGATTGGTAAGTCGCTTTGATGCATTGCTTAGTCGTTCTTCCCTTGCCCAGGCTGGGTTATATGATTGCTTTGGCTGCCGGATTCTTGTACCACTTCTCCCTCCTTCGGTTCTTTTGAATCCTGTCATACATTGGATCGGGCCTCTGGTAGGACTACTGCAGCCATGTCAGCTCAGGATCCCACTGTGTCGACGGAGAACAATGGGGGTGCTCTTGTGGGTACTTCCATTGCTTTTCTGATTCTGACTTGGCTCTCTGTATTCCTACGAACGTATGTGCGGGCTTTCATGTTGAAAGGATTTCAGGCCGATGATTGGCTTATGCTGGTAGCTCAGGTCAGCACTTTGGTACTCTCTGCCCGCAGAGGGATGATTTATTGACTCTTTCAGGCAAACTACACGATCTCCTGCGGATTCATTTTACGCGGGGTTTACTACGGGGTGGGAAGACACAACAAGTCCCTCGACCAATATGACGAGATTCAAGCACTCAAATACCAGGCACTCGCAACAGCAACGTACATCGCAAACATGATGTTCATAAAACTCTCCATAGGAATCTTCCTGCTACGCTTGGCTACGCAGAAGCGATACAGATATGCGATATACGGCAGTATCGTGATTGTCAGCATCTGGAGTATTGTCCTGTTCTTCTGGAACCTGTTCCAGTGCCACCCCTTGTAAGTAACAGCAGAAGCTATCTGTCCAAGCGTTTGGTCGAAGAGGTTAAATCTTCATGGCAACAATATTTTATCCTCCCGAGGCGCCGAATCTCGACTCTTGCTGACTATCATTACTGCAGCGAGGCCCAGTGGGACTACACGATTCTTCAAAACGACCCTACTGCATTCTGTGTCAGCGCCGATCAGATCGTAAGCGCGGCTTATGCACTCAGTGTCATGACTATTCTATCCGACTGGTTTTATGCGCTGATTCCGATACCGATTGTTTGGAGTGTCAAGATGACCAACCAAGCCAAGGCGACCGTCATTGTGATATTGAGTTTAGGCGTGTTCGCCAGCATTGCAACGCTCATCCGTTTGAAGTTCCTTGCAGATCTCACCGACCTCGAGGATCTCCTCTGTGAGTATTTATGGATGGCTAGCAGTTTTGTGTGTCTGTGTCTTACGTTTTCTAGTTGCTACGACCGATGCCATGGTCTGGACTCTGATCGAGCCAGGCGTCGCCATCATCGCCTCGAGCCTGGTGACCATCAGACCGTTGCTCCGCGCTTGGAGGATTAGAGGCTTCCAATCCACCGAGAACAGCAAGCGTACGGGCCCGTCGTCATACGGGCACCATGGAACGAACCCGAGCCGCGCACGTGGTATGCCCGGCTTCGGGTCAAAAGACGTGGCAGCAATCGATATGGAGGCAGGCTATGCGAGGAACGAGGGGGCCTCACCTTCATCTCCGACATTCGACGCGCACAGCAAAGGATCGAAGTTCTCCTTGATGTCCCGAATCTCCGAGAGAGCGACGGACTCGCCTGATGGCACGGCTCATCCTGCGTCGAACGGCATCAGCGTCCATCGCCGCATCGAAGTCCGCAGCGAAGTATACGTCATCGAGGGCACCTCCTCGCCGCGGCCCTCTACACGCTCCGCGCATCACGACACATGGCCACCAAATCACTCCCCGAGTTCATCTGAGATTGAACTCACCAGCATGGAGCCAGTCTATGCCCGTTCGGATAGCGGAGTCGGCTTGGGCTCACATCGGTGACCACCGAGAATTGGCCACCAGAGAAGAGGTCTACTTTATGGTTCATTCGTTCATAATATCTTTGTCTTCGCCATTGTAACACAAACACGCAATACACATTCACACATATAACAGTATATACGACACTGGGGATGGGAGTAATGACTTTCTTTGTAGTCTGGAACATGGGACGGGTTTAAGGGAAAAAGTATGCGGCAGAGTACCGCTTATAGAGGGAGAGGCGCCGCCAGCGGCTCGTTTGGATATTGATACCCTTGGGTCTTGGGGTTAGGCGGCGTTTTGTCATTCTCATACATTAGGGCTTGTTATTTCATCGGGTCACGAATTGGAAAAAAAAGCTTAAGCTTGGGCAGGGGTAACATTCACTTGGGCATATGCCTGGAATACACTTGGAGAGGAAATCAAGGTTATCAGAAGCCAATTAAAGAGCCTCCCGTTTCTCCATTGTCTGCCACTCCTTAAAGCTATTTGCACCATGATCACGCGACGGCCTCGAATGACACGATCTAGCGCTGGGGTTCCCTGGGGCCTACCCAACAGACGTAGTACCACTCTGGTCGCGTACTCCTCCTGCAGGGCTATACCTGCTCTGATGTGACTATTCTCTATCACGCATGGTAGCATCCGGCAATTCCCGCCCTGCGCTTGGGGGTTACGTCAACAGAAAGGCATGAGCCACTGTGGAGAAAGATCCCAGATTTGTGCTGAAGTTCATCGAATGTGAGAAGTGACAGATTAGCAAGACAGGAAAATCTCCGGACTGGGCGAGACGCGCAAAGAGTGGAGCTCCCCCGGGCTGGTCTCGGGCGCCGCGGACCTGCCATGAGCCCGCTCGGCCGGTTTGGTGATCTGCTTAGCCCCGTCCGTACATGACATGGGTATGTGATAACTATCGGCTTGGCCTGCCTTTGGACGTCGTATCTGCAGGCCACATCAGACGAACACACCCTCATACACAAATGCGTACAAGCGTAAAGTTAAAGGCCACGGGCTCCAGCAGACGGGCCGTTTGCGACTGGGCTCGCCTAGGACCCCGGGGCGGAGCTGTAGCTGGAAGACCTCGAGGCTCGGACCGGTGGGTTTTTGGCCTGTCTGTGGGTCAAGTGCGTTATCTGCCAGGGGTTGTGCGCTTTGTGGGCTTATGTGTGTGAATTGCGATTGGGTCTTGTGAATATCAAGAAGAGAACTTGTAATATCTGGTACCCTATCAGACCCCCAGGTTCTATATGGGGATCGATGGATTGGTGTGGATGCATTTTAACACAATCTCTGAGTCTTCTTAGCTTCCTGTTGATGAACATTCTGAGTCATTGTTGCTCACTTCATACGGTAAGTCAGGGGTATTTCTTGGGGCAACGAATCAAGATTGTCACATGTGGAGAGGCACGGGAGCGCAAGTTGTTGTTCTTTGGCCAGATTATCTGACCATGGTGATGTTAGCGACGGACGCCGGGGTATCTCAACTATCCTGCGAATGCCGCTCTATCATACATTGTGAGGCCTTTGCCCTTGGGTGGCCTCTGATCTTCCCGAGATGTACCTTGTAGTAGAGAAAGGACCGCGGAACTACGGCTCATACAAGGCCTCCAGCTTCAGAGTATGGCTCCCTTATCGCCGACTTAGTGTAAGGATCTAGCCTTGCGTATATCGGCATCGCCTGATTCAATGGTTTGCGTGCAGTGGCTTGCCTCTTCAGACTGAGAGGTTCAAAGCCTCCAGATCAGGTTCCCAGTCAGCCTCCTCCTCAAAGATGGGGGTCGCCACGAATTTTCCGTAGATCCTGCCCATAGCTGTCGCCTTGCCCTGTCCTGAGGCGAGGTCATTCTCCTGCTCATCTACAATGATTGCAGTAGTCAAGAAATCGGTATCTGTGGCGATACCAAGGTCAAGGATACGGCCACCCCAGTCCAGCTCCACCTTGCCCGACTTGCGCACATTCAGTTTGCCAATGAAGCCTCCTCCGGACGGCCTGGCCGAGCTAAGGGAAATGGGACCTGAGGTTCCAGGCTCAGGCTTAATCCTAATCTTGTCCGCCTCCTTGTCATCTTCGAGCTCCACAATTTCGTTGCCGTCGGCGTTGAGATGGAGCAGAGGTGGAAGGATTGGCGGGAATTGAAAGAGGAACAACTTGTTGTCTCTGTCTTGTGCGTCGCCTTCTTTGATGGAAAGTCCCTGGAGGAGAGATGCAGCGTCGTATGCCATGGCCTGGATTTCTCGGTCCTGCAGTGCCTTCTCTCTCTTCTTCTCCTTTGCTTTCGTCTTGGCATCCATGTCCTCGGCCAGTGGCTTCTTCTGCAGTTCCGGAGAGGACGGTATATCCGGCTTGACCGGGACGTCCGCCATCTCTGTGTCAACATCCTCCTCAGTGCCGGGTTCCGGTTTGATCTTGACGTCCTTGTGCTCTTCGGGTTTGCTGGGGTCTACATTCCAGACTTCGTTGTCGTCGGCCATCTCGATATCGCGCCGGACCGCGTCTTGCGTGCTGACAAAAAGGTCGTCATCGTCATCGTCTTCTTGCTCCTCAGCCTCGAGCTCGGCACTGGTGGCCACCTTGAGATCTTCGGCCTTGTGCTCCACTCTGATGATGCCAACCGGGAGGATGCCAGAGGCTTTTGATGAGGCCCCGAGATTTTCCTCCGGTGCATGACTATCGCGTAGGGAATCGACGTTGACCCGTACCTCGTTCGCGCGACGATTCTGGTATCGAGGACCCCACTCTGTCTGTCCTTCCTTTTTGAACCCGGCACCGCCGGATCTCTGCCCCCATGCGCCGCCTCCTTGCTTCACCATATCTGAAAGATCGGTCAGTCTCGCGCCTGAATGCGCACTGCGCTCTGTGGTGTTAAAACGTACCTTGCGATATGCCAGAGAACACACCCTCGGCGGTCACGGTCCGCCGGACAAAGTGACCGCCGGCATCCCCTCTGCCCCTGCCCCGTCCTCTGCCGCCCCGCCTCGCTCGACGGTCGGCATCTCTCTGTTCGCGCTCTTCTATCTTGATCTTGGCCTGTAGATCTCGGTTGCGCTCCTCCTCCAGCTTCTGCCGCTCAGCAGCGTCTCTGCGAATATTTTTCGGCCTGAAGCGGGCTCGGCCCGAGGCGGCGGGCGCTGGCGACTGGGTCGCGGACTGGGCCGCATCTGTCGTGGCAGCTCGTGCCGCCGGGGCGTCTGTGATGGTGACATCGCCGCCTGCAGAGCTTGCTGGTGTGCCGTCCTCGATGGAAGGTCTGGTCGAGGGGGTCGCAGCGGTTGCAGAGGCGCCACGGCCGCCTCGGCCGGCTCGTGAGCCCCTACCTCCCCTAGTGCTACCTCGAGAAGACATGTTGACGGACCATTGGTGCTGAAAGAGTGAGATGGACCGAGTGAACTCCAATCCTGCCTGGCCTCCCACTCTGGCTGACTGTGACTCCCGCCAGGCGATGTGGGGTGACCTGGAGCTCAAGAAATTCGTAGGTGGGGGACGAATTGCGCCGATTGTGACCGCCTGCCTCGCCTAGCCTCTTCTATACCCCTTCGATCTGTACACTACGACGTACCTAGTCCCTGGCTTCCTACGCTTTATTGTTTACTCGATGTCACTTCCACATTGCAGGCAGATAATTATGCGGGTTGCATACCCCGGCCAAGGAATCACTCAGCAGTCTACATTGAGGATTGGGAGGGGACGGCCGCACAACGGAATCCGTGACACTATGTACCAACTCTCCTAACGAGCATCAAATCCTCTCGTGTGAATCTATACGAAAACCCTTCTTTAGTAGACTCAAAAAGCAAGCGAGAAATTGACACATATCGACACGTTTCACCATGTGTCGAGAGGCCCTTTCAGTGATGTCCACAGCTTGCGCTGTGCTGAAGATTCTCAGGCGCCCCTTTCGTCTGTTCCCCAAAACCGGATTGTCCCCAAATTTTGGCATCGAGTTGCTACCTTCTGCTCGCTCTTAGTCGAAAAGAAACCAATTGTCGCTCACGCCAGGCCGCATCACCAGGAGTCTCTGCAACCATCGAATCAGCTGCTCCTCCGACATGAAGTCCACATGAGCAGTGAGCCGAATGTCCTGGAACTCCACGAGGTCGTATGTAGGCATCTGAAACCAGGAAAGGTCGGATTGCACCAGGACCTGCCTGATGCGGCGTTCAGGGTTGTCGATCCAGTACTCCAATCTCTGGGGGTCTTCTCGGTGTAGGCTGGCCCATACTTGTCGGCCTGTGTGCGGCTGGTTGGTGGTCGTCCCAACTTACACAAACTGGATTCGGTGGTAGTTGGTTGCAATGAAACCCCGCCGCGTGGTCGGCGAAGGCGTTCTTGGTATCAAGGGGGAGGACGTCTGGTTGGATCGACGGCTCAAGGAATCTCTCGTTAGCAACTGGTCAACCTCATCGGCTGCACTACCCGAGCTGGTATCGCCTCTTCTCGTTGAAAGACCGGCCATTTGAAAGTACAGACCCGTGACTCTGTAAAAGAGACCAGACCCCTTCACTAGGACATAATCTTCCCATACTATTCACCGAGAGCATAGCTGATTGATTACTGGCTCAGATTTGCCCCAGAGCAGCGACTTTTGCTAAGCAAGATTGACGACGTATAGGTGTGAATATCAGGTCTAGGAAATATCCATCGGTGTCTATATCGGCGTCTAGAGCTGGATGTCTGTCTTGAGTTTGGGCACTGTAAGTGCCTGGCACTGGTGTCCGGTCACTCTGGATCGCAATAATTCCATTTTCTCGGCCACCACGCAGGCGGCGCCATATGGTAGATGGTTACCAAACGCACCAAGACTGAGGTTGAGTTTAAAAACACATGTTTGGCGATCTTTCCTGTTTAGCGGACGCACATGAGGGCATCCTCCCCAAAGTTGGCGGCCGTACTTCCTTCCTGAATGAGCATGGATCCAATCCAATTCCTACCAGCCTCGACCGTCGAGGCTCCAAACTTGACCACCACGCAGCCCCTGACACGGGCAGCAGACCAAAGCACGTTGTCCAAGGATTCTTGAGCAAGCCTGGAAACCCGCCATCTGTCCAATGGGGAGCCTGACTCTTCTGCTGCTTTCTCCTTTGCCGTGCGGAAATCTCTCGCACCCAGTCTGGGTAGCGCAGCAAACTCCGAAAGGAAGAACTCGCCCAAGGATTTTGTCAATGGCCCACGCAAGAGCAAGGTGCCAAAGATGGCATTACCATGCATTGTATCTCGCAGCGGTGCTGAAGGGGCTGCTTGAGGTGTGGTATCGAGGATGACTGTATCCCTCACGAGAAGCCTGTCCTTAGACTCGTTGGTCTTGTTCGACATCCAGATCTCGTTGCGGCCGACCCATCGAAGCAAGTCCCAGTTCTCTCCTCGCGCGGACCGACCATGGGTCACCCAATCTAGCAAACAGAGAGAGGCGCCGCCGGTGAGCTTGAATATCTGGGTCTGCTCATAATTGCTAGCCTCAAAAGGCTGCACGGGATCTGGCAAGAGACACAGGCCAGCCCCATCGAGGATCTCGACTTGCAGGGTCTGTCTGGTAACTATATTTGGAGAAGTTGGTTTGAAGACCTTGGTGTGCCCTTGGGTCACAATGCTCAGTCTTGCGTCTGGCTGCAAGTCGATAGCAAGGTTGACCTGGTCTCCACCGACCAGACCACCGCCGTACGATAGGAGGAAAACCAGGACACTCTTCTGATCATGCTTGAACGATGGAGAGATCAGCTTCAAAGGGTACTGATACGTGATGCTCTCCAGAGCAGACACTCTATTGGGTGACGATTTGACCACAATACGGCCCTCTCCGGGCGAGGACGTGGACTTTGGGAAGGGCGACTTCATGTCGGGACTTCGCAGCTATATCACAGCAATGGAGAAGAGCCACAATGATGCATGTTCTGCGCTGCATATATGCCTCCACTGGCAAGCCGTTCGTGATGTGAGCCTTTTCGCCGCGGCAATGGCCTAGAACGAGAGCAATACCTACGGTACCGAAGTACCGGTGGAAGAACCCCGATCACGTAGAGGTCCAAACACTAAGGAGACCCCCGGCCCTGTCAGTCCCCAACCGATACAGACCTGGCCAATATAGGGCGATCTAGTTATGCCACTCGCGAGCGGTGAACATCAAAGTTACCGTTCAATATCACTCCAGAAACTCGTACATTAACAAGCTAGAGTCTGTCCCACAGCTGTGGATGCATAGTACGTAGGATGTCTTGCGGCCTGAGATCCAAGGCCGCAACTCGACTTTCCCGCTCTCCAGGTTCCCAGCCAACCAGGATAGGGGGTCACACATCCCGCTAAGTTACTTGGGTTGCCTACTTAAGTAGTTAGGTAGTCGAAGTACCTTCATGCAGTAGGGAGTCCCAGTACGTACCTGGAGATCCCTAACTAACGTGCCTTGCTCCAGGGAGCATTGCGGTGGTTTGGTTGGCCTGCTGGGCCATCCCCCCCCAAAAGCCCAGAGCCCAGAGAGCCTGTCGCATCCTGCCTAGATTGATGATTTTCTAAACACGCGGTCCGCTCGCCCATCCCCACTAGATCATCATCACCACACCTCCTGCCCGACGCGCTCAACCCCCGGGTAACACCGCTGATACCGACAGACCGCCGCGACAGAAATGGTCGCATTCCGCTGCACTTCTCTGTAGATGTCACCAGCCAGACCGCCCCTCATGGAGAGCCCAGACAACAACGCGACGCCCTCGCCCTCGGCCGCAGAGTCGCGCCGCCGCTCCGGACGCGTCGTGAGGGCCCCGCGCAAGTTTACGGAGGAGGTCCAGAACGACTCGACGTCGCGGCGCAAGAGAGGCCGCGACGACAACGACGACGACGACGATGACGCGGAGAACCAGGAGCCCGACGACGCCTCTGCCGACGAGCAATTGAGCGACGAGGCATCCGACGAGGACGACCAGAGCGACACAAACGACCTAGCTCCCAAACAGCGCAAGTCCAAGCCCAGGCCCAAGAAGCCCGCCGCCAAGAGGCCGAAGGTCAATGGAAGCGCCCCAGCTACTGCTTCCGCATCACAAGCGCCTGCTGTGAGACTGCCGAACCGGCCCAAGAAGACGGTGCGCGTTGCGATCGCGCGGCGGGAGGGCGATGGCCTCTACGGTAAGAGACGACGGCCCCCGTGCAGATGTAGATGCCGATGCAGATGCACCTGCAGCCATGCAGCGATAGAAACCCGCCTGCTGACACTCCGATATAGCTGACATCTTTGGCTCGGGCGACTCGTCCGACGACGTTGCCGCACATTGGTTCCAGCGTTATCAGGAGAACGACGCCCTTGCTCTGACCGACTTGATCAACTGCGTGCTCCTCGCCACCGGTTGCGACCAGCATCTGACCGAGGACGACATCCGGGACCCGGAGAACTCGGCCAACAAGCTGTCGGAGCTAGAGGAGGCTTTCGAGCAGGTATGTCAACATTCCTCCGAGTCACGGTCCATGAACCTGGGCTGGGCTAACATGACGTTTTGTACAGACGAGCATCTCGGAGTACCCCCTCATATCAAGAGCAAAGAGCAGCAAGAACTTCCGTGAGCTGCTTATTGGATTTTTTGAGTCGCTCGTCAGTCTCTTGCACCAGACAGACACCCTGTACAAGGATGAAGAGCTCCTCGACAACATCCAGCGATGGGTGGGCATCATGTCTTCATCGGCCCTGCGCCCCTTCCGGCATACGGCCACCACCGTCGGCCTCTCGCTGCTTACCTCCATGATTGTCGTGACCAGGCAGCTGGACGACCGAATCACCAAGTCAAGCTCAGCCCTGCAAGCCGAGTCAGGCCGACGTGGCAAGAACAAAGGGCTCGTCGCGCAGACGCAGAAGGCCCTCGACACTGCCACCCAGAACCGCCAGGTGATTGATGACAAGGTCAAGGACTTCTTCAACATCATCTTCGTCCATCGTTACCGAGACATCGACGCCAAGATCCGTGCCGAGTGCATACAGGCCCTGGGCAACTGGATCTGTGCTCTCCCAACGGTCTACATGGCCCCAGAGTACCTTCGATATCTAGGATGGCTGCTTTCCGATGTCGCGCCTACCACGCGCTTGGAAGTGCTGAAGCAGCTGGCCAGGGTGCTGAAACGTGACGCCGAGAAGTTGGCTCATTTCATTGACAGGTTTAGACCTCGCCTGGTCGAGATGGCCACAAAAGACAACGATGCCTCCGTGCGCGTTGCTGCGATTGGCGTCGTCGACGTCCTGCGCGCTTCCGGCATGCTCGAACCGGAAGAAGTGGATTCCATCTGCAAGCTGCTGTTCGAGAACGAGGCCAGAGTGCGCAAGGCAGTCGTTCCCTTCTTCGTTGAGTTGATCCAGGAAGTCATTGTCAACAAGATCGACGACATTGGCGGCAACGATGCCATCGAGGAGGTTTTCGGCAACGAGGAGGAGGAAGACTACGACTCTCTGCGTAAGGACTGGATCAACATCAAAGCATTGGCCGAGAACTTGGCAGTCTACAACGCCCAATTGGACCAGGAGCAGGACGAAATCAGACATGGACTTGACGTGGCTGCCGACGTGGTGAACGCCAACCTCCCAGAGACGCGGATTGCTCTGGCCACATCCTCCCTCTACGAGAAGATGCCGGAGGTGAGCAATTGGCAGGTACTTGCCGGCTACCTCTTGTTTGACCACACCACAAGCTCCAAATCTAGATCCAAGTCCAAGACCAACTCGATAGAGGCAGCTACTCGCAAGGCCGTCGCCCCAACGTCAGAGGAGGAGGCGATCCTGCTCGAGGTTCTGGCTACTGCTGTGAAGGAAACCCTGACTCAGGGGGCTGGCGAGCATGACAGGTCAAAGAAGCGTATTGCAAGAGACGCCGATACGCAGGAGGAAGTCGGCACGCGGCTGGCCGATATTATTCCTAAGCTTCTGAACAAATATGGCTCGGATCCCCACGTTGCAAGCATCATACTACGGCTGGAGCATTTCCTGGATCTTGACCTCTTCCAACAACTACGCCAGAAATCAGCAACGTATGACAAACTTCTTGATGCCATTACGACGCAGTTCAACCGTCACGTTGACCAGGCAGTCCTCAATGAGGCCACAGCTGCTCTCCTGCACGCCCGGCAGTACGAAGAGCTCGAAGAGCTTGTGGACAGAAAACTGTCGGTCCTCTGGGATAACAGCGTCAACAACCTACGAGGTTTCGAGAAGACGTGCGAGCTCTCCGTCCGTGGAAACCTCGACCGAGCTGCGCTGGCCGAGCTTGCGAACGTCCTGAAGAAGATGAGCAAGCTGACGAGCATCTCGGACTGCGTCGACGTCCTCGAGGCACCCGGCACGGCCAAGGACTTCAACGACCCTCCCATCAAGATGCTAACGGGCATCGTGCACAGGGGTTTGCTCACCGAATCGGATGGCGACCTTGACGACCCAGAAGATGAGGTGGTGGCTTTCGCTATCAAGTGCTGTCTGCTGTACTTTATGTGGAAAGTTCGAAGACTGCAAGCCAGCATAGAAAACGAAGAAAACATTGCGAACGCCGAAGTCGACCAACTGGTCATGCTTCGTAAGGAGTTTGTGAAGAACCTGATCCACACCCTATCGTCACGTGGCTTCAATGACGATCTGCGGCTCTCGGCCACGGGCAGTGCGTGCGACGCCTGTGGTTTGTTTGTATTCCTGCGACCGCATGTCCACGGACCGCAAGCGGCCAAGTACGGAAAGCTGAGGCCCCTGCTCGAGGAACTGCCGCCCGCTCTCATCCCGGCCGAGATCATCCCCATCTTCGACGCAGCCGAAGGCGCATATGCAAAGCGGGCCAAGAAGACGCTCAACGATCCGGACGATGACGACGACCCAGTCGACGATGAGTTGCCTCCGGAGGACGACGAGGACGAGGAACTTACGGACCTGGAACGGCAAGCAGCAGAATTGAAGGCCGAGAAGATCTTGTGTGACCTGACTGGCAAGCTTGTTCTGGGTATCCTGGCCAAGGTGATTGATGCCTCGGGTCCTCACGCAGGCAAACTGCGTCGGCGTCTCAACCGCAACAAGGCGAAGCTGGGACCGAACTACAAGGAAGTCGTCGCCTTCCTCGACGACGATCATCTCAGGGAGCTGCGGGGAGAGGGCAAGAAGAAGGGCGCAGCCAAGAGAAAGGAAGCCGACAAGGCGCCAGCGAAGAGCGCAGAGATCGTGGTCGATGACGATGACGAGGAAGACCCTTTCGCCGAAGCAGAACCGGAGGAAGGCGACGAGCAGGATCTCCGTAACAGAGAGTTGCTCGATGACCCCATCATCGACGATGATGAAGAAGAAGAAGACGAGCCGCCGGCAGAGCCCATGGATGAGGACGATGTATTGGGCGACTGAAGTAACTCCGAGTGCCTTGCAGACGTGGCGGACTAGTTTCGGGGTTCAAGGGTTGCGGCGTTGGAAGAAAACTTGTTCTACGGTGTTTCTTCTCTTGTACGACGCTCGTGGTGTTGCCGTGTTGGCTCGGGCGATCTGGATTCATGCAAGGACTTGACCTGCGCAGAGCTCGGAGCCAGCACAAAGGTTCGATTTTTGTACGAGGATCTGGGCTCAGTGTTTTCTTTTTCCCCTTTTGACACTGGAGAGCGGCGGTGGCTTGTCTATATGGCGGGGATAATGATGGCAGGAAAGGCGTATAGATTATTGATAATGACATACCATTCCGTCCCTCTCGCAACTATCGTGCGTGACCTTGATGTCTGGTTCTTAAAGTAACCCAACCTAGGATTATGTGGTGCCGAAGGACGTGCTCGCTACGAGTGGGGGTTATTTTACCTAGGTACATCCACGGATAGAAGCAACAAATTGTCGCACACACATACACAATATGCACACAACATACCATGGTATGGACGCTATACCGACACATACACAAACGCGGCACCGCACAGTATAAGGATCAGCCTGCAAACCGGCAATACAGGGCTACGAGTATACTGTGCGGCACTAAGCGCTTAGGTAGGCAGCGGACGTCAGATAACATAACAGTTGCGTAACTACGCAGCGAGAGTGCTGTAGCTTCACAGACAAACCTAAGCCACCGCCACGCGTCGCATGAGTTATTGCCGCTTAAGCGTGCGTGATTCAGTCCCCCCCCTCGATTAGCAGCAAGACCAAGACCTAGCGCCGGGAAGGCCTAGCCATCGCTACCTAGGAAATACGGAACTTGGCCTTGGCCTTGGCTTTGCCTGCAGAGCCCCTGTCAATCAGCAACGGCTTGGGATCCCACCCACCACCCCGTCGAAACGAGTACCCAGATTACTTCCCTATTCCCCTTAGCTGCCCCCCAATCAGTCCCAACCTGGCTTGACACCATCTGACGGCCGAGAGGCCCCCTTGGGGCCCCCCTGCCCACCATCAAACCATGGTAATCGTGCTGTTCTAGCGCTCGTTCTAAGCTGGCCCTTAGTGCAGTCGACCCCGAAAAAAAAATACACGTCAGGGGATGTCATTGCAATACAGAACGTAACCAGACGGTAGGACGCGTACTTGGACCATCGACCAGGGGCATATTTTCTGCGGCCCCAAGGGCCCCCCCATGGGTCACTGTGCCGTACGCTATGCCTTGCCTGAAGACCCAGTTAGGTTGCCAATCGAGGCAGACCATCATTTTTTCCCTCCTGCGCCTTGCTGGGCTGCTTGGCTACGGTAGACGTGAACATTGACCCATGGCTGCCTGGTCATGTGAATTGTGCATGGGCGCCTTCTCCTCTGCATCTGTATCTGTATCCGTATCTCGTTCCTCACCACCACCCACCCACGCGGTGCCGTGAGCGATTGCCTTGGCATCCAGACGCTGTGCAGCTCCTCAGCTCCTCAGCTCCTCCTTCTCCTCCTCCTCTCCTCCCAACCCCGGTCTCATCAGTCTTCCAGCATTGACTACGCCTTGACACTACTCCCGAACGACCGGGTCGTCTCCTTCTTCCCTCCCCTTCCCCCAGCGAATCGGTGCAGAAAGGAAGAGCCCGTGGATGGCCTCGCATCATCAACAACCTGCCTGAGTGACCTCGTCGAGCGCCAACAACCCCCCCAACACATGGACATGCAACATGCTTGCGGTGCCATCCCGTTGCGGGTTTCCTCTGCTGCCCTTCAGTAGGAGGAACTTTGTCATCGCCTTAGTGCTGCTCCCTTCGGTGCTCATGTGGCTCTACCACCTCGTCCCTGCCTTCAACCGTCACATCCTCCAGCCTCTCGCCGGCGCCGAAGCAGCTGGCACCTACAGCACCGAAGACGACCAGAACCCCCCCGCGAAGCCGCCAGTCGACTTTGCCGCCTACCCATACAGCCCCGAGAGCAACCTGAGCGTCGAGCTCGTCGTGGCCAGCATAGCCAAGGACGACATATCGTGGACGTCGCGCCTGCAGATCCCGAACCTAGACATCGTCCGCTACGTCTCCAATGACGCCAGGGCGCAATACCACCCGCCCGTGCCCAAGGGCCGCGAGGCGCTCATGTACTTTACCTATCTCTACGACCACTACGACGACCTGCCCGACGTCGCCATCCTGATCCACGCCGACGAGAACCCGTGGCACACGGACTACGAGCTGTGGGACTCGATGCTCTTCACCCTCTCGAACCTGAACCTGCAGGCCGTCGCGCAGCGCGGCTACGCGAACCTGCGCGTCAACTGGCACGACGCGTGCCCGGACTGGATCAACACGACCAAGACGATCGAGGAGTCGGCCAAGCAGGAGGAGCCTTGGATGCGCGAGGCCTTCCAGGCCAACTTCGGCACCGACGTCGAGGTGCCCGAGATCCTGGCCAGCCCCTGCTGCTCGCAGTTCGCCGTGACGCGCGAGACGGTGCACCGGCGGCCGCGCGAGATGTACGCGCACGCCATGGAGTGGCTGGTCGAGACGCCGTGGAGCGACTACATCGTCGGCCGCACCTGGGAGCACATGTGGAGCTGGCTGTTCAAGTTCGAGCCCACCGACTGCCCCGTCGAGTGGAAGACGTACTGCCGCATGTACGGCGTCTGCTTCGAGAGCCAGCCCGACCTCGAGGCCTTCCGCGCCCTCTGGCTCGAGCGCCGCGCCCTGCGCGCCACCACGGGCTTCTGGCACATGCTCTGGGACCCCCAGCGCAACGCGCGCCAGAAGGCCCGCATCGACGTCCTCGACGGCCTCGTGGACGACGGCCTGAGGGCCGCCATGGCCCGCGGCAGCGACATGGCCCTGAGAGAGCGGTTGGGCGATTTGTATTCCACTGATACCCCTGGAGCATGAGCAAGAGCATGAGCATGAGCAAGCGAGCGAGCGTGCGTATAGCAAAGGGAAAAGGGCTAGAGGACAATATCCATTCGACAGAAGGGAAGGAAGCAATGTCACACAATAACAGAGTGCAAAGAAGAGCACCCTGGGGGCGAAGAAACTGCTGCGAGATTCGAATGTTTAGCGGGAGCATTCTCTGACATTATACCACCATTCGTATACTAGGCCCGTACAAAGATTGTAATAAGTGTTGATGGGAAAGGGCCGACAGAGGTCTCTTTTAATCGGGTTTTAAAACGAACGAAGCTTCATCCTACTCCTGACCCCCCTCTTCCTCGTCCTCGGCTTATCTTGTAGATTTTAAACTTGACATTTACATCGGCTATCCGACCGCGTCTCTGCGTGACGTCGAGGGTTGCCGGCGGCGCGAAACTTTATATACCTACCCTTCGGGTGCCTATCCCGCACTCGCTGGTGCCAGTGTTTACGAGCGTTTCTCAATTTGGTTTTGGGGCTTTCTTCTTTTGTAGCTTCGGGCTTGGGGGATATCGGTCTGAGCTGAACATAGATGGGAATATAATGAAGTTTACATTTCACAAGATTTGTGACTTGGCGCACCTTGGGTATACTGGAGTGCACCATGCAATACGTCTGGGGTACTGGTCGATATGCCGAACGTTTGAAATTTGCGACAAAATATCCATTTTGAAACGCCTTCATTAAAAAACTGGGGGTATCTGTCAAATCGAGTCCAGGTACGTTATGATCCAACGCCGCAGAGAACACAAATCACAATGGTCGCACTCCTCGCAACGGGTGCGGCCCGGGTATAGATCAGGAGATCTTGGTCCCGAAGAGCCCAAACATCCTCTGGTACCGCTTTCCCTCACCCGCGTTGCACTTGGCCGGGTCGCGCTCCGGCATGGCAACGCCGTATTGCCTGAGACAGCACGTAAACGGCTTGTTCGACACCTTGCTGGGTGGCGCCGCCCCTTTGTCCCGGTCGTTGCCGCCGTCTTCGCTGTCCGAGCTGTCCGGCGGGGCCTGGTTGGCTGCGAGTCGCCGCCGTGATTGGATCTGTGTCTGGAGTTCGTGTTGCTTGTGTTCCTCCAGGTTGCCCCAGAGCTTGAAGAGTTGCTCTCGGAGGGCGGACAGATCGTCTGGGTTGCCTCGTAGACTACAACGGGATGTGGTGTCAGCAGTTTACACCTTTTCTTGTGCGCTCCTGGTGTTTACCCCACGGGCGCGGGGTTATAGACCCAGACTTACTCGCACGCATCGCGGTCTGTCAGCAATTGACCCTCACCGTTGTTCACCAATGCCCATACTCGTTCCGGAGGGCCGTTCTTCCCTGCCTTGGCACCGGCCTCCTCAAGCTGTAGAGCAAAGCACCATTCCCAGGTCTTCTCCCCTGCAAAGGCGTCCAGGGTTCCCGGATCGTCGTCCGACTCGGAGTCTGAGCCTCCACTATAGTCCGACAGCACGTCGTACTCGTTGACCTTTCTCCAAACTGCGAAATCCTCGAGCTTCCTGGGGCGGAAGTCGACAACCCTTACGTTGGCGCGGTATTTGGCGTTGGTAAACGGCAAGGTGAGCATAACCTCCTGCCCATCTATGGTGGTGTTGTATGGGGGCGGCTCAAGTATCTCGCCCAGAGGGTAAATCGGCTCGTCGAGGCTCTCGCACTTGATGAGTTGGTTCAGGCCTAGCAGCTCCTCTCGCTTGGCTTCCTGCTCGACCCATTGCTTGTTCTTTGCCGCCCGCTGAGCCTTGCGGCGGTCTTTGGCATTCTGCTTGGTGTCATCCACAAAGTCCTCTGCTTTCCTCTTCACGCCCTCCTTGGCGGCGTAGTCCTTCTTCTGCTGCCTGGCAATCTTCTCGTAGTCGCGTTTCCGGCGGATCGCCTCCTTGAGACGTTCGTCGATATGGGAGTCACCAGAAGTTTCAAGCAGTTCTACCGCCAGCCTTGACCCGAACGCACCCCTGTCTTCCCTCAGGAAGCCTTCTAGGTTGTTCCCGTTGCTGCCATATTTGATCTGGACGTTACGGAGCTTGACCCAATCGCCAGGCTTGACCTCGGCCCGGAAATAGCTGGCATGGGGCTCGTAAGTTGTGATCTGCATGGAGCGCTTGCCGAAGGGCCCAGGCCAGGTACGGGATGCGGCATTGCTGTTGGCGGTGGTGTAGCCGTAAGGATCACCGTCTCGGCCGTTGGGCATATCGGAACCATCCCAGGCAAACTTGAAGAAATTGTCGTTCTCGGTGTAATCGGTCACCCACAGGCTGACCTTGTCCATCTGGTCAAAGGGGTCTTTGACCACCTGCACAATCAGATCGCAGAACTGACCCTCGCGCACATCCTTCAGGACGTTGAACTTGTCCTTGATGTTCATCGAGCGCTCTACGTTGCTTTGAAAATCAGTGGCAGTGGGTAGCATGTACTTGTCAACAGAGTGGTAGAGCCACGAGATGTACTCGAATTCCTTGTCCAGTGGTATACGGACGGGCTTTCGATGTGATGGCTTCATAGCATCGGCTGCGGATCTCGGTGGGCGAGGGATCTCAGCGGCAGTGAAGGCGTGGATCTCGGTACTCCGGTTGGTGATGAGGGTCAACTCGGACTGATACCTGTACACCTTGGCGGACCACACATGTATCACATCGCCGACGCTTGGCTGAGGCATGTCGTTCTGTGGGCGGAAGATGCTCAGGGTGATTCCAGAAGCGTCATCTTCGGTGGATTTGTCGAACAATGTCAGGGCACACTTCCAGTCTTTGAGTCAGAGTCAGCGACGGGCTCACGGCAGCTGCGTCAGGGCGGGATATCTTGGTTACCCGTTCCCTTGGTAGGCATTGGAGCTCGCATGTCCTTGACCAGGCCGATGACGCTGGTGAATCGCCCAACAGAGATTTGACCATCGAGGATATCGCGAATGCTCACAACGCCAGCCGGGAGATCCTTTTCTCTGAGCTGGGTCCTGGCGTGGCCCGCAGAGCCCGAGGGCTTATATTGAGGCATGGTGAGGATTTGGAGGTGTCACATTTGAAAGTCGGAAGGGGTTCGATGTCCACCGGAGGCCCGCACTAGAGGGAAACAGCGGCGGGACCTGAGGCCGTCGCGAACTGGATGGTCCCGTGGTGCGAGTACGATGTCGTAGACGCGTTTCAATTAAGCACAGGCGTGTAAGCCAGCCCCGGCCCGAGTCGCGAGCGTGCCGCCAAATCACGTTGCAGCAATTGGATCACTCACTCAGGTACTTGTAAGCACTGGAGGCCGTAGAGGGGGGGCCTGAGGGGTAACTAGAGCCTTCCAAGGTCCGTGCATGTTCATACCACACCCTTCATCGTGGATAGTACCCAGGCTATTCCGGAGGTGGTGGGCGGGGTGGGGTGTTGCTATGCAGCAGCAGCCAACGGGTCCCACCGACATTGGATGTCTCTCACTAACTTCCAGGTTGGATGGCCTGCCGCCGCTCAGCCAGAATCGGGGGGAAGCCGACGGCGAGTGCGCATAGGGAGTAGCATTTAGGACATCCCCGGGGTGTCTTTGATGCGGGTTGTAGACCCTTCAGGCTTCCCTAAGACATGTGAGGTGTTGTCGCAGAGGGCGGACCGCTCGTCCACGGAGGCAATTGGATGGAAGGGATGGATGCAGGTCCAACTGGCATGTGATGTGGACGAGTTTCAGCTGGTGCCTCAGGCGGCAGACCACGAATCGGTCCCGTCGCCCAGCTGTCTGGCACTGGCCCCAGACTTGGAAGAAGCTCCAGGGGCCCTCTAGTTCTAGACGCTCCCTGGGAGTGGGCGCGCGGGAGAGCTGCTACGAACCGAACTGGCGGCGGGCGAAGCCAGTGGAACGAACAGCCTGGAGCGAGGTTGCGAGGAGGGCCCACGGGTGCTGTGACCTGTACCAGTAGCCGGTACTGTAGTGAGGTGGTGTACCTAGGCTGCTAGGTAGGGGCGACAGCAGATGCTGGGCCCGTGGACAGTTCGGGTTCCAGGTTCCAACTGTTACTGGCCACCTACTGGCCACCTGCCATTGTGCCTGTGCCGGGTTCTTCAGCACCTTGCATCATAAGTCGCTTCCCCTCATGTTTTTTGACTTTGGGGCTCAGTCCTTGACCTCTGAAATTTCCCCCCCCTTCCTCCATCCCGCATTCGCAGTCACAAGAGTCGTCCAACTACGACTTGTTTGCCCAGTAATTGCGACCTGGTCAGCGTCGAACCGGACGAGTCCTTCCTATTCACAAGCCGGCCTGGCTGTCTCCACTTGTGAGAATTCTTCATCTATCCATCCTCCCTCTAGGCCCCTTCCGTCGTCAATCAAAACAAATCACCCCGCCTTTTAAGGGACCCAACGCCCCTCGGAGCCGCCAGAGCAGCAGGAGCCCCGAGCCAGCCAAAACAAATTCCCATCCCATCGCTGGTCCTGGCCCATCCATCCATCCCTCCGTCCCTCCATCCATCCCCCTTGCAACAACCACCCTTCCTCCCACCAGATCACCCCGTGGTACCAGCATCGCAACCACAACCGCAACCATGGCTGATCGGTACATCCCCGAGCATCGCCGGACCCAGTTCAAGGCCAAGAACACCTTCAAGCCCGACGAGCTGCGCCGCCGCCGCGAGGAGCAGCAGGTCGAGATCCGCAAGGCAAAGCGCGAGGAGAACTTGGCCAAGCGACGAGGTATCGGCACCGGTGACCAGCGACCCGGCGCCTCCCTGGGCGCTGCCCCCGACAGCGACGATGACACTGCTCCGACAGAGAGCCAGGTACGTTTTCCCTTTTTTGTCTCAACCTCGTGTCGCTTTTTTCTTCTTCCGTCGGCGCATGCGCCGCCCACAACCTCCATCTTTGCGGTTCAGCAGGGTGGCGGCTTTCGGCGCTACAGACTGGATTTTGCATGCATCTGCAAGCCCCGGGGTTTCTCGCGCTTGTCTACGGCGACTGCGACTCCTGACTGCAACGCGGGGGGTCGCATTCCCTCGCCCTGGATGACCTCTCCGGCTTGCGATGGGCATGCTGTCTCTTGGTAGCCGTAGCCGCCTCTCGCCGCAGCGGCGCTGTTGTGCCCCTCGGAGACCAAGAGCTCAAAATCGAGCGGACAATCTCTATACCACCAAGCCGGACCAGGCGCTGACTCAACGTGTCATGTAGCTCAATGAGGACCTGCCCCAGATGGTCCAGGGCGTCTTCTCGGAACAGATCGACCTCCAGATCCAAGCCACCACCAAGTTCAGAAAGCTCCTGTCCAAGGAGCGCAACCCTCCCATCGAGGAGGTCATCAAGACTGGCGTAGTTTCCCGATTCGTCGAGTTCCTGCGGTCCCCGCACACCCTAGTGCAGTTCGAGGCTGCGTGGGCCCTGACCAACATCGCCTCCGGCTCGGCCACCCAGACACAGGTCGTCATCGAGGCCGGTGCCGTGCCCATCTTCGTTGAGCTCCTCGGCAGCCCCGAGCCCGATGTCAGGGAGCAGGCCGTGTGGGCCCTCGGCAACATCGCCGGAGACAGCCCCTCGTGTCGCGACTACGTCCTGAGCTGCGGTGCCCTCAAGCCGCTCCTGAACCTCCTGGGCGACAGCCGCAAGCTGAGCATGCTCCGAAATGCTACGTGGACTCTGAGCAACTTCTGCCGAGGCAAGACTCCTCAGCCCGACTGGAACACGGTTAGTACTCACTCCCCATGCCGCATGTCCCATGTCCCACGTCCCACGCCCCACGTCGCGCTCCCCGTCCGCACTTGCTAACCGCCGCCAACTTATAGATAGCACCTGCCCTCCCGGTCCTCGCCAAGCTGGTCTACTCTCTGGACGACGAGGTCCTCATCGACGCCTGCTGGGCCATCTCGTACCTGAGCGACGGCTCCAACGACAAGATCCAGGCCGTCATCGAGGCTGGCATCCCCCGCCGCCTGGTGGAGCTGCTGATGCACGCTTCCACCTCGGTCCAGACCCCTGCTCTGCGCTCTGTCGGCAACATCGTTACCGGAGACGACGTTCAGACCCAGGTCATCATCAACTGCGGTGCTCTGCCCTGCCTCCTGTCGCTACTGAGCTCCAACAAGGACGGCATCCGCAAGGAAGCGTGCTGGACCATCTCGAACATCACTGCGGGTAACAGCCAGCAGATCCAGTCCGTGATCGACGCCAACATCATCCCGCCCCTTATCCATTTGCTCTCTAATGGCGATCTTAAGACGAGAAAAGAGGCTTGCTGGGCCATTAGCAATGCCACAAGCGGCGGCTTACAGAAGCCGGAGCAAATTCGCTACCTTGTCTCGCAGAACTGCATCCGGCCCCTGTGCGATCTCCTTGCCTGCCCCGACAACAAGATCATCCAGGTGGCCCTCGACGGCCTCGAGAACATCCTCAAGGTGGGCGACCTGGACAAGCAGGCTGCTGGCGACGCCGGCGACTCGATCAACCGCTACGCCCTCTTCATCGAGGAGTGCGGCGGCATGGAGAAGATCCACGACTGCCAGACCAACGCCAACGAGGAGATCTACATGAAGTCCTACAACATCATTGAGAAGTACTTCTCGGACGAGGACGAGAACGCCGACGAGGGCATGGCTCCTCAGGCCCAGGGCGCCAACGGCACCTTCGGCTTCGGCACCAATGGTGCCCAGGGTGGCTTCAACTTCGCCAACGGAGGTGACTCGATGGACATGTAGGATAATGGTCCTTGCATGCCTTCGTTGAATCGGGCTTCAGAATGCGGGATACACGCGTCGTTTGCACAGATCCTTCAGCTACACCCCCTCGAGAGCGCGTACCTCTCAATGCACTGATGCAGCTCAGTCCACGGCAGTGAAAAGGGGGGGCTCTCTCTGCACCTACCCACCTGCGACGAGATTCCATCAATTGTTACACGACACTTCATATTCCCCCCAGCGACACACAGCACAAGTACTTTTTTGCACCAATCCCCTCCACCTCCCCTATACCACACGACATTGCAGCGACCCCATGAAGAGAAGACAGGCATGATTGGCGACAGGAAACAGGTCCTTTGGTAGCTTGAAAGCTCCAGCCTGATACTGGGAAGGATGCCACGACTTGAGGAGAGCATGAATAATTTTTGCACAAGGAAAAAAAGGGTCATCAATGGTTGCTTCAAAGCTCCAACCCTTTGGGTCTGCGTGTCACGAGATATGTTGTTCGTCTCGATGGATATTGGGTGGCCCGCCACGGGTCGGGGGAACGACTCGGGTATCGGCCGTCCATGTCGAGGACACTGGACTCCTGGTGGTCGAAATGATGTTCTGCCCAGTGGTAGAACAGCCATGAAAGGCCCCTGCTGAAGAAGGCGGTGAATGAGTTTCAACCAAGTGGTTGGCCTTAGAAAGCATTACCTAGCTTCAGATACATTGGTGGGCGTTTTACAGAATGTGAACGACTTGCCTTCCCCAGCTTCTTGTACCACAAGTGATATATGTCGTAAAATCGGTGCCAATTAGAGAGCACACTCGGTCTATACGCGTACACACAGTTTCAGCAATGATCAAAGAAAGCATTGGAGAAAAACCCGGGTTTGGATTTTTTTTTTTCTTGTATTCAAGCTGTTGTGGGCAATGCCAATGGGTTGATTCGGCACCCCCACGACGCATCTTCGCTACAGCTGATTCAGATTAGCACTCAAGGCAAATCTACATATGCATTGCAAACCGAGGTAAACATGAACGGTATTCCCATCACAGCGGAAGTGAAATGTTTCCCAACGACTGCTTGTAGAAATCTCGGCGTACGCTAGGAGGGGACGTTTCCGACGAAGTGACAATAGAAGGAAGAATGCTCGGCTGAGCCACTTCTTGCGGGTTTGTATCTATATCAGAGTCGGGGTCGTCTTCGTGGCAAGGTGAAGACTGCGCAGGACCTGTTGAACAATATGATTCTTGAGACCGAGTCGACATTCCAGCAGAAGACGTATCTTTCGCCGTAACATTGATCAGATCCCAGTCAGGCTTGATGTGGCCGGCTTGATTCCACATCTCAATAAGAACGGCGTCGCTGCCGAAGATGAGAGCACCCCCGTGGTTGAGCTCTTTGGCAGCCATGGGACTTCCTATCAAATGGCTCTTGGCTCGCCATTTCCAAAATTTCACGAAGCGGCTTCCGACTACCATTTGGATTCTCCGGCACGGACACTGGTAGTTCTGTTTTCGCCGTCTGTGAGCACGAGGACAAGGCCCAAAAACATCTTTGGGCCCGAATAGTGTACATCCAGAGTCGGTCAGCCTGTCTTGGTCTTGCAAACCCCCCTGTCTGCGGAAGAGATCAGACAGTGCTTCTGAGCGTACTGCGATGTACGAGTTGCCGGGCGGCAAGCGCTGGTATGTGCGGCACATTTCCTTAGGAACTTCGGGAGATATCAGGTCTCCGGCATTCTCGACGAACAGCGGCACCGCGCGTATCCCTTTGGCATACTTGTGCCAATCTCCACAGGTTTTCCGAAGTTTGACGCGTCTTTGAAAACATTTTGAGGCGAAAGTCAGTACATCCATATATTCCCAACCAGATGCTTCTGGAGAATGTGGCAGATTCAACTCCAACGAACTTCCGTCCTTAAAGTATAAGCTCTCTTGAAGCGCGTCAAGCAAGTGATACAGCTTTATGGCATCCTGCTTGAACAAAACGTTCTCCTTTCCGGGGCGGTCGGTTTTAAACGGACGCCTGATGACCTTATCAGCGTTTGCTAGCATCGCCTGTCGCACAGTCCTTGTACGGCGCGAGCGATCGGGGTATTGAAGCTGGTGGCTTGACGTTTGCAGAGGTTCCCCCTTGCTCTGTTGTCGTGCCAGCACATCCAATATTATCTCCTCGGCATCGGTCTGATACCCTCTTCGATCTTGTACTCCATAAATAATAATAGGCAGCCCGTGTGCATCGTCCAATATGTCGTCGTAAGTGTCAGCTCTCTGATTATGAACTATACCATCGCGCCGGCTCAACTCAGCCTCAACAGTTGCAATGCCGAAACGACTGACTCCAGCAGTGATTTTCTTCAGCTGAACAGCCGGAAGTTTTGAAGGCTTTGCGGCGTTGGAATAGCTGAAATAATTAGTAGGCAGTCCTTCCGCAGCTAAACACGCAATCAGTTACAAGGCATATATCAGCAGCGCTTTCAGGACTGACCCAACAGACAGACGACAGAGGCACACCAGCCGAAGAAGCCCCGAGAGTTCCATAACTCTTCCTCCTCATTTTCGTGCATCACTCGAACGGGACACTGATCTTCTATATCCTGCCAACGAAGTCGTTTGGGATACGTGTCGATCACATGCCACTGCACCGAGTCCTCCAGTCTCTTGACCGGCACGCAAGCGTGAAAGCGGCCCTTGAGAACAAAGCCGCCTCCAAGAGTGACTGCGTATTGGATACCAAGAAGCTGTGCCATAATGGTTGGATCAATCTCCAGTCCCCGCTGCGAAGGTTGTCGCTTTTGCGTGGGATAGCCAGTTATCACTACCGCCGGCCCAACTACACCATTCCAACAACTTTTGGTCTCATCCGCTGGTGGATCTTCCAGTTTGGTAGTGACAGCGAAATCCAAAATATCGTCGTTCGCAACTCCCGAAACTTCTGCGACTGCAGTGTACGCATATTGGATTATATTTCCCTTCTCACACCATACGGCATTTAGCCAAGCTACCTGCTGTGCAACGGTTATTATAATCTCCGTGTGGCCAAAGACATGGACAGTGTTATGACGGAGGTCGGCTGCGATTTGGAACGGCAAAGAAATGTCGGAGCTTTCAGCAAACACTGCGGCGCCAATGTCAGCAGCAAATACTCTAACAAGGCGGTGTTTACTGGTCTTACGAGGCGCTCTGTCGCCGGTCTCCAACGACATTTGTACTGCACGGAGCAGTTCTTGTGGACTATCTGGCCAGGTTTGTTCAAAATATTGGCCTACTGTGCAGAACTGTGCCTCTGACAATGACCCTACCACAGCAGTCATACGATCCAGGATTTGCGATGTGCCGGCATCATAGTTCCGTTCGAGATAATGTTTCAAGTTCCATTCAACATGGAAAGTAGCAGAATAACAGTCCGCAACCTCTTCAGGGAGACTTCCATGGCGCTGTCGGCGGCGCTGAACAGCTACAGCGACACGCCGACGAATGGAAGACATCTTATCAGAGTCGTATCTTTCTATGAGATGCCCGATCTCTGATGTCAGTGCCTCAAACGCGGGCTCGACCGAGAAACGATCCAAAATCCGGCGTGGGTTGATGCCCCGGATGTTTCTGTCATCAATATCTACCTCGGCTTCCCCGCTAGCCTCTGACGATGTTAATAACGAGATCTCCGTGTCGCTATAAGCAGGAGAGGCGGTTTCAACGGTAACATTACTCGGTACTTCGTCATGGGGGACCTCGTCCTCCTCCACCTCTGCCGTAAAGAAGGGGGCGATTGTTGAGAGGTATCTTTCTACAATGTCATCTTTGCTTGGGTCTGGCAGTGATTTAAATGTGGTAATGGTAGGCCGGGCCTGCGTGGTTGCCTTCGAATGATCTTGGTTCAGAACCAAGTCTTGACATCGGCTAGCAATCGCCCACCTAAGGTTTCGGATAATTCTCAAGCTTTGGATTTCCTCCCAGTCATCTGAGCTCTCTCTTAGGTGCTTTGAGAAGGCATAGAGCCTCGCTGCTATCTCATCCCGTAGAGTGGGGTGTGAGTCCGCTGAACCAATCGTCCCAAATCTTTGTGGTATTTTGTCGGATATAGCTTGACACATGAGGCGAACAATATTTACTCTCTCTTCGGGTGAGACTAATTGCGAGATGTCAGACTCAGTCTGCTCTACGTCCTTGGCTGGCATTGGATCTGCAGTGCCCAAAGCATCGGTCTGGCTTCCTGTGGCCGCAGGAACAACTAAGGGGCGCTTGCTGGAGGCCGGCTTCTCATACGAGCTGGCGGTAGTGGATACCAACGGTCTTGCTGTTTCTGTGGTATTGGTGATTGTTTGTGTATCTCGACTTGAATCCGTATAAGTAACTATGGTTGCTGGTGCATTAGGCCAGATTTTCAGCGTCTCATCGGAAGTTGAGACAAGTATGACGGGGGGAAGCGCAGGTCCCGTGTTGAACTTTTCCTTTGATACCTCTTCTCCCGCCATCTTCAACGAGTGAAATTCAGCATCAGGAGATTGCAAAACGGATGGTTTACCTGTTGTAGTCAAGCTGTCGTCCTCTGTCATAGTCTCGGGTACTGGGTCAGAGGGCCCGACACGATCTGCAGGTACACTCAATTTCTCTGGTTGTTGATTTTCGTTCTTGTTTTGTGCTTCCGGTGCTCCCCTTGATTCTGCGTGGCTGGCATAACTCGAACTACCCTGCTTCGTTGGAGGGCTGGTATTGGTAGGCTGTCCTGCATCAGGGAGTTTCGGTCGGCTGAGTGATTCAGTGGGCTGTAATTCGGGACTGGTTTGTGTCATCGATGTCGGGATGAAGCCTTTTCCAGGCTCGAAACTCTTGGCAAATGCATTTAGAGGTTTATTGGAATGATGTGGGCGTTGTTGATGAAGTCCTACTCCTTGGTAGCTCTGTGAACTAGCTTGGGTCATTTTGGGTGCCCCAGTTTCTTCATGTTGTGCTGCAGCCTCTGCCCAGGCTTGGGTTTGTAGATGCATGAGATATCGGAGATTGTTCTCGTGTTCTTGTAGTGCGGAGAGCATTGCATCTAAAGGCGTGTTGTCCATGTATCCATGTATTCCATGTTGAGGTACCTCTTCAGAAGTTTTCTTTTCTGCGTCCCTAGATCTCTGTGCCTTGACAGCAGGGTTTATAGATCTAAGGTGAGATTGTACAACCTCATCGGTGGACTCCACAAGCTTGGCCTGTTGTTGGGTTTGGTTCGCCCTCTGGATCATGAGTTGCTTAAGGCCCACTTCGCAAGCCTGAGCAACAGGTAGTCCTTTACGAGCCTTCCTTCGTCTACGCTTCCTTGATGGCCATGGAAGGTCCGGTCGGGAATACCAAGGACACGCGCCCGCAGGGTTTCCGCTCTTCAAGTTGTTTTGCGCCATTTGCAGCCTTGCTTGACCTGGACCTTGAGTTCGGATTATTGTTCCGTGATTGTTGAGAACCAGCGACATATAGCACAGATCATGGAATTAGCGGGGTAGTCGACACCATTTCAAAGGAAGAAACAAAAGGTAAGAAAGAGGGCGGGGTGGAAGGAGGCTCAGTTGCAATCCTTAACATTTGTGGCAGAGAACTTCTTCCCAAATGAGACATTCAGTTCAGCCGCATACCTAGATATGGCAATAGAGAAGGTGTCAGACGATGTAGTAATGTGCGGCATACTGCAAATTTGGAGCGTTTAGTCTTTTTCACAGTTTGTTGTTACTTGACAGGTATATTATTTATATTGATAACGTATTCTATACGTTTTCACGTATAGAAATTGCGGCCGAGTCTTTTATTACTGAATACCTAAGTAGCTTGGATGAAAGCTAGCACGAAAGCGCAAGCGCTGCTAATACATGGCCTCAGCGTTAAGCGACCCCCTGAAGCGCAACAGGAGGAGGCAGTAAATTGTCCCCCCTACCTGTCGCAGGTCCTTCCTAGTCTGGGTAACCCAGGTCATGAGTGCTCCCAAACCTGCTTTTGCTCTCTGAGTATTGTGTGAATATATCCATTTACGACTTTCCATGCTCCCTTCGATTGACTTAAAACGTGACTGGAAATCATGTGATCACTGTGGCGGCGCGTGGAGAGACAGAGGCATACTTTCTTGATCGGACATGAACCCAGCATCCCTTCCCTGTCGACTGTGGCGCAACCTCCGGTTTCGACGTTATGGGCCATCTCCGTGGACTCTTACTCTTACTCCCTCTTCTGGTGCAGGCGCTGGCAGATGCCAGTGGCGGTATTGATTACCACAAACTCCCCTTTGAGACTGTCTTCCCTGGTCCTTGGGAAGAGTATATCAAAGCCCCGGCCAACAAGTCATTCATCACCCCGAAACGGATCTATAGAGTGGATGGCAATGTCACCACGACCACAGGGCATGCGCTCGCAGCTGATGATGGGAGCGTATTGAGTGAAGGGGAAATTCTCATCGGCGAGAGTGGCCTTCTTACGGTAGAGTTCGCCGAGAATATCGCGGGGCGGTAAGCTATTGCAGTCACAAACCCCATTGGAGCCGATCACTGATGCTGCACCCAGGGTTTGCTTCGATCTCGAATCGTCTGCTGATGAGCCTGTCGTTCTGCTCTCGTTCTCCGAGTCTCCTTTCTTCGTAGGAGAACATACCGATGCCACCAATGACGAGGAATGGGACTTGCCATTGGATCTGCACATTGGAAACCGCACTGGTACCGTCTGCGTGGATCCCGAATTCAACCGTGGGGGCTTCAAGTACTTGACAGCCTACATCGATGTAATCCCAGTCTTCGATGACAGGATTAGCGCTTCCTCTTTTGATGGCGATTCGCTGACAGAAAAATCTGGCCAGATTGTATTTGATGCACATCAGGAAGTCGAGCCGTCGACCTTCGATGAGAGGAGGCCATATTCCAAGCCTTCCATAGGGGTCAGACAGCTCTGGGTCAACTGCACGTCATTCCCGTCACAGTCAAATGGACGCGCCTATTCTGGCTATTTCTACAGCTCATCCTCTCTGTTGAACAGGATCTGGTATGCCGGCGCATATACTCTCCAGCTGTCGACCATCAATCCGAAAGAAGGCTCGGCATTGATCCCAGTAAACCGTTACTTAGACCACAACAACTCCCCTCCAGGATCATGGTACTCCAACTTCACCGTCTCTCAAGGAACAACGGTGACCACGGATGGCGCGAAACGAGATCGACTAGTGTGGCCTGGCGATATGTACATTGCCATCCCCGGAATTGCTGTTTCGACGTACGATATGCTTGCCGTACGCAATGCGCTGGATGTGCTCTATTCGCGTCAATACTCGGATGGCCGCCTACCGTATGCTGGACCGCCCTTGAGTTATCACGATGAGTTCAGCGATACGTACCACCTCCACACACTGCTGGGAACCTATGACTACGTCCTGTACTCGGGCGATATCGATTGGATGCGGCAGAAGTGGCCAGCATACCTGAGGGCATTACGTATCAGCACGTCAAAAATTGACTCCAAGAACTTGATGCACGTCACATCAACCTTCGATTGGAACCGACACGGAATGGGCGGCCACAACATCGAGGCAACGGCGATTCTTCACGAGGTCCTTGGGAGATCAATCAAAATGGCATCGTTTCTGGAACATGGCGTTTCTGGTGCATCGGGGTCGGTTGAACAACCAAACATATCCACGTGGTCCTCCTTGCGCCAGCGTCTTCAATCCGGTATCGAAGCACTGTATTGTCAGGATACCCGCCTGTATTCCGACAATTTGGGCGACCGCCACTGCTCTGGCAGGGACCATGTAGACCCACAAGACGGTAACTCCTGGGCTCTCATCGCTGGAATGCATGGTACTGCGTCTGAGACCCCCCGAACGATGTCCGAGGCGCTCCGCTCAAGATGGACCAAATTTGGTGCCCCTGCACCAGAATTTCCCAACGTCATGTCCCCATTTTCATCATCATTTGAACTTCAAGGGCATTGCGCAGCTGGCAATCATGATGCTGCCGTAGAGCTGATGCTGCTGATGTGGGGGTACCTGTTGGACGGACCAGGTTTTACCAACAGTACACTCGCTGAGGGATTTCGGACTGATGGCTATGTTCATTATCCCGCATACCCGGTTGCAAGCCGGAATAGCCATGCCCATGGCTGGGCGGCGGGTCCCACCAGTACCCTCATGAATAGCATACTCGGCATTGAACTGCTGGCCCCTGGCGGCGTGGAATGGTTGGTGAGACCCGTTCTTACCAGTTGGCTCGGGTGGGCCCGAGGAGGCTTCGCGTTTGCGAATGGTGAGATCGAGGTCAAGATATTAAGGGTCCTTTTAAAGAATGGTGACGGTGAACCTGTGAACAAAGGCACTCTTACCGTGCTCAAGGCTCCGGCCGGGACAAATGGAAGCTTCGGCTGGGGTGACGAGGACGAGACTACCGGGTTTCAAGCTACAATATCGGGTGGCGAGACACGGTCATGGGTTAGATGGGAGGGCGTGGGTGAAAGGGGGCTAGGTAGTACCACGGAGGAGTTGAGTGTCAGCGAAGTACCGTGGATTACGAGAGACGACGGGGAATGGTACGATCAAAAGATGCCATGCGGAGCTCTAGGGGTGATAAGCTATGATCATACGTTCAGGGAGCCCGAGATGACTGAAAGAGGTCCAGGTGCGGTCGATTGGGAGGCGATGGAGAGAGGCTACGTCCAGCCACTGGGTTGGCTGAAGGAGGGCAAGCCGATGTAACCAAGCTGTAGTATGATGCTGAACACAACACACATACACTGGGCTCTAAGATGTGTTATACTTGGGTTTCTCCTAGTGGGACTCGCCGATATAGACATGTGCCACCCCACGACCGGGCAATATCTGAGTATTCGAAAAGTGTCTGCCTCCCTTTTCCTTCGTGGCGGGTTTCTTACCGATGGTGCCTGTACATC